CATCAGGAGAAAAGCATACTGAATTAACCCCCTATGTATGGCCATGTAATGAGAATTATTATAATCCTGTTTAAACTTCCCATAATATGATAGTCTTATCCCCACTACCAGATGCTAATTTAGTACCATCAGGAGAAAAGCATACTGAATTAACCCTAGATGTATGGCCACACAATGTAAAATTTCTTAACCCTGTTTACACCTCCCATAATATGATAGTCTTATCCTCACTACCAGATGCCAATGTAGTACCATCAGGAGAAAAGCATACTGAATAAACGAATGTTTTATGGCCATGAAATTAAGATTTTCTTGTTCCAGTTTACATCTCCCATAATATGATAGTCTCATCTTCACCACCAGATGCTAATGTAGTACCATCAGGAGAAAAGCATACTGTAGTTTTAGTCATGTTGCTATGGCTATCTAAGATGTACAACTCAGATATTTTGATATTCGCCCATTTACAATAAAACAATTAGGCTCCGTTCAAATTGATCTCACTTATGTCAACATTTTCAAAAATAGATCCATTCAAATTGCATCTTGTCAAATTAGCACCAATTAATGAGGTGTCTCTAATCTTGATATTTTCTAAGTTTTGTTCACTTACATTCGCTTTCATTTTTACCAATATATTCAAAGAATTAGATCCACATTATATAAATCTCTCATCTATAGCAGTAAGTTTTACTAGAAATATTAAAAATTCTATTATCTTTTTATCCTCAGATATATTTGTGATCAACTTTTTTCTAGTTTCCTGATATTCTACTGTTGAATAATTTTTTTTATTAAATTCATGAGCATGAATATTATTTAAAATTTTGGATAAAAACTTTATGTTATATTTTAAATTATACAATTAGAATTTCTATGCCAAAGTATCTTCACCATTTTCTATTTAGGAAGTTTATTACTAGTTAAATTAAATAAAATCTTATGAAAGAAATTCTATACAATTACTAATTTTCTTTTTTCTAAATAATGAAATTAAGTAGCATAATACTTATTCATCAATGTACTTTGTTTATTAAAAAACTTGATCTAATTAATCCTTAATTTAATAAACAGGGGAAATCCTTAATTATCATTAAATCTTACTTAATTAATGCCTCTTTCATTTTGTATTAAATCTTTTTGCTAAAAGTATTAATTTCTTCTTCCCACCAATTCTTTATCTTTTCCAAATTCATCCAATAGAACATTTTCTCATTATTCCAATCAATTAATGTGTTCCCTTGAGCAATCTATACTAATTTTTCTAAGTCAGAGTTAGGAAATTCAGCTACATTACTATTTTCATTAATTAGATTAACGATTGATTAATTTTCCCTATCCAACATTTCATATATTTATTGTATTGATTTTGATAATTCTTCCTAAATATTTTTCAATATTGATTCTGTTTGGGAAAGTAAATATTTAAAGTTCTTGAATTAAGTATGCAATTCTGATGTTTCCCCTAATTAATATTCTGTTATTTGTTTCATAACTTTTTCTTAGAAAATCTTTGTAGGAACAATATGTTTTTAATCCACTCCATGTTCATATTGGCATTCGGCACATAATTTCCTAAAATATTAACATTTGTGAGGAGCTATACATATCATTGATATTTGGTTTTTATAATGATATGTGCAATTCATTATTAATTAAAAAAAATATTATATCAATATTACTGTATTTAAGTATTGCACTATAATGAAAAAAATAAGATATCTTTTTGGGTGTAGAATGAAAATTATTTAAAATTGTATTAAAATAAATTCACACATCTAAAATATTCTGAGATCACCACTCTGATATATATTTTATAAGTGCGATTGTAAAGAATTAATTTGAGTCAAGTATTTCTTGCTAAAAACCCCTTTCATCTATTAAATCTTTGGTTAAAATTTTGATTTTCATTTCAATTAACATTTATTGGTAATCAATATATGACTTTCTTCAATAATTATTTTAAACAAAGTAAGAACAAGCACATGCGAATTGGCCCCTAAAACATTGAAAGTGTTATAAGACTTTCAATTCATAATTGTAAAAGCAACATAAGAAACTGTTTGACTTTTTATAGTGCATAAAAAGAAAGTGAACTTAGAAGTATAATTTTGTAAAAACAAGGCTGCACCCAGGGAAGTAGAAATATAAGAAAATTTATTGTCTTGAATCACTTGATTGAAACAAATAGAAAATTTGAGAATTTGAACCTTATAAAATTTTAAATAAAATATGAAATTAAAACTTATCCATAATCAACTACAAAATGTTGGTATTAGTAAAAATATTTCCTCCAACGTGTATTTTTGCAGTGAAAGATTAAATTAATTTCTTGATCACTTAAAAAATTATATGCTTAGCCATCCTACTGATTAAGGAGAAGGAAGACCATAAATGAAGGATTCATAAATATAGAAATTAGAAATACACAAGGCTAGCTCGATATAAAAAATTGAAAACTACACATTTGATTTTAAATTGTTTATTTTATCCTAAATAACTGAAATAAACTAAGATATAAAACTTTCGATTATCATTTCTTGAAATTCGATTTTATACAATCAACTTTTTTTGAGATTCAGAACTTTTGTAATTATTACCAGAATTGATCGTAATTGATATTAAATAACATCACCAACGATTTAGTTTTATATGATGTCTTTTGAATTTGTTTGTGGTTTTGTAAAGTTTTGGAAAAGAATCTATTTCTACATGCAATTTATTAGATAATTTAGAGGACAACTAATTGAAAGCAATTCATACTTGTCTGCCATTTCTTTCAAATTAATTTTTTGATCATTTTTTTTCAATCTCTATCAGCTTTTTGGAATTCGAATCAAATTTTAACCAAATACAAAAAAAAGTATTTATGGAATCAAGTAATATTGAGAACAACTATCTCATCATTCAATAAAGATGTTGCAATTCAAAATGATATTAAAACGCTTTAAAATGAAGACTTTTAGCAATTACCAATAACTAAGTGTGGCAGTTAATTAAATAAAATTTTGTTCATCATTATAAATTAGGGTACTCGAAACTCTCTCAAGATGGGTGATATTTTCTAAATTATGTGCCAATATTAATAAATCATCTTCTTTTAATCAATATTGATACATAATGACATTCACAAATTCGTCTCAATTCTAGAATTAATTTTTATTCTCTCTGGTTATAATAATATATAATTAAATAATCAATATTGCCACTATTTTAAATTAACAATTTCTGATTATAACATTGCTATCTATTAGAGTAATTATTTTTCTTTTTTTTTCTTTTACTCTAATACTTTTTTCATCCTTTCAAATATTGATTAAAATTATGGATTATTTCTTGTAATTATCGGAGTTCTCTTTTTATTTGATTTAGTTGATTTCGTTTACAGATCAGCATAATCTATAGATTTTGAAATGTATGCTGAATCATTAATTTTGCTAAATGCACTTGAAGCCAATTAAGGTGGTTAATTTGAATTGTTTATTCTAGGCTTTAATTGAATAAAATATAAATACTTTCAGCTTGAATTTAAGAAATGCTTGCTTATAAGAATCATAAAAAGATGCTGTTGGCTGTTTTTATATTTTAGAGATGGTACAATACTATGATTTTGCTCTTGGTTTAGGTACCCTCTCTGATTCGATAGTTTTTTTTGACATCCAATCTGATAAAGTTTCATGCCTTTGTTTCAATACAAACCTGTGATCATCATCTGAATGTTTTATTTAAGACTTTCCTTGTTTACTTTTTTTCAGATTCAAATAACAATTATTTAGATTATACATTTTTTCCATTAAGAAAAATAGTTTAGCAATTATTCCATGATGTAAAAGTTATGTAAATTCTCATCATAAACGTTATTTATTATAATTAGAAGCAAAATGAAAGAACCTTACAATAAAGAAATGAACGTTGTTCAAATATGAGTTTCAAATAAAGATATACAACTGGATATTAGTATAATCTTTCTAAGATTGAATATATATAATAACTTATGTATAAAATAATAATCTTATTCTAATCTGAAATATTTTTCAACATTTCTTCATTATTTATTATAGAATTCATAAAAACTAGTTTCAAATTTTATGTACTCCCATTCAAATAGTGGAATCGATCCTAACATGCTAACATCAACTCATGTTGAAACAGATGTAAATCAACAGTAAGAAAATCTGGAAGAAATTGAGAATTTAAATTAAATCAAAAAAGAATTTGATGATTCACAACTTATAACCAATTTTGATTTGAATCTTGCTAATTTAGTTCTAAGAAGATGTATATTAAGTTCATTAATGAAAGGTTATGTATTCGAGGATCAAATCATGAAATACGAGAAAATATTAGAAAAAAATCCAACTTGTGTGGAAGCCTTAATTGAAAAAGGTATTGTAATATTATTGATGTCTAGCCAAAAATTTAGTTAGCCTTTAAAAATTTGAGGATGCCTTAGAATGTTGTAATTAAGCTATATCTATTGACGCTAGCTTTACTTAAGCATATTTTGAAAAGGGTATTTTTATGTTATTCAGTTAAGCTAAAATATTGTGTAAATAATAAAAGATTGAAGAGGCCATTAAAACTTATGAAGCTATTTTATCAAAGAATTCAAAAAATAATGATGCAATTCAAGAATTATGTATAAAAGAATATATTAATCAGCTTAACTTTAAAATTAAATTCAATAAATATCGAAAGCACTTAAATATTATGACTAACTATTGGCTTTTGATCGAAAAAATAAATTTATCTATATAGAAAAAGCCAAACTATTATAAAAATAGAACAAATTTGAATTGGCTCTTAAATGTTGCGACTAATTATTAACCTTTGATCCTTATGAAAAGTATGCATATTTACAAAAAGGTATCATCTTTGAGTATTGGTAGCCTTATTATTTTCATAAATTAATGAGCCATAATCAGCTATAGAATGTTATAAGAAAGTAATTGAAATTGACTCTACGAATAAATATGCGTATTTAGCAAAAGGTTTTAGATAATTTAAATAACTAGTTAAATTGTTAATGGAGTTAAAAAATTATGAAAAGGCTCTAAAATGCTGCGACAAGATATTAAATTTTGATCCAAAAGAAATTTATGCTTAGATATAGAAAGGTATAATAATATCATATGTGAAAAGCCAGAACTCTAGAATGTCTTCAAAAATATGATTAGGCTGTTAAATGTTGGGATGAAATCATTAGTTAAGAATAAAACAAATCAGAGCCAAGTGTGGAAAAAGGTAATATTTTTATTTTTGATTTTTAGCTCGAGTTTTAGTCAAGCAAAATAAAATTAAGGATGCTGTAAAGTGTTTAGACATAATTCTGTCTAATAATAAAGCAAATAGAGATACGAATGTCTAGAAGGGTATAAATTAGAATTAATTTTAGCATAAATCTTAATGTAGTAAGGATTATTGGAATAGGCTGTTTAATGTTGCTAATAAATCTTAAGTTAAGATTCAGGATCTGAAAGAGCCTGGCACTATTGTGGTAAAAATGTAATTAGCATTTGAAGGCTAAGCATTTAAGTTTTTAAATTAATTGAATGATGCCTTAAAATGTTATGAGGAAATATTGAAAACAAACAGCAATGATTGGTATTCTTAATACTAAGTCAAGGAAATAAAAGAATAAATAAAAAAGTAAAGACTAGTAAAAAATGATTGAGATTAATTTTATCTTATTCAAATGGATAGAATCATTCTTTAAAATTTATTCTGTTTGAAACCAATTCAACTTGAATTAAGTCTGCAAAATTTTTTTAGTATCTTAATAACAATAGCTTATATTTGGAATTTGATGACAGCATCAATTTATATTTTAATAATTCATCATTTTCCAATAAGCCTTTTGAATTTAATTACTGTAACAAATAAGAAAAATTAAATTTGAATTTTACAAAAAAGTCAACTCTCATTTTCTTGATTTTAATTAGACTAATAGAAGTAAAATGTGGGAGAGAACTTAAATACAATATCAAACTTCAATGTAATATCATAAAATAATATTTTCTCTATTTTCAAATTTTTCTAATAATTTCTTTGATTTCTAAACTGATTGATCATTATCCTAATATTAATATATTCTAACTAATTAAAATATGGTTTAAATTTACAGTGAGTATTTGTAAGATCAATTTTTAAGAGTTGAGTGATAGTTTGAATTTTTTGTTGGGATTGATTTTCACTCTGAACGTGAAATATTGTATAATAATTCCCATAGGCAACGCATCCTTCATAGTCATCCACTGGCTGGAAAGATCCTTGTTGTCCACTTGCTTTAACTATTGTAAGAATTTATTGAAGAGGTTCAAGTGAAAATATTTCATTTAATTTAAATCTACCATTTTACCAATCTAGAGTATACACCTCTCTCTTTACAAATTTTGAATCTGTGTATGATGGGTTCTTAAGATTTTCCCCTGATAAAATCAATTGATTTCTACCATAATATGAACAAGAGAACAGTGGAGAGCATAGAACTTTTTATTAATATTATTCTTCAGGCTTTTTCGAAAATTCAGGTTCAAAATACTTTTATTAATTTCCTAATAAATTTTCTTCCTTGCAAGAAAATATTTAGATTCTATTTTATTATTTACAAGACTTGTTATGTATTCCATTAGGATAATGAGATATACCTCCATAAAATATGACTAATTTATCAAAAATTGGGTCTTGAGATATGAAAAAACTTCCATCAAATCTATTCTCTAATTGAATATCAAGTTTTTTCCATTTGTTGCTTCTATAAGCATAAGTAGTATTCAATAGTTCATTAACAATTACATCATTAATTACTTTTCTTATTTAGCCATAGAAGACATATATTTTTCTAGAAAAGTATAAATTATTAATACCCTTTATATACTGTGCCCATAAAATTATACCCTTCTATGGGTAAACTTGGTAAAATCTCTACCTAAGCTTCTTTTTTCTCGTATGGATTACTCGGAAATTGAATTCTTATAAATTACGAACTCTATCTGAATCTATCTGTAATATATATTCCTCCTATTATATATAATTAATGGTTTTTTCCTTCACCAAATTCTTTTATGCATAGTTGATGTTCTAAAATATCAATAGGATTTTAATTATATACTATATTATATTCCTGCCAAACATCATAATACACGTAATATACAATTAACTAAATTAAAAATAATATTTACAAGTGATTTAATTCTATTATCCAATCCTTATATAGTTTTTAATGCAAAAATGAAATCATTTTTTAAAGATTTCTTTCCTAATGAGATTAATTTAATAGAATTTTTGAATAAATTTTTTAATTCATTTTTTTTAGGTAATATTAATTATTGTAACTTTTCTATTAAAATTTTTCTTTCCTTTGAAAGAAAATACAATTTTTGATTTAAATACTGGGACAATTTTTCAATGGTAAAGGCTATTTCATCATTAATTTTTTTTTCTTGAAGTGTTGGGTCTGATTTTTGAATAAGATGTCTTTTTTAAATCCCAAAAATAGGATAAGTTCCTGGAATAATTACTTTTTCAACATCTAGGGCTTTTTTATTATCCTTAACTTTCATTTTATAAACTGGGTTGGAGTAGGATGCTTAATAAAATAGTTCATTTTATTCAATATATTTATTGGGATTCATCCTTCCATATTACATTTTAAATAATTTAAAAGCTTCCAATGCATGGTAAAGTTTGAAATCTACGCCAAAATCAGTTGGAATTATATTTTTATTGCATCCAGGGCAAGTTTACATACTATAAAATCAATATTACATAGAATACTTATAATCTTTTTTATATTTAAGGCTATACTCTACCCAATTGTTTAAATCGAATAAACATTTAAACAAAATTAATTCTTAATGTCTTACAGGTATATCAATGATACATTTTGATAATTAGCATAAAAGAGGTAGTTAAACTTCTTCTCCTTGCATATTGTTTTGTATGAATTTATCTACATAGCCACTAACATTCTTTGATTTCAACTCTGATTTCAACTTTTCAACTTCTAATTCATTAAAATTCATAATAAATAAGAATTATATATTGATTATTTTAAAAATTAGTTTTCAAATTATTATATAGATGATGGGCATATTGGAGAGTGAATTAAACATATATGATGACAAAGAAAATTGATTTTGATAATAAACAAATTGAATATTTTTAATATTAATGAACTTAGGATATCTCTTTTTGCTGGTTGGAGTTTAATGCATTCTGTACTAATTTAATGCAACAAATCAATATTTGTTAGTAGAGAATGAAGCAGAGGAATGGATATAAATGAAAATTCAGATCTATGAACATAATGTAAAATAGAGTGAAGCCATTGAAAATTATGAAAAATACCTACAGCTTTATCATAAATTGAAATTAGGATCATACTACGAATTAGAAATAGTTATAATACCTGAGACAAATTTCAAAATCCAATAAATAAATTAAAAAGAATGTCCTAAGTAATGCTCTAAGAATGGAAATTGCATCAATTATAGTTGCCAATGTTATGAATCGTTTTTTGGGTATAAGACCTAGTTATGAATTTATTAGATCAAGATGTTAATTTGAAATAGAAAGCTATTATAACATTCAATAATATAACATTGAATTACATAAATTTGAAACTTCATATTTATTACTGCAGTATCAATAGTCAGATTTGATCAATGAACAAGGGTAATTTCTATTAATTAAGATAGAGATAGACAAAAAATATGATTTTGTAAAGTAATCATGCTATTGAAATTCAGCTCTATCTAGTTTTACCATATCAAAACATATCCACAAGTATTCAAAATCAAAATATACTTTATAACAATTCCTTAAATGGATCTACTACTATTGATTTTTCACCATTTTATTAATCATATAGCAGTTCTTAGGTGAGCTATTCGTTCTTTTTTATTTTTACAAATAACTATACAAATTAAGAAAGATATTCCATAACTTTTGATTTAAAAAGCCAAGAGATCACATTTTAAGACTTCATATTAGTAACTATACTTAGCGTAGTAGCCTTTATTATTTTATTAATTGTAATATTTATAGTAAGGAGGAGATGCTAATATATTTAAATAAGCAAGTTAAAATATTCAATTGATCATTAACCAAAGATCGATATTGTTGGATAGCTGCCAATTGTGACTCCTGCAAAAGATGAAGAATGTATAGTGTGTTTAGATTTATTGGAAAATTAGTAATGCAGATAAACATCTTGTAAGCATATTTTTCATGAATAATGTTTAAATGAATGGTTACAAAAATAATAAACTTGTCCACTCTGCAGGGAAAATTTATTTGAGGAAGAAGGAGCACAAATAATGAAGGTCAGAAATTTAAGTTCCTCTTCAATAGTTGCGGGCTAATTTTCAATTATATAAAGTGAAAGACAACCAATTTAATAAATTATACTTTCAAGATCAATGAATAATAGACTAGCTGCGTTCTAATGAGTCTTTTAATATAATTATATTTATTTGTTATTTTAATCTATCTATGGCCTAAAATTACAAAATAGTGGATTCTAAATTAATTTAGGTTTTATTCTTTTCAGTGAGGTGTTTAGAGCATTCAGACCAACAAATTTTAATTATTTGTTTTTTTGATTAGAGAGGATTATTTTAATAATTATTTATTTATCAAAATTTGCTTAAATTTTAAATCATTAAATTCATTTGAGATTCAAGTATATTCCTCAGGACTGTTACTTTCTCCGAGGTATTCATATTTTCATATTCTAATTGATTTAAGCCACAAGACTCAATGTACTGATAATCTAGTTGTCGTTTTTAAAAGTACTTTTTTATCTTTTTCCATTTTAAACTATGTTTTGGTTTTAAAGCTGATTTACTGATATCTTAAAATTCTGTTATATTTAGTGTTTGAAATTGTTTCTTAAGTTCTTCCTTTTGATTCTAATCTTTTATGATTAATGAAAGTTTAGATTCATTCTCCTTGAAAAATTTAATGGAGTTCTCATGAGTCTTATCTTCTAGAATCTCAAGATCATTATTATTCTTAATTTGATCACTTTTTGTTGATTTGACTGCCATCAATTAGATTGTATTAGTGCTAAAAATAAGGTAATTCTTACGCCTCGTCAATTAAACAAATAGCAAAATTTTAGATAACTTTAACAAGCTGATCTCTTTTTTCCTTCTTCCACATTCTGCCTTCCTATTTGTAGACTCGGTATATGGCCTTTATTGTCGAGAGATTATACCCTGTTAGATCTGATACCTTTTGGAATCATGTTTATTTTACTTAAGAAGGACTCATTTTACTATTGACTAAAGCCTTTACAATCTAAATGCGTTCATTTCCTGGTATTGGTTTGTACTTAGTTGTTGAATGAGTGTAGGTTTCTTGATTATTCATGTTTAAGATTTAATTAAAATTATTGTTCATGAACTTTCAGCGATTAATAATGACCAATAGTAATTAGACTTTATATAATTTATTAACAAAGTAAGTTTTTTCTGGATTTAAAATATTCAAGAATCAAATAGAATCTTTTCAAAAGCTTAAAAGTAGTCGAAAACCTAAACTTTCTTGATAATTTTATTTTTTTGCAAAATATAATGATTATATCATAAAGGTTATATTTTATTTTATAACTAATAAATTTAAAAAACTCTAAAAAATACTATTAATATTTTGTTAAACAATTCATAATAGATCAAAACTATATTAAAGTGATATACTGAATCAAAATTTTAAGGTGTTGTTTTATCCTGTCTCGCTGAAAATTACCAAATATATATTTAATATGACATATTTTAAAATATCTGCAATCAGTAATATAAATATCAAACTCGAGTTTTTCAAATTTATATACCCTGATAAACCATCATGTAATGACATTAATATTAGTAGAGGTGTGTCATAAATTATTACCTCTATGCTCTTCAAAATGTAACTACTAATCATAATGGTATTTGTAATATTTTTTATCTACTTTTTGGGAATGCATAGAAAACAAAATTCTACTGGCAATAATACAAATAGGATTGTTCGGCAACTCAAAATATTATTTTTATAATTTAGAGGTTTCAAATCACATTCTCTAGGTTCTTCTTCTGTAATGAAGTTTTTTCTATACAAATGACTAATTGGAATAAAAGATCTATTCTATAAATTAAATTAATCCATAAATAACAGCTTTATAGTACAACACATATGGAATACTCTTGAAATTTGGAATAATGTTATAAAGTAGATTGTAATTTTAGTATTCGTTGATAACTTTAGGCAAAGTAAAGTAAAAATGACGATTCTTAAAACTACATCTAATACCACATTTGCGAAAAGAAATTTTCGAACTAAGGATTTATTTTCTTTAAGAAACTGCAAATACAGGAATGTAATATTGATGGCTGTTTCTTAATGGAAGTTAAAATAACTATCTTTTCTCTTAGCTTCTCTAAAAAGTAATCGAGGATTCAATTTTGATTGATTACTAGAATAAATGTCGTAATCATAGTATTATAGTTCAATATTATGCATAGTTGCAGATGTAAAATCGCTTTAAGTATGTTCTGAAAGTGGTTGTAATAATAATAAATTAGGATCAAGCATCAAACCAGATTTGCTATTATTTCTGAGCTAAGACCTCATATTTCTGTATATATTATTATATCCGATTTAATAACACAAAAATATCATCTAGTTTGATTGGATAACTAGCAAGAAGTTTATTATTTACTTAAGAATAAAGAAATAATAAAATAAAGAAAGTCAATTTGATGTTAATTTAGATCTTCCTGAAATTGAAATTACTACATTTCTAATTTAAACAAAATTTTAAAACCAAAGAAAGAAATATTGATCCCATGATATGAATAAAATGGCAATATTCTCATATTTTGAACATTATCTGTTATCTCCTATTTTTAAAGTATATATGCTTTGATTTTATCACAGTTTAAAGGAGAGTAATTTTTCTAATTTATTTTTGAAGAATAAACAACTTTACCAAAGCTTTCGAATAATTAATCTAGAAAAGGATAGCTTAGGATATTGTTAGAGAAGATCAAATTTATTAGATAGTTTCAGAGGAGTCAAGGTAAAGAGTTATTCTAATAAAAACAAAATTGAAATAGTATTAGAACTTGTGATGGATGACTTAAATATTAAAATATTTTAAGACTTTCAATAATTAAAATATTAATATTATGAAATACTCAACCTATTTAATAATATTCTTAAGCAATTAAGATTATTATTTCTTTTTTTTACCAAATGAAAACAATTTAACAACCTTTTTGTCTTCTAAGTATTATAAGTGTTTATTAAGGGATTGAATTAATTATAAATACTAAATATTAGTTTTTAATATGATTTATGAAAATTATTATCATATATTGTTGCATATCTATGGGTAGATTTCTTTGGAATTATTAGGTCTTTGTAATTTATTTGGATTAGCTTAATAAGTCCAAAATTATGCTGGTGATTTTTATGAAATGTCACCTATGCTTCCATCTACACAAAGTACTAACCAAGTCAGATTAGGCTCATTTTTAAGATTACTAACTTAAGGTAATTAGTATCTAATAATGGGTCTTTCTTGTTCAGATGCATAGAGAGTTATGACAGGTTTGATTTCTTTAAAAATTGGATCATTATCTATAACTGATGTGTCAATAGAATGTCCTTGTTATTTTTTAATATTTAATTCTTTTAGTTTTGGGTCTATTGGGTCAAATGCAACAAAGAAAGTGTATTTTCTTTCGGCCAATTGATTGACATATATTGCTTGAGCATTTTCACTTCCATAGAATTTCAAACCTCCACAATTCTCATTGAAGAAACCAACTGTACATTCTGTGTATGAAGCACCTAGTAGCAGTTCAAATTTATTATGCTTTGGAGTTTCCAATACAACAGTAAACTAACCCTTTATTGTGGATCTAGGGATCATTGTCACTTCCAAGCTTTTGGTTTCTGGAGTGTTTTTTAATTTATTACAATATAAATAATACCCTTTTTTCTCAGCTCCAAAATAGTATTCCTTGACAACCATATTATATAAAACACTATCCTAATCTACAGTAACTAAAATAATTTTAAATAAATATTATACTCAATCTTGATGGGATAGGTTTAACTTTTCCGCAATCGTCTTCGTTTTTATAGAAATATAAAATGACATCATTTAATTGTTAGCCAGTTTAAATATCCACTATATTGACCTAAAGATTTGTAAATTTTAGATTATTAATGTATTCTTTCTGATTTTAGGAGAATTTCTTCTCTTCTTCATGTGTCCTATGTCTTTACCACAACAGCCTAGTATTTTTTGCTGTTTCAATTTCATAAATATCGATTTGAATCTTTTTTTCCCCTTCACTGCAAATTTGCACATGATTTTATAAGATGTTTTTAATTTCATCCTTATTACCTTAAACTCCAAACATTCCATCTGTGTTTTCATTTGCTTAAGGATATAGAATATTCTTTATCATCAGCTTAGGAATGTATGATACATTGGGAGAATTAACATATTCAGTGACCACAACTTGCATTTTTGGAGCCAAGATAGTAACTCTAGAGTTTCCTTTCAGATCGATATCTTTATTATTGTTTTATTATTTGAAAACATTAATCAATGGTTCACATCCTGTTACATTCTCTATTCCTGTAGGATACACAAGAGGACTTTTATTCTCTTTGATTACCTTTTAGTTTTCAATAATTATATTATCCATTTAAGGAGGTAATGTTGGTACAGAAAACACTAACAAAAATGAGAAGATGAAAATTATTATCGCTAACAAAACAAATATCCAATCCAAAGTTCTATTAGGGATTTATTGTGTTTTCACACTTGTATCAACTTGCAATAAAGCCATTGACAAGGCAAATCCACTGATTACAAGTAATAAGATAGAGAAACCAGCTTTGAATAAATTTTATGAAATCGAATCAGAAAATGCATTACAACAAGATATGTTCAAGCATTTCTAAGTTGAATCGGTTTCCCATGAAATTGCTTAATTCTGAGGTTCACATTATATTTTTTCTAAATATTTTTTGCATTAGGCATTTTCTTATATCCAACTTTCATGAGTATTTCTCATTTATTAAGTGCATTCATTGATATAAGTTGTTCTGACTTGTTCACTGAGTCTGATGACATGAAATGAACAAGCAGCAATCAAAAAGATTATGATAAGATTAGCATAACCTACTGTCTCAAAAAGATCATTCCTGTAAATAAATGTCAATAAAAAAGATATTAATGCTGTGATTATTGCTCCAACAGCTAAAATATAAAAGATTGTGAATGCGCGATTAGGTGGGATAGGAGAATAAGGAGTTGCCAAATCTGCTAATACTTAATTTGAATAAAGTAGTGCAAATGAAGCTATGATGATAGTTGTTAAAGAAAAGACATAGATGCACACTCTCAACTAATTCTTCTATTGAATTGTGATATAACTAGTAAATGCTACATACATTAACATTAAACTAATTAAGATCACAATTGGAATTGCTATGTATAATCCATAAGTATAATAACTCATGTATTATGTGGGAGTTGTTTAACTATCATAATGTCTTGCTAAATAAAAATCTTTTCCAATCCTATACCAAAATACTATGAACACTAATAAAAAACAGTTAAATAAAATGTTTAAGAATGATCCCAAAAATACTACAATGGAGTATCTTTAATCCACATCCAAGACTTCATGTGTTTACTAATGATCATCTTATGTTCTTACTGTTGTTGTATTAAACCAATAAAAAATGATACCCTAAATTCAAATTAAAATATAATCTTACACATAAAATCAATGAGAATATTGCTGACATTAACAAAAGTATCATTATAGTGAAAGAATATTGATTGAAAAACACTAAGGAAATTATGATTAACGCTATTGCGAAAAGCAAAGTTAAAATTGTTAATCTGGTCGACAATTCTTAATTTAAAAATTGTATTAATACTTTGCTTAGCTAATAATTCTCTTTCAGACCACCCTTCGTTATATTTATGGCATTTTTAATTGATCAACTCCATATTAACTGTAAATTTTATATTATTATTTATATCAAATATTTGCTACTAATTCTTTTATTTATATTAAAATAAAATATGAATATAAAATTGATATTCTTTCATACTTACCCTAATTATCCCTTCTCTACTCTCTCTTTAATCTTTTTTGGATCTGGAGGCATTAAACTGAATTTGGCCACTACACTTTTAGAAATTCTTCTGAATTCTTTATAAGTATCTTCATTTCCATGATGCAATTCAAAATTCTCCCAAGTTTTCCATAACCCAAAATCATCAAATCTTGGATCACTGAATTAAGAAATATGTATATAGACTGCCCTTGCTCTATCTATTTCTCCAAATTTTCTCTCCAATTAAGCTAATCTTAATCCCATTTGAATTAATTCTGCTTCTTATAAATTTTCAATTGCGCTCTCAAATACTGGTCTGGTTTTCGTTATACCCAAATATAGTGCTACTTTGGCTATATAAATATTATAACTAAATAAATGATATAACTTACGCTTCCATTTTATCCTGGTATTCAACATTAAATACCATTCTATCATAGATTTCAATAGCATGATTTAATAATCCAAATTGTTCCTCGAATTCTCCATACATTAAATAAAATATTCGATTTTTCTATTATCATAATAAATATTACATCTTTTGGCACTTATTCGATTACAGTTTCAAAGAGGTTTCTAGTTCTTTCTATTTTTTGACCCCTATACCTTTAAATAAATTTAGTAATGTAAACAATCCATAAATCATACAAAGCTGGCCAATCGAATAATTAGACTCCAGCCTCAAAAACCTTAAAAGATTCCTCATAGAATGCATTATCTTCCAAAAGTTGAGCATAATTAATGATAATAAACGGAGTCACAACTTTTAATTCAACCATGCGTTTATAAGCTGCACGTAAGGATTTAAAATTTCCAAAGTTTCTCTCTAAATCTAGATAGAGTTACCATAATTGTAAAGAGTAAGGAACCATTTCTGATGGAGTCATTTTATCTAATTTCTTGACATACTTTTTAAATAACCCTTACTTAATTACAGTAAGAGAATCATTAACAAATCCATCTAAAAGTAATGTTTCAACCCATAATGACCATAGATTGACATGTTCTTCAATGTTTTTGAATTCTATTTTTGATCCCTTATGAAAGATTTAATTGCAAGTTTTCCAATCACCCTTATCTCTATAATATTTAGCATAAGCTATCCAAATATCACTCAACTTTCCATTATCTGCTAGATTAGGCTCCACAATTTCAAGTGCTTCAGTGAAGGTTTTCAAAGCCATTCTTTCATCTCCTTTGACCAATTCAATTCTTTTTAGCCATTCCTCAACGTTATATTTGTTTTATCTCAATATACATGAATTTAATAGTATGGGTCTTCTCTCCAAAAGTTCATCCAATCTGTCCATTTTTAATAATAACTCATCTTCTATTTACACCTCATCATCTTGTGATGACTTTATTTTTAGTAATTAATCCAATTTAGTCGATAAAATTGTATCATCAATGTCATCTTGATTTTCATCATTCTCATCAAAATCTTCCAGCATTTAGATAATTGTTTCTTCATATTTGACATATGCATTAAACACCAAACTAAAATCTTTTACTGTTAACACATTATTAACTGCATCTTCAAATGTATCTCTGGCTTATTCAAATTAACCTGTTTTTATGTAATAATCAGCTAATTTTATCCATAATTAACCAATCTCATCTGAATATTTCTTAATTCCAAATTTCATTATTGATGCTGCATCTATTGGTAAATCATTAGGATGTCTAGCTATTATTTCACATAAATATTTCATAAAGTCATATTTGGTTTTTCCACTTGCAGAATTAAATTGATCATCATTTAAGATGTCTACTAAAATTGAGCATGCCTTTCCCCATAATTGCTTTGATACTAAGTAATCTAAATATTCTTCTTTATAATCTGGATTTATCTTAATGTACCTATTATATATAGAAATTGCAGTTGTTATTGAATCTGTTTTCGATATCTGAAAATTTAATTATAATTCATACCCATTAACAATAAGCTTTCCAAATTCTATGATGTTGAGTGACTGGTAATGATTAAAGGGCTCTATCATACACATTTCTAGTGTGTGTATATTTCTACAATGATGCACTATATTCAGCATACATCAACCAGATATTAGGCATTTTGTGCATATACACTAGTGCTTTTTCAAAATAGGTCATCATTTCCTCAAATTTATTTGATAAGAATGTGCTTCTACCTCCCAAATCTTCTAGTTATTCCTTCAAATAATTGAACCATAATTTATAACAATTTGGAATGTATTTAAAAGCCCTTTCATACAAATCTATTCTAGTTGCATATGGTTTATCTCGATGCGCCTATAATACAATCCACCATGCCCTCAAAGTATATCTTGAATATTATTCTTATTGGGTATCAGGAGCAGCAAAAACGACTTCGAATTTTGAACTACCCTTGACTTCCAACTATTCCAATTTATAGTGAAGCAATTATGCATTCATTAATTTTTATAAAAATTCAATTATTTTAATAAATATTACTTTCTCTCACTCATCATTATAATTATAAGCATTAACACAATCATCAATTTTTTTCAATAGGTCTTAGAGATTCTTTTCTTCGAAAAAAGGATTCAAAATATATGATTTATACAAATCATAGATCTATTTCAACAGATCCTTAGGTCTCTTTTCCTCCTTTGTACAAATCATTATTATCTTGTTCTCAGTCATGCTCATGAATCCAAATATTTTCAATTCATTCATAATTCCAATTTAACCCATATAACCATTATTAGGTGAAATTTGATAAGCAAGATCAATCAAATCGCATTATGTGTTGATAGTCAATTCTATATAGGCTTCATCAAAGTTTTCATAATTCCTACAAATTATAGGAACATTTTTTGAATCAAGCAAACATATATATTTTATTGTATTTTTCATTGTATAATTATTATATAATTAATGATTTATTACTCAAACAAATAATTATATTATAGAAAATTTGAAACAGTGGATAAATTAGAATATGATAAGTTTTCCATTTTAATACATTCAGAAAATGATAACCCCGTTCATTTGGCAAAATTTGTTTTTTTTAAATTTGATTTAGTTCAGATAGATTTTATATAATAAAATTATTAACTAAAAATGTCGAGCAATTCTGATTCTCAAGTTCAGTTTAATAGCGAAGATTCAGAGATCAAGCCTGAAAGTTTATCTTCCATAAGCAAAAAATCAAAAAAAATTAAGAACAAGGTACAAAAGCAAACTAATTGGAATCCTGGAAGACCAGGGAAACCCTCGATTTCCTAATTACCTATTGATCAATTTCAAGTTATAAAGAGTAGTATGAAAAACATATGGTTTTGTACTGATATTTCTATGAGATGTTTGATATACCTTTGCAAAAAAGGGAACATGATCCTTAAAGTAAAAACAGGAAAACCAGCAGAAACGGTTAAAAAGGATTTTCTAGATCTTTTTGGAAAGACTCATCTCAAACCCTATAAAAAATTTAAGAAGGAATTCAAGAAAAAACTTAAGGTATCGTTATCATATTCAACAAAGGAAAAAAATGCTGCCATATTGAAGCACTTAGGGTATTCAGAATAAACAACCTATCTATTCCTATCTAATAATGATGGAGATCAAATAGACCTAAAGTTGGAGTGTGTTACAAATGAGACAAAATAAGGCCTCTTGTCACTCATAAGATATTTATCTCCGTAATTCACCTATACATATAAAGTAATTGTTGAATGCTTCTATTCCCTCTTAGCCATGAGCTAAGAAGAAGATAATTAATTCACTATCAATAATATTGTTGAGGCTATTGTTGAAAAATTAAAGTCTGACAAAAAAAATCATAAGATGATCTTTGATATGCAATTGATATAAGAACTTTTATTGGGGGATTATGTACTTATGAATGAAATTGTAATAAAGTTTTTATATGTTAGGAAAATGAACCTGAATAAGCTGTTTTACATCTGAGATCAAATGAAGGTGTTAACCTTCCCAATTTTGCTGCTAACTCCTATAAAGATTAAGTAGAGTCTATTGAATAATATTCAAATTGGATCAATACCTTTATTCGGGAATTTGTTGAGATTTTAAAATAATATTAATGAATTATAATACAAATTAATAGTTCATAAAAATAAATGATGAAAAATTAACTGCTCCATCAATCCGTTAGCATAATCATCCAACTTCATCAAGAATTGAAAGCAAATTCAACCATCTCATCTTAACTTGCCTAATCGCTTATTGATACATCATAATAAATTGAAAGAGTTCAAAAATAAGAATAATAATAATTCAAATATGTGGATTACTCTAAAGATGAAAGTGTTTAAAAAACTATTAAAAATAAAAGGACTTCCAGTTAAATTGTTGTGAAAGTCTAGTCTCCCTAATGCAAAGAGATATTTTCAAGAGATTGTCTATAAGAGGTATTCATTATTGTTAATTAGTTAATATTACCATACCTGAACTTAAAAGATCTAATATCTTTCAGAGGTGTGAACTCAGTAATCTAAGAATCAATAAAGCAATATGTCAAATAATATTTAGTAAAAGAGGAAAAGTCATTGGCCCATCATCTCTTCTCTTCTTATTACCTCGCATCGTTAAAGGATTATTTATATTCATTCCTGCCCAGAGCTAAATGGTTCGAGTTTGATCATATTTAAGCAAAGAAGAATATCTCAAAGTATTATAGAGATTTTGAAGTCTTAAGGAAGGTTCGCTCAATACCCCAATAATACGAATATATATTTGATGTGCTATTGCTTATCTTCTAAGGATAAAGAAAAGTTAATATTTCAAGTTTTGAGCAGTTTAAAAAATTAAATCTCAAATAAGGTTTAAAATATGAGAACATCATTCAAAATGTTGATTAGTTTAGTCGAATCGATGAAAAAATAGCAAAGAAATTCTCAACTGAATTACATAACACAATACTTCTATGTTAATCATTAATCTCATTATATTACTTAGAAAATATCTTTACCATTGGAAGCGCTGCTTAAAGTGAACAACATTAGTTTAATTAGATTTCATATTATTACAAATATCATTCAGATTTAATTAACTTTTGGAAAAGAGTAATTCATTAAGACTAAAAATTTCAACTATTCCTTAATTTTTCTACAAACAAAGTAAATTTAGAATCATAAAGTTTATCAGATAGTAAATGTTATATGGATAGAATAAATATTTTGATACTTTGTTTGAGTTATTGTGATGATTATGCATTATTACAATTTCGATTAATCAATAAATAGTTTAAGGCGGAATGCGAACTTTAATTAGAGGATAGGCTAGTTTTCAGCATTTAAGCTTTTGAATTTGCCAAACTTTATTAGAATAGATAATTTTAGAGAGAAAAATATCTTTAAAATGAATTGGGATTCTTTAATCCTTTATTTGATATGGCCTATACATTTTTAATTGATAAACATTAAGAACTAGTTCAATTTAACAATTTTGAATATATAAAGTAATGTGATGATGAATTCACCTTCTATATCAATACTGCCTACACATAATTACATAATTTAAATACTCTTAGGAGCGTTTTAGCATAAAAACAATTAATAAGAATCACGAAAGCCCATCTAAATCCTTTTAGTAAAAAAAAATAATAAATTTAATTGGCAGCTCATGCATTATAAAACCTAAGCACACTTGTGCAAAATAATCCAAAAATTTCTTATAATTTCCAAATCCTTTATCCTCTCTACTTGTACTTGAAACTATTTATTATCATTTAACATACAATATTACCAACTTAATTTGATTCTAATGAAACAGTTGTGTATTTATACAATGAGTGTATTAAATACTTAAATATTCTTTTTAAATTGGGTAAGCTATCAACATTAAATATGAGAAACATAATAAACCAATCTTTAGAGTATTTTGATTAAAATTAAAAATCAGAAATAGCTTAAAGGTTGAATTAATAATTTTTTGAAGTTTACTCAAATTTTAAGGGTAGTCTTGATTCAAGAGAAAAGACTCTAGAAATATTAACTGAAATAACAGCCATTTTTGAGAGTATGAACATATATTAAATTGAGAAAATACCAGAATACGACTTCTTATAATTTGATACCATCTTTACTACAAAAATTTTAAATTACTTAACTTATTCTGATTTAATCAACTTTGCTTGCACCTCTTCACAATCGAAGAAACTCTATATTACTCATCTATAATTAAGAATAGAAAATGAAGCAAATATCATAAGAGCTTTTGAAAAATAAAATAAACCAACCCTTTAAAGTATATAAAAATTGAGACCAAAACTTGGGTTACAAAAGGATAAAGCTGTCTAATTAGTTCAATAATTTACAATTAGTGACTTTAGTGAATTGAAAGCATTTAATCATCCAACATAAGCCTTTGAAATTTTTTGTAAGCCTTTTTTAATGTTATTTGACATTCCTTAAAAAAGCAATGCAAATTACTGGGCAACACTAAAATCTTTTCTACTTTAGTAAAATTCATGGTCACAAATTTCAGAATTTCCCCCTGAAACGTTATCAAGACAAAAAGTGAATTAAATTAAATAAATTCTAAAAAGCCCAAAGTTTGATTTAGTAGTTTTAGCAAAGCTTAGTTCACCTTTATTAAAATTTGTCAATTGGCTTTAAGGTAAACGAATTGTAATAATTAGGCATTTTAATATTACATAGTTATTTGAGATAATATTGTTTGGGAGAGAAAGAAGAAAATCTTTCAGAAGAATAATAATCACTATTTACAGTCTTAGATATTAAATAATGCATTTTATATAAAGCAATAAGATATATCAACTAAAATAAATGATTAAATAATTTTATGTTATTATCATATATTTAAACTAACAAATATTGTTTACTAAATCTTGACATATAATCAATATTTAGTGGTAATTTTCTGGGTCTTTAATCAAAATTATAATCGAAATAGAATATATATTTTAGTTTAATACATATTTATGGAGTTAGAGTATAATCTTAATTTTTTAAGTTTATTCTTGCCTTAAAGATAAATTAGAGATAATTAATAATGCATAATTAACGAATAAAATTTATGAATTGCTGCATATTTTTAGATCTATTTTTTTATTAACCTGTATTATTCTAAAATTTAAAGAAAAACATTTTTAAAATTCTATATTTTAAAAATAAATTCTTGAAATGCCTGTCTCAGCTATAATAATTTTAAAGATCTTAAATTATTAATAAAAGTATTATATTCAATTGCATAATTATTTCATATAGTTTTCCCACTCTGTATTTGGCACTCCCTTTTTTATTATGTCATCATACAATGAGCTTATCATCATTGAATGTAATTTATTGTTTTCAGGCACTTAGCTTTTAATTTTGATTACTAAATCATAGAATTCTCTTTTCGAAGTATTATTCTAAGATTATTCTTAGACTAGAGATTTTAGATAACAAGCTTTTACTAATTTCTTAACTTCTGGATCTTCAAATTATTTGGAAATTTATCTTAGTAATTTAAATGTTTCCATATTTTCAGAACTATTCAATATTTCTTAAGCATAATGAGTTATTCTCTAATACTGGTCATTTTANAGCTTTTGAAAAATAAAATAAACCAACCCTTTAAAGTATATAAAAATTGAGACCAAAACTTGGGTTACAAAAGGATAAAGCTGTCTAATTAGTTCAATAATTTACAATTAGTGACTTTAGTGAATTGAAAGCATTTAATCATCCAACATAAGCCTTTGAAATTTTTTGTAAGCCTTTTTTAATGTTATTTGACATTCCTTAAAAAAGCAATGCAAATTACTGGGCAACACTAAAATCTTTTCTACTTTAGTAAAATTCATGGTCACAAATTTCAGAATTTCCCCCTGAAACGTTATCAAGACAAAAAGTGAATTAAATTAAATAAATTCTAAAAAGCCCAAAGTTTGATTTAGTAGTTTTAGCAAAGCTTAGTTCACCTTTATTAAAATTTGTCAATTGGCTTTAAGGTAAACGAATTGTAATAATTAGGCATTTTAATATTACATAGTTATTTGAGATAATATTGTTTGGGAGAGAAAGAAGAAAATCTTTCAGAAGAATAATAATCACTATTTACAGTCTTAGATATTAAATAATGCATTTTATATAAAGCAATAAGATATATCAACTAAAATAAATGATTAAATAATTTTATGTTATTATCATATATTTAAACTAACAAATATTGTTTACTAAATCTTGACATATAATCAATATTTAGTGGTAATTTTCTGGGTCTTTAATCAAAATTATAATCGAAATAGAATATATATTTTAGTTTAATACATATTTATGGAGTTAGAGTATAATCTTAATTTTTTAAGTTTATTCTTGCCTTAAAGATAAATTAGAGATAATTAATAATGCATAATTAACGAATAAAATTTATGAATTGCTGCATATTTTTAGATCTATTTTTTTATTAACCTGTATTATTCTAAAATTTAAAGAAAAACATTTTTAAAATTCTATATTTTAAAAATAAATTCTTGAAATGCCTGTCTCAGCTATAATAATTTTAAAGATCTTAAATTATTAATAAAAGTATTATATTCAATTGCATAATTATTTCATATAGTTTTCCCACTCTGTATTTGGCACTCCCTTTTTTATTATGTCATCATACAATGAGCTTATCATCATTGAATGTAATTTATTGTTTTCAGGCACTTAGCTTTTAATTTTGATTACTAAATCATAGAATTCTCTTTTCGAAGTATTATTCTAAGATTATTCTTAGACTAGAGATTTTAGATAACAAGCTTTTACTAATTTCTTAACTTCTGGATCTTCAAATTATTTGGAAATTTATCTTAGTAATTTAAATGTTTCCATATTTTCAGAACTATTCAATATTTCTTAAGCATAATGAGTTATTCTCTAATACTGGTCATTTTAAGATAATTGTTAAATCAAATTGGAGATCTTATTGTTTAAAGCACTTAATGTTTTATTATTAGCTATAGTGCTTTCATCTGATTCGCAAGAGTTATTGCTTAGTTGTTATTATTGTTATAATTATTATGATGGAAATAATCGTTATTTTTGATAGCAATCATAAGAATGACCTTAGAAAGTATTCGCTCTTATGGGACCCCTTTATAATTTTTCTGACATTGTTTTTGAATATTATATGTCTCTCTTTTCATTCGATTTAAAACTCATTTTCTCCAAAAATTCTCCTACCAATTTAATTATCATCTGAACTTCATTTGATATAGATTCAACTTCATCAACAATTTATAATAATTCTTAATATTCTTCATTGATTATTTGTAAATCATTTTTAATGACTTTCTTTATGGAATTATCTTTGCTAGTTAGCATTTTAGAATAATTTTCTAATGAGTTGATCACTTTTTTTTTCAGTTATCTGGCATGTTTTACAACATCCTCATCATTGTCTTTTTCTCTGATCGCTTCTTATGATTACAAAATCATTAACTATTAATGAATAAGTTCATCATCGAGATGATCCTCCTTTAAAGGTATTGCTGAAATATCAAGTAACATAGTCTTTTCATTAGACTGAATTCCTGAGATGTCCAAAAACCCTTACATATGTAAAATATCGATGAGATTAAAAAGAATAATTTATTATATTATTTTATTGTAATAAAACGGAATATTGATTCCCAAATAAACTTGTAAAGACTTAGTTAATCTTATGATTTCAATAACCTTAATTAATTTAAAAATGAAAGGCAACCATTTAAACAATATTTCTCTTGAAGATCATATTTTCCTTAAATTTCATGAAATTCTCATGGAGGAGGAAATCAATTGAATTCAAACAAATCTTGATCATTTGCCATTTAAAATGATAGCACTGATATTTAATTATTTTGTCTGACTATTTATAATATTTGCTTGATTTTATATTATAGTTAATTATAATATAAATAATGACTGAAGAATTAAAGACTCTCTATCCAACTTTGGAATCTAATTGTGAAGATTTGGTTTTGAGCTCAAAAAAGTTATTTTAGGCCTAATAAGGTAAAGGTGTACCAGAATTTTATGAAACATTGAAACTCAAAATAAACACAAAAGTAAATTATGAATATTCAAATGTTACTAAAAGTAATGAGTTGGCTGATTCTTTGCATTAGGAATTTGAGAATATACAAACTGAAATAAAAGACTAGAAAAAACCTGAGAATAAAAGATAAATTGACAAAATCATAGAAGATTATTAAAAAGACAAGTAGAAGGAAACTAAATTATCTAAATTACCGCAATAATTTTTAAAATTTGATGAAAAAACCTCAGCAACTCAAACCAATAACACTTATATTTAGAATGATAAATAATAAGCTTAAAATAAATCATTAGTTGCTGTAAATCCAAATGAGCATCAATTATCTGTAATTGAACCAGCCAGATTGGGAACAGTGATGGTTTAAAAAATAAAGAAAATAATAAAACCAGAATGGCATGCTCCTTGGAAATTAATGAGAGTTATAAGTGGACATCATGGATGGGTAAGATGCATAGCTGTGGATCCTGGAAATTAGTTTTTTGTTACAGGTTCAAGTGATCGAACCATTAAGTTTTGGGATTTGGCAACAGGCAATTTAAAATTAACGTTCACAGGTCATATCTCAACAATAAGATCTGTGATAGTAAGTGCTAGACATCCTTATTTGTTTAGTTGTGCAGAAGATAAAACTGTGAAATGTTGGGATCTGGAATAAAATAAGATGATCAGAGATTATCATGGACATCTCTCAGGAGTTTACAGCTTGGCCTTACATCCAACTTTAGATGTATTAGTAAGTGGTGGAAGGGATTCTGTTTGTAGAGTATGGGATATTAGAGCCAGATAACAAATACATGTATTAGAAGGACACACAAACACTATAGATTCCATAATATGTTAAGAATTTGAACCTTAGATTGTAAGTGGATCCTAAGATTCTATGATCAAATTATGGGATATGACTTCTGGAAAATGCATATCCACTTTAACTAATCATAAGAAATCAGTAAGAGCCATGGCTTTCCATCCATTAGAATATACATTTTGTTCAGCGGCATCTGACAATCTGAAAGTTTGGAAATGTCCTGAAGGTACATTCTTGAGGAACATATCTGGTCATAATGCCATGATCAATTCGGTAGCTATTAATAGAAATAATGTGTTGGCAAGTGCTGCTGACAATGGATCATTGTATTTTTGGGATTGGAAATCAGGATACAACTTCTAATAGATTAATACTATCGCTTAACCTGGTTCTATTGCAGCTGAAAATGGTATATTTTGTTGTACATTCGATCAGAGTTAAATGAGGTAATATCAGAATATATTTTAGATTGTTGACTGGTGAATGCGACAAATCTATTAAGATGTACAAGGAAGATGAAACAGCCACTCCTGAAACCCACCCAATTGATGATATAAGAATTGAATATGCAAATCAAAATTATTGATAATTGTTTATATTGCAATTAATAAATGTATCATTTAGGAAGAATTTAGTTTACTTTCGGTGCTCTAAAAGTTTTACCTCTGAATTTATTTCTTCTGCTCATAGTCATAATTTAAGATTTATTATTATCATCCTTACATCGTCTTTATGTAATCAAATTCACTAACTGCAACTTTACATATTTATATTTTTCTAAATATATCTAAGGGAACATTAAATATTTAGCTAATTTATTCCTGAGCTCCACTAAATTAGGTTAGATTTTTCCTTGTTGATAATAAAATTCCTCCTTTTCAAGAACCTCAGAGAAGTTATTTTACGGCCTGTAATATTAAAACTCCTTACAAGTATCCATCTATTAAAATAAAGATTTATTAATAAAATATTCTTCTTGCATAGATATTAGCATCTGTATTTTAATTGATAACAATTATGCATTCTAAGCATCAATATCCTTCAAAATCTCCTTTTTTCCTTATTCAATTTAATTGATCCTAATGATTACTTTTTCTAACATTAATCTTAAGTATTATGTTTATTATTGAATATTTAAGAATTTATTAGCCAAAGATTTCTTACTCGATTTCTTTTTCTTCATAATATTAAGCTTAATGACCATTTATACTATTTTTCTAAATTTTTACAATACTTGCATCTGTCTAAATCGGTTAAACTCTATTGTGCAAGATGGTCTTAAGCGTCTTGAATTAGTGTTTTAAGTGCATGATTTAGCTTCAGGTTGTTTAATCTGTAGAAGATTTGATTTTCTTCTTTTCATTCCTCTTGCTATAGGCATCATCTTTTGTCCATTGTCTTCAGTTTCTATTTCATCAATTTTGCTTGTTCTGATATCTGAAATATTACATCTTGCTGTTGGTTTATGAAAATAAATTGGTGATTAGGTTAAATCTGAAGATGTACGTATAACTGCAATTTTCTTAATTTAAGTACTTTTAGGTTCTTCCTCTTCTTCAGGAGGTTCATCGTAAAATTCAGTCCATTTAGAATTACAACTACTATAAGATTAAGCAATATCAGAAATCTCTTCCTGGTCAATTAATGCATGAAATTGATTAATGAACCTTTTCACATTTCTTTGAAAGTGTTCTCTTTTTTGATCTTTAGTGAATAAATGTTTTTTAATTATGAATTCTCTATCACTCACGTAATGCAGAAGAGGGCAATTCATGACTCTGTGGGTTGAAGATTAACATGAAAAGCATTTCATATGTTAGATGTAATCTTAATTAAATAGAAGTCCATCGTGAATATTTCTGAATCTTTCATAGTCTTCTGGATAGTCAGGTAATATTTTTAAAAAATCATCTCGAGATAATAAAAGCGATTTTGTAAAACCTAAGCTCCTGAATTTCTCTGTAGATTTCTATCCACTAATAAAACTATAAACCCCCAAACTATTACCCTTACCTACCTTACTAATAACTGACACTTGTTAATGCGAATAACTGGAATCCTTTTAATCATTTTGTATTAAGATCTACATTTCTCCATGTTCTATAAAGCACATAAAGATTTAACCATTTGGAAGAGTTGGGAATATTTGATCAAATTCCACTATGTTTTCAGGTTAAATGACTGTTTATTTGATTTGTCTGACTAATTTATTCTTTAATTAATCACTAAAATGATTTTTAAATAAAGGACATTAATTTAAAATTATAGAATTTGCTTATAGCATCAGTTATTCTCTAAGATTTTAAGACAATTAATTAATGATGTTTTACTCATCCTATGATTCTACTAAACTTTCTGATTACCAATAATAATTCAAATATTCTCTCACCTAATATTATAGTTCATATCCAATCTTTTTACTTTGCATATAAGTATTTATTGTATGAACCTTTTTCATTTTCTCCTGCTCATACGCCGATATCTTATCTAAGATCGTTCCTACTGTGCTTACACTATAACTCAGTTAAATGCTACAAAACATCATATAAAATATAGATATAATTCTCTCAATGTAACTTACTGGCGTGATATCTCCATATCCAACTGTGAACATTGTCACTGTAGAATAGTAAAATGAAAACAAATATTACACAGCAAAGGTTTCATGTTGGATGTGGTATAGTTCTAACCAACTTCCTTAAACTGAATGGTTGTGACTATATTCTCCGACCTAAATTATATATAGTTATCCTTATTACTTACAAAAAACCACAAGCAAGAGTAACAATGCAGAACGAAAAACAATACTAATATCAATTTTAGTAACTCTAGCATAGATGAAACAGGTTTAGATAAGTTCATTACTTCCTCTATTTGTGCAATTAATTTAGGTATATTTCTGCTTTACACATAAAATAGAGCTATAAGAACATCTTCCCAATTTTCTTATACGTTTATTGTATTAGAATCTGTGTTAAATAAGTAGATAATTAAGATAAGAAGTGAAATTGATTCAAACCATAACTTTTTGTTATTACATGTTTAGCTATAATAGCTCTTTAATTAGCTATTTAACCAAATTAATAAAATGAATTGTTAAAGCTTATTAGATAATCTAGTAATAAAATTATGAGTGCTAAAACTGAAACTGGATACAACTAACCATAAATTACTGGAATTTGTGTCCATCCCAAATCTATTGGAATTAGATACATAAAATATAATCTTGAAATTGAAACAAAGCAATCCCTAATCAATTTCCATCGTGATTCAGGGGTTATTAGAGGAATCTTTTGAAGCTTGTGTTCAATCCTCTTAAAAATATCCTTAATGTTTTATTTCTAACGGATTAAGTAAATTTTCAGTTATTATGCTATTGAGGATTCTTAGAGCTATTCAGACTAATTGGATCTTCTCAAACCTCTATGAATCGGTTTAAAATGTAAACTGCTTTCTTTAAATAACTTTAAATCAAATGAGGATCCTTTATCATTCAACAAATCGTATTAATATTGACTGAATTTCGTGTTTATTCGTTTTCGCTAACTAATTCTTCTTATAAACTTTACTGCATTCCAAGATTAAAATAGAGTCAATTAATGCTACGACTCATCTTTTTATTGTCTAGAGGATGTTTATTAAATTAATCGAGCATTAGGACTGTCAATACTTATTCTTTAACTTCTCATTTCCTCATTCGACAAAGGAATAGGCCCTAATTATTTTTAACCTTTCTATTATGAAATTGGATAATAAGCATCAGATAGAGAATTATTGACAAAATCATGAATTTCGCCTATCTGCTCATCAGTAATCATAAATTCCAATACTTTGTGTGATTATTATGTATCCATTTGAGTTTGTAATTGCATATAATTTATATAATATTTGTCAAATTATCCATTACTAAAATTAAAATTATTTTCAAAAAGGGCCATTCAATTAAATAATTATTAGTCAATCAGAAGTATTTAACTTTAATTAATCTCATAATTATCATTTATTCCTTCAAGTGTTATAATTAGATGTAATAAAACTCAAAAAATAATTAATTAATTTATCATTTATTAAATCTTAATTATCAATAATAAATTATTAAGTTATATTAATTTAATTAATAAATTATTAATAATTCATAAGTGTTTTTGAAAGTGAAATCATAATTAATATTATCTCCTGAATCAATGTAGATTATATAAGTTAGAATAAATATATGAAAGGAGAATATAAAAATATAGTTATCAATGTTTAATTGATCTTGATCCATCAGTTCTTTATCCATTTTCTAATTAGTATCTTTTCTCTTCTTTTCTTCCTCCATTATCTATTGTTTCAACTACTTCTGTGGTTCCGTCTGCCTTTGTTGTTGTCTTTCTTGTAACAGTGACTTTACGACCATTTCTAAGTCATTAAATATTAATTCATACTGAATTGTTGTTGAAGTAGAGATTGAAGTTGATCCTCCTAATCCACCTCCGAAGTTTGAAGATGAAAACGATGAAAATGAACCTCCTCCCATGCCCATAAAGTCATCATCACCAAAACCTCCAAATCCACCAAAACCAAATGGGTTTCTTTGAGAATTGTTGCTGTTCTTTTTGTTGCCTTTTCTTCCAAAGAAAAATCCAAAATCATCATCATCCATTCCAAAGTTTTAAAAGAAACTCTCAAATTACTTGAAGGGGTCGAATCCATCTCCAAAACCACCAAATCCATGAAATCCTTTAAATGAACCGGCACCGCCACCATTTTTTAAACTAAAAATATAAAATTATATTATCATACCCGTCGTGACCATAGCTATCATAAATAGCTCGTTTATCTTTATCTGATAATACAGAGTAGGCTTCCCCAATTTTCTTAAACTTCTCTTAGGCCTCTTCTTTATTATTAGGGTTTTTATCCTAAAATTATGATTAAAAAAACATACTGGATGCCACTTGATGGCTAGTTTTCTATAAGCCTTTTTAATTTCTTCATCAGAAGCTGTTTTGCCTACTCCTAAAATCTCATAATAGTCTTGTTCTTTAGTTGACATGCTGATATTTTTATAGATTATTATATTTATTTAGACCCAGAGAGGAAGTTAAAAATTTAAGGAAAATTCTAGAATTTTATTTAAATATATTAATTATTTATCTTAAATTCTGATATGTTCTATACTCATTATAAGTAGTCCTCACTCTAATTCAACATCATTATTGATTCAGAACATAAAAATATCAATAGATAAATTAATTAACTTCTTAATTGCTTTTATCTTTCAGTAAGGTAATCAGAAAGCCTATGTACAAGATAAAATCTAAATCTTAAGGTCTCTCTTATTAGATATAAGGTTGAACATCATAATAGTGTCGAAAGCAATAAATATGAAATGAGTTTATAAAATTATTATTTAATATAAATATTTATGTTGACTAAATTGCTTTAGAAATCAAGATAAGCACGATTTTGTGGTAATGAAAAGAGATGAATATTTAGTTTATATTAAGAATTCTGTAAACTATCATGTTGCAAATTCTTAGGATCCAAATAGCAAATTTGCCACTCCTTAATTCAATTCAAGCATTCTTGATTTTGATAAAGATTAGGAGAATAATGTTTAGATGCACTACTATCAAGGTATGTTAGTAGTGTGAGATTGTTTAGGAAAGTTCATGCCAGATGAATTGGATTGGACAGATGTTTGGGAAACAGCATATCAAAATTTTACACAACCAGAATACCTCTATCATTTTTGGTTTTGCGGTGTCCTTTATTGTTTCGAGCCTGAATGGACCATCAATTATCCATATGAAAAAGGCCCTCTGTCTCCATTGTTTAGAGGAGAACATGCATTAAGAAGATATCCAACTGGTGAGGAGAGGTATTTACAGAAATCTGAAATCTTAGATGCATAGCATGCAAATTATGCTAAAGTGCTTGTCCAGCTAGAGCCATTACTATAGAAACAGAACCAAGGCCTGATAATTCAAGGTATTTTCATTTACGAATTTAATAGACGAACAGTGAGATATGACATTGATATGACTAAGTGCATTTACTGTGGATTTTGCCAAGAGGCATGTCCTGTTGATGCAATTGTGGAAGTAATAAATAACAATTATATTCAAGGGTCCAAATTATGAATATACAACCTATCAACATGAAGATTTATTCTATGACAAATTTAAACTTTTAGAGAATGGTGACAAATGGGAACCTTAAATTGCAAGAAACATTGAATATTTAATTACAAGAAAATATTGATTAAATAAAAGTGAATATTTGCAAATCAAAAGATATATAAATATATAACAAAATCAATTTTGAAGTTTAATATCTTATTATAAAAAGCTTAAAATATAAGCATTTTCGAGTAATCTTTCTAAAGGAACTAGAGTTAGCAGTTATTTGCTTTTTTAATAATGCGATCGAATATTTCTCATTGAGATAACCATTGTTATCATTGAAATCGTCATCAATAAAGCCGAAAACACTACCAAAATAATGTCTATTGTTGTATTGTCTTCTACTGATTTCTTTATTTGGTTAGTCAAGGTTGAAACAATAACAAAAAATCCCATTGAATCGTATAGTCTTTCGATTTAAGATGTAACCGAATAATAATTAGACTGAAGATATTCCAAAGTTGCATTGTTTTCTAAATCCTACAAAAATCTGAGTTATTGATCACATAAGTCTGCAAAGATTACACTCAACCCTCCCTGCAAAATGGGATAACTCATACATTAGTCATACGAAAATAATTCATCATATTACTCTAAACTTGTTCTAATGTAATTAAATTGAAAACTTACAATGAATCATTGAAAATATTACAAGCTGATTTTGTCACTATGTTGTAAATGGTCTCATCCTCTTGATACAATGACAATTTCTTTCTTAAATCATTGAGTTAACTAACAGTTTAATTTTAAATTCTTAGGGTGTCACTAGTGATTTATGTTTAAATGAAAACAGAGGATTAGGCAAATGCCAAAGTGATCTCATAACAGGCTTATTAAAACAATATCTTATCATTAAATTAGACTAGAATTTTATCAATAGTTGCTTGATGCATTAAATTGCTACCAATAAAATAAATGGAACACACAATCATCATTATCAAAACAAATAAGAAAAAGATTATTTGTGTTGAATCATTTCCTATAATATTTAAACATTTTACGTACTTTTTTAAATTATACTTTTTCCTACTTTTTGGTATTTATCCAAAATTGAATTACTTGATTATCTGTGAAAAGCTTATGCCATGACCATTTCGAATTTCTCTTCATTAGTATCTTCCTTTTTGAATTTTGCTGTGTTCATAAGTGAATATAATGAAGAAAACGTTAAATATTGTTCTTAGATTACATCTGTAGTGAATGTACAAAACAATTTGAATACTTTTTATTTCATTTGTATAAGTTTAATGCACTTGTAGGCATACCAACAGATAAATAACACTAGACCTATTTCTTCAGCTATAACTCTAAAAATAATATTCATAAATATTATAAATTATTTACATATATTAGATGTCTATAATATTTCTAGTTGTATCTGCAGCATATAAGATGTTTATCACACTCTCAAAGTATATGGTATTATTCAAAAAAGTGTTGTCATTAAATAATTAATTATTTTTCTGATTTATCATTTATTAAATAATATAAATTGATTGTTGTTGCAATGAATTATCTTGATTTGTTTCTATTTCTGGTATATTCTTCAATACATCATCTATATTTTTAATTTCATTCTAATAAAAATCTAAACTAATCTATTGCAAATCAGAAAATGGGAATAATAAACTATATTTCAAATAGAAGTAAGAAATCACAAATTCATTATAGAAATATGATAATTAATATGGCAAATTCTAACTGGATTGATTTTATTAAATCTTCTAATAATTTGATTAAAAAAGTAAGCAATTTATGATGTATGATCCAATTATCAATAAATAAAATAGCAGTAGAACAAGTGCTTGTTTTTTGTTAATTGCAGGAGTATCATTTAAGCAATCTCTCATTTGCCTTTTGATTTATGATTGATTGTTTTATGAAGATCTACTTCCGATTGAGTTATTATTTTAATTGTCCACTTTATTAATTTGATTCTTCTTCTTATCATCCATCTTGATTGAAGGTTATTCTTCTTACGGTGGTTTCTCTTAGAGACTTTCAATTTCATCTTAAGCATATTAAATCAGTTGTATTTATTAATGATGAGTTGTATTAGTGATGTTAACAGTAGCCAATTAATTTTTGACTTCATCCATCATTCTTTCTTCCTCTTACAACAAATTGTGATCTAAATCGCAATCTATGATCCAAGGCGAATTCAATAAACTTGTCTGTTCCCTAAAACTTGTTGAGTTTTGAAACTATTAAGTATTAAATTATTTAGATGTTCTCACCCTTAACTATATTATTTATTTACTTGATAGCCTTTAATTTGCCAACAATCTATAATCTTACAATTCCAATATCACTAATCTAAATAATCAAATAGTACTGATACCTCAAATTTATGGTAACCAAACTTATGAGATGTAATTAAACAAGAAAAATAACGTTTTCATTAGGTTGACTTTCAAAATTCTTATAAATTTACTTCTAAAAATATAATTTGGATAAACTTTTTGATAATTATGATTACGACATGCTTTTGTTTTAATTAATTAATGGAATGATGAATTCGCATTCAAACTTTCTATCTAATTTATCGAAATTTTAATCATAAATCTCCTCCCAAATTTTAGCTAATTGAGGCACAAAAAATAAGCAATCCAATCCTCTTATTTATGATATTTAGATGCCTAAATGCTTTTAGAACATTTCTTCGAAAATATTTTAAGTAATTTCTTCAATTTGTCCTTTCTCATTTAAAATCATATATCCAAATGTCAGATTCACAGGTGTAATAAGAGCAGTAGCACCAAACTCAGTGGGACTTGTTTCAATTCTCAATCTTGTATTAATAGGAACCAAAAATTAGCCTTTGTTCTTACCCAATATCACTCTAACCTCAGATCGTACCACTATGATTCTTCCTCTCTCTACAAAATTATCTAAATACATATCATGGTCATCAGCAATTATTTAAGGCATGAATCTATGTATATTCTAATCTTTGATCTCTTCATCCTTAAAACCAATTGCCTACTAAAACGATCTTGTGTATCTTAGTACATTTCCTCTAGGCTGCAGTAAAGTGATCTAAATCACACAACTACCAGGATCAAATATTGTTTTTTCAATTGATTACATAAATAATGTCACCAATTTTCCTTCCAAACGATATAACTTTGGTCTGCTCTTGTTGTATTAAATATATTTAGAAAATAGATTATAGATTGTGTCGCACTCATTTGAGAGCGGGTTTATAGTAAATGCCTACTGTAATTGGGTCTCAACAGCTTTAATATTCCTCAAAATCTCAAATCCAATAGTTACCAATTAATCAATATCAATAACAGATGTTAAGATCAACGCATACCATTCCTAAGATTGATAATAAATTCTATTACTTTAAATTATTTCGCAATTAAGCATATATTTTATTTGATTATAGATACTGATTCTTCATATTGATACACTCGTTTAAATATATACTTTTGATTTTTGAGATCATTCTTTTTAACTAATTGATCGAATTCTTCCAAAGCATCGTATTTCAATTTATAGATGATTGCCTATTCCTTAATTGTCATTCCCTTTATAAGAAAGATCAATTACTTATGTTTGCATTGACAGTCGAATCACTTCATAAATTGCTTAAGTCGGCAGTTTCTTAACTTGAACTAAAAAGTAAATGTAAATCAATGCTAAATATGTATTTGAAGTTTCTAGAATCTCATCTTCTAAGGTTTATGATATCAATTCCTTAGCAAATATCTTCATCTAACTGATTGAATCAAATTAAAAGTTTTCCTTTTCTGAAAATTCTTCACAGAAACACCGAAATTTCATTTTAATCTATTTTTATAATTTTCTTTCTCTATTCTAGGAACAATATCTCAAGTGATTTGTAGTAAATGAGTACATGAACAAGGATTCCATTGGATCCAATGATCTTTACTCCTTCTTTAGTTTTATTTATTTTTTAAACAAGTGATATATAAATCTAATTTATTTTTCCAATGAATTTCCTATGGATTTTAGTTATGAGATCTTTTATCTTTCCGTTAGAATTTTGAGAATATAAGCAGTGAAGGGATAAAAAAACATTAGAAATCCTAAAACATTTAGACTTTCAAATACATGACTAAGTTGAACCACCAAAAGAGTTATCTAGTATATAAACAAGTAGCTTGATATATGAAATTGCAATCTTGAAATTTGGACTTCTACATAAATTAGCTGATTATAACTCATTAGAATGCTCATAAACAAATATAGGAAGTAAAAGACTTAAACAATTATAGAGTTTATTTTCAATCCTGTTAAGATGACTATAGTTGTTTGGAACGCAAATACTAAATGCACCTTTTACTAATTAAATCTCCCTAAGAAATCTTGCTTTTTCATTTTAAATTCGAAACAATGCATATCAATAAACAAGCTAAAAACAAATTGAAGTGCTATTGAAAATCCACTAATACTAGCACCAAATAGCAAGAACTAGTTAGGTGAATCTAATATAAATATTTAATACTTGACATTTGATAATAATTGAGAATGTGTAAATGGGAGTACAATAACGGAATTCTGATTAGCATATGATAAATTTGCATGTAAACAGAGATGAATTCTTTGATTAAAATATTTTACTCTATTTATTTCTATCTATTCTAATTAAATTTAGTCAAATAATACAATTTCGAGAGTCATCTCAATTATTTATCCATTTTCATTTGTTCTAACCGAAGTATTTAAGATTAGAATCACTAAAAAGACAACGGTTAAAAACGTCAGTGCGAATCCAATTAACATGTATAAAATGTGCATCTCGATATAATCTCCAAATATGCTATAAAATCTAAGGATATTAAAAATTACAACCGAAATATATTTAAAATCTAATGGATGAAGTCTAAATACTCGGCATTTTTAATGATAGTTATTGATTGAGTAATTAAAGATAACAATTAGATGTTTTCGATAATCAGAAACATAATTGATAGTTCAAGTGACTTCCTCCATATTCCTTTTATTGTGAGAAATTGTTGAATGTAAAAGTCTTTTACTTGAAATAAAAAATTTCTCATTATGCCCGATAATTGCAGGATAATTTAAAATAATAAAATGATTAATTAATATTTTGTATTCTTTACTTAAGGAACTCAGAGATTTAATAAGGATTTCTTATTCAACTTATTTATTTTTATGTTAAACATTTATCATATTACATTACAACTATTTATAATACACTAATTTAATATTAATTCATTATTGATATGGTTATAATATATTCACATTTATATTACTGATATTCATATTTTATTTAATCATTTTAATTAATTTAAATTAATTCATAAATTGAAACTATATAGTAGCTGATTATTGAGATGGCTCAAACGTAAATTATTGTATAAATTTAATTGACAAATTAATAGTGCGATTTGAAAAACACTAATTAATTAATAATTAAACTATACAATTTAGTAGAAATAATATAATCAAAATATGAGTCATATGACATATTATAAAATTACCATTAAAATACCTACAATGATGACACTGCTATAATAATTGCAATGTAGAAGGATCCTTTGTTAGAGAAAAAAGAAGCCTTAGATGCATTAAACAACGCGAAATTTGGATGGTTCCATATCAAAGCATGCTTGGTCTCAGGAATAGGATTTTTCACAGATGCTTATGACTTATTCATAATCCAATTAGCTGTAATAATGATAGGAATGGTTTATTATCATGATGAAGTAAGGGATGGAGATACAATAATAAAAAAGGCTGATAAATTGTATCCTGTATCTGAAACATTATTAAAACAATCTGCTTTGATTGGAACTTTGATTGGATAGTTATTATTTGGATACTTGGCAGACTTGTTAGGAAGGAAGAAGATGTATGGAACTGAATTGCTAATCATAGTGTTCACAACGATCACTTCTGCATTTGCATCAAACACAGCTTCACCTAATGGATTGACAGTAGTAGGGATGCTTATCATTTGGAGATTCTTTTTAGGTATAGGAATTGGAGGAGATTACCCTTTGTCTGCAATTATAACATCTGAGTTTGCAAATACTAAAAATAGAGGAGCTATGATAGCAGCCGTATTTGCAATGTAAGGGTTCGGAATTTTGACAGGGAGCATAGTTTCCTTAATAGTTCTGTTCTCATTTAACAATTAGTTGAATAATGGGGATCCATTGAATTATCTTTAGGTGGATCATATTTGGAGAATAATAGTAGCTTTTGGGGCTGTGCCAGGCTTAGTGGCTATATATTTTCGAATGACTATTCCTGAGACACCAAGGTTCACAATGGACATTAAAGGGGATGTTGAAAAAGGAGCAAGAAATATTTAATAGGTTTTATAGAAAGATGATACCGTGTATGCTGATTCAAGTTAAGAAGAAAGGACATCAAAAGAGTAGAAGCCATCATTTAGAGAATTAAAATAGTATTTATCTAAGTGGAGAAATGGCAAAGTGCTATTGGGTACTGCTATGGCTTGGTTTGCATTGGATGTTGGATTTTATGGAATCAATCTAAATTAATCAACAATTTTAAAATAAATAGGATTTGGAGGAGGATCCAATCTTAGTTAATATGAGATTTTGAAATAGGCAATATATGGGAATCTGATTACTTCAGCCTTAGGGACTGTTCCTGGATATTGGTTGACAGTACTTTTTGTTGATAAATGGGGAAGAAAGAAGATATAGATTATGGGATTTGTGGCATTGACAATTTTATTTTTTGTAATGGGTTTGTGTAAGGATATACTGGGACAATTTTTATTTATTACACTTTATACTTTAGCCAATCTTTTTAACAATTTTGGTCCAAATGCTACTACTTTTATTATACCTGGAGAAGTGTTTCCTACGAGATACCGTTCTACTTGTCATGGGATATCTGCTGCTGCTGGCAAATTAGGAGCAATAATCTCTTAAGTTTGGTTTTTGGGATTAGGAGCTGACAATTTCAGAGCAATTATGCTTACATTTGCAATCTTCATGATGATTGGATTAGCATTTACATTTCTTATACCAGAAACAAAAGGAAGGAGTTTGGAAGAAATTAGTTAAGAACATGAAAAAAGTAATTAAGTTATACCTCATTGATTTATTGAGGAATTATCAATTAATATTAATCAATTTATATAATTGAAAATGTAAAAATCAACTATCTCTAATCATTTCCAATCCATATCACCTCCTTTTCTTCTATCTAAGCGTTTGAAATCAGAAGGACCAGATTTTTTAACCTAGTTAGATTAGAATGCTTAACGATCCATCTTAAAAAGGATGTAACGAAGTGAATTACAAATGACAGAGCCGGATTAAAAACCTACCTTAAGTAATTTCTGAATGTATGTTACAAGAATAAAAGCAGAACATTAAAGTACGTCCCAAAGTTATTCGAACCAAGTAGCCATCTCTTCCTTATCTTAAATTAGATGAAAAGCAGTACTATGATAAATGGTATGTCCCTTATGACTAGAGATATATTCAAAAAGTTACTATGACTTAAGAATCTTATTCAGGTAAGCTAAATCTCTTACTTAGATCCATTGCACTTCTATAAAAACATGCATATTGGAAATGCTTAATATGACCCATTTGAAATTAAATTACCATAAGAGATTTAAAGAAGTATTGAATATAAACACAGATCAGAAATCTTAAGGGATCTGTTAAGAGGTTAGAAAATGATTATTGAATTCAAGAAGTAATTAGTACATAATGTTAAGAACTTTGGAGCAAAATTAATAACGTATTCCATAATTCTTAAAGAAGATCTTAGAAGATAAAAAATAGCAATAATCTAAAAAATGATGATAATATAATTGATCAAATTCCATATATATCTCTACACTACATGCTAATCAGTCTTCTCAAAGTTAATTTTCCTTTCGATTGGAAAATTTATGTTTTTAAAAACATTCCATTACTTTTTCATTCGAATTAACACATAACATTAAACATTTCGAATTAATTATGATTTTATCAAATTAATTCTTAATTCTGTAAGCATAACAAACATACTATCATCTAATAGCAAAATGCCATTATGATTAAGGTAGATATTTTTTATGGTTATTTTAGATTATATTCTATAACCGCTGAATCTATGTTAATTGTCTAATTTTTGTAAATTATCAATATTTCTGAGTGATCAACAAATGTAAATTCAAATTATTTTAAATTTGATTATTCATGAATCTACTTGTTTTTATAATAGCTCAATTAACTTTTCTTAGAGATAATAATAAATTAGAATTTAAAATCAACCTATTATTTCACAATAATGAAATTACCAAGTCAATTCCTTTACTCTTTACTTTTAAAATTTCCTTAAATCCTTCTAATTACACAGCATAAGAATAAGCATTCCTTCTTCATGTTTACTTTTGAAATAAATTTCCTTCAAAATCATTCAAAGACTCAAATTAAAATCAAAAGAATTGCTTTCATAAAGTTAAACAAGAAAGGATAAAGAATTCTTTCTGAAGAAAATAATTTAATACCCCCAGTTAAATCTCAAGAAAATCATTATTTTTTTAAATGAGCTTGTCTTTCTCTGTCATTCAATCTAGTGCCAAGAAATAGCGTCTCCAATATGTTTCAGCCATTTCTCCTTTTAGATATTCTTTCAATTCTTAGCAACCATAAATTTAGGCTGAATATGATTATATTTAGGGAATTGGAGAATACTATTTCCATTTGGAAGGTATAATAATGGATGTATATGGTTTTCAGAATATGAGTGGTTCTTTTGGTGGTTCATCACCCCCCATTTTGTTAATATATATAACATAGTATGGCTCCTGTTTTTGGATTGCTTTTATTGACAACCAATTTAAAGTGGAGATTTGATTTGCTTAGCGCAATAGAAATTATAAATAATTAAACATTCATTAATAAGTAATCTGATTAAGTTCATTCACTACTTTATCTGCAGTCCATCTCCTTTCAGCATTCTTGTCGAGACAGGACAAAAGAATTCTTTACAATGGTCCACAAATGGAATTTGATATTTTGTGATTCTTTGGGAATTCTCCAACTAATAATTAATGCAATACAACTCCACATGCCCAGATATCTGCTGCAAATGGATTGTATGGTTATTTGATTAGCAACTCAGGAGCCATATAATTTGGAGTTCCACATTAAACTGAACATAACTTATCAGTTTGAATGGCAAATCCAAAGTCAATCAAAACTATTTGTTAACTATATAGAATATTTTCCAATTTAATATCCCTATGTGATATACTCTTTGAATGCAGATATTGTACAGCCAGCATTAACTACTTGAATATAATTTTAATTTGTTATTCTGATAACTACCTGTCTTTGGTAAATTCCGCTAGTGATACAGATGAAGCAAAATTAAGCATGAGGTAAATCTAAATATAATAATTTAGTACACATTTGTCATCTTCTAAAGAATTATGTATTTTAACGATATTCTGATGTTCCAACTATTTAAGAATCGCAATCTCTCTATGAATTCCATTCAAGGTTTTCTGATCTAACTTACACTTCTAATATATTTTCATGGCAAAACGCTGTCCATTGTCTTTTGATCGACAAATTCGAACTTAAGCAAATTACCCTTGTCCAATCTGAGCTTCTAATTTATAATCATTAAGCAAAGATGGTTATGGATTTTGGTTATTGGGCTGAGCCTTGTTTTTTAGCAGTCTCGTTATATTAGAGAGTGTTTTCGTAGGAACAGAATCGTTTTCTTTAGCAGATTTTAAAATCATTAATATTAACAGTAAATGGAGACCAATGAACAATCTTCGATCTTTAGATATATTTTGATCATAGTATCATTTTCCATTGCACTTGTGATTTACTTGAAACGGAAATCTTAACCAACTGGTGAATCAATCTAAGTATGGTTATGATTCGGCTACTTAAAGGAAACAATATGGAGAAAAATCGTGTTTGCTTATTAGGATATGTTACACACTTTTGATTATGCTGAGAAAGAACTACTTAAGCACACATACCACAACACAATCTTTAATAGTAAGGGAATTAATGTCTCAAATGGTAAACGCAAAGACAACAAGAAGAAAAGCTCCGGTGTACAATTCAATTTGAACAAAAACGAAACTCTATATTATTGATAAAAAATAATATAATAAGTAACGAAAAGATGATGCTCCCATTTCTTACAATGAACCTTAATAGGCCGTTTGAATTCAACATGAATTCTTTGCCGTATTTCCATCATTTAAGAAAAGTACATCTTAGATAATCAATTCTCTATTCTTCCAATGAAGCACTAATCCCAACTATTAGTCCTTCCTGAGAGTGACATCACTAAATCAAACCTAAATTCAGAAGTTCAATACAAATGCAGAGGAGTTACAAAAACACTAAAAGAATATCAAATTTCAAAGCAGCTTAAAGTGGATATATTCCTTTGGGAGAATTTTCCACCTTGAAAAAACAATATGCATTAATAATGATATATAATATATAATAACAATTATGCGAAAAAATATAAGATTATCAACAGATTTGGATAGAAAAAGGATTGCCTCAAATATCTCAATAAAATCAATAAATTCTACTACTATTAACACAATTAACACGACGACTGATGGTGCTCTTCCTCGTTTAGAATCAAATTACTTCATAAAAAGTAGAGTTAAAAGAAGTCCGCATCAAATTCGATTCAAACGATCGCCTATGAAAATGTCATAACCAAATAATATGCTTGAAAGTCAATCCATTAAGTAATCTTCTAAAATCTTACTCAACTCAGTTGTCTTTGAACTAGATAAATTGGCCATTGCAGCTAAACATAACTCAATCAAAAGTCAAGATATCCTAAATCTTTCAATAGATTTGATGAATATGTTAGGATCTGATTATGATCGACTTGAAATATATCTTATAGTTCTCTAGAATAAATGTAAATCGCAGTGTGTTTCTTTAGGATTACTGTTTACTTTTCTCATAGCAATAATTCAAGAAACCTATGGACACAACAGAGGATCTTTGCAACAATATAAATATATGAATGATATGGCAAATAAACATTAGCTATTTTAATGTAAAATGATGGTGTATTATAGAATTGGATTGCTCTTAAACAGATTGAGATAATTCGAAAAGTTATTAGTGATTGGTAAGAAATTGTTAAAACTAAGTTGGTATTATTCGGAACAAGAATATGAATTGAAAGCTTATTATTTGATTTCAAAGGGATACAATGGAATCTAAGATATGGAAATGTCTGTGATATTTATGAACAGATACCTTGATGGAATCCTATAGTAGAATGATCATATCAAAAATATAGGGGTACAATAAATTACGTTGTATCACCGAAGAACTTAGGAATCGAGACACAAAAGTCCTTCATCGGATGATTTCAATTTGGAGATGTTCAGATAAAAGATTGAAAGGAATTACATCAAGATGAAAATGATTGGGGGCAAGTTAGCATTTAAGTTGTAATCATCAGAATGCGATATCTGCGCTTAATATGGCAAGAATTGTGAAAGAATCTAAACTGAAGATGAACACCCATACAAAAAGAATATGATTTTGCATACTGATAGTAGGAATAGAGATTTGATTGGGTATTTCGATTCAGAATAAATCTAGTAGATGTACATTCCAGCGAAAACACTGCCCATTCTAAAATAATTAATATTAAAATTCATTTCATATATATGAAACAATCAAATTAATTAAATGATAGTATGTATTAAGCTTACTTTCTTGGACACATGAATGCATTAAAGGCGATTAAGGGTAGGAAGAATCAAAAAATGCAAGAATCCAAGGTTTTAGTTAAATTATGTAATTTAGTTCATCATCTAATTGTAGCACAATCCGTGAAACTGTACAAACAAAGGGTAAATCACTTTGAACAATTGCAATATAAATAGCAACTGGCGATTTCGAATCATAAGATATAATAAACCATTGAGAAAATTCATTAGAGTCCCTCCATTGACAAGACGAATGTCTCTTTGCCCAGATTGAAGAAGAGAAATCAAGAGGGGGATGATATCAAAAAAGAGAATGCGAGACTCAAATTAAAACTTGAGAATCTGAAGGGAAGCATCAGTAATAGACAGTTGAAATATGAGAAACCAAAACGATATGAAGATGTATTATAAGAATATTTTAAATAAAAATTATAACAATAATGAATATCGTATCTGAGGAAGACTCTTTTGTCACACAACACTATGAAGAAATCTATAGGTAAATAAGAGACATGAAATTATGTGAAAGACTCTGCAGGTATTACTCTTTAAAAATCAGGTCTTAAACCAATTGAGGAGAAACAAATGGACTTGTTGCAATTTTTAAATCTCTATAAATAGTTGAAAATGTCATTATAAATTCATTTGCTGGTTATTCATAATCCCAAAGAGTTGATTGTAATTTATTCTTGTAGAAATATAGAATATAAGTAAATTGCACAAAGAAGTATTTGGAGACACATAGTTGCAACATCTTAATATAGTACTAAAGTCTTTGAATCTTTGTCCAGTGGTGTTTGACATTAATATAAATGAATTAATAAGTCACGCCAAAGTCCAATCAAGAATAAGTAGAGTTTGCCAATATATTAAAAATATCATTTGTTGTAAACCTTGAATATATTAATATTATTTAAATTTTAAATTTGGTGCCATTTGATGAGTATTGATCTCTCGTTTAAGAACCTTGAAATGCTAGATTAGTCCTTGAATCTAAATAATTACGTAATCACATAATCCAATTCTAATTAGACAATAATAAATTTGCAGGGTAACAATTTCAAGGGTGAATAAACCTACATTCAATAGCTCAAAGTGTAACATCTAAACTTATCATTCAATAATATCGAATAGATGTGGTTATTGCCATCTTCCCTTATAACATTGGAAATCAATAATAATTTGCTTCAAAATTTATCAAGTATTGAAGAAACCTTAATATATTTAGATATCTCTCATCTCAAAAATCTGAAACAGATTGATTTATCCAACAATTTATTGTAAAGTGTCCATTGGTTTAGTAATCTGACCCAATTAACTCATTTATTTCTGAAAAATAACAAAGTAAGAAAGTAAAGATATCCTAGATTAAAACAATTGAATAACTTAAGAACTTACCTTAATTGGTAGAAGTCGATTTAGAATGTAATGAGTTAAAAAATGTGGCTGAAGTGCATTATCTAGAAGCATAAACTAAAATTAATATTATTAATTTGTTTGGAAATCCTGTGTTTGAAGGATTACAATTAAAAATATTAAATGTAGTTGAGAGTACATATCATTACTATAATTAGAAAATTGTCATTGCAGATCAGAACAAACATACAGTCAATCAGAAATATGCAAAAAGAGAAATCAATAAATCGATGATATTGATTTGTTTGATGAAAAGGCAAGCGAAAAGTAATCTGATCTTCAACCTTAAACAATGACTCAAAAAAAATACACAAAATCTCTATCTCCACTGAATAAGCAATTGCCATAATTCTATGATCCTAAGTCTAGCAAATATGTCACTTTTCATGATGTATTAAGGTAAAAGCAACGCAATAATACTAACGCAAATTATGATGTCAAATAATAAAATGTTACAACTACAAATACTAATACGACCATTAATAACAGATAAACTATGGACTAATTGAAATAATAAAATGAAAACTTAAAGAAAGATTACATGAAATTAAAATAAAAGTTTGAATAATCATAAAAATAGAATTTGAGCTTTTTCTAAGAAATTGAGAGTTACAAAGAATAATTGAATGGCCTATTATTATAATTCAATATTCCAATTTAAGAAGAGGAAGCATCAGTCAGATCTTTGTTGGACTAGTTGGAATTAGGATTGATGACTTTCATTAAGGATATGAGAAAATAAAATGTAGAATAAATCAATAGTATGATGACAAGGATGGGAAATAAGGTCAAAGTGATGAGTAGTTAAATTGAAATTACTACTTTAAAAAAATGCTGTGAATACACAGAAAAAATAAAAAATATCGAATTAGCCTTGTCTAAACTTGCCGATGTAGTTGTTGAATAGTAATATATTTTTATTTATTATTTTAGAAAACAATAAATAATAAAACTTTAGAGGCAGAGGGTTCATTCACCATTACAGAGGTAATGTTTGACTACAAGAGTTCATGGGAAGAATCCTAGTGAACTTGATTAGATGAAATTGAAAACTTTATTCTTTAAATCTCCGAATGTTCAATAACTAGACAAACCTCTCAAAACTCAAGGGTCTTAAAGTACCAGTTTGTCACAATAGGTGTTAGAAACTTAATAGAAACCAAAGATTTATAAGAAATGACATTTTCAATAGTGTATATTTATCATTGTATTGGATTCATGCCTGAAATGAAGCTTCCGTAACTAACTCTTGATTCCTTTTTCGTATAGATTGAAATCAGAGATTCTATTTCTTAGTTTGTAATTTGTATATTGTAGGATTCAAATACTTCTCTAAACTCGTCTATTGTTATTGTTCCTACTTTCAATTTGTCAAAAAACAAGAAGGCCAATTCTAGACTGAATTCAGAATTTTCTGCTAATCTCTCTTTAACTAATTATATTTTTTCCTCTGTTAACAGTATTTATGCAATCAATTCTTTAAACTTAGCCATTGTTTTGACACTAATCTTGGTTACAATTCTGACAAGAGGATCGTTACTACACGAAATAACATTAACGAATTCTTAATATGTAAGAAATGAATTATCCTCTGAAAACCTCTAAAACAACAAATTTATTTATGATTTCTTAACTTTTATCCCTAATGACATACACCCTAGTTCAAAATCTAGTCTCGTTATCTTTCTCAAATTAAAAGTATCAAAGAATGCATAAAATTGATTCAAATCAAAATCATCATTTTGTTCTAATTGTATTTTTCTCTCTTCCAATTGTTTGTTCAAATACATCATTTCATACAAGGCATTCACTAGCTTTGCTTCTTAATTTTATTTCAAAACAATTACTTTGCTGTTATTTTATTACATAATTATTTATTCATAATTATTGTTTTAAATAATAAATAACCCCAATGGCAATTATCATACTCTATCTTACGTATTCACATCTTTACATAAACATCTTCTACTTAGACTTTCCAATAAGAAACCAATAATTTAGAGTAATAGTTTCAATTCTAAAAGAGTTCTCAAAACCCTCTTACAGTTGTTTGTTTCTTATTGATCTATTTATTCTTGTCTATGGTTACTTGTGCTTAGAAATAATTTTTAGTTGTGATTTTGTGAGTCGAAGTTATTAAATTTAAGAAACTGTGATTATATCGTTAATTATTTTAAAATTATGTCACTCAACGATTGGAAAAGTGAAAAAGCCATGCTTGAATAAAGGAATCAGTTTCTATACATGCAGATCCAAGAAATCAAAGAAAGAGAAGAACATTAGAAGAAGTTTAATGATACGATAATGCAAGCATGGAGTTAAGGGGAGGGAAGAACCAATGTAATTAGATTAAATTAATTATATTTTAGTGTAAAGTATACAAAGAAATCTAAAGCACTTTGGAAGAGTATTCAAGAGAACTCATTGAAGCTAAGAAGAAGAGTTCTATTGCAATGATGAAATTGGAAAATGAAAATACCGAACTAAAATATTAAATCCAATAGTTAGAATCCATTTATCAATAAAAACATCAATTGCATTAAGTCAAGGTGATGGAATTGAGAAAAAGGATAGAATGCTAAACCAATAAGGAAAATGTTGCGGATAATTAATTTGGCTGTATTGTAAGTGTGAAAAGCAGGACTTGCAGTCAGAATACTAGCAGAGAAATCAACAAATAAAGATCCAAAACTTAGAACAAACCGGAATTGTTGAATTGTAGAAATTCCAATGTAATGGAAATTAATACTGATTTCTTGAAAGATTATAGTATGCAAATAGAGAGTGTTTCACCACAAGAAAGGCAAAATTTAGCCATTTAATTGAAATAATTAACCAAAGAATTAAAAACTACGAAAGTAAAAAAAATATCTATATATATCTAGAATGAAATCGAAAATACCAATTTATAAACAGCAAATGAATTGAAAACCGAAATCAAATCCATGCTGAACAAATTGTTAAAAGCTAAAGGAAAGATGACTGAGAGTATTGTAGGAAGTGGAAAGGAATCGGTGCTTGTTTTGAGGGGGAGCCAATACAAACCTACATTAGCAGATTTTGCAAAATAATTAAATGCTGTTAGATCTATTGAAACCTTTAATATTTTGAATCCAGGAAAAGCCATAAACAATTACTGATTAGTTAATTATATATATATATAAAAACACCAAAAAAATGTGAAAAAAATAGATATCATCTGTATCATTATTTTTAACGCTTAAAAGATAGTTTAGTGACTTACTTAAATTAATTGGTGAATTCTTGATAATTCACTTTGGGGCACTATTACTGGTTTGAGTTTCTTGTCCTTAAATAATTAATGGGATAAGAACCTTTTAGTTCATCACACTTGAAAATTAAAAATGCTAAACCAACGCTTAACGTCCCTAAATTCTGGCATATCTTAATTCGCAGATCTATAATCTATAATTGGGAACTCTACCTTCTCGCTGTTGAAATGAGGCCATCCATTATCATGAAAATCTTTGTAAAATTAAATTATGTAAAAAGGATGCACAAAGTTTATAAATGCATAACCCATGTTGCACTTATTCTATGTGGATACTAATCTTATTAAATACCTTAAAGTCTATTGGAAGATATAAAAAGTCATAATAATTCCTGTGACTATGATCAATTAAATCTTAAAGCATTTGCACTGTATATTTATTAGGAATATTTTTTATCATTATTGTGGTTCTTTCGTCCGTTTAATTCATTACTTTGTCAAGTCTCACAACAAAATAATGGGATTCTTCTTCTGATATGGTTTTCCTCTTCCTTCTTTCAGTTTCAGAACCACTTGTTAACAATGATTGACAAGAGGATCCCATTTGCAAACAAGGCTCATTTGAAATTTCTGTTGATAGATTTGAACCCACTTTTTAGTCAAACGATTTATTCTTGAAAACCTCAGAAATCTGCTCCATCATTTAGTCCGATGACAAATTATCTTCTTTTGCATACAATATTACTTTGGGTTCTATTGATATTTCATGTTTAATGACATTACCTGTAAACATTTATATGGCCCTGTCTATTTTATCACTGTAAGATTTGCTCTCTTAACTTTGTTTACTTTCATTAGATTAGTTCATCGTCGCCTTGTCAATGTCATCAAATAATTCCTGAGAACTGTGATCTTTTTATTTTGTCAAGATTTCGTTCAAATCTCGATGATTTCGAATACATTTCAGAATCTGTTCCTAATTTAAACGAGACTGCTTGTCCATTTATTATAATAATTTTTATTTTCTTCTTTTGCTTTTTCTCAACTTATGGATTTCATGCACTTTCAAACTTTTTATCGACAGACAATAAATGAATAACAAATTAGCAAACATAATTCAATAATCATCAAAGACACATCGGAGTTTTAAAAATACTTCATCTGATTGACGGACTTAACCACAATGAAGCCTATTGCAAAAAGGGGTAACAAGCAATACTACTCCTCTTAGATTCAATTTATGAAGCCAATCCAAGAATCCTTAATATATTTTTATTAAATTTATAGTTCAATTTAGAAAGCAAATCAGCTTAAAGAAAAGATATAGTTTTTCGCTTACAACGCACATCTTTCATTAAAATATAACCTTCCACACGTGAACTAAAGGGTATACTAATAATTTCTAAATAATTATTTGATAAAATATTATAGCGTAAATTGGATAATAAAATGTTTCAACTGAATTCTTATATCATCTCAAATTTAGAACTCGAAAATTAATCTTCTTTAAGGAATTTAATTGAAAAAATTAATGCTAAGAGAAATTATAAGCAAGATATAAATAATAATCTAAATTATTTGATATTTTCAAACTATTTAATACTAAAAAAACTTCTCGTAAAATAATATATAAAAATAGGGAAATAAGTACTTTGTATATTATGAGAGAGCAGATCATGGGATGAAAGATAAGAAATTCAGCATGATAAATTTGAAATTTTCGAAATCCTTTTAAGTGAGAGGGAAATTAATATAGTTGATAAAGTTTAGTCTTCGAATTTTAAGATGTTTAATTTACAAATTAAATATTTCAAGAAATAAAGTTAATAAAATCTTAATAATTAGATTTTGAGTTTTTTGTTTTGATATTTTGATTAAAGAATGTTTTTATTATTAATATTAAAAATTAACCGACATGAGTGGATACAAACAGTATGATGATGTTGAACCCTATAGACAACGAATTCGAGATCTTGAGGCTCAATTATAGAGAATGGATGTTAGATTTAGTAATGTTCTTACTCACTCTGGGAAGGCAGACACATAATTTAATAACGACTTACATGTAGAATTAGAGAAAATGACTAAATAAATGATATAAAAGAGAAGTGAGGCTGAATTGTGGAAGTAGAAATATGAACAATAGCTATCATCGAGTATGTAGATGAGGAACAATTATGAGTTGGAATTATAACAATTATCAAAGGAGGTTCAAAGATTGCTGGATAAGATAGATCAATTTGAATATGAGAAAAGATTGAATGATAAGTAATTAGTTAGAGAAACATTGCAAGACAAGGATTTAGAGATTGAGGATTTATTGAGTAAATTACAGAGAATGAGATTAGAACATGAGAATGAATCACAAAGACTTCTGAGTGAGAATGATAATTTGAGACACAAGATAAATCAAATCGAATTGGATAGATAAAAGTATCTTATTATTATATTAAATAGAGAGTTGGAACAGATGAGATTTAAAATAGAGACATTCCATTCTTAAAATTTGGATAATCTTAGAAAAACTCATTCGAGTTAGATTTCAGTTGTTGAATCAGAGATTGATAAATTGAGAGGACTATTGGAAATTAAAAATAATGAAATTGAAACATTGCTTCAATAAAATATGAAATTGAAAGCTTCTTATGAAAATTAGATCAATGAATTGAATGCTTAATTTGATGGTTAGAAATCTAAGTATTAGAAATAGGAGATCATCCATAGGGATTAACTAAATTAATTATAGTAGTAGTTGTTGGATGAATAAAAGTTTAGTTTGCAATCTCTAAGCAAGAATTATGAATAAAGTATATTTTCTTTGGAAAAGGAAATTGTAACTTATCAAAAGAAAAATGAAAATTTATCAAAGGAAATCCAAGACTTAATTATTGAAAAGACTTAATTAAGAGATAATTATGAGAGACAATTCGATTTATTAAAAAAGGATAATGAAATTTTGAAATAGAGATTGGCGTAACTTGAATAAATAAAGCAAAAGGATTTGTAATAGGTGGAATCTGAATTGTTTAAAACAAAATAATCGTAATTAGAAATTGAAAATGTATATAAACAATAAGTGGTTAAGTTAGAAAATGAATTATAACTCTAAGCAGAGAAAGAGGTAGTAAAGAATAAAGAAGTGGAGACTCAGATTTAATAGTTCATTTTGATAAAATAAGCTTTGGAGGAAGATCTGTAACATTTGAGATAATAAAACTAAACTTTAAATGAGCAAATAAAGGAATTAGAAAAGATAGCTTCATTTGAGTAGGAAGAATGGAAAGTCAAATGGCAATAAAATGAACTTATTTTCAAAGATAAGATAAGAAATCTTGAGAATAAAGTTGATATTTTGCATTAAGAGTTGAGAAAACAAAAAGAATTAGCTGATTCTTAGATAAGATAGATTCCAGAAAGAGAGTTCAAAGCTTTAATCGACGAGATTGAACAACTAAAGACTAGATTGGTTTTGCAAGAAAGGGATAAGTTAAAAGAACGCGAAGACTTGAGAGCAAAGCTTGAATAATCGCATCATTATCAAATAGAAAATTTGAAAGCAGCATTTAACACTTAGATCAGAATTCTTGAATAGGAAAATAGGGATTCCATAAATATAATCACATAAAAGGAGAATACAATTTAAGAACTATTGCACAAATATTAGAACTTAGAAACTGCATACAGTGGATAAACTATTGGACCTTAAGAATAGGCTTCCAAAAATATATATTAAGCATATATTCGTTCATCAAATAGACAGTCATCATTACGTAAATAATAATGAGTTATACTATCTTATAAAAATTACATAAATAATTATTATTGTTGTTCAAAATGTAAAAAAATCAATTTTCAAGTGTGTTTTGGAGGAAGGTGAGGGAGGATATGAGAATGGAAATACTCTTAGAGAAGAAGCCATTGAAACAATTTAAATTGTATGAGTTGACCGAAGACGAAATGAATATCAATTTAGATTAAGTTACACAATGGTATTAATAGGTGAAAATGTAGGTCTCCAGATAATGAGAAGATTTATAAAAACATATCTGAGAATGGATTTGCTGATTTTATTTGCAATAAAGAATATATGATTGAAACTTACACAAATATAGTATTTGATTCTGAAGATATAGCATAAATGGATAATCAATTGTTACAATTCAAAAATTTGCTATTATTAAGATTAAATCATAACAAAATTGAAGTTGTTCAACATCTTCCTTAATAACTAGTAGAACTACATCTCTTTAATAATCCAATTACAACTTTGAATTTATTGAAACATAATTTATAATATCTGGGTTTAGGATATTGTTTGTTGAATGATGATGCAATCCAAACTATTCCTAAGTTCTTACCTTAATTGATAGGTTTGGATCTGGCTCACAATTAGTTGTGTGATTTAGAATATTCAGTAGAGGCTTGCAAAAAGATATCTAATTTAAAAATGCTTTCCCTTTATGGAAATCCATTAGTATTGATGCCTCAATACTTTATTTACATTGTTGACAACCTTTTGAATTTGAGAAGTTTTGATGAATAGAGTTTTTTGGAAATCAAAAATAGATTGGAATAAGCAGAGAAAGAAAAATAGGCTAAAAAATAAGAAGCCTTGCGGAAATAGTAAGAAGAGTTTGAACAATAGTAAAAGTTATTGGCTGATAAAAATAAAAAAGGAGGAAAACCAGGAAAGTAACCAGATCCAGTTGTAGTTCAATAACCTTAAGTTATAATTCCTATTGAGGAACCTAAAGTCAATTTGAACGAATTAAGATAATTCAAAATTACATTAAAAATATAAACTTTGGAAAATCTGGAAGGAATTTTATTGGATAAATACACTTATCCTTTAATGGAACAAAATAGTAAATTATTTTAAAGTAAGTATGCTATTACAGCAAATTTATTTGGAATTGAATTAAAAACAAAAGAAGTTTTATATGAGACAGCAACAATTGAAAATGAATTAGGAAGAATTGATTTTGAATTTTCTTTTGAATAACTTTATAATCCTGAAGTTGATATACGAGATGCAGTTGAACAAGGGTTTTTAGTTTCTGTTTCAGTTGAGGAACCAAAGATGTTTATTGTAACGATTCATATTCTACCTAATTTAGGCTGATGACGGGGAAAAAAAGCCAGTCTTAGGCTAAGATGAATTGCCTGAACAAACTGTAAGGGTTTTGGGAGTTTGTAAAATTACATGTGATTGGTTGAGAGGTTACAATAAGTAATTTAATAAAAAATACCGATTATTTAAAGAGGAAACTAAAAACTCAGCTGAGCATTGGTTTCCAATGGAAAATGAATAGGAGTTAGTTTAAGCTAAGATGGAAATGATTCAAAAAGAAAAAGATGCAGAGTTGGAAGAGAAAAAAGCCTAGTAAGCTTTGATTGAATAAAAAAAGGAGTAGAGTAAAGGGAAAGGAAAGGATGTTAAAAAAAAGGATGATAAAAAAAACGTTAAGAAAGGAAAAGATGAACCTGTTCAAAAAGTGGTAGGGTAATTAGATTGGGAAGTGGATACCAGACAATATATATATGTAAATGAAAAGAAGGTGCATAGAGCAACTGACATGTTATTAGCAATTGCTTTGGATCTAGGATATTGATTTTCTTTGTCTTACATACAATTTCACAGCCTAATTAAATTTTAAATTTAACAATAAAAATAAGATGTATTAAATTCTAAAACAAATTTTTTACAAAAAGATAAGTTAACGAAAATTGCATTGTCATTCCATGCTTCCCTTTCTTGTTTAGGCTGTATTCTTGAATAGAGGAATAACAATTTTAGGGCCTTCATGGAATTTTAAGCATGTGGCTGTTTCTTTCATTTTTTCTTAGTAAATTTTCTCAGCTAAGTATCTAATAATATTGTTTATTTTAGGATGTATACATATGCAAACAACAATTTCTAGGTTGTGATTTCTTTGTCTTTTATTTGTATTATTCAATCAAATTCAAATACACTTATTTCTAAGCATTTCGAAGTATTTGCTATTTCAATTTGAGATCCCTTGAATATTAAATTAAGATTTACCTGAGAATTAAATGGACATTGGAGATATAAGGTTCTACTTGTGAATTTTCTAAATTTTTCGTTTGATGTCTCATAGGTTTAACTAATCTCTCTGCCTAATTTTTATTGTAAGAGATGATTTCTGAAACATTTTGATCTGGATTTTCTGGCATACGAAAGATGACTTGATTTGCTTCTATATAAAATTATAGAAATATTTATACTTCTTCGCGCTTTTGCTTATTTAAGAAATCTGGCAGTTCTACCTTCTTTTGATTTTGTAGCACAATCTAAATTTGTATTCAATATCATTACATTCATTTATATCTTACACTAAATGGTAAAATGTGGTAACAAACTCTTAATATTCTGAATCGCTTTCTTAAGAACTCATATATATTAATTTAATTAAATATAGTTCATAAATATGAATATCATTTACCAATCTTTTTTTTAAACATTTAATAATAATATCCTTTTTAAAATGCTTAGTTTTAACTCTATTACTCACCATCAAGCACTGAAAATTTAAATTATCTTCTTCAAATTTTTAGAACTGACACTGGATATGCTACAATTAACAAGTGAGTTAAGTGTCTACATTAATTTGGTAGAACACGTATTGTAATTTTCTTCTCCATAAGAAAACTATTCATTTTAAATGATAAATTAATTTATTTAATGGAATTAGAAAAAACATTGCACCGAGTTTAAGAAAGAATTTTGACTCATTAATAAGCACCTAAAGTGACTAACATTTGCAGTAAGATCTTGTTGTGCATAGTGTCAATAAATTTACTTATAATTTGGGGATTGAGTAATAGAACTATTAATTAAATCTAATTTGATCCAGATGCTAAAGATAATATCTATCATTTTTCAATTACAGACGAGGATAATACAATATTAATGATGAAGTATTCAAGCATTTAAGAACTATTGCACTTAAAAACAGAATAGCTTCAAGCACACAATTTCACAATAATTAACATTTCTATAGATTATGACAACTACTTCGATAGTAGTCTCTAAAAGTTACTTTCTTTTACTACAAACTTAGAAACCTTATTCTTACATGATGTTGCCTACTCAGTCTTTTCAGATATTTATGTGATAAATAATGCGACAAATCAAACATTCTTTTGGAAGGAAAGGGAAGCCCCTCAAAATTACTTAGCGAAATCTATAAAGCATTTTTGGAAGTTTACAATTATTACATTGGGAGTGTTCATTTCTTCAGCAATTTCGTCCCTCTACATTAAAATTACAATTATTTGTGCTCCAGTCATCATAATCATTATGCGTATCAATTATTTTCTATATTCTATTTAGTTGAAGTATCCTATCTCATAGGAAATAGACAAATATTCCCAATCTTTTTGGCCCGGGCATTCCCTTGGATTGGATTATATTTAAATATTCTAGATAGAACATAAAAATCAAAGAAATAACTCATCATTGCTTTTGCTTTTATGCTGTTTCTAACTTATTTCATCTACTTGTCCTCAGTGATAATAGGAAGTTACTTACTATTCAAAAACCAGGTTCCATTCGGTTTGGAAGACAACTTTTTTGGGTAACCTTTTATTTACAATCTAAAGGTTAGTTACAGTGAATGAGTTTGCCTCATTATTGTTCTTGAGAACGAGATCTTCTATCTACTTTGTACCCAAATTCATCATTATATTTTATTACTTATTCCTTTGGTATGTTAGATCAACAAGTAAAAATTAATTAAGTAACATAAGGTTATGGTTTTTACTCACTTGCCATGTAGACCTTATCATATGCATGTTTGGGAACATTTTGTCTATTCATTTCCCTTTATGAAATTCCAAGTTTGGGATGGAATCCCCTTTCATTTTACACACCAACTATTGATAGACCACGATGTTACTATTTGCCAGTATTTTCAATGAGTTGGGTCAATGATTTACCGTAGTTATGGTCAATGTTTTACCCTCTGCATGGAAGAAGGTAATAAAGGATATCATATTTAGATATTTTCAAATTGAAAATTTAGCCTTAGTAGATAGAAACTTCCCACTTCTTAACAATCTCTTAGATATTGAAATGTAAGAATAATAATGATTTATATAATATTCAATTGTAGACTACTTGTTTTTTCACATCCAAGAATTCTACGCTCATTGGGAGTGAAAACACTGCCTGTCTTTATTACTTGTATCGTTCATAATTCTTCTCAAACTCTTTTGAAGTGTCTTTGATTTCCTGAAGCAAATGAACCACCTCCTGAATCTACTAACAATGATTTGCTATCGATATATCTCTTTAATCTATCTATTCTATTATCAAGGTGCCATTCTATTTATTTTCTTAGCAATATTTCTTTATTTTATCGAATGTCAGTTGTTTTAAAGGCTTGATACCTCCTAAAGATAAAGATATATGTGGTGATAGAATTTCTGAAAAGATTGATTGCAGACTGCATTCTACAATAGCAAAAGCAATCTCACTTTCCTTATACGTAAATATCGTAAAACCCTACAGAGATTTTAAAAAGTATTCTTCTATTTTCTTCTCGTATCTAATGTATAGAGACTATTCTAAAAGATCCTTTATTTGATAAATAAAGATTGCAGATTGAATTATGGGATAAATTGGTTTTACATCAATATCATAGCCCAAAGCTTGAACTATCAAAATTTCATATTTAGCATAAAATTCATCTCCATAATGATGAAAACGTTCATGTTTTGGTTTCCTTTTGAGTTATTGTGCTTGAATTGCAATTGATTGTTATGAAAGCTAAAATGTATTATTATTATATTACTCCATTCAACTTCATTCCTAAATAACTACAACATAATAGCATTTAATGCATTCCAGATTATTCAAATATGGTTTTTATCATATAATATCGCTTAAACAGTACGGCAGCATAAGAAATCAGAGTCAACTACGAGTTTTTTTCATTTTTGAATAAAGTTGCTAGCAAACTGCAACAATAATGATTTATGATATTCATTTCTTCATTTTAAGTGTAGCCATCAGGTAATTGCTATTGACGATAATGAACAAAATCAGCTATTTGGCTTTTTGTAAATCTCCACATTTTAATTGTAAACTATATAATTATTTCTAAAAAAATCTATTTTATTGTATAAAAATTTCTTTATTGAATACATCTTTTAGAATGTTCATTGCTGATGTTTTAAAACAATCATTTTGTCTCAATAATTATAATAAAAAGAGGATAATAAATCTTTATATTGGTTATATATTTAAGCAAATTTTAAGTGTATATTTAAATAAAAGACGAGGTATAAAAGAGAAAACACATAGTAAATATCGTTGTCGGCCATACTAAGCCTAAAGCACCGGATCCCATTCGAACTCCGAAGTTAAGCGGCTTAAGGCGAGGTTAGTACTAAGGTGGGGGACCGCTTGGGAAGTCCTCGTGTTGACAACCCTTTTTTTTTNATTGAAATGTAAGAATAATAATGATTTATATAATATTCAATTGTAGACTACTTGTTTTTTCACATCCAAGAATTCTACGCTCATTGGGAGTGAAAACACTGCCTGTCTTTATTACTTGTATCGTTCATAATTCTTCTCAAACTCTTTTGAAGTGTCTTTGATTTCCTGAAGCAAATGAACCACCTCCTGAATCTACTAACAATGATTTGCTATCGATATATCTCTTTAATCTATCTATTCTATTATCAAGGTGCCATTCTATTTATTTTCTTAGCAATATTTCTTTATTTTATCGAATGTCAGTTGTTTTAAAGGCTTGATACCTCCTAAAGATAAAGATATATGTGGTGATAGAATTTCTGAAAAGATTGATTGCAGACTGCATTCTACAATAGCAAAAGCAATCTCACTTTCCTTATACGTAAATATCGTAAAACCCTACAGAGATTTTAAAAAGTATTCTTCTATTTTCTTCTCGTATCTAATGTATAGAGACTATTCTAAAAGATCCTTTATTTGATAAATAAAGATTGCAGATTGAATTATGGGATAAATTGGTTTTACATCAATATCATAGCCCAAAGCTTGAACTATCAAAATTTCATATTTAGCATAAAATTCATCTCCATAATGATGAAAACGTTCATGTTTTGGTTTCCTTTTGAGTTATTGTGCTTGAATTGCAATTGATTGTTATGAAAGCTAAAATGTATTATTATTATATTACTCCATTCAACTTCATTCCTAAATAACTACAACATAATAGCATTTAATGCATTCCAGATTATTCAAATATGGTTTTTATCATATAATATCGCTTAAACAGTACGGCAGCATAAGAAATCAGAGTCAACTACGAGTTTTTTTCATTTTTGAATAAAGTTGCTAGCAAACTGCAACAATAATGATTTATGATATTCATTTCTTCATTTTAAGTGTAGCCATCAGGTAATTGCTATTGACGATAATGAACAAAATCAGCTATTTGGCTTTTTGTAAATCTCCACATTTTAATTGTAAACTATATAATTATTTCTAAAAAAATCTATTTTATTGTATAAAAATTTCTTTATTGAATACATCTTTTAGAATGTTCATTGCTGATGTTTTAAAACAATCATTTTGTCTCAATAATTATAATAAAAAGAGGATAATAAATCTTTATATTGGTTATATATTTAAGCAAATTTTAAGTGTATATTTAAATAAAAGACGAGGTATAAAAGAGAAAACACATAGTAAATATCGTTGTCGGCCATACTAAGCCTAAAGCACCGGATCCCATTCGAACTCCGAAGTTAAGCGGCTTAAGGCGAGGTTAGTACTAAGGTGGGGGACCGCTTGGGAAGTCCTCGTGTTGACAACCCTTTTTTTTTTGGCAATTAAATAAAATTTATTTAATTATAAGAATAGCAACAACAATGATTAAACATTTTTGTGTTATAGCATTATTATATATTAATAATTTGAGGATGTTTCAACCCAATCAAAGTTAAATTAAGTACCACAATTAATTTGGTGCCACATCTGCGGTGTATTTCTCACAATAACAAACATCAAGAGACAAAGTATAAAATTGCCAAACATCATGTAGACATTATAGACAAGGGATGCTTCTGAAAATAAATAATTGCTTTAATATCCAGCTTCTCAAATAGTCTACGGCCCATCAATGAAATTCAATTCGCCAGTGCATAGCAACATAGCATTTCGTAAAACATCTAAAGAATTGAACATTACCATAGAAGATCCTTCAGTGTGTTAATAAATACGCTAGCCATCTCCGAATGTCAAAAAGCAAAGGGAATAAATGGAAAAGGATTGGAATAAATTAATTGACAAATCTAAGACTCTATAAGAAAACTTGGTATTGCTGAAAAACAATATCAGTATGAACTTAAACAAAAAGTAACCTGAACAACGTTCAACTAAAGAGTCAACATCTACAACTGCCGGTTTATCATCCAGGATGAAATTACAGAAAGTAAATGTCACTTGTAAGTTGAATTCTCCATTCAAAGCTCAACCTAAATTGGAAGCTTGTAAGAGTTTGAGCCAAAATGCATTTGGCAATCTCAAATTTGGTTCAAATGCTCTTAAATAACCAACAGTAATAAACAATACAAGTTCTATTAATTATGTGAGTATGAACAATAATTATGCTAAAAAGTTATTAGATGACCTTCAATCAAAAAAAGTTAACTCTTAGAGTCAAATACAAAAAAAAACCAATCCACTCTATATCTAAATAGAAAATAAATTGAAATTAAAAATAAGTTCATTTCTAGGAAGAGGAAAATTTAGTGATGTTCACATGGCAATAGATAATAGAACTGGTCTGATTTTTGCATTGAAAATTATAAAAAAATAAACAGTTATTGATCATGAAATGTAGCAATAATTAGCAAGAGAAATTACTATTTAATCTAAGTTATCACACCCTAATATAGTCAAAATGTTTGGATAGAGTTATGATTAACAATACATTTACATGATGTTAGAATTTTGCAATAATGGTGAATTATTCTAACATCAGTATAAACAACCGAATAAAAGATTCAGTGAGAAGGAAGCCAGCAATTTTATAATGTAAATTTTGTCAGCTATTTAATATATGCACAATTAGGGATTTATGCATAGAGATTTAAAAACGGAAAATATTTTATTGTCTCTTGTACTTATTTATAACAAACATTTAGAATTACATTAAATTGTGTGATTTGGGTTGTGTTCGAGAAATACCTAAGTATGAAGATAGAAGAAATACCTTCTGTGGAACTGTAGATTACATTGCCCCAGAAGTCATAAAAGATGAGGGCTACGATGAAAGATGTGATGCTTGGTAAATTGCTATTCTAGCTTACGAACTTGTAGCTGGAAATACTCCATTTTCAGAGTTTCCCAGAGATGATGATACTATTATGGAAAATATATTAAAAGTATTGTTATTCTCTTATATTAGAATAAATTTGATCTCCCTAATTTCTTTTCTCCAGCTTTGAAAGATTTTGTAATAAGAGGATTACAGTAGAGTCCAGATCATAGAATATCTATCGACTAAATGTTACTACATAAGTGGATTGTTGACAATATCAAGACTGATAGAGACTATGCATTTTGATCAAGTTTTGTGATCAAAAGCTATATAATGATCTCATATGTATATCTAATCTAAAAGTGATTAATTTTTTGGTTCTTGCATTCCTTTATATTGTCTTTGCATCTCTTTGATTAATTGATTTCAAAATAATCCAAAATCGTAGAAAAATTTAGTAAAGTATTTGTGATATTTAGTCATATAATAATCATTACTCAGCTTATTTCACAACATTTTGATTGAACTTTTCTAAGATCATTATAATTATGATGTTTCCAGCAGTCAACAAGATATGTCTGATGAACAGCGGTTCCTGCAACTACATCATCAATAAATGTAATTTAATGCAACTTAAATCCTCTCAAGATTGGATGACCATATCTATCAATTCTAAATCTCAAACTTAACTTTTTTGTGCTCAATCTTGTTTATGATATACTGGGAATTTCCACTTACATTATTATATATAAAAATTTAAATTATAAACATCAACATCAAGTACCCCAAATAATTAATTAACTATAATAAATATATATTAATAAATGATGTTCAAAGTACGGTTCATTCAAATTTTTCTAATTCTTTTTAATGTTTATGATCTAATAATGCTACTCGATCTTATGTTTGAGCTCTTTCGAATTCTAATATTTTTTCAAGACGCATTCTTTCAATTGGATCATCAACTTGCTTTAATAATTTTTATCTTTCTAGTTCTTTATTTTCTTCTTCTTACAAAAGCTAAATTTAATTTATTTAAATAGTTACATTTAACAATTCATGATTTTATTTCATTTTTAATTCTTGTATTTATTTCTCTTTAGTCATAATATCAAAGGGAGCCATAACAATTGGTTTATTTTTATGTTGTTAATCTTTTTCCCCTTTGTTTTTTGAGGGAGCACTTTCAGGTCTTTTCTTTTGTTATACACTTGGGTGTTTAGGTTCTAATTATTATTGCTCTTTCAATAATTCAGCCAAATCTTTTTTAAGCTATTCTTTTTCCATAATTTGAGCTTTTTTAAACTCCTACTTTTGTTTCTCTGATGCTATTTTTTCTTTAATTAATTGGTCTCTTCTTTAAGATTTTTCCTCAACTTTCTTTTTCAATTAATCTCTTTCAAAGTCTCTTAATCTTATCATTCTTTCCTAAGCTTCCTCTTATTCCTATTTTTTTAGCAATTCTTTAAGATGTTTTTCTTTGATCATCTCATCTCTTTCTTTCAATACTTTGAGTGCTTATAATTCTTTTGCTTCTCTTTACATACTGATCTTTTCACACTTTTTTTCTAATTCTTATTCATTTTTTAATAATAGCTAAAATTATTTTTGTTTAATTTACTTATTATCTATAGTTTTCTCTCTCCTCTTAAAGTTATCTTCTTTAATGCAATGTTAATTCTCTTTCCTACTCATTAATTCTAAATCTATCATCGATTGCTTTAAATTTATTAATCAAATCCTCTTTCCTTTTATCTTGTTATTCTGTATTCTTCTTTTACATCTCTTATCTTTTTAATTTTTGGAATTCTCTTTTCATATCCTATTCCTTATTCATCTACTCAATCTCCTTTTATTTAGCTATCAACTTTTCTTCAGCAACCAATTGTTTTTATTAAAAGTTCAGATAAACTTAATTTTATTAATGCAAAGCCCTTCTTTTATTTTCATCCCTTCTATAATTTGCTTCCTCTTATTTTTCTTAAATCAATTGTTATCGAAGTTCTTTCTCTTCTTCCAATAAGACTTGACGTCTAGCTTCTCTTTATTCCATTTTTAATAGTTTTGCTTCATACAATTACTCGAGCATTTATTAATGCACTCTTTCCTTTTCTTCTCTCTCTAACTAAGCCTTCTTTAGTTATTTATCTCTTTTATTCTTTTACTTCTTGAGTTCTTTCTCCTATAAGATCTTCTGCAATGGAGTTGTTTTATGACTGGTTTCATATTTCAATCTATCTTATTCTGCAAATTATTTCTATTTTCTTTACTGATCTTGATACTCTATTTATTGTTTCTTAAATTATTCATCAATCTTTTTATCCTTCCTTCTTTGTTCTAATTCATACCGTTACTCTTCTTGTCTCTCTTTCAATTCCAAATCCTTTTTTCGTATTAGTTGCTACAATTCTTAAGTTTTTATTTCCTCATTCAACGCCTTTTGCATTTATTTCTATCTTCTATTTTTATTCATCTCCATTCTCTTTCTTTCCATTTCTTAATCACTCCTCTCAAACTTTTCATCCTCATACTCATCCTTCTATTGTTAAATAATCTCCTCTCTCTCTGCTATTACTACTGAAACTCTGGCTTATCTTTTATCTTCTTCGTGTTAAAGGAATATTTTCCAACCTTGCTCATCCAAATTTAAATTTTTTTCTCTTTTCAATTCATTTAAACTTTTCATAACCAGTTATTCAGGCCTAATTCCTTGCCTTCTACATGCTTCAATCGATCTTGGAGAATTGATAATGGGATCTCTGAGTTTAGTCTAATCAAAATTTAATAGAGAAATTGGAGTGATATGCATAAGTTAAAATTTATTAATTAAAACATTTATTAATTTACAAAACTATCCTTAGTGTGTATACATATTTACATGTTGACTACTTCACAATTTATGATAATAGTTCCTTTATAAATTATTGATTAATTATTTCTATTGGTAAATATAAATTAGGTTGCTCATAGAAGTCAATTGCCTTAATTATATAAACACAGCTGTATTTATAAAATTTATGTTTATATTCTCTTAAAACATATATATAAATATTTAATTTTACCTTAATTAGATTCGTTCATTTAATGAACAACCAAGCACAATCTCAAATTTGATTAAAATATTTTAATGAGAAATAAATAAACCCGCCCGTTATTTATACCCAACCCAGAAAACGGGGATTTTCCTTTTGACATCAAAAACGCGAATACTCAAGATATAAAAGCCATAGACTTCTATAGAATGTACAATTCAATGCAAATGTTTATAGAGTAATTAATACCAGATCAGGTAAATTAGATTATTATCAAAAAAGACTCTCCAACAAAAAGTACAAACTAATGTTGATGCCATCTACAGGGTCTTTGTTGAAAAAGACTTAAACCCTCCCCCACCTCAAAAACTAGTGGGAAGAAGAAGTTCTCCTTATACATATTAAAAACAAGAGTTTTGGCAATTAGTCGAGCACTTGAATTCTCTAGGATTCTCTTATCGTCAAATATCAGAGAGATTGCAAGTGCATTATGTTTAAATTTCAACTCATCATCGAAGCACAGTTGATTATGATGACGAAGATTCTGAATAGGAGTCATTCTCTGTAAAGAAAGTAGGCAAAGAATAAGTTAAATAACATTTGGTTGTTCAAAAATAATAACAACATGACGTTTTTTATTCAGATGATGAAAAAGGACATAAATGAAATTCATACATAAATCGATGCTTTTTCCTTTTATATTCAAAATGTCTTATATTCTTAACAATTGCACTTGACTATGTTATAAATATCTTAACAAGGAACATCTAATTTAAACAGAATAAAATGTGAATTGTAAAATTATGGAATATAAATTTCAACTTGTTTGTCACTTCTTTAAAACTTTCCCTTTTACTTCCTCTCTCAATTGATTGAATAGATGATCTTCTTCTTCCTCCTCTTATTCTTCATCTTTGCTAGGCAATTCATTAAAAAGTTCATCATCATTAGGTAAAACTGAATAATCTTAAGAATTATTTGAATGCAAATGAGAATTCTATTGTTTTGGTTTGATCCTGACATTTCTTTTTAAAAACTCCTAGTCATTCAATTCTAAGACAGAACTGAACATAGATTTATTTAGTAATTCTTATTATTACTATACAATAAAATCTGAAATTTACCGTTTAGGATAAATTAAGCAATTTCTCCTTGATTGCATCTATAATGCCTTAAAACCCTTTATCTTTATGTTATGCTAATTTCTTCAAATTTCTGGCAATCCAATTATTCAATTTATTTTGAAGTAGTCCAGAAATTGTTGCTTTCTCTTCCACTTCTATGACCATTTTATCTTAATCTGTTTGTTCATTTCTTTGTTTATGGTTTTCAACTGAGAATTCTTTGTCCAAATCACTGTATTCTTGTTTTAAATGAGTAAAATTATTCCTTAAGTCCTGATTTTCCTATTTTAAATTATTTATTTTCTTTTCATAATCTGATATGGATATCAGTAAATGAGAGTACGTTTGTTCTCTGCCGATAAATTTCTAGACAATTTCATTGGCATCAGAAATGCCTGTTGAAGCCTTTATTTTTTAAAAGGCTATTTCTAAATTTTGATATTAAGCTATTCCTCTTTGCATTTTACTCTTCAAGAAAGAATTTAAGAATTTGTGAACTAATAATAACTTTCTCCATTTTTTTAATGCTCCATCTCTAATATCATTAGCAGCAACCTCTGCAATCTCTTGTTGTCTTTTAATTCTCTCATCTCTTTTGTGTTCAACATCTTATTTTTATTTTAGTTCATTTTTAAATCTAGAAATATTATTTTCCCTATTTCTATTTTATTGTTTAATTCCATCAGCCACTTCCTTCAAGGCCAACATTGTTTTTTAATGTAAAACCTAAATTTCCAAGGCTCTATAATAGTATTATTGTTATTTTACTTTTAACTTGATGATTAACATGCTAACAATGCTGATTTAAGGTGTCTTTCATATTGATTTGCTCTTAATTAATAAGTTACTTAATCTTTCTTCATTCTTGTCAACATGTGTTCGAAAATATTCTTATCATAATTGCTTTGACTTAATAATTTTTATTATTCTTATAATTTGGATGAGTAATCATTTTCTTATCTTACTAAATCCTTTTATCGTTGATTATACTATTCAATTTGATAGCTCATTTGATCAATATCCTTTCTCATTTTATCAATATCTTTGTCTTTATTGTTTCCAGACATTTTCATGTAATCGCAACTTTTTTTTAATTCTGTCAAATTAGCATGCACTTCTTAAGCTTCATCAACTTTCTATTGAGATTATATTCAATATGAGCTACTTTTTAATCTTCCAATTGTTTAGGATAATAGTCGTTGTCTTAGCCTAAAACCGAGCACAGACTATTATGTTTAATCAATTTGTCAACAGATTTGAGGACAGCTGAGTTACGATATTTCTCGAAATCACTCTTTTTAGATCTGGTACGAGATTTGTGCGAATAGAGTCTAATCTTATTAATAATTGGGAGTAATTACATCTGGAAGTTCCACTACGGACATTATTGATAATAAATAAATTATATTTCATTGTATTTATTAAAATAATTGTATAATTATTGAACTATAAGTTGATAAGAACAACTAGTCATATAGATTAATTAAAAATAATAGATAATTTGCTAATTATGTCAATCATGAAGTATGACCTTGGATTTCAAATTAATTTCATTTAGAACTTGCTCTTTTTATAGTTGAATATGTTGTACAAATTGAGCAAGTTCTGAATCTATTTCAAAAGTCTTTAAGTAATTCAACATCTCCTGTTATATCTTTGTTTATTATCAAATATTGTACAGTTTCATCGATGAGATGATTACTTCCATTATAATCTTCCAATCCTCTGCATTCTCTAGGAATTTATTTATGTTCCTCAATGTCATCAATAATCGAAATCATTTCAATTTTTATCTACAGTTAACATAATTGTTCTACCTTCCCATTGTGGGCTAGACATTCATAACATGAGATGATTCCATTTCCTTTGGTCAAATAAATACTAAATGGAGATGAGGTTCCTTATAAAGAACTGAGTGAGATTTCTGAAGAACTTTGAATTTGGAGTATTTAACTATCAATAACATCTGTCTCATTTGATTATTATCTATTGTAGAAATCAAAACATATTAAAATTTAAACATTTTCGACATTTTTACTTAGTTCTATTCTTAATTGGTCTTCAGAATCTTTGAATTTGAAACCATTCCATTTCAGCTAATCACATATTTAGGGATTGCTGTTTATTGTAATGGTTTCAAACATTTTTTCCTTTTCTGTAAGTTAAAGTAGCTGATCTTTAAATAAACACTCCTTATACTTATTTCGATTGATGATTGTGGAATACTTATTTGAGATCCAGGAATGTTCAAGGGGAATAAGGTTCTTGCTATTCTCAAGGGCATTTTAGTTATCATAGATGTTTTTGAATGTGTATTTAAGAAATTATAATTAAAATTAAGATCATATGGGAGTGGCAGTATGTAAATAAGAGAATCAATCATATGGAGAAGAAGTCATTTAGGAGAATGTTTAGCCTAATCCAATGGCTTGTGCGAATGGCTTATCTTCGAACTTGGATGGTTCCAATCTCACACATCCAAGTTTAAAAAAGAAAATTATCGCTTAGGTTACAGGAAAGCTCCCAGATGACCCCATAAGTATGATGAATTCAATAGCATTATTCCTAGATTTGAGCAACAACTAATCAAGTATTCTCTTAGAGGAAAAATAAGAACCTACTACTCCTGCACTTCCTACTTAGTAAATAATACATATCAATTAGCGATATCATCTAATAGAATGGAGATATACCAAACTTCTAGAACATTTAATTGTTTACGAAGGAAGTCTTTTAATCGGTAAAGCTGAATTCATCATAAAAATTAGTTTCTTCTCAACCTGAAAAAATCCTTCAATGTATCTATAATTAATGAGATTTAGATTAGAGTTCTAAGAATAATAATCGCAATATTCAAAAGCATGCAACGATGACAAAAGATAAAGTCTATTAAAAATAAATGTAGTCGAGGATAATGTAATTGATTTCAATTATAATAGCTTGACGATTACATTTTTTTTGATTGGAAGAATACAAACTTTTAGTTAACTAGTATTAATGAATAAAATTTATTGAAGAAAGCTAGTTCTACTAAACCTACGTCTAAACAAGTCAAAAAAAATTATTGATCTTCATAGTATAATTTATATAGTTTAACTAAAACATTAATATCTCACCCCATCATATTGAATTAGAGTAATTGCATTCATAATTTCTTGTTAAGTTGATGAGAGTATTTATGGTTTTGAAAATTTCAGCTTGACATCTCAAAACAATTAAAATACTGCTGATATCCATTAATCTACGGCGTTATAGATTGCTAAGATTTTACTAAAAAGAATATTACATTTAATTATGTTAAATTCTACAATTAAAAAATCAAAAAATTTCCCTTAATTTATACCAAAATATTTTTTAAAAAAGGTTATGTAATTTCATTTTACTATTGAATATCTAAAGTGTCTTAATTATGATTTTCTCCCTCTATTGATAACATTAATCATTTATTATAATTTTATTAATTTAAAATCAGCTAAGATTCTAAAGAGTTAAATTAAAACTCTAAATTAAGATATATTTGCAATTTAAAATTTAATGTTACTATTCTTAAAGTAATCAGAAGAAGTAATTAACATTAAATGATCCTTAGAAAGGAATAAATTAAGCCTCATAAAAATTTATAATAAATTTAAGGTTCAATTAGTTAATTATATATTTAATCAGATGAATAAATATGGCACTCGATTTAAAGATCGACTTTTAGAAAAATAATATTTAATCCATAAAGTTTAGGTTATATAGTTTCCAATACTAGCATATTTGACTATCGGTGGCATTATATTATTACTTGCAAATACAATTGCCTATTTGATAAATGTCAATTACACGAATGCATTAATTACAGGAAGCGTTATGACATATTTATTGTTCCAATATATGATTTTGAGGAAATATGAATCACTAAAATTGAACTATTGTAATTTGGCATTAATGATGACGAATTTCGCTTCATTGGTTTTTGAAATCATAATCTATCCATCTTATGATTATTACGATGGTTATTTACTTGGATCCAATCAAATGCTGGTGCATACGATTCTTATGTTTGCTTGTAATTTGGAATTAGGTATCTTTAGCAATATTGTATTAACTATTGTAAGAGTTGTCATAGTTGTTGAAGGTTCAGACACACTTTCTGCCTAATAATACTTTTATTCCATTATTGTGACATTGAGTTTCATGGTTATTTAATATCAAATTGAAAAGCAATATAGACAATCATTTCTTCTACAATTCAAAGACAACAGTTGGGGTATTAATAATTATAAATATTCAAATAGAGATCCTAGTTCCATTACTGCTGAAAAAGCCATTTTTCATTTTCACTTTCAACAAAGATACCAATATGTATGAAACCATAATGAGTTCCTAAAAGGAATTCTTTAAGTCGGAAAAACCTCTTAGTACTTTCTTGTTTAAATCCAGGGTAAAATAGCAGACGCTGGAACAATATTTAATGAAAAAAACTATTACAAATGAAAACAAGAAGTAATCCTCATGTTTATTTAACAATCAGATGGATGTTGAATATTAGATGAAGAAATTGCAGGTTTCTATAGTGTGTTGTAAATTTGAACAGTTGATTTACGCTATTACTATAGACTCAGAAGATCCACTCATAAATCAGACCAATATTAAATTAAACTAAGCTTTGTAAAATTGCAGAAACATTCTTAACACTCAGATTTTGCAAATCAATAAAGTTTTAGGTGTTTATTTATAAGATACTTTTAGCCCTTTACTAAGGGATCTTAGAATATCCTTATATGAAGTATATTATAAATAATTATCAAATCAAAAATTATAATTAGTAAAAATGAAAAAGTTGTTACTCAAATGTTCCAAAATATTCGAAACCCCTACTACTAAAATAAAGATTGATTGCTGTGAATAAATTCGATTTGTAACTATAAAACCCACTTTGATCTTATTTCTATTTGAAATATTTAAATTGGTGGAGAAGAATTAGCAAGTATAGATATGCATAAATCAAAAAAATACAACGACAATGTTTATCTATGGTTTAAGACAGATGCCCAAAACTGTACAATTTAAGGAATGCTAGTAAACCCTAATAGATAGCACTCATTTTGAGACTTAATGTAATATTTACTTATGAAAACTTAGATTTTTCATTTGAATTTTAAAAATCTCCATCTTCTCATTTTTATTTTGAGAACCAGGATAAATACTAACAATTGGATTGATTAATTTAATATTACCTATAATTATAAATATATATTTTAGAAGACTGAGGATTCCTTATTATGAAGAGATATGATCAAGAAGATATTGGCTAAAAAAGGGAAAGATATATTTCAGTATTAATTCAAATACTCAACTAGTGTATTTTAACCAAAATAATATTAAATAAAATATTAATATAATGTAATACTCAAACACTTACGAGTCAGTTGTTAAGACTTAGGTAGTTAGTGGATAGGATCAAAAACCACTAAATTTAGGATTGACTGATGTTGAAGGAGCAAAGGTTAGTTTGTCAATTTCGAATATAGGCTGTGGCAAGAAGACTGTTTGATACTTACGATAGAGATAGGAATGGATAAATTGATAATGTTGAGGTAGTTCCAATGATTGTGGATGTCTATAAATCATTTAATCGAATTTTCTCACCAGCCAGAGGAGATATTGACTCGTTTTACAAGTTGACAATGATTGATATATTTTTATAGAGTTTTGGATAGAAATCAAGATGGAAAGATAACTTACTAAGATCTTGAAGATTTATGCATCAGATATCTCACTAACTAAACACCAACAAATATTAGAGCTTCTGAGGCTCCTCGTTAGAGTGGTATCCAATAGACATCACAAACAGTCACTTCACAATACAGAAGAACCTAATTTTGATTGTGATTGGTATATAAAAACGAATTGCCAAAATAATAATATTCATTCTCAATACTACCTGCTTGTAATACTACCAAATACCAATTGGATATGGGGTTCATCTTGGATATCAACTCTTTCAGTATTATTTTTCATGAATATTTGAGACGATTAAAGATTTTAGCATAGCATTTCCAATTAATTGGAGTATATTCTAGAAAACAATCGTTTGATGTCATCATCCATAAATTATAGTATGGCCTCATCAGTTTAGGTGAGTTCCTGCTTTTTAATTAATCTTGAATACGCCTCATAAGCATCATCCAATCTGAGTACATCTGGCTTTTCATTTTCCAAAATGAATTTATATTCTTACTTTTGTTCTAATTCCTTTATTTTTTTTTCGAAATTATCATCAAACATGTCATAAGGTATCATAGGTTTGGGTATATAATTAAATAGAGCCAATTGATCTTTGTTTAATAAGATATGTTTCAACTTATCCAATTCATTGAATTTTGTGATCAATTAACAAATATCTAATTTATTGATTATTTTATTCATAGCATATTTTAATTGTCTTTGTTTGTCCTTTTTGAAACCCAATAAGAATTTGATGTTGTCAATTAAAGTGAAATTTAACGAAGATTTTTTTTTTCTTAAGAATTTTTTGATTTCCTGTTAAGTTTTTGAGAATTCAGCAAAAGACTTTCTAATTTAAATGTTCTCTGATTTCAGAATATCCCCAGGGTAGTCTTTGACATCACTTTTATTTAATTGATTTCCTATTGGAACCGATTTGGCCACTGACAATATATCTAGATCAAGGGATTCCTTGCTTTCAAATCTAAAGATTTTATTGGCCATTGCCAGATTCATTGAAGAGAACAAGATGGGATAGAATAGACAATTGATAAAAATGATCGTGATTTACCACAACCCTCCAATCTACCCCAATAGAGTGTAGAGTTTAAGATAGCTCCTTTAATATTGATTTCTTCTCTGTTCTAAGAAGATTGAATTTTGGACCAGATATTACTGATTATACGGTACGTTGTCTTCTTTGATGGTGGATTGCATAATGGCAGTATCCAAAACATAATCATTCTACAAAATGCCATAATCGGTAGTTGTTTCAGTGACTTTGAAGGTGGAATGTATGGACTTTGAGTTGGTTAAGGAGAAGGGGGAATATTAAATGGAGATGACATCTTCATATGGTTTAGAGGGAGAGTGCATTTGGATTAAGGTGTCGCTTAAATACATGACCTAAAAGTGTGATTTGGAAGTACTTACAAAAAAGCCTGCTTGCATCTAACTGTTGATTTCATCCAGAGGGGCACAGCCTTAATAATTGGTAGTATTTTTGCATATACTTAAAGTTACTGTCAAAAATTAAAATCGATCTTCCTGACTATATCCTTGAAGTTACTACAAACTCACTATCAATTGATACCAAAGGATGTTATTCCCAGTAGTCAATAGATGGACAATACATATATTGAAGTTTAAACTTTTAAAAATAGTCCTGCTAATATTGCGATGAAAAGTGCTTTTCCATTTGACATGGCTCTAATGGAATATTGGAGCAGCTGAATAATACTGAAGGTGTCATACTTGTAATCAATTTGGGAAACTCCTTCTCCATTTAAATAACGATTTCTTAGACAATTTTGTACGCTCAATGTAAAATATTTGTTTAACGTTTGCAACGAACTTAATTGTGGATTTGCGATTGTCAACACAAATGTAAAATTATTATTCCCGAAATACAAGGGCTAAATACATTATTGAGTCATACAGACGTGTTCGATGGTTGGAGTTCTGAGAATACTACCCGAGGGTTATCTCGATTTGACAAATCTAATAATTCATGGGCGATGTAATATAAATAGGCAAAGCAAATTACTATAGTGAGAATTTAGCCTAAGGGAGTAGAGAACTTCTGCCTCTTCAAAATTCTAAATTGGGGAAGGATTCCAAAAAAATCGAAGCGTTCTATAACTTATGTGGTTAGATGTTTTGTGCAAGTTTAAGGTTTTTGAAATTTAAGCATAAAATGTTATATAAAATCTTAATTATTGAAAAATAAATGTTTTATTGAGCATCATGAAATTAACTTAAGATGATGAATTAAACAATCAGAAATTAAAAAGGATTTGTTACTCAGCAAATGTTGAATTTCAACATTATTTAAAATAATTTCATGGCTTAATAAAAGTGAAAGTGCAAACCCACTTCCCAAGTTTATACTCAATCAAGATCATAAAAATATAATTTCCATGTATTTTTAATTTATTAAGACAAACTGTTGATTATTTGAATCTTTTTATTCTAACAGTATATTTAAGATAAATGCTCGATGAAGATGCCAATTCTACAAGAATGAAGAAGTAATGGGATTGCTTTGGACTTGTGAGATTAATTATTGAATATAAAAAATGAATTCGTTTTTGAAAAATTAAATAATAAAATTATGAAATCAACATTGACTGTGCTCTTGGTTGTTTTAGTGTCTGTCTAGGGTTTCTAGATTGATATGTTCAACAAACATCACATCCCCAACAGAAACATCATGGAAATTATGATGTAAATCGAATCCAAACTTGCCTCAGGAGGTCCATTCGACACAATCAACACAATGTTGTAAGACTTCAGAACTTCAGTCACATCAGAATAAATTGCTCATGATGACTTGTTTGCCAGATAAAAGAATGAATGCGATTCTGAAACAGCTTTCAGAAAGGGATAAATTCAAGATGCCAGCAAGATCTTGAGTGCTTCAACCAACCAATTGAACTTGTGCTCATTCTAAAGATAAAAGGCAAAGGCTGAATTCGGTATGACAGAAGACCAACTCACCATGAACTAATAACACTTGTCATTGATCCAAGAAGTCAGAAAGACAGAATAAGAGAACTTCAACAAGATGGCTGTCATCTTCTAAGATGCATTGAGAGTCATCGATGAATCAGTTTATTTGGCCAAGAAATTCAGCGTTGGTGATGCCAGCTTGATCGAATTAGCTGATGCCACAGGTCAAATGATGTAACACTCAGTCAGTTTGAAGAGAACTGGATCATATGCTGCAGTTTTGGCTTCATTGGCCAGAATCTCATTGGCTGAATAAGTTAGTTCAGCTGATGTTGAGAGATTGATCCAATTATTGTAAACCTTGAGGTAATCCATCCATCAATATATTTAGAAACAACATCGAAGATGCTTACAATCAATTCACAGCTGAAAACAATTAAGCCATCGTCTTATACAACAACTAAAAGGAGAGAATTGATAAGAACATTGCCAGATTAGAGAAATCCAAGACCAGACTTGAAGATTAAATCACCGATTTGAATGGATGCGTCGCCACTTAAACTGCCATCTCATAAGCTGCTAGCAACAAGAAGTAAAGAAATCAAAAATTGTTGGATGATGCCACTGCTCTTTGCACTACCTTCAACAGTGAATATGAGAATGCCTCAGCTGCCAGAAGATAAGAATTAGTCCTCTTATCTGAAGTCGAGAGATTGGTCGAAAAAAGATAAAATGAAATTAAATGATGAAAATTATCATCAATAATAATCATGTTTAATAAATTATTGCATCGTAAGAGGGACATTGACTCATGGACCGTGTAATACTTTGTGATTGTCTCTACTTTAATCGATCTCTAAACTACATATTCTATTGATGTATATTCTCTCTAATTATTGCATCTTTTTGAATAGTATTTGCATGGTGTGATTCTAGCAAAGTGTTGAGTTGTTGATTTTGTGTCTCTTGAATAAGTTGAGATTGGAAATTAATTTTGTGGATTGTTTGTTTAGATCTAATTGAAGTATTGAGGGTTTCTGGATCCAATTTGGATATTGAAACTCTTGTTGTTGAAGCTCGATTAGAATTTCTAGTTATATGTTCGATTGTATGGTCTTGGGATAGTGTGTATTGGATCTTTTCTAAAAAATAGTATTTGATGGGATCTTGGTGTTAGTCATAAAATTCAACGCATTTGGAATACATTGCTATTAGAGTGTCAATTGTTGAAATGGAATTCTTAGATTCGATACGTGCGATTTGTGTAAAGAATTCTCTAGAGAGATTCATTTTAATTAATGCAATTAAAACAATTAGGCAGGAGCAAAGTGTGCTACTTGCAAGAGCATCAAGAATTTGATATGCGCATCAAGTATTTGTGCATAGACACCCAATGCACTCTTCAATTCAGAGCTATGTGTACAGATTGTTATAATAAGTTGCATTAAGGACATCGCGTAATTGATTTGATTGAAGCTGAACGATTGGCGTATCAGCAACACCAAGAAAATTTAGCATAATTCAAGACCCACATCACTAAACTCAATGAGATTCTTCAATACAGTATAAAGACCATCAAGGCACATGTTAAAAGATTGCAAGCACAATTCAATATTCTCATCGAATAAGAGTTGGAAAAACTGCATTAACATCGTCTCAAATCTCCTGTCGATCTCAACGAATTTGCTTAACAACTACTACAGAATCAGAGTATTGTGACTACTACTTCTATGTAAATTTTAACCAAAGGAGTCAAATAGTTGTTGTTAAAATCTTATTTTTTAACTTCAGACATTACGGTTTTTTCATTCAAAGATTACATCACCCTCTCAGATGAATCCTTAGTTTAAATCAAAAGGTTTGATCTTGTACAAAAAGTACTTTTAGATTAAATTACTTTTACTACTAATTCAACTGAAGCACTTTAAATATTCAATAGTCATCCTAAGAAAATCAAATGCTCAGGACTAGTTCACATTTATTCTCTTGATATTAAATAAGATGGCTCTTTAATTGCTATTGGAGGACATCCTGATACCCTCCTCTTAATAGATCCAATCTCTGAACTTATTGTAAAAACCTTTAAAACTTCATTCCTAGAAATCTTTGCTGTTAAATTCTCTTCAGATGGACTCAGATTAGCTGCAGCTGGTTCCTGTCCATACGAAGTCTATGTTTGGAGTTGCAATGATTTCGAACAAAATCCAATCATCTTAAAAGCCTAACATCTTAATTAAATCAACAGATTGCAATTCATCTCAAAATATCTATATACGGCCAGTGATGATTACAAACTAAGAGTCTGGAAACTTAAAAAGAATGGAATCAAGAATTACAAAGAATACATAGGACATTGGGATAGCGTTTATGGTTTAGCTGTCAACAACAAACACGTTGCATCTACAGGTAAGGATAAGACTTTGATTGTATGGTTCAAAGGCAAGATCCTGAAATAATGGATGGCTCATGATACTGAATATGGTGGATATGCTGTTGAATATTCCTTAGACGGAAAGTTACTCATATCTACTGGTTATGACAAAATTATTAAATTGTGGAATACTGAGAATGATTATAAATTGATCAAGTAATTTTCATCTCACGACTAACCTATATGGACATTAGGTCTCCTATCAAATACAGGATTGCTTGCAACAGCTAGTTGGGACAATACAATTAAAATTTGGGATATATAAAGTGGAAAATGTGTATACACTCTAGAGAATCACTTTCATTCATCTCCATGTATTAATGTCAAGTGCTACCCTCTGCAATTCTTAGCCACCAATGAGGATGGCATCATTTTAATATGGAATCTGTGATAACTCATGAATTTGTTATTTATTATTATAATTAGAATTATATATACTTCCAATTAGAATTATATTATATATACATTTAAATACAATAAATATAAAATTAGGATAAACTTTTAATTATTTCATATTGGATTATTATTCTGAATATTGTTGACCAGCATTTAAAGAACTCAAGGCTCTGAAATCCTCTATCTGTGTTTGCTTAAGTTCCCCCTCAAAATATCAAAAATTTCTATTTTATTATAATCTTATTTTTTATGATTAATGAATAAACTATATAAGATATGGTACCATACAAATGGCCCGAAGATTAGGATGATCGACTTCAATTTAGTATGGATCTTAAAATGGAATTTGAAAATTTCATTATTTCATGCCCTAAACTCAAGAATTAAGTATTATAGACTATGTAGAAAATTTCAGAAGAAGCCCCCTATTTGGATTTAATAGAGTTATTCACAATTGATAAGGAGAAAACTCATAAGTTATACAAGGTTCTCTCCTCTCTACACCTAAAAAACAATACCTTGATTGATTTCAAATAACCAGTTTCAAATAAAACTCTTTAAAAATTGATATCAGACTCCTATAGGCTGTTTAATCGAAGCATCTTAGACTACCAATGTCAACTCATATCTTATGCTAAGTACTACAAAACCTCTGTCTCTATCTTCAAGAAATCCATCAATCAAACATATATCGACTACAACACTTTAAATTTTGTTTGTTCTTGTGCCACTAAATAATGTCCTACTTTAACTAGACTATGGAAAGATTATGATGATGCTGCTGAAAAATATAAGAAATTAGTAGTGTCCCTTTAGAAATTGGAGCTAATGCAAAAACCTGACGATCTTACTCACTATTTCAATCGACAATAACTCATACTTATATATACGCTCTTTAGTCTAATGTAATGTGAGCAAACTATAGCTATCCAATTAGGTGAGGAGTATTTACCTTTTCAATGCTCACCTATTGATCCTCACTTCGAAGAGTAAACTGAAGATTTCACTTGGAATATAAATGGATTTTCTTAAATCAGAGATTATTTTCCTAAATTGGCACATAAACTAAATAAAAAAATGAAACATCTAAAAGACCTTCCATTATTCACTATTCAAGAGCGAATTAAAATCTATTAGTATACTTAGCATTAATTAGGATATAAAAAAATTGATGATATTCATGTTGATGTAAATTTATAACAAAAAATTATTGATATCCTAAATTATAGATAAGCTAACTGTGAAATAGAATTGGTTCTCCTGGTTGCAAATGCAAAGTGTTATACATAAATACTTTATTCATTGATTTGATTATAAATTTAGTTTCAATTTTATATTAATTATCACATTAAGGCATTAAATTTGATAGCAAACTCTAATTTATTGATATAATTGGAATATTAAATGCAAGGTGTTTAGTATTCTATACTCATAGATCAAATTGAATAATAAAATGGGTTTTGTAACTCGAACATTGACTTTACTTTTAACATTTTTCGTGTAAATTTCCTCAAATATATTTTGAAAAGGATAATTCAAGTATTAAATTTGTAATAATAGATTTAAAAATAAGTAATTCTATTATTATCTTCTCTTAACATATGTGATTAGAGTAATGATATACATATTTATTTTTCTTAGATTTATATTGTACATAAACTAAGAAAATAAATGTCAAATCATTTTCTCTTAATTTTGGCTAAGAGTTCATTTGTAAAGCTTTTTGATTTGCGATCCTAGTTTTAAACTGTAAACCCAAAAATTATTCTATAATACATAACTTTTTTTCAAATTTTAATTATTTAAAAACAAAACTAATCTCAAAATAGTCAAGAAACATATTTTGTAATTAATCTATTAAACAATAATTATAAAATCAAATAAAATAGTTAAATGTTAATATCTCTTTAATTATTAGAAAGACATATCAAATTACTTTTTATCAGAATACTAACAAAATATCCGGTTTATTAATATTTTAGTGAATGAGTGAATTCGAAAGAAATCTTGGTCCAATTCAAGAGTAAAATGATGATCAATTATTGAAATTAATCCCTGAATCTCTACCTGATGAAATTAAGTAAGCGCTTAAGTCTTCTGCTGACAATTTATCTAAACAGGAGGCATAGTAAGAAAAGTTTGAAGAATATATTTACAAAGTTAATTCAGACGATATTGTTACCTAATACAGCGGATTAAATCGATGTCGAAAACTTTTGAGTAATGCTCAAATGGCAGCTCCAACTGAATAAATGATCGAGATGTTTCTTCAAACAAGAGTTCATCTTAAAATCTTTGACATAGCTAAAAATACAAATATTCCATTGGTAAAGTATGAGGCTCTTTGGATAATTTGTAATATAGGATTTGGAACTTAAAAATAGATATAGACAATTCTTGATAATGATGGAATTAGTATTCTGTTTACGGCGCTTGAATCAGAATATGATGAAATAGTAGAATTAGGAGTTTGGGGATTGGCAAACATAGCAGGAGATAACTTGAAGTTCAGAGATATGCTTCTTTAGAAGGGAGTTCTAAAACCCTTTATTCATCTAGCTCAGAAATACAAAGTAAGGATGGAAGGGACAAAGAATTCTCATATCTTGAAAACTATAGTATGGGCCTTTTCTAATTTATCCAGAGGAAAGTCAATTCCAAATAAAATAGTAATTATGATATTAATGAACTAGTTTAGTAAAGATTTGTTGTCAATTCTATGTTAAATTATAATAGGAACTGACGATGAAGAGATGTTAAATGATGCTTGTTGGAGCTTGAGTTACTTAAGCCAAGATGAAAATCTTATTGGAATTTTAATTAAAGAGAGAGTTACTGAAAAATTAATTATATTAATGCAATCAGAAAATCCAAAAATTGTGATTCTAGCCTTAAGAACAGTAGGAAACATTTTAACAGGTAATGAAGAGTAAACAGATACAGTCTTAAACTTTGGAGTCATCTAGATCTTTGAAAAATTACTTCATAATAAAAGTTAAAATATCCGAAAAGAAGTAAAAATTAAATCTATACTTAGGTTTGTTGGTCACTATCCAACATTGCTGCTGGTAATTCAAGTTAAGTAAAATAAGTTATTCGAAATGATTAACTTTTTAATTCTGTATATCTTTCATTGGCCAATGGAAGTCCAGAAATTATAGAATAAATATCGTTCTTATTGTCAAATTCTGTTGTCAACGCAGAACTATAAGATATAGATTATCTCGTAAATTAGCATTAGTACTTGTAAAAGATGTCAACCCTCCTAGATATGGACTAAAAAGTGATAATTAATGTCACTCTTGATGGGATATTTGAAATGATAAAAAGAGGTTTAATTTTAAATTAAATTAAGTTCAATACGATGAAAGATTAGAACAATATAAAAAGTTGATAGTAGATTCTTAAATTATGAAAAAAGTTGACAAATATTTAAAGCATCCTACTAAAGAAACATCTAAGAAAGCTCGTTAAGTCTTTGAAATTTTTTAATCCATAAATAATTCTTGAAAGTATATGTTAAATACATTTAATAAATATAGGATTTTATTGTTATTAAATTATAATATAAAAAATTAGCGACTTCATTACGAATTCTATTAAATTTTTTGATCTTACTCTGTAAGAGTTGATAGATGATAGATATATTCAAAATTAAGGGTGTCATTTCGATTTGCAATACTGTCATCTATATAGTTTATACTTTTCATAAAATCCCCCCATGTGTCTTGAAATAAAGAAAATATATAAAGATATTTCAAGTAGTAGATTATGATTTATATTTGAATTTAATTATGGAATCAAATCTTTAATGGTAATTATTCCTTCCTCAATTATTATTTATTTATTTCTACAATCAAAGTTTTTAGAAATCAAAAATAATAGTTAAATTTCTGTAATAAATTCTTTAAAGGTAGTTAATTTATATGTTTCATATCTAAGCGGGGCATTTTGTTCAAATTTTATTTTGATATCTTTAAATTAAATTTTTATTGCTTCACACTATTTTTGAATTACTTAAAATCTCCTATAACCTTTTTGATTAAGGATAATTCTAGAGGAAGAAATTGAATTGATGAATTCATCAAAGGAATAGCTAATCGAAAGTATTTCTATACTCTTTAACAATAATTGACTAAAATAATTAGTTTTTTCGAAGATAATTAAAGATACCCTCAAGTTGAAAAAAATGAATTCTTAAAGAATTTATGAAATTCAAGAAATTAAGATTTTGGCGTATACTAACATTAATAATTATTTTTAATAAGATGTCCCTTAAATTATACACATTTATATTAGCTAATTCATAAAAAATTCTTATAATATACTAAAAAAATTTCAGGCTGTTATGTTTTAAAAATTATTCTAAGCTTGAGAAATATCAAAATTATTTAATAAGAAATAAATTTGATAGAGAAAACATGATAGCTATCCAAAAATATGTTTAATCATTAAAAATGAAAAAAATTAATATTTTTTAATTGATTTTCAGAGTCTTAGCCATTGATTTAAAAAATAAAGTACAAATATAATTGTTTATATAATTATATATTTCAAATTATAATATCATATTTAGGGATATCTCTTGTTAATCATTTTAACATACCTATTGAAATAACTTAAAAACTATCATTAATTATTATGCATAAATACAGTTTAAGATTTAAAGACTCAAAAATTGAAGAACAGTATTTGTTACATAGATGTAAAACCTTATAATTTCCAACACTAACATATGTTACAGGAGGAGGATTCTTACTTTTGATGATTAACTTTTTTGTTCATTTAGTCAATCAAAAGTATTAGAATGCCATAAAAAATGGAGCTATTGCAGGTTTTCTATTATTCTAATACACTTTCTTAAGAAAATACATAAAATTTCGAAAGTACACTAATTTTGCTTTACTAATCTGCAATTTAATCTTTACAGCATTTGAATACCAGAATCCTGCTACTGTTAAAACATACTACGACGGTTACATACTTGGAAGTAATCAAATGTTGGTACATAATATTTTGATGTTTGCAAATAATCTTAGATTAGGCATTGTGGCTAATATAATTCATACTATCTCAAGAATACTGATTGTGTAGCTCTATCAAGGCACTATGGATATTTAACAATATGTTTACACCACTGTACTAAGTTTAAGTTTCATCGTCATATAATATGAAATTGAGAAGTAATACAGAAATTCTTTTTTTTTGTCACTGAAAGACAGTGCTTGGGGTAATAAATGTGTAAAATAATATATTAGAGATCATGACTCCCTTATTTTTAAAGAAACCCTATTTTTTGTTTTCTTTTAATTAAGAAGAGAATGCATATCAAGTGATTTCTTCATATTTAAAAGAATACTTTGAGTCCGAGACACCCTTAACAACATTTATGTACCAATCTAAGGTTTTAGGTAATGAGTCTTTATAGGCTTACATATAACGCTTGACGATGAAAAGCATAGAGAATGATCACAATTTATGCCTATTCAATTAATATCTGAATGTTGAATATCTTAATAAAAAGATCGCTATCTCGATAATTGCATACCAATTTGAAAAAGTGATCTATGCAATAATAATTGAATCCGAAGATCCAATCAGAAAGGAGTAGAAAACGAAATACTTGCAGCAGATACAAATTTATAAAGAATTCTTCCATCTACAAATAATGCCTATAAATAAGGTGTTGGCAACATTGTTAAGGGAGAATCATCATCCTTTGTTGAGAGACTTGAGAATTTCTTTGATAGAGATTTATTATCAATAGTCCTAGGTTTGCGAATTAAAGTTAGTTACTATAAAGAAGTTACTTTAGAAGTGCGTGTAATTATTTTAAACTCCAAAACATTCAATAAGCATAGTCTGCAATGAGGACATAAAATTTGTAACTATGAAGCATGCGTTAATAATATTTCTATTAGAAATTCTAAAAAAAAATAATGGGGAGTTTTTATAAATCAGAATAACTTAAGTTTAAAATACTTCAATACAAGTAATAGGCATGAATTATCTTCCTCAGTCCGAACTATTTTTAAAGAGCAAGGAGATGTTGGTTGAAAGAGTTTTAGAATCTCAAAATTGTAAATTTAATATGCTATTAAGGTTTTATGTTCATACTAATGAAAACGCCGCATTAAAATTTTAATGATTATTTTTATATTTAAGATTCCAATTATTGATGGATGATTATTGATTTAATTACTTATGCTTAAGAATTATAACATAAATTTAATAAGCATATGTATATATATATATCTTATTGCTTTATGATCTGATTTTATTAGTAGAAATCTTTATTACAGTGTCCTACTCTATAAAAATCTATTAAATTAAGATATTATTAATTATTGCATTATTTCTCTTAGTTTAACTTTTAATTTGATATAATAAAAAATAAAATAAAATGGACGATTCACAGTTAGATTTGGGAGCTTTAGAAGACATTGATCCAAGTTTAGAAGGAGGATTTAAAATACAATTTGATAGAGAAATTCACATAGAAACAAGGTAGATTTTGAATGAATCATGATAAACTAGGGTTCAGGATGCAAATACAGGTCCGTAAGAGATTGGAACATTAGAATTGGTGAGAGTGAAGATTTTAGTTTAAGTTTGTTGTGTTATAATTAAATTTAGGGAGAATAACAAGCATTCGAGAATTTGAAAATTGAGTTAACAAGTGAAACAGATTTGTTTTTCAATTACATTACAATGTATAATATAATTTGAACATAGCATAAATAAGGACAATTATAAAAGAATAAGGGAGGAATAAAAACTAACTATTGAATATCCTCAATTTTTATAAATGTTGATCAAGTTATTAAACTCATGTCACAAAGAGCCTAATCAGTACAAATTTAAATTGATTCAGTTTCTTCTGCGTGTTCTTTATGCAATAGGATGGAGCAGCAAGACTTGATTTTATTGAGAATCTAGAATACAAATTTATGGAAATGTTGTCATTAGAATTCAGCTCAGCTTCTGAAGAGACAATTAGATAAAATGTTTCATTTAGATATAATTTAATGAAGGCTAAGTTGCAATTTGTTTAGAATAGGTATAGGGAAATGCAATGCTATTTAGATTGAATGACATAGCCTCTTTGATAAAATTGAAGAATCCTTCCTTATTAGTGTAAATCAATAAGGCATCAGCTGGTGTCAGTTAAAATCAAAGTACTTAAAATGCTAGCAAATACTTGGGACAATCAAAAAAGAACAATACATCAAAATTTGTTTGATTTAGCTAATATTCATATTAACATCACAGGATTAAATATTTTAACTTCTACTTAATTATGACTAGCAAATCCAGAATGAGCTTCTTGTAATTAGATGATGTCTTTCTTTTCAAATTCTTTATTACAAACCATACACTTTTTGTCTGGCAGACAAATACTAGAAAGACAACTCATACACATGACATGTCCACAATGTTTGCTCATTCCAATTTTTTGATATTTCAATGTTTTATTGCATGCATAACAAAAAACTTCTTTGGTTTCACCATTATTATCGTTCAATTTTGTGGGATACAATTTTTTGAGTTTGATCTCATGATCTCTATTGGCAGGACATCTGCAAATGTTTTTTGGCTATTCTAATTTTTCTTCCTATTATTCAGGTTGAGACTCAGGAACCCAGAAGTTTTTACATGTCAAATCCTTCTTCGACATTGTAAGCATTTCCTTTCCCTTAAGTTGCATTTTCTCTAACACTTTCTTTTTTTACTCTGCCTCCAAATTGATATAACTAAATTAATCAAATTTTCATTGTTACCCTTATAATTTTTCTTCTACTTTAGATTTGAATTATCTTCTCTCAATGACATCATTTTAATAGTCCAACTTTTCAAAATTTTATTCTTTTTCTTTTTGTTATGCTTCATCTTATTATTGCTATTTCTACTCTTATTATTATTTCTTTTGATTGTAGGCCGCAATTAGTTTCTCATTCTCTTACTTTTATTTCACCTTGTTTCATATGGAGAATAGCTTACCATATTTTATATGATGCATTCTCTACAAAATAAGTGTCCCTTTTCACAAGTCAATGGCTCAATGACTCTACTTATACATAGATAACAAAAATCAAATGGTCTTTATGAATCAGAGCCAACACGAGAGTTTTGGGTACCGAAATCTTTAACCATTTTCCTTTCCGCATATGTGAATACTGGATTGGCTGTATTGTTTTTGGAATGTCTTGACATTATATTAAATTATTGTTTTATATGTTGTAATTTTCATACTTTATTGAATAAATTTAATTTGAATTCTGGTGTTCTGCTCAAATGACTGATCAAATCTCTTTGTCTAATAGCTTCTCTTTGTTCAGGTGTTAATCCCTTGAATTCAAAATTGATTCCTTCTTCTGCCGTATTTCCAATCTATAAATTGCCATGAGCTGTGTTATAATAAATCCAACCTACACTATTTCGATATTCCTTACCAATGATTCCTCCCAACAAAGCTCCTGCACCAGTTCTTCTGATACTGAAAAATGCTGCCAATGCTGCTCCATAAGCTACATGACCATAAACATATCTATTAAATGTATGTTCGTGACCTCTTGAGCAAACAAGTTAATAAAACCAGAAAAAGTAAGTAACTCCAAAGAATGCACCAAGAGCTCCGTGTCTAGATGCCTATCGAAGAGCAATGAGAGAGGGACCTGTGAATCCATTCTTGCTTCCAAATACTCTTCCCTTATTGATTGCCAATGCGTTCACTGATAATTGCTTGAATTAGAGAGTGGCACCGAATAATATTGCAGTAAGAGCTCCTTTGTAAGCATACTTAGCACATGTGCTAACGATATATGATGTATAATTATATACAGAACTTCCCAATGATGCTCCTGAAACATGTCACGAGTAGCCCACCATCTTCTCCACCAAGGTTGAGATCCTTTTACATAAATTGAATGAACATCATTCTATTAAGGTCTTCCAGTGATTGCATATTGACTCTTATCTTCGTGATTCTAATTCTAAAGTGGATTAGTGCCGAATCCCATATTTTTGATTAATAAATATTTATACCCATTACAAATAGCAGAAGATAGTATATCGATTGCAAAAACAAAGACAATTAATATGATAGTAGAATCTTTAATAAAATTATACAATAAGTGCCATTCAATTTTCAATCTATTGCTTCCACCTATCAAAATACTCTTATTCAAAATTAATTTCTCGTCTGTCTTAATTTTCTAATTCATATTGTTAAATTTTATCATGTATGTTGAAGAAATCGATTATGTACTCCTTCTATGTTCCATAAAGTTAGCTTACTAAAAATCAATTAATTTGGGTACAATTGATAAATATGGTATCTAATGATTTGAGGATATCCTATTTCTATTTAGGTTAGGTCCTTTGAAGTTTCAATGTTGTTGCAAAGATCTCCAGTGTTCCCATTTCAACCAATCTCATAGTATCCTACGGCTTTATTTTGTTAGTGGCATTTGCAAACACCCAGGCAATTTCTGTTTGGATTTCAGGAATTGCTGACTAAAACACTGTGAACATTAGATTCATGATATTATTGTTGTCTAACACTTTCTTAATCTGTTATACGCTGCCAGCAGTGATGTTAGAAATGCACCAGCAAATCTAAAGGTTACACTCATAATCAATACCTCTCTAGTTAGACTCTTTAATTTAGTACTCTTCATTAGGTCAGCAAAGACATCTAAAATATTTAGATTTAACACGTAGTCTGTTTAGGTCTCAGATCCTGTCAGAATATTCCCTATAATTCTCACGCAGGGGAATATTATTGGGTTAATTTAATTGGTAGTAAGTAATGATATAAGTTTTGGAACCATTCCTGTATTGATAATTTCTTATTGTGGATCCAAGCCTTAATTTGAATTGCTTATATATTATAATGCCCAGCAAGTATCAGTCAGAGTCTCATTGTCATCAAATTGGTCAATTATGGACGAGAAATATTTGATCAATTGTTTTTTATATTTCTAAATATTTAGTTAATGGAATTACTTCAATAAGTCGGTTGGGATTACCTCTGCATAAGTTACTAATAGTCCACGAGCATAACTTTATTAAAGACTTATTATTTCTTAGTTAAAGCTATTGACTTATTTCTATAAATCTTTGTAGTCCTCCCTGTCCTATTATTTAGCTTCGGTATTCTCCATCGTCTGCTGCTATATTCCCTAAGGCCCAGCAGACTTATTCTATTATGGATAAATGTATAGAATTCAAATGCTTTAATATAGTTGGTATGCCTCCATATTTCACAACAACTTGCGTTTGCTGATTTGTTCCACTTGCAATGTTTGTTAATATCCAAATTGCTTCAAATATGAAAAGCTGATTGGAATTCTAATCAAGTATTTATATCAATATTGGAACCAAATTGTTCTCTATTATAGATTATGTGATATCAATTGGATTTTGATTAGTGCTAATTAATTTCCTTATGGCAACGAGCCCGTAATGCTACTTCACAATATCATCTGATTAAAACAACTTTGCATACACATCTATTAATTAAGGATTCACATTTCTTTCGTCTATTTCATCGTATTACTTGAGTATCCTCTGTTTAACGTCCTCCAAAATGTATTTAGGTATAATCGACTCATAATTAATTTTTGTCTCAAAATTTTACATAGAATGTATATTCATTAAATTGCTAATGATTTGCTATTTGAAATTTCACTAATTAAAAGAAAGTCATCGTATTTTATTAATTAACTGTTGTCATGCATATATGTATATTATTTATACGAGGAAAATTAAAACATAATATTTCATTCCTTCAATTTTGATCAGACTCATCATAAAAATTGAATTATTGCTCAAGTTGCAGCTGTTGTTTATCAATCACTTATCCTTATTTTAACTTCTCTTTATTTTACTTTTTCCCTGATTATTAATCTCCCTCTTGAATTTCCGAATGCTAATGTATTCCATTCAGGGATGACCCTGAATTCAATTACAACCTCTCATTTATTTATTTTTCCGAAAATCCCATCTGGGACAAACTATCCACTACCAATAACACGTCTTATTTTTGAAAAGTCTATGACTAATTTCTTTTTCCGGCTTTTTGCTATTAACATGATGCTTGATCCTTTTGCAAAAAGACTTTAAAAGCAATATCGATATTTGCTTGTAATTTCTTTTACAGGGGCTTAGATACATAAATATGATTACTTGTTCTTCAATTAGCTTTTCCAATACCATTTTTAAGGAATTGTACATTCTAAAATAATCTATTTGTTTAATCTCGTGAATATTAACATCTTTGATGTCAAAAGGGAAATCATCATTTTTGGGTTTCTACACCAAGAGAGGACGAGTTTACTTTCTGCTCATTTTTTATTTTAAAATAATATTAATTGATAATATTTATTTAATCAAATTCAATAAATTTACGTTTAATACATTAAATTATATCATCGAAATATGATTCATTTAATTTACTTAAAATTTAACTGCATCTACCCTATTCTTTTTTGTCTCAAATCTTAAAGATTTTCCTTAATATTAATTAGTTTTATGATCTATATTTACAATGTTATTCAATTTCTACAGCTAAGGGGTTTGTTTTTAATTTTTACAAGTATTCAAGACAACAGATAGATCTTTTAAATTTAATCCATTTCAATTCTGCATTTAAACTATAATATATGACTAAAAAATTACTATGATATTCCACCATTGAAAATAACATTTGCTATTGAATGAAATATCTAATCCAATTATATTTATATTCTTTGATATTTGATATCCCTAATGATTCAGAAATAAATAATAGAAATAGAAGTATGCGTTTGATATAGAAAATTATTATAACAATAAAAATTTAGAGTATTTTACTCACTTAAACAGTCTATATAATAATAAGTCTTATTTAAATATGTAGACTTAATTATTATAGCAACAGAAAGTTCGAATTAAATTACAAATTATCATACTTTTATTAGAAATAGTAATGATTAAATGTCGAAAAGATACTTATTTTTCTTTTCTAGCAATTTTATGATTAATATTTGGAATGAATTCACTTTTATCATTCCTGATCCAATTAGTCTTATGGTGCTGCTTACTCTTTAATTACTCCTAATTTTACTAAAATAGAAGTGGACAAATTCTAAACTGCTTGTGTAATATTACTTCCACTTAAAGCAGAGGTTTCTATGATAAATTAACTTTATATTACCTATAAAGGGCATTCTTTTTTCATCAGCGAACTCGTATCCTTCTTCGTATTTTACTTCTCTCTTATCTTCTTTGTCAGATTTGTTGGCAACCAGCATTTTTACTATATTTTTATTTGGATAATTATCAACCACTAATTTATTTTTTCTGAAATGTTTTACCTTAAATCCACTTAGAACAATTTGCAAATGACTGTCTATCAGTTACATCATAAACTATAAAGACTCCATGAGCACCATTAAGATATTAACTTGTTGTTTCTAAAAATGCCTCAGATCCTGCAGTGTCCAAAATCTAAATATACTCCTTAAAATTACTGATAACTTCAACTTTAAACCATTCAATTCTATCAGCTTTTAATGAAAATCCAGACCTGGTGTAGGACTATAATTTTCATTAAAGTCATTATTGGTGTATCTCATAAAGATAGCTGATTTGCCTACACCAGGGCTTCCGAGGAGTAAGATCTTTAAAATTTAGTCTGGTTTGGTTTATGGGTCCATATTGTATTAACAATATTAGATTGTAATTTAATTTTATAATAATTTATAGTGGTAAGAATCAGTTAGGACTTAAATGCATTACCCTTAATATCATTAATATATTACAAATGTAAATAATTAATTTTATTTATTCCATTCAATCAATTTAATTGATGCATTAAAATATACATAGACTGACAATTACATCAAAAATATCATTAACCTTTGTTATAAAATAGATCATGATTTCGAAATTCACATTGCTAAAAAATTGTTATCTATTGTATTACCATATATAAAAGTCGGATGCAATTATTTAGAGTCCTCTAAGTAATTCTTGATATTTTAAAGTTTTTTCAAAATAGGGAAAAATAAAATTTTAAATTAGTAGAATTTACATCATTTAAATGAGCATATTAACATTAATTTTGAATACTGGAAAATATTCTTAAATTAATATATATGTATTGTGATTAAAAGTAAATAAAATAATGATATTAGAGTCTATATATAAAGAAAGATAAATTTACATAAATACCTAAGCTAGATTGTTTATAATAAATTATTAAGATATGAATAATGAGTGAAAATAAATGAAAGAATTATTCAATAAAAGGTTCAGATTAATTGTCATAAAAAAAGATATTTTCAGTCACTAATTTTAAAATCATTGCTTTCATTCGAAAGATGGTGTTAATTTTTTTCATCAACTTAATATAATTTATATAAATAGATTAATATCAGTAAAACGAGTGAAATCATTAAGATCATGTGAAACACGGTTCTAATCATCATTATATTTAGGCAGAATATTATGTAATAATAAATAACACTTTTTTTATTTCTTTTTATGGGATTAAAAAGAAATATTTAATTTATCAAACAATGATTAATAGTAAAGTCAAGTCAGAATTTTTGTAAAAACTAGCTTGCTGTTCAGAATATGCTTATAGAGAAGATACCAACTTTCCTATTCGAAATCAAATGGAAGATTGTATACTTTACTCTAAATAAGATCAGCCCATTATTATAAAGATAATTGCTTTGAGGATGGCACTACTTGTCTATTTGCAGTTTTTGATGGTCATGGAGGGACTGATGTTGTTGAATACATTACTAAAATTCTGCCTGAAGTAGCTTAATTTAAATATAACTAAAGACCTTTCTGAGGGATTTCAAGTAATTTAATACTTTGAAACCGAATGATTATTTTGAATTAATATTCAAAAAGGTGGATGATTAATTAAAATTAGTAGGGGCTGCAGAAATAGGAGCCACTTGTTGCTTGACTTTATTAAGAAAGGAAGATAATAAAAGAAAATGTTATATTGCAAATTTGGGTGATACTAGAGCAGTGATGAATATAGATGGCAAAGCAGTCAGAATGACAGTCGATCACAAAGGAATAGACCCTGAGGAATAAGCTAGAGTTAAGTAAAGTCTAATGATTTAATTATGCTTTCTAAAGGCGCGAAGGAGGCACAATTGTGAGAGGTAGAGTGATGGGCCAATTAGCAGTAACCAGAGCATTTGGGGATCTAGATTTAAAAACCGTAGGTGTTTCAGTTAAGCCTGACTTGAAAGTGTAGGAAATTACACCCTAATGCAAATACTTAATCATGGCTTCGGATGGGCTTTGGGACGTTGTTGATGACTAGGTATTATTTAATTTAACTCTTAATTTTCTGTAGAAAGCAATTGATTTAACTAAAGGACTTAAGAATTCTGATGAAATGACAAAAGAGCTATTGCAGTTTGCTTTGAAAAATGGCTCAAGAGACAACATTAGCATCTTAATTGTAATGTTCTGATTTATTATAATAACAAGTATGAAACTAAACATTATGCAAATATATTATTTTAAGAATCATTTATTAAACTCTCTTAAAAAATATCTTTTTATAAATATTAGTACATAACATTTTAAGTGAATAATTATCGTTTTAATTTATTCTATTAGATTATGGCTTATATTAATTTGCCATTAATTTCATCTAAATCTTGTTGTTTACAATCAGCTAATTTCTAAGGATTTATTTTATTTTACTAACCTTATATATCCTATTATTTTATAAATATGAACCTATACTACATATGGAAATATCATTTATTAATAAGGTTAGGTTGAGAAATACTTGAGAATTTTATGTTTAATAATACTAAATTTAATTATACGTTATTTTATTTTAATCAGAGTATTAACTGATGAAATATAATTAATAAATATATATTTATATGTATTCTTACTATGAATCACACCTTAAGCAATTATTTAAAATCTGACATGATAATTGGCATTTTTAGATCTTCAAATTTTATTTCTTTTCCTATATTCTTTATTTCTACATAGAGATAATAAAATAATTCATTTGATTCTAGCAAAAGTGAGATAAGCCCTGTAATTAAGGAGAAAAAAGGAAAGTCTGTTGGAAAATAAAAAAAACAAATCCAAAAAAGATAAAAGTTTTCCAAACAAATGATTGTGTACTAATAGTTTTTAATTTTATTCAGCAAAGCCAATATTAATGCTAATGGCAAATAAAGGAATGAAAGTTAAATTTAAGCAAAGCATTCTAATAGATATCTCATCCTCTTATATCGTTATGACTTATTCTGTAATTTTAGTTGTTGATGCCCATTATTTAATAACAATAATATTACAATAATAGCATAGACGTAAATGAAAGAATAAACTTTATAACCTAATAGAACATGCAATATTGAATCTTTAAATTAGATAAATGTTAATATGTCTAATTCCTGTAAATTTCCTATCAAAATGTTCAAGAATACCATTCCTAGTTTAAAACTATTGTCTACTAAAGTGTTCAACTTAATCATGGCTTTAATGTATTCAAAATAATATTACACCAAATAAATGATTATGACTAAAGAAATTCTTTTGAAAACAAAGATACTTAGGATTTAGAGTAAGAATAGAATTACATAAATGTAAATAATTGTTTCAGCAATTGATTTTTCAACATTAAACTATCCCAACTAAATGAAACTATTAGTATATATTTGAAACAAAGTCAAATACAGTATTAACTGTTCTAATTAAAATAATTTAGTTCTCACATTCATTTGTTAAGAAGCTCTTATTATAGAAACTAATGCTATGAATTGCCAATTAGAAATAAGCAGAAATACTATTGATGAGACTATAATTTAAACTCTACACAATTAATCTTATTTAAGTTTGGTCAACTGATCGTAATATTTAAATGCAATAAAAATAGCAATAATATGATACTCTTTAATAAAGATTTGCAAAGTTTCATAAAAGTCAAACTATTATTCTCCACAGAAAAAATCACTATAAAAAGTATTGCAACTGCTACCAAGTTATAATATATGATCATTATTTCCTTTTATGCACTAATTACTAAAGCCATCAAATCTGCATTAATGAGCTAAAAATGCTTTATGATAAAAGGAGCGAAACACCATAACAAGCAACTCATCATCGGTTTATCTTATGTAATAACCAAATTTTATCTCTTGTTATTAAATTTACGTAAATCCTTCCCGTATTTCAAAGTATTAATGCTCAATTACACACCCAGATACTAGAACTAAAAACTAGAGTTAGGGATCATCTATTTCTAATAAATTGTGCAAGTAATTATAATCATTGAAGCACTGATGAGGAAATGACAAATCAATATCATCAAATGAGATTTTTTCATCTAGTTAATTAAAGATATCTTGATCGTTATTCTAATCAAATTATACTAATTTCTAAGATAATTAAAATGCCATACTTATGATAATTTCTATTGTAGTCCCTAAATTTCAAAATTCGAAGCCTATACGCTCAATATGTATATATGTAAAATTAAAATAAATAACATATATTAAATATTTCATAGAGATTAATAATAATTATAAAAGTATTAATGTTATCACTTGATCCCATTTACTAATATTACATCAATAATATGAACTAGATGGATAATATTTGATTTTTTAGTTTATTCAGAGAAATTCGGATGAAGGTAAAAAAATGAGGATAATTTTAAATAGCTATCCTCCTTATATAGAGAATCTTAAATAACATCTATTTAAAGTGTGATAATACTGTTTAAGTTCTGAAATGCTAATGGGTATAATAAAGTAATTCTTGTTTATTAATTTAAGATATTCTCTTACTATTTGTGTAATTCATGTTTATGATTATATTTATTTAGAGATGATGCTTCAGATTATAATCTTTTACACTTCTTTGAACGCACTTATAATTCTTTAATATTTTACCTTATTTAGATTAAAAATATTGATATTGTCTAAAAATAAAGATTCTTGATTTTTTTATGGGTTTTTGAAGTCAATCTTACAGATAGTAGAGGTAAAAGAATTTTCATCAGATTTTTCTCTAACCGCAAAAGTCTAAACACCATTATATAAGATTCATCAAATTTTGTTGTTTCCATAACTGTCATCGCTGTTATAAATCATGAAAGAAAAGACACCCACACCTTATTCAGAATTTCATAGAATAATTATTATTCTTATTGACTTCTAATATTATTAATATATATTTGGTATAAAAATGTCTATTTTTAAATATTAAAAATACCTCATAAAACCAAATTAGAGATTAATAGGATCCTTACTTAATCTCAATTAGATTAAAAATCCTTTTTCATTTTACAAAAAGAGTTTTTCTAAATATCATTTATTTTATTCATAATATTAATTTTTGATGTTCCGATCCAAGAAAAGCTCAACAGTTCCGATTAGAACTAAAGAGAAAAGTTCTCTTTTGGCTCCGTGTATTAATTGTGAAGAGTTTATACCCTTCGATAAAATTGATTATCATGCTTAGTTTTGCAATCAGGTTTCTAATAAAGTGCTTAAATATGGGGAATCAAATGTATTTTTCGAAGAGAATGATTTCAAACTATCCAAATTAAAGGCTAATTTATAAAACAAACCGTATTAACATACGCAAAGATTATGCAGAATTTGTGAGTTGGTTTCCTAAATCAACACAATTGGATGTGTAGAAGAGGCTTCTTTGAAAGAATTCGAAAAGGAGTTACTAAGCTTGAGTTAGGAACCAAGCCAATCTATAAATTAATCCCTATACATTGAGAGAATACATTCACTTGTTATGCAAAGGATGAGTATCATTCAAAATCAATTAAACCTTAAGGTCTTCAAGCCAACATAATCACAATAACAATTCAATCCTCAATAAAATATTAATATCATCTCAAAAAATTTCAAAAATTCCACAGGTTCAACCTAATCAACTAATAATAACAATTTAAAAAATTTAATACAAAATAAATTGGAATCATCATCATCATAAGTATTCAACCGTTTGAACAAACTTGAATATTGCTAATCACCAGATCCGAGAATGACTTACATTACTAAATTTTCCCAAAATAGTCCATTCTCTCAATTTGGATAAACATAATAACAATAGAAGAGTGAAATTTTGACACACATTAGCGAACAATAGCCGGAGAGTATTGATGAATGCTCTAATCCACAATCCTTTGCTTAGAGATGCTTCTATTCGAAGGTTCTAAATCTTAAATTACATTATCCGCAATCTAATCCAGCATAAAAAATTCCAGTGTCTATTTTATGGAAGTAAGCAGAAAAAAACAAAGTAAAACCACAAGATTGGGAATAATTTATAAGGAGTTGCTTAGACAAGCCCTTTTAAATGTTAGACCCTCAAAAATTATAATGACTTGAAATTATTAACTAATTTGGTATATTAAACTAAACAAAAATTAAAATTTACATTATAAATTTCATAAAATTATATTTATTTTTGGATGGGATCCAATTAAAACAAGGAGGCAGGTGCAAAATATACTGAACAATAATTGAACGAAAATTAAAACGAAATTTAACACTAAAGACCATATATACACAAAAACCCAAGCTAAGAGCCGAACATTGATTGTAGATTATAATTTTATTCTATTAAGAATAATAACCTGTTTAATCTGATCGAGAAAGGGAATTATTAAATTAGATAGAGCAGGCCTCAGAATAGTATGAAAACGCATAGAAAAGATTGATAGACAAATTAAATATAGTAATTCTTATATTATAGAAAATAGTTATGTTAAGGGATGGATAAATTTACAGAAGGCTTACAGGAAAAAAATAATGTCCAGGAATAGCTTAACAGAGAACTTGAGCAAAGAGTAGAATAAATGTGAATCATATTTTATTTACATTTCTACATAACAAAAAAGAATATAATTTATAAGCTTATGCATGTCATCAGGAAAGCATTCATTAAGATAAAAAATAGGTTGACATACCTTAGTGGAATAGAATTAATAACAATTCTATTTTGGATTCTTAATTATGATAAAAGTATTGTAAATATTTTATAATTATTGCATTGAGTAATAAAAGAGGAGAAATTGAAATTTGAGAGAATTTAGACAAATAAAAATCAATATTGCAATTGATTTTAAGTATATACTAATTATCTAATCCAATAAAATAATATTGATGTAAATAATAGAAAAAGGTCGTTGGATGGGAAGTAAATGATAAAATATTATTGGTCATTAGAATTGGTTGAATCTAAGGGTTTTGGACAGTTGAATTAAGAGAGAAATGAGTAGTTTAATATTCTACTTATGTATCTATAAAAGAGAGATAATTAGAATTCAATATTATTATTTAATTTTCTGATCATTTCCTTTAAGAGTTCCTCAGATAGCATAGGTAAATTAATTAATTATTATCATCCTTTCATACCCGACCATATATTTTTATTATGCATTTAATTTTTAGATGAACAAACAAAATTTGACTTACATAGTTAGCGATCATTCCAGACCAATCCAGCATGGATATCATGTAGATGATATTATAGAGAAAAAGCTAGTAATATCCTAGAACTCAGAGTTGGGTGCGAGTCTATTCAATAGCATAGAAGTAACACTTGAGAATTTAAATATAGGTTGAATAGAGGAAGCCTAAATAAGTGCTGCAAAAGGAATACGATTCCAGGAGTATACGATACGCAAACGAAGATTACTCATATTTAGCGAATTTGTTGTTGAGCAGATTTTCACAATTAGACACAGCAGCCTCTATTGCCACTCAATATCCATTATTTAAAATGTTAAGAGGTGTGGCAAAGAAATTTATGTTTAATGAGTTAGAAATCATATTCTTTCTGCACACAATTGAAGAATAGAAATGGAGATATGACGATTAATTGATTTCAGAGTTCTAGCCTTACTTTAAATAAGATTTCTTGAGCAACTAAGAAGTAATTAATTATAAAATTAATTATAATTAGAATTAGAATGTAGAAGGATTCAAAAAATTATTGTTGTTTCTTATTTGCTGTGGATATACAATCAAATGTTTTTTCAATGATTCTAATGATTAAGAAATTATATTAATAACAGATCATATATAACAATATTGTTAAAGAGAGTAAAAATTATATTTAAATTTAATATAGCTTTAAAAAACAATTATTAGATTTATGGCGGTAGAAACATTTGAATTGTGCATTGAAGATAGTACCCAGAGTTTTGAATAAGTTGTACAATAAATTGATGAAAATACAAAAAGAGGGGAAATAAGAGTTCCAATAGGATTACAATGCATTAGTCGATCAAATAATATAGATTTCTCCTGCTTACAATAATTAAGATGGTAAATAGATAAAGCAAGAAGTTAAACCAATCTAACAGCAACAACATCAATATCAACCACCTTTAACATTTAGCCAATAGACTCAGCAATCCAATTAACTATAAGCTGTTATGAACGCTTCAGGTATATATATGCAGTTTTCGCAATCATAAAATCTCCATTAATAATAAGGTCAATAACATTATTTCTAAACACCCTCTAATAATTAAGAGTTTTGTGATTCAAATATCAATGAAAATCTATTTCTAAATTCAACAAAAATCAAAGAGGAACCAACTTCAATTAAAACCAAAGAGGAACCAATTTCAACTAAAAACAGAGACGAAATTCCACCTCCCCCACCTTTATTGAGCGTAGCTTCTGGTCGGTTACACCAATGATAAATTAATTAAAATTATTACAATAAATTAGTCTCATCATATCTATTATTCAAACGCTTGAAATTGTTACTAGATTTCCTAATCTGATTTAATCAAAGAGAAATATAGTATCCGAATCTAAACTTCTCTTGTGAGCTCTTTTTATTTTTAATAACTTTAGATTTGCTAAATAAGTAGCAATGTCAGATCTTTCAACAAACATATGAAAGATATTTAAAATGTTCAATATTGTTTCATCTTTATCAATCGAATTAATTACAAATTCTAAACAATTAGGCATATACCCTTAAAAATTTAATTAGCCTTAAAGAGCTTTAAATTATTTGCACCAACCTCTGAAATAAGTGACAATAATAATATTCTTTAAAGATTATATGTTGAATCATAAATGAAATTAACAAATCTAAATAATCTTCAAAAGATATATATTTTGGATTGATTGACAAAAATAATTGTTTAGTAAACATATTAAAATACTCACAACTCAGTTACTTCATTTGATTCATATTAAGGACTTAATATTATTTCCTGATTCAAAAATTATTAGTTATTCAATTGTTATCTCAGCCAATTTTCATCAACTTCTCTTGTTTTGAAATTACTGATATCTAATCTTAACTATGAAACCTGGAATATTTAATTTGATTTACTAGTTTATTTAGACGACTTATTTCACTCTTTAAAGTAGAAATGATACCTTCCTAATTATTTATATCTGGAGTGGAGTGTGTTTGATCAAATCTAATATCATTTATGTATTTACTTAAATTTCAACATTTCAAATTCAATTTAGTTTTATTTTAATTATTCTTACATTCTCAAATTTTAGTCTTAAAGACTCTGAATAAAGTGCTTTGTTTCAATGTCATCCAGAGCATATATTTCAATTCTGTCTGCAATTTCATTTTCAGATTGGTTTTTCTTATTTAATTGCCATTCAGACACATCAATGTCCTTTGATTACTAACCTTTTTTACAAATGCTCTCATATTTATCTAATAAGATTTGGTATTTGCTTTATAAGTCGTAATAGGCTGTTTCAAATTAATAGTACCTCTCCAACAATTCTTCTAGGGCCAAACATTTAGAAGCAAGTTATGATTGAGACATTTTCATAAGTGATTTCAAGTTGGACATAAAATATATATTATAAAAAAAAACAAAATGTTAAAATCGATAATCATATAATAAATTATTATTATTTTTACATATTTATTAATTTTATGTCTTCTTTGATTCTAAACTTCATTTACATTTCTCATATTTATTCTCTATATAAATATTATATATATAATTTGATTAATCATGATTTATTATTATATTTATTTATTATATACAATTTCTTAAATTAAGCTTTTCAGATAAAGAGTAGGAAGATCAAAATTAGATGCAACAATTTTGTGAATATTGATTTGAAGGTAATTATAACTTCATTGTTATTTATTCATGAATAAACAATATAAACACAATTTCTAAAAAAGGCGGTCATTTATTGAATTCAAATAAATTTAATTGCTCGAAACTTTAGATTTAATTAATAGGATCTCTTCATTTAAAAGCTTGTTTCTTATAAGGTTTAGGAGTTTATTCAATTAATTTGATGGTTATTTTGAATATGATTTAGGTTTTACAACAATTTATTTTAAATCAGATTAAGAATAGTTCAGAGTTTCTAAAACTAGTTAACACGTAATTTGGAATGATATATTCATTAAATACCTTTTATTGATAAACATAATATAATTATAATATTTTTAAATATTAAATTAAATGTTTGATGGTATTTCTTAATTTACAAGAGAATAATTTTATATTAACATTTTTTCTCAGTTAATATACACAAACACCAAAAACACATGAAAGTGATGTCATTATTTGATCACTGGATTGATTATCGATTTTTTTATTTAAAGAAAGTGGAATTCATAATATAGTAAACTTTGTTTGCTTTATTTGAGGTTTATAATTTCAACTGTTATTTTAATCAAAACTTTATAAAATTAGAATTGAATAGAGCATAGAAGAATATGGCCACAAAATATACATAGAAATTAATTAAATAATGTTCAATCTAAAACGGGATTGAACTCTAACAATTATGATAAAATTAGTTAATTACTTTATTTTAAAATAAATTGGGATTTTATAGCAACTTTAAATATAGTTTAAATAAAATATCATTTTATTTATTTGTAAAGACATTCTTTTGGTTTTGGATAAAGTTTTTCTAATGATGCCTCATAGTTTTAGATTGCTAAATTTTAGTTTGTATCAGTTAGGTATATCCAATATAAATAACCATACAGTTTTCCATCCTATTCTATAAAAATTTGAACTTATTTAATTTTAACATAGAATATTTTTCCATTAAAATTTTACACTTCCATTTCAAATATTTATTGATCATTAGAAACTGCTTCAAATACCTAATTCCAAATTTGTAAATAATTGTTGACTCTAATAGCACAAGGAAGTGTTTTTGTTTCCCTCAAATATTCCTCAATCATGTCAATTGTAATACCCATCAAATGGAGAAACTTTATATTATGTGTATATTTTAGTATCACAGATTCATGTCTTTCATGTCGAAATGTATAGCATTCATAGGGATACTTGGAAGCAAGTTCTTCCACTTAATTTATTTCGAATTACGTAGAAAAGGGGATTGATGCAATTTGCTCATATCTTTACAGGTATTTACTCAAATTCGTACATGCCTTTTCCATTTTCATTAATTTCAACATCTGATATATTGTAGATATATCAGCTAATTCAAAGTCTCTCACTTGAAAATGATATTCCATCTTCTGTTATCTGACTTCAGTTTAATTAACAGAGTATCCGATACTGAATATATTGATCCCTAATTCTCCAAGTGTGTTCTCATTGAATGTGGTTAAGGCAAATTGTATGTTTTCTTTGGTTCTAAAGNTAATATAATTATAATATTTTTAAATATTAAATTAAATGTTTGATGGTATTTCTTAATTTACAAGAGAATAATTTTATATTAACATTTTTTCTCAGTTAATATACACAAACACCAAAAACACATGAAAGTGATGTCATTATTTGATCACTGGATTGATTATCGATTTTTTTATTTAAAGAAAGTGGAATTCATAATATAGTAAACTTTGTTTGCTTTATTTGAGGTTTATAATTTCAACTGTTATTTTAATCAAAACTTTATAAAATTAGAATTGAATAGAGCATAGAAGAATATGGCCACAAAATATACATAGAAATTAATTAAATAATGTTCAATCTAAAACGGGATTGAACTCTAACAATTATGATAAAATTAGTTAATTACTTTATTTTAAAATAAATTGGGATTTTATAGCAACTTTAAATATAGTTTAAATAAAATATCATTTTATTTATTTGTAAAGACATTCTTTTGGTTTTGGATAAAGTTTTTCTAATGATGCCTCATAGTTTTAGATTGCTAAATTTTAGTTTGTATCAGTTAGGTATATCCAATATAAATAACCATACAGTTTTCCATCCTATTCTATAAAAATTTGAACTTATTTAATTTTAACATAGAATATTTTTCCATTAAAATTTTACACTTCCATTTCAAATATTTATTGATCATTAGAAACTGCTTCAAATACCTAATTCCAAATTTGTAAATAATTGTTGACTCTAATAGCACAAGGAAGTGTTTTTGTTTCCCTCAAATATTCCTCAATCATGTCAATTGTAATACCCATCAAATGGAGAAACTTTATATTATGTGTATATTTTAGTATCACAGATTCATGTCTTTCATGTCGAAATGTATAGCATTCATAGGGATACTTGGAAGCAAGTTCTTCCACTTAATTTATTTCGAATTACGTAGAAAAGGGGATTGATGCAATTTGCTCATATCTTTACAGGTATTTACTCAAATTCGTACATGCCTTTTCCATTTTCATTAATTTCAACATCTGATATATTGTAGATATATCAGCTAATTCAAAGTCTCTCACTTGAAAATGATATTCCATCTTCTGTTATCTGACTTCAGTTTAATTAACAGAGTATCCGATACTGAATATATTGATCCCTAATTCTCCAAGTGTGTTCTCATTGAATGTGGTTAAGGCAAATTGTATGTTTTCTTTGGTTCTAAAGTATTGTCTCTAGTTAATATTTTTTGGAAAAATAAATGAGGTCACAAACTCTTTTGGCTTAACGATTGAGTTTTGAGATAAGCCTTTGTTTTTAGAATTTATTTTCTTTTTTTTAATGCTTTTATCAAGAGGAATAAGAGCACGCTATATTTTAATCGGGTTCATTTTATTTATATTTAAAATAAAGGTATCTTTACAGAGTATTAAATAAAAATGCAGTCTCATGTAATCATAATTTATTTATCTATTTTTAGGATAGAAAACAATATAAATAGATTTCATAGTATATAAAACAACACATTTTAAATTATCTGAATAAACTCTTTTCCTAAATTCCATTTATAAATATAATAATTAATACTGAAAATATTCGATAACAAAACTTATCCTTATTACAAATTATTATGATAATAATCTACCAAATATATATATCAATTCATTTTCTCTAAATGATAACAGACTGATTCAATAATGTTCTTTATTGGAGCATCTCCTGAAGTCTTGAAAATGACTGAAGCGTATTTTGCAGTTCCATCAATTAGTTATTTTAAATCCTCCCATCTTTTCAATCTAATGAATAGCAATAAAAAATTACCTTTGTTGCACAACATCTCTTTTTTCATTAGGTGCTATTATCAATCTTGATTTGACTTCTCTATCTGCTTCATCAATAGAGTTGTAGATTCTTCCAGATATAGGGTCAGTCCTTCGCTAGGTTAATCTTGTTAAGACAATGTCATCGGTAGCATCAATAATGACAATTAAAGTGGGTTAGATGTTGAATTCATTTAATGTTTCCAGTTATTATTAAGTTTTAGGATATCCATCAAGTACATAGCCCTACAATTGACAATCAGTCTAATTGATTCTTTCCTTAATAAGAGCATTGATAATTCTGTCATCCACTAGATCTCCTTTATTAATTTTTTCAAAGGCTTCCTTACCAGTAGTGCCTTTTTGATTAACCAAATTCGATATTAATTCTCTTGTTGATATATAGACAAATCCATATCTTGAACATAAGTGTTTAGCTAGAGTAGATCTACCTGATCCTGGAGGTCCTATGACAAGTATTCTTCCAGCTCTGGTTGGTGCATTGTTGTATAATTTATATTTAAGTCTTTACTACAATAAGGATATGTATATTTAATACAGCCATGTCTTCTAACTCAAAGTTTTTTTCTCCATCAACAGAGAAATACTGATTTTTATAGATTTCCTTAACTTATTTAAGATTCAATTGGTATTCTAATGAATGGTTTCTTGCCAATTCTTCCTTCTTGCCTAGTTTGTTGAATGGTTCTGTGTCCAATTTTTTGAGACAACATTAATATATATAGTCATCAGACATTTCCAGTATTAGAAAGGCATCAGGAATGATTCCTTCCTTTTAAAATGCTAAGCCTTAGACTCTAGTTTTAGGGAATCCTTCAAAAATATAGCTCTTTTTTTCATTTTCCAAATGCTAAATTTGATTCAATGCAATATTGATAGCGATTTCATCATTCACATACTGAAACTTATCCAAAGAATCTTAAATTTATTAACTCTATAGATAGAATATGTACTTACTAATTCAGATTTCTTGCTTAACTCTTTTTTAATCAAATCACCAAGTGAAACACAATGGAATTTCATGTATTCAGCAAGTGTAAGGGAAAGTTCAAGTAATTTTGATCCAGGAGGTCCAATTATGAATATTTTTTTTGCTTAAATGAATGTTGAATAGTACTTTCTGGTTCTTGTAATTTATTGATTAGGAATTGGATTGGATCATCTGGTTTTTTAATAATAAGAGATTTGAGTAAGTCTTCAAAGATGCTATATACTTTATTTCCTTCTAAGTATTTCTCTACTTGCTATTGGTATTATAACTTATTTGCTTGATCCATAAGTTATACTTTTTAATGAATATATTTATAATTATAATTAAAATAGTATAAATGTGGCATTACCCAATTTAATAATATTAAACTATGTAATTAAGATTGCAAAATTCAAATCAATTGATCATTCGCCATCTGAACTTGAATCTGAATCCAATCCACTGATAATAAATTCCTGATCTTATTTTCCAGTCACCTTTTATTCACCACCATTTTCCCTTCTCTCAATAGCTTGTACATTCCTCAGTAGTTTTTATCTTAACTCTTCATCTGCTTCATTCGAGCTTTCTTCTCCCCTTGAATAATCTTGTTTCCTTTGATCATAATCTTCATAAGGTGTACTTTATTTTGTTGAAACTTCATTTTTAGATGTGTAATTATCTTAAAGGTGAAACTTCTCAATGTGGTTCCTCAAAGGTAATTTGCTTGTATATTGTTTTCCACAATATTAGCAATTCGTCTTTTCTTTGTTAGAATTATACAAAAAATCTTAGTTTTGAGATCTCTTTTTCAAATTTAACAGGGAATTACTGGTTCTATTTAGACTGCTATCTCCTTGTTTGATCTGGTTGAATAGTCGTGTGTATTTGTCAGTCAATAGTTTCTATTCATTGAGGTAATTGCTAATGAAGTCGGCCAACTTATAATTCATAAAAATAATAACAAATTCCAAAAGGATTTGTAAAGGAAGTTCAAGACCAATTATTTATATGATTATAAAAATAAAGTAGTGAAATAATCATCTTACGGGAAATTTTCAAATAATCAAAGATAACTATTCTAACTCAAATATTATTGGTTATTAGAGTTGTCTTCAATAATTTGTTATCGCATTAGTATTTGTTTAATCATTAAATTTTAGTTCAACATTAAGGAACTAAAGCTAATTCACTTCATATTTAAATAATCTCTAATGATAGAAAATATAGGATGTTGATGCCAAATACATATCATTGATTATTTCTGAACTTTTTGAAATAGATTTAGTAAAGAGAATTGTTATTAGGATAATTAGCACTATTATTGACACTAGAAATAGATTTCATTTATGAAATATATATTTATGTATTAAATTATTATGAAAATTATAAATAAATCTTCTATTCCTTTGGCTTAAATAATAAAATATTAATTTAATATTGATTTTGATCGACAACACTAGATATTATCCAATAATATTTTAAGAATGATTAAAGCTGTCTATAATCAATTTATTAACTAAAACAGATTAACTAATTGTATCCTTAAATATATACCATTTTATAAATTCTTCTGTGTATTTTGATAAAAAATAATTAAAGTGAAAATGTAAAACTTATATTAGAACTCCAAAAAGGTTGATATGCTAAAGATTTTCTTTGATAATATATTATTAATTACATATAAGTTTTTCTTTAAATATTACTATCTTTATTTCAAAGTGTGATGGTGAAAATTTATTTTAAATATATTAATTTTCAAACTATTTTTTAATTTAATAATGTATTTTTTATAATCCAATACATATTTCATTTTTTAAATCAAAATTTATTTTAAAAACAACATAATTATAAGTTGTGAATAAAATGATTTTATACAGTATTTAAAATGTTTAAAAGTTTTGAGAATTGATTATTTATATTTGAAAATTAATCATTACTAATTAATATTAGTTATTTTAATTATGAAATAATAGGCAATCGGAATGAATAAATCAGCAAATCTTAGTAGATAATCCTCCTTCACATCTCAGACATCAAATTCGGATAAAAGAAATAAAACTAATTCTTACGTATCAATATCACCTCGCTTCGATCCAGAAAAGGGTTTGTAATTTGAAAATAGTGTGAAAGAAGTTAAAATCAAAGATGCTGAAACAGATCCTTAACAATATAATTAGAATAAATAAAACTCCGGGAAATTCAAGAAACAATCAAGTTTTACTTTAAAAACTTCAAAGGATGATTAAATGAAAAAAAGCTAGTTCAGTAAAAATTAAAGAGCAGATAGCTTAGGCCCTTAAAAATTATAATGAATCATATAAATTATTTTTATTTATCGATAACATAACTTCAAATTGAGGCGATTAGAATAGTCTCAATACTCAATTTATTACTTTTAAATTCATTATATTAACATAATTTTTACATTTAATTAAACATTCATAAAGAAAACTAATTATTAATTATATAAGTGTTCAATAAATTGTATCCAAAATGATAAATTTGTAATAATTATTTCAATAATTATAAATAATATTCTTAATTTGAAGTTTGGAAATATAATTAAAAAGAAATAAAATTAAGCCATCCAATAATAGTGAAAGCTTAATAAATTTCAAAATTGTCTAGGATTAATCATTAAATTATCATATTTTAGATAATTATTATATATATAATTCGAAGACCTTCCAAAATTGTAGAAAATGAAAAAATATAAAAAATTGAAAAATAGATGTTTTGATCAATAGAATTATACTAAAATAAATTTATCAATTTGATTTGTTTATATACATATTTATATAGAATCTGTTCTATTCTGTGTTAATAATATTTAAATATAAAAATGAGCATGTAATAGGAATATGATTACCTTTTCAAGATACTTTTAATTGGAAACTCAGCAGTTGGTAAATCGTCATTGTTACTTCGATTTGCTGATAATGTATTCAACGAAAGTTTCTTGCCTACCATAGGTGTAGATTTCAAAATTCGTACTTTTGATTTGAATGGGAAGACAGTAAAGTTGTAGGTAGTTTTAAAACAAAATTTAGATTTGGGACACTGCAGGGTAAGAAAGATTCAAGACAATAACAAACTCTTATTATAAAGGAGCTCATGGAATAATATTAGTTTATGATGTGACTGATAAGTAATCATTCAAGGATGTGGAAAATTGGTTAGCTGGTAATAATATTAAATTAATCAAATAGAGGTGGAGAAATATGCAAACGAGAATGTTGTAAGAGTGCTGGTGGGTAATAAAGTTGATTTGGAAAGCAAAAGAGAAGTTACATCCGAAGAAGGAAAAGAACTTGCTGATTCTTTGAACATACGTTTTATAGGTAGTTATGAAAAATAATGACAGAAACCTCTGCAAAGAATTCATCGAATGTTGAGAAAGCTTTCATAACTCTAGCAAATGAAATCAAAGCAAAGGTTGCAAAGAGCAGCGAGGCTGTTCCAATAAAGACAGGACCTCGTATCACTCCAGACCAATAATAGAATACAGTCAAAGATAATGGATGTTGTTGACACAAATTATAACAATATTATTATTTATTCAATTTGTGGGTTTATATTATGATACAATTATCTAAGGAGCTTAATAATTTGTATAATCTCTAGATCCAATTCTATCAACAATTTGTGAGGACACATTATCTTCTTTTGGATACAAATTTCTAAGATAGATTTATGCATTACTTCTCAACATCATTAGTGATGATCACTTATTTGGTTGTTGTTGTCGTACTATTCTAAATTGGTTAGAATTGGTAATTTTAAGAAATGGGAGTGGGCGAAGGTAGATTTTATGAAGATGATTGATAAATTTTGGATGTTGTACTCTATTAAACATAACTTGTAGTTTAAACAATTGGTTATTGTTATTGAATAACTGTAGATGAGGTAGTAATTTATTATTATTATGTTGGAGATCTTTTAGATTATCTTATTTTAACTTCTTATAGAATATTGATTTGAGATTCATATTCAGTAATCTAAATTAAAATTATTTCTTACTTTTTAAATCATGATATTGATTCTGGATTCTTGGTCTCTTTTAATATTTTACAATCTTTCTACTTCTAATTAGAGTGTCTCAATTTAGGTTTCTAATTCTCTAATTCTTAATTCCTTTGTTCTTACTTGTTCCTTTATTACTAACACAGTGTTAGTATTAACAGAATTTGAATTAGAATTTAAAGTCATTTCTAGTTCAAGTATTTTTTAATTCTTTTGTTAAATGATTTCAGTTAGCTCTTTGATTTTTGGTTCATCTGTAAGTACTACAGTTTTTTCAATTAATGATTGGGTATTCCTAGTTTCATATTCCTTAGTTCTTATTTCAAATTCCCTAATTCTGGTTTCATAAACTGAAATTTTGTTCTGTTGTTCTCTGAGTTTTGCTTCCAATTCTCTAACTTTTGAATCATCATAACTTAATTTTAGTTATTATGTTGAAAATTATTGAGATTACAATTCTTTGATCCTTAATTCTAATTCTGAAACCTATCGATAGTAGGTATCCCTTTCTCTTCTCAATGAATCATCTTATGAATTTCTAATAGAAGTTGTTTGCAACTCTCTGATTTTCATTTCTAATTCTTAAACTAATCTCTAATAGGTATCTCTTTCCCTTTTCAAAGTAATGTATTGTATATCATTTTCAATGTTAATAGTTGTGACATTAGTAACAGATTTACTTCCCTACTTGATCAAAGCATCATATTCAATTCTCAATTGATCATATTCTTTCAACCTAATTTCAGTCTAAAAGTAACGATTCATCCAAACTTCAAGTTCTTATTACAGATTTTACAACTCCTTAGATAAATTTTCGACACTCTTATACTTTGAAGAGTTTGAATCTACAATGTCTTTGTATCTAAGGTAATTTGCATTTTATTCATTGTATCTGATTGATAATTCTGAATATGTTTCTTCAAGTTCTTTGATTCTCAACATAAATGTATCACAATCTTTTTCCAATTATTCAATCTAAATTTCTAATTTCCACTTTTCTTATTCTATTTCTTCAAATCTTTCTGAATTATATACATTAGCTGATATCCTATATCCTTCCATTTCCTGATTTTATTGATCAATTTTAGATTGTGCAGCTTCCAATTACCTTCTCAATTGATCTAATTAACTTTCGTATTCAGCAATTTATTATTATTATTGAGTCATTTTGGATGATTATTACATACTCATTTATTATGTCATTTATTAACTAATGGTAAGACGAGTCCTTTGCATTTCTTATTCTTTTTCTCCCAATAAACGGTTCAATTAATCAATTCTTGCCAATAACTTCGCTTCGTCTGAAGTTTAATGACGTGCTTCTAATACTTTGCATCGATCTTTCCATTATCCCAATTCATGAATTAGTGCCTCTATATCTGCTTCCAATGTATTCACTTTATCATTCTAAGATAATTTCACTCTTATTTCTTAACTTTCCAAAATAGCAGCATCATATTTCTCCTTCCATCTTTGAATTTCTAATCGCAATTCTTGAATCAATGATTCCTAATCACTTAATTGTTATTATATCAAATCAACACTTTGATATTTTTCAAATTTCTTTTTTGCTTCTAATTCAAATAATTTTAATTTATTTTAATAATACGCTAGCTGTTTTAATTATTCAGCATTGTCTTTATCTTTTTATTCAAGTTCTGAATATTTGCGTTTCCATTACTCTATCTCAACCATTAACTTATCAATCTCTTGTCTGCTTTTTAACTCGCTTTCACTTCTTAACATCATTAATTCTTTCTAAGTGGCCTCCAATTCCTATTAAGTAATTAAAAGCTCTTTTCTAAGAATGGTTACATCAGAGCTAGAACTCGATTTGTAGCTGGCTACTTCCCTCTTTAATTACTCAATAACTTCTCTAATTATGCGCATCTTAATTACCTCATTCTTAGATTGTCTTAGATCAACTCTTCATAATGATGTTGTCTTTCTGCCTCTGATTTCTCATAAGTTTTAGTGCGTTGAACAACCATGAAATCTTTATCATCAACTTTTCCAAGTAACTATGTTGAAGCCCAATTCGCTTATTGAGGAGTCACTTAAATGGTTTCTTCCTTATAACGGATCTATTGGGTTTCATATTATGTTGTTTAAAATGTCCCAGATTATCCAGACTATCTCATTGCTTAATATGATCTGCTATAATTCATTATTATTTAATTTATGAAGATACTCTTTGTAATAATTGATGGCGTTGCTGATGTTGGTACTCCAGAGACTCAATTTATGACTCCGCTTCAATTGGCTGAAATTCCTACTATGAATCAAATAGTCTCAACTGGACTTGCAGATTTGATGGACCCAGTGGAGCAAGGGCTTTCTTGTGAGAGTCACATAGCTCATATGAGTATTTTTGGCTACGATCCGTTTACGTTTGATAGAGGCAGAGGAGCATTAGAAATCATGGGTTCTAGAATTGATATGCAAGTATGAGACATAGCTTTTAAATGCAATTTTGTTTATTTGGAGAACGGGATTATGAAATTAAGAAGAGTAGATAGAAAATTCCCTTAATGGGGTCTACCTCTGATTGATGCCTTTAATACTCAATTAAGGACTACCATTTAAATATAATCAAATCATGCTACAGAACATCGCATTGGATTAAAAGTATTCTGGTCAATTGACAAATGAAATCATAGGCACTGGTCCATCCAAAGATAATCTACCATTGAAATAAGCTAAACCAAAAGTACAAAGCGAAAAAGAATCAGAACTGCCAAAAACATCAATGAACTATCTGATGCTATCGATTTAAATTCTATTTAAAGAATTAAAATAACTCTAGCAGTTACTGGAGATCATACTGCTCCATATGCTTATGAGGATCATAGGTTTTTAGAGTATACCATTTATTGTAAGTAAATTAAGCTTATTGAATGATAAAAGAATGACATTTAAATTAATGAGATTTCATGGAAGATAAGTGATGTAGATTATAAAATAGTATAGTTCTTGATTAAATTGATTATAATTAACATTTTTTGTTTTGAGTTTAATCTATTAAGCATTGAAAAATTATATAAAGAATAAGGAAAATCACCAAAATGATTTTAACAAAATAAATGGAATAATTAGAGAAGGCAAGTGAATATTTAAATAGCTTTGCTTAGCGTTATTATCTAAACAGAGTCAATGAAGGTGCAATCGAAAAAGAAAACGTTTCGAGAAAAAGGTTCTTCTTACGTTTGATTATTTTCATACTAATTATCCTTTAGCAAGTAAATTAGATCTGCCAAATTTTAAATTTAAGAATTAAAAAATTGTAAATAAATTAATCTACTATATTACAAGTACTTTGATAATTACAAGTACCAGAATTAGTTATTGTTGTTATGCACAAAGTAGATGAAGTGTTTGCATAACTAGTTAGAAACTTCCTTGAATTCCTGTCCAAATGCGAAAATTTTTAAATGAATTTGTATTATAAATTTATATAACTAAATTTTGGCATCGTTATATTCAATGAAGTTATTTATCTTGTCTTTGATTATGTATGATTTTGCATGGAAAAGAAGAGAAAATAGATTTGAATTAAATATTACTTGCTATGAGGTTAAGATCAAATATTGCTAGTACTTGGAATATTATTGGATTAAAGTAAAATACTTGTATTCTCACTTGCTTCCTTATGATGATGAAAAATATATAAATAAACTAATTTTGAAGCAAAATTCAATGTTTTACCAACCAATAAATTATCATAATCCAGATTCCCTAAGAATGAATTAATTCACATTTTTATAATATTTATCAATATTCAACTTTACTATTATGTCATATTATGTATTATGTCTTTAGATTAGAAATAAGTGATCATTTAGACTTCACCTTAATTCAGATTATAAGAAACAAAAATTAATTAATTTATACTATTCTGATAGAGGAAGATTTTTTTTAAATTAATAAAATAGACATATTATTATGATGATTAACTAAATGAAAAATGCGTCATTTAGTATTAATTTATCGTATAATGCGCATATAAATAGGTATTAAATAGTCAAAATACTTTTATTATGATCTAATTTATTAAATATCCAAGGAAATGCACTCTCAACATGTTAAATTAAGTGATGACCCAGAATTATCTGCTGTTTGTTCAGCTCTCCTTCTTGCTTTCATTGAGAATTCTCGAGTTTTAAGATATTGTTCAGGAGGTGGAGATTATACAAACACTCAAAATGACTTTGGAGACCATCAATTAGAAATGGATGTTCAATGCGAATTGAATGTTAACACAGAATTGAAGAAAACAGGATTTGTAAGTCATACAGCCAGCGAAGAAACACCAGAAGTATTATGATATTATATGTATTTTTAGATGAAGCTATTATCTGAAGGAGGAAGGTTTATAGTAACATTTGATCCCTTGGATGGAAGTTCAATTATTGGAACTAACTTTGCTGTAGGAACCATTGTGGCCATATGGAAATCAGATGATAAGTTATTGATTGGAAAGAGAGGAAGAGACATGGTATCTGCCTGCTGTTGTCTCTATGGTAGTCGAACCAATGTTGTCTTTTGGAATGAGAAGGAATAAAAGGTCTAAGAATATACATTATTTGGTATCACCATCATATTATAATCATTAGACGGAGATAAATAGGGTCATTGGGAATTGACAAAAGACAACATCAAGATCAAACCTAAAGGCAAGTTGTTCAGTCCAGGCAATACTAGATGCATTGTTGATCATATCCCATATAGAGAGGTTGTTGATTATTGGATTCACAATGGCTATACACTTAGATACTCTGGAGGCATGGCTCCAGATATTTGCTAAATCTTCTTAAAGGAGGTTGGAGTCTTTTCATGTTTTGGAGATGCAAAAAATCCATCGAAACTCCGATATCTATATGAATGTGCCCCACTATCCTTCTTAATAGAGAAGGCTGAAGGAAAATCATTCAATGGCAAACATTCAGTTCTAGACACTGAAATTACAGGTTATCAATAAAAAAGTGAAATTATTGTTGGTAGTGCTGAAGAAATCGAATTTTTCAAATCAATTTGGAAGAAGCATGGTATATTAAAGGAATGATGGTGTAATGTATAAATTATTATAAAATTTATATCTAAGAAATATCATTTTTCATAATTATTTATAAAATTTATTGCATACATAATTTTATAATAATTTATTTAATCATTTTACATTATTAGNCTATTCTGATAGAGGAAGATTTTTTTTAAATTAATAAAATAGACATATTATTATGATGATTAACTAAATGAAAAATGCGTCATTTAGTATTAATTTATCGTATAATGCGCATATAAATAGGTATTAAATAGTCAAAATACTTTTATTATGATCTAATTTATTAAATATCCAAGGAAATGCACTCTCAACATGTTAAATTAAGTGATGACCCAGAATTATCTGCTGTTTGTTCAGCTCTCCTTCTTGCTTTCATTGAGAATTCTCGAGTTTTAAGATATTGTTCAGGAGGTGGAGATTATACAAACACTCAAAATGACTTTGGAGACCATCAATTAGAAATGGATGTTCAATGCGAATTGAATGTTAACACAGAATTGAAGAAAACAGGATTTGTAAGTCATACAGCCAGCGAAGAAACACCAGAAGTATTATGATATTATATGTATTTTTAGATGAAGCTATTATCTGAAGGAGGAAGGTTTATAGTAACATTTGATCCCTTGGATGGAAGTTCAATTATTGGAACTAACTTTGCTGTAGGAACCATTGTGGCCATATGGAAATCAGATGATAAGTTATTGATTGGAAAGAGAGGAAGAGACATGGTATCTGCCTGCTGTTGTCTCTATGGTAGTCGAACCAATGTTGTCTTTTGGAATGAGAAGGAATAAAAGGTCTAAGAATATACATTATTTGGTATCACCATCATATTATAATCATTAGACGGAGATAAATAGGGTCATTGGGAATTGACAAAAGACAACATCAAGATCAAACCTAAAGGCAAGTTGTTCAGTCCAGGCAATACTAGATGCATTGTTGATCATATCCCATATAGAGAGGTTGTTGATTATTGGATTCACAATGGCTATACACTTAGATACTCTGGAGGCATGGCTCCAGATATTTGCTAAATCTTCTTAAAGGAGGTTGGAGTCTTTTCATGTTTTGGAGATGCAAAAAATCCATCGAAACTCCGATATCTATATGAATGTGCCCCACTATCCTTCTTAATAGAGAAGGCTGAAGGAAAATCATTCAATGGCAAACATTCAGTTCTAGACACTGAAATTACAGGTTATCAATAAAAAAGTGAAATTATTGTTGGTAGTGCTGAAGAAATCGAATTTTTCAAATCAATTTGGAAGAAGCATGGTATATTAAAGGAATGATGGTGTAATGTATAAATTATTATAAAATTTATATCTAAGAAATATCATTTTTCATAATTATTTATAAAATTTATTGCATACATAATTTTATAATAATTTATTTAATCATTTTACATTATTAGATATGCAATTATTAACATTCATAACTTTCAGTGTGCTGATATTTATGGTAATTAAATAATTATAAATCTTTATTTTTCTCCTCCTAATGTACTTTTATTGGTAGTTTTTCCTTTTTAATTACTAATTCTTATTAATTGATGACTCTTTATATTATTATTGTTTGAATTTATAATACTAACTTATTTTCTAGATGTATTAAATTAATGATTATAAATAGAATTTATTTAATAATTATATTAAGCACAATTTTAGTTTCTAAATTATGAATTATTCAGGTTTAAACATTTCAAAATACGAGATTGGAATAATTAAAATCATTAAGAAAACTAACTAACCTATACTGAAATTTATTTAATATTTCATAAAATCTACTTAAAGGAATCATTGAATAATTAATCATTAAGTAAATTACGATATGATAATTGTACCTCTTCTAGCCAATTTGATGAAATTCTCCTTGAAACTTTTTCGTTAGATATATTTGTATCAAATATTAGTTAAATTAATATTATATTAATATATTTAAATATATATCAAAAATGCTGATTTGATATACTTTTATAAACAAATATTATTAATTCTATTGATATGGCTATTAGATTAAGCATAGAAACAATAATTTAATAAATTTACTTTACAATCCTAATTAAGCATATTTACTATCCATTAAATCTTTGAATTTGAGTAATTTTTTAAACGAGTTAATTTTTCAAACTCTTATAAATATTCCCTTATAATTTACTTTGATCAAATTCAAGGAGGAGCATTTATATTAATTGGAATATTATTGGTTAATTGAGTAATTAGGGTTTGAATTTCATTTGATAGTGTTTGGCAGCTTTTCGTAATAATCATAATTTGATTAAGTGAATTATTATTTAAAAATTAAAATAAACTTTATATATTAATTATATACATGTATCTAGATATAAGTTATTTGAGACCCAAGAGTTAGTAATTCCTTAACAAACACTCAAGTAATGTAATAAGATTTAAAATCTAGAATTCTATATTAAATCTGGAACAGAAGGAATGATAGTTAGAAACATTTATGAAAAGGTTGATTACGAAGAATATGAAATCAAATCGATTGAAGATTTCAAATCAAAGATTCAAGTGTCTCTGCCCAATTCGTGGAAGACAAGTGACTATTTGAAAATGCTAATATCGGCAGATTTTTCTATTTAAGGGGCGTTATAAGTACCTCAAAATAAATATTTAGAGAATTTATAAATTCATCTAGGTTGGTTGAATCTATATTAGAACTTGGAACCAAACATAAACTAATTAAAAAGTGGAGACTTTTATATTTTTGGAATAGATAAGTAATCGAGACCAGTCATAATAATAAAGCATCTTGAAAATGAGAACTTTTTAACCTTTTAATATTTACTGGAAACAGTGAAGCGATAGGTATTGATTCCTTACTTTGTTGAAAATTGGACGATTATTTACGATTGCCAAAATCAGGAATACAATTTTTATGAAATTGATGTAAGACTTATTTATAATTGAAGTTCAATTTCGAGAATATTAAAGAGTTGATGATTAATTTCTGTGGAAATTTAAATAATCTTCTTATCGTAAATTCTCTATTAAATTTTTAACAAATTCTCAATTACATCCCTAACAAAACCTAAATCCACTCCAAAATTAAATTGATAAACAATCTAGATGACTTGTAATAATACATTTTGAAAGAATAACTAGAAGAAAAATATAATGGAGAATGTTCAAATGTCAACATCTTTTGGTATAGTATTTAGAGATGAATCTAGGCCTCCCCAGATCCCATAAGTCTCAGAATTGTTGAAACATGTTACCTACGATTGTTACGAAGACTAATAATACGGATTAAGGAGACTATAAGATTTTAAGGGGAGAAATTTAAGAAAATTTTCATCACTAGGGAGACTATCACATTAACATTCAAAGACAACAAGTATGAAGAAATCAATAGAATCTGCAACTTCCAGCAGTCATCTTAAAATTTTGGTTCATGAAGAAAATGGAAATTAGTTAATTTAGGAGGAAATAGAGGTACTTAATGCTTAAGGAGATTCCGAATTTGAGAACTTGAAAAAAAATGATTTAAATATGTATAAAACTGAATCTGTGGGTCTTTAATAATTAGAAGAGAATAATAAATAACGTTAATACTAAACGATTCTTGAGAATGAAAATGAAATTGAATAAAAATGCTGCTCAGATAAATTTAATTGTATGATATTTTGATTGATTTTATACTTAATTAAAATTTAAATATAATATGTTCTTGTTCTATCAGGGCCACTGAGTAAATTATAAGAAATATAATATTTGAATTAATAGATTCAGAGTGATACACATTAAAGTATCAATGAATAAATAAATAATATCCAATCAAGATAATGATGAGTTCTTTAAATATATATTTATAACAATAAACTTTGGGTAAATTAGGTATCTTAATTTTGATTGTTGATTATTTCTTTTGTTAATTATCATAATAATACTTAATAATAATATTTTTATTAAAATGGAAGACGAATTAATATGGTATTATGTAGACACAAACGAATAAGAGCCACAAAAACAAACCAAAGGACCGATATCAATAAGGGATATTGATGTTATGCTAAGAACTAGTATCATAACTTCGCGTAAATAATAATCTTTACATTTAGATACATTCGTTTATAAGGAAGGATTCACTGATTGGAAACCAATATTTTAGGTCGAAGAGTTAAAATTCTTTTTAGATGAATAAGAGCATGAAATGGTTTAAATTACTTGTGGTAAAGATATAAAAGCGGAAGAATAATAAGGATAGCAAATTCAATAATAGGATGAAAAAGAAAAAGATGAGGAGGTTGAAGATTAGGAAGATGACGAATCATTTTAATAATTGAATGATGAATAAAGAATGGAAATTTTAAAGAAGAAAATAGAAAAGAATAGAAAGAAATCACAAAAAGAAAAAGAAAAAAAAAAGAATTAATGGTACACTCCAAAAATAAATACAAATGTATATGTCGAAGGATTACCATAAGACATTACTGTTGAGGAGATGAAGGTGTTTTTTAGCAAAGCAGGAATTATCAGAATCAATCCAGAAAATCTATAACCTACAATTAAAATATATAGAGATTAAAATGGAAATTGTAAAGGTGATGGATTGATTTCCTATAAAATGGTTGAAAGTGTGCAGACAGCTAAAGAAATGTTAGATGGACTACACATTAGACCTAATGTTATTGTTAAAGTAACTGAAGCAGTTTTTGAATAAAAAGGATAATATAGAAAAAGGGAGAATAAGAAAATCGATAAACTATAAAAGGCATTAGCTAGACAAAAAGAAATGACACAATTGGCAGAGGAAGGATAGGAGGATGATGGAAAAGGACTAAAAATATTAATATTTAAGAATTTATATAGTCCTACATAAGCTTAAAATCCAGAATTTATGAACTAATTATATGGGGAATTATTGTTGAAAATAGAGGCTCTATAGATATATGTACAGAAATTAGAGTTCTTCAAAGATCATCCTTAAGGTAATAATTTTATTAAATTGAGGTGTGGCAAAGGTTAAATTTCATTCTGCATATGATGCTGAGATCTGTTTATCTAATTTAAATGGCATAGAATTTAATCAAAGGAAAATAAACATATAATATTGGGATGGTAAATAAAATTTCAAATCTAATATTGAGAGTAAGGAAGTTGAGGAATAAAGATTAGATGAATTTGGCTAATGGTTAGAGTAATAAGAGGATAGCGATAAAGAAGATAAGTATAATAAAATTGAATGAGTGTATGATAATTGAAATTTATTTATTTAACTCCTAATTTTTTTAATAATTTGATTTTGAATAGGGAATGAGTAGAGAAAACGCAATTTAATATCGATCTCCTTAATAAATACCCTCATCGAAAAAACCAAACATAGAAAATTGTCCACCCCAAAGAAATACTAATGAATTTATTAAATAGATGAAAAAAAGAGTAGATCAAGCTCCTCTAAGTGTTATGACCTAAAACTCTTAAATAAAAGATGCTCAATCCATTTTCATTGATATGTCACGAATTGAATAATAATCAAGCAACTCAAATAACAGTTTTTATGACCCCTTAAAATAACCAGTATTGCCATAATGCCATAGGTCAAATCAACCTTCTAATTGTACTACATAACGAACAAATAGGTATGATATGCAGAGGAATAGTAAACCATATTTAGATTAAAGTGAAAATATGGGATTGTTGTTGATTTAACAACAGATGCTATCTTTGTAAAATGAGAACATGAATTTAAAACAACAATTAGAAAAACAGGAAAGTTAAAGATTACTGTTTTAATAATAATTACTTTAGCAATTCTAGACCTAGCAATAACAACAATAGCAACCAATAGTTATAAATAATAATATAACATCCTTTGAAAAGCAATAATCATAATCAAAGTCTATCCCTCCTTAACACTATTAGGATGAAACAGAGTCTCCACCTAAAAGAATTTAGGGTAAAAAACAGCAATCTCAAGCCATTTAGACAGATAAATCAGTCTAAGATTAATCTATCATAACCTTAAACGAATCCTTTTAAAATGAATCTTTGTGTAATAGATCAAAGCAAATTATTTCATAATAATCATAAATCAGGCCTCCTTAGTAATAAAAATAAAGCATCGAATCTTTAACATTTGGTACTTAATTATCTTAAAGAAATCTAATTTCTTAATAATCATAATAATAATTATAGATCTAAACTCATAATTCCTAAAGTAGAAATTAAAGCTATCAATAAATTAATTAAGGTTCTATTGAATTATAAACAGAAAACACGCAGAAAGATTGTTAAATTCAAAATTAACGAGATATTTCAAGGAAACATTCTTAAATTGATATTATTAATTCTCCTGCTTTATAAGATCAAAGTTATTGTGCATATAATCCAGAATTACCCAAAAAATCCCAGCCAAGTGTGAAATTAGAATTTAATTTTGATGAGGGAACAAATAAAGGATCAAATAAAAAATGTCTAGCTGATTATTTCACATAAAGAAAGAAAACAACGAATTTCGATAGGAGAGTCTCAGTCTAAGCTCCAATATAGGAGGAAGATTAGAGTTGGATTGTAAATGTTAAATAAAGAAGTAAAGAAGAGTAAATCAAATTGAGAAAAGAAATGATGGAATATGGAAGGAACAAACGACAACAAAATAAAAGTCAAACTCCTGTAAACGAAGACAAAATTAGTGATCGAAAGGAATAGATTAAAAAATCGAAAAGCCCGTTAATGGAACGACTATCCATGGGATAAAAGGCAAAGGTAATGTTGGACCATATTTAGGTTGAAGAAAAGGAAATGTTTGCATTAACAAAAAAAAATTATGAGAATTTACCTGAAGTAAAAAAAAAGAAGAATTAAGAAGAAAGTATCAAATAAAAACAACAATTCATGAGAGAAAGATAAAATAAATTGAAAGAATTAGATGATGTAATAATAATCCATAATTTTAGAAAATCAAAGAAAAAATGAAAAAGCCTTGATTTGAAAATTAATAGAGTGTCTATAAGTCTACTATTTATTAAATATTAAATATTATTATTGATATCTAAAATTTCATTTGAGTTTTTCTTTACAAATGAACCAATTCATTTTAATTTAGATTCAAGAGGATCATTCTTTGAACCTGATCATAACATAGAGAACTGTAATACAGTATTAAAGCTATAGAATAATAATTACATATCTGTACCTTAGATTTACAATATACTACTTAATCAGCCTTTATAAGAATAAAATTATTTTTATTCTAGTTACAAAAATATTTTGCTTTATTAATTTAGTATAAAAAATTATAGAAACTTAAACTTAATAATAAATCAAAATTTTCTTTCTATTTTTAATATCTATTATTCTTAGAAATCATTTGTATAGTATTCAGCTATATCTATTTTAATTTTTCCATATTGTTTCACATTATAAATCTTGATAACAAATTAAAAAATGAAATTGTTCTCAATACATTTTCTTTTATCCATTTAATTAAACTAATTTACGAATTCTTCACTCTTTATTGTGATGCTGAGTTTGCATAAGAATTACGAAAATTATATTATGTTTTGATTAAAATATTATATTTAAATTTCTAACCATTTTTACGGCAGATTACTCAAATTTTCTAGTTATTGATATTTGGTAATTTTAAGATCGTTGTTTGTTCTAGTTGAAAACTAAAAGGGTTCATTTCTATTATAATATTAATTAATATTATTATGCATAAATTTGTGACTCCAGAAACTTTTGTTCATAAAGTTCAGAATGACTATTTTATTAAGAAGAAGCCCAGTCCGGATTAAAGGACAGGGAAAAAGAAATAAAATGAATAGGATTTCGAACTCTATTAAAACCTTAAAGATCTGAGGAACAATAATTAATTAATACGAAACAATCAAGGGTCGCTTAAGATCATTAATCCTTTGAGCAAATAAATTAATATGATGGAAACAAAGAAGCAATTGTAAGAGAAGAAAATGAGGGAAACTCAATTTTAATTGAAAAAGAAGAGCATGCTAAATGAAAATCAATAAAAGTTACAATCTGATCTGAAAAATTTAGACAAGATTAGTGTTAGTGCCTTTAAAGATTTTAAAGAATAAGTTAATCTTTATAATAAATATTACAGCAACACAATAGGATAGGAACCAGAAATCAAGGATATTCAGTATGAGGACCTAAATATTCCTTATCAATATGTGGATAATGGAAGTAAGTACACTTACAGGGAAATCTTAAATCATGAAATACCAGAAATAAACTATTAGAATGATCAGGCTAAGAATTTGATGGAGTAAGTTTACAGTATTACAATCATAGAACCATTCTCTAACTCAAGTTCTCGGATGAACAATTGGAGAATAAATTATTAAACAGCTTGAGATAGCATGTTGTGGTAAGAGAATTAGATTAAATGGAAAATGATTATTTGACGGCAATAAAAAATAATGATTTATCGACTTTAAAACTGATGTTGATATCTGATGACACTATAGTTAAAACGAAGGATATTGTAAATTCTGTATATATTAAGTAGATTGGATAAACTGGATTGCATTTGGCTGCGAAAAGAAACTATTACGATATTTGCTAGGAGCTGATAAATTATAACGTTGATTTATTTGCTATTGATTATGTAAAATACAAAGTAAATATTAGGCAAGTAGGACAGCAAGGCAATTGGCAGAGAAATACCATTATTATAAGGTTGCTAAGTTAATTTAGATGGAGGAGGATCAGCAAAATAAGAAGAGAAATATATAATCATGAAATACTTTATTATTAAATATCATTTCACACAATATTATATAGTATATAGCAATAATAAATATCAGTGAATTTAGTTGATAAATATTGTAAATAGGCAGTTATTTCGATGAGTCATATATAAAAAAAAAATTATAAAAGAAATTCTTGAAAAATCAATATTATTCTTATTTATATTAATAATAATGGATATCGATGTCGATAAAGTAAGTAATTTAAAAGTATGAAGATAATTGAAAAACTTTTAGAAAGCAAAGGAGCTAAATCAGGAAAAGCAGTAAATCTAACGGAAAATGAAATCCGTTCTTTGTGTATAAAGAGTAGAGAGATATTTTTAAGTCAACCAATGTTGCTAGAATTGGAAGCTCCAATAAAAATATGTGGTAAAATGTTAAATGTATGTAGGTGATATACATGGGTAATATACCGATTTATTGAGGCTATTTGAATATGGAGGGTTTCCACCAGAGGCAAATTATTTATTTTTAGGAGATTATGTTGATAGAGGAAGGCAGTCATTAGAAACAATCTGTTTGTTGTTGGCTTATAAAATAAAATACCCTGAAAACTTCTTTTTATTGAGAGGTAATCATGAATGCTCATAAATAAATCGTATATATGGGTTTTATGATGAATGCAAAAGAAGGTACAATATAAAATTGTGGAAAACCTTTACTGATTGCTTTAATTGTTTGCCAGTATGTGCAGTGATAGATGAGAAAATTATCTGCATGCATGGAGGACTTTCACCAGAATTGTCAAATTTGGAGTAGATTCACAGAATAATGAGACCAATAGAGGTGCCAGATACAGGATTATTGTGTGATTTATTATGGTCGGATCCAGAGAAGGATATACAAGGTTGGTAAGGTAATTAATAATTTAAAATAATATAAAGATAATGAGAGAGGAGTTTCCTATATATTTGGAACTGATGTAATAGCTAATTTTTTGAAGAAAAATGATATGGATTTGGTTTGTAGAGCCCATTAAGTGGTAGAAGAAGGATATGAATTTTTCGCAAAAAGACAATTAGTGACACTATTTTCAGCTCCAAATTATTGTGGGGAATTCGACAATTCAGGTATAGAATCCGTTTAATAAAATAGGTGCATTGATGAGTGTGGATGAAACATTGATGTGTTCATTTCAAATTCTAAAATCACAAGATAAAAAAAATGTTCCATAAGGTAGACCAAGAACACCCAAATACGTTAATTGATATAATAAATGTTATTTAAGATAGAAATTAAACTTATTTAAAATTGTCATTTCATTAAAATCATTTCCTAGATATATAATTTTCAATAATACTTCTGCCAAACTAGGATGAATAGGTACAGTGTTATCAAAATCTGTTTTTGTACATTTCATTTTCATAGCCACAGCAAATCCTTAAGTCACTTCAGCAGCCTCTGGTCCAACATAATGGAATCCGATGATTCTCTCTGACTCCCTATTAACAATCAATTTGCCTCCACAATATTTAGCATCATCTCTCTTTCTGAAACCCCATTGCAAAGGTTTAAAATGAGATCTATAAATTTTGATACCATCATCCCCGTATTTTTGCTTTGCCCTTTCTTCTGAAAACCCAATACAGCCATACTCAATAGGAGTGTATATAGTAGTAGCGACATCAGCATAATCCATGATCTCATTACTATCTCCATAAAGTCTTTTGGCTAATTTCCTGCCAGCCATTACAGCTATAGGCGTATACTCTAATCTGTTCAAACAACAATCTCCAATTGCATAAATATTATCTACAGTTGTTCTATCGTAATCATCAGCCAAGATCTTATAATTTCTAGCATCAATCTTAACACCAATTGATTCTAAGTTCAGCTATTTAGTGGATGCTTGTCTTCCAATTCCATATAATACAGTATCATAAATATCCTCTTCTACTACTCCATCACGCACCCACTTAACCAATCTCCTTTTCCCATTGTCTACAGCTGAAATAGATTGCAATAAGGCTCTCTTTACAAATTTTATTCCATTTTCTGCCATATATCCTTCCACCTTTGAGGCCATCTCCTGATCAAAATTCCTCATTACTCTTGTTCTGACTAATACAGTTGTGTCATATCCAAAACCATGAATAAATCCAGCACATTCCAAACCCACATAAGAGGCTCCTATAACCAAGGTCTTCCCTGGGGGAGTAGTCTATTGAAATACATCCTCTGATGTAATCACTAATTTTGGATCTTAATATAGAATTGGCCTAGATCCAACACATACAATGATGTTCTTAGCACTTATTATTTCTTTCTCTCCTTTTATATCAGTAAGCTATAATAATACAATATCACAATCTAATTCTTACTTCTATTGTATGTCGATCAATAAATTTAGCAAATTTATTATAATAATCAATACCATGATCCTTTAAAGAACTTTCCTGACGCACATTCAATTCTTTTATATGTTTTTATACTGTTTCAATCAATTATTTCCAATCATGTTTCCCTTCGCTCTCTATCCCCTGATACCCAGCTGCTATCTAATCTTTACGTANTCCATAAGGTAGACCAAGAACACCCAAATACGTTAATTGATATAATAAATGTTATTTAAGATAGAAATTAAACTTATTTAAAATTGTCATTTCATTAAAATCATTTCCTAGATATATAATTTTCAATAATACTTCTGCCAAACTAGGATGAATAGGTACAGTGTTATCAAAATCTGTTTTTGTACATTTCATTTTCATAGCCACAGCAAATCCTTAAGTCACTTCAGCAGCCTCTGGTCCAACATAATGGAATCCGATGATTCTCTCTGACTCCCTATTAACAATCAATTTGCCTCCACAATATTTAGCATCATCTCTCTTTCTGAAACCCCATTGCAAAGGTTTAAAATGAGATCTATAAATTTTGATACCATCATCCCCGTATTTTTGCTTTGCCCTTTCTTCTGAAAACCCAATACAGCCATACTCAATAGGAGTGTATATAGTAGTAGCGACATCAGCATAATCCATGATCTCATTACTATCTCCATAAAGTCTTTTGGCTAATTTCCTGCCAGCCATTACAGCTATAGGCGTATACTCTAATCTGTTCAAACAACAATCTCCAATTGCATAAATATTATCTACAGTTGTTCTATCGTAATCATCAGCCAAGATCTTATAATTTCTAGCATCAATCTTAACACCAATTGATTCTAAGTTCAGCTATTTAGTGGATGCTTGTCTTCCAATTCCATATAATACAGTATCATAAATATCCTCTTCTACTACTCCATCACGCACCCACTTAACCAATCTCCTTTTCCCATTGTCTACAGCTGAAATAGATTGCAATAAGGCTCTCTTTACAAATTTTATTCCATTTTCTGCCATATATCCTTCCACCTTTGAGGCCATCTCCTGATCAAAATTCCTCATTACTCTTGTTCTGACTAATACAGTTGTGTCATATCCAAAACCATGAATAAATCCAGCACATTCCAAACCCACATAAGAGGCTCCTATAACCAAGGTCTTCCCTGGGGGAGTAGTCTATTGAAATACATCCTCTGATGTAATCACTAATTTTGGATCTTAATATAGAATTGGCCTAGATCCAACACATACAATGATGTTCTTAGCACTTATTATTTCTTTCTCTCCTTTTATATCAGTAAGCTATAATAATACAATATCACAATCTAATTCTTACTTCTATTGTATGTCGATCAATAAATTTAGCAAATTTATTATAATAATCAATACCATGATCCTTTAAAGAACTTTCCTGACGCACATTCAATTCTTTTATATGTTTTTATACTGTTTCAATCAATTATTTCCAATCATGTTTCCCTTCGCTCTCTATCCCCTGATACCCAGCTGCTATCTAATCTTTACGTATTTCACCCATCCTTGCTGAAAATGGCATTAATTTAGTTGGTACACACCCAACATTTACACATGTACCTCCAGTTCCCCAGGTTGTAGCATGAGGACTTGGAGTTGCGTAATCAGCTATTCCCACTTTTTTCCCCAATAATGCTGATGCTTTAGAAGAAGCCAAGCCTCCTGCTCCTCCTCCTATGACGAACAAATCGTACTAAAATTTCTTTAACATAATTTATTAGGTTTAGTATATAATAATTTTTAACTTTCATTGTGCTATAACTTGTTGTAGTTCTTAGATTCTATTATAATATTTTGCTCTGTACAGCTTGTAATATATCTCCTTCATCTTTAACAGATCTAACCTATGTGATATCTGTTGAATTTATTTATTGATCAATTCAAAGTGATACTGAATATATTAGATTACACGATCTCCCTTTGCTGCTAAGGAGAAAACTTCAGCGCAACTTATCAAAATCCCCAACAAAAAAGGTGAGATCCTTATATAAACCGATAATACAAAGAAAATAAATGAAAAGATCACAAATTTCATGAACCCTACTTTTAAAATTTTATCATTTTTCCTTTTCTTCAATATCGTTAAGAGCAAATATATTTATTCCCGTAATTGTTTGTACATCAAATGATTTTGTTCTAAGAATAGCTGATTTTGGCAATTCAGATTTAATTATTAGTCAATCTAATTTAGTGTATTTATTTGAACTCTAATATCCATCCCTTTTGATTTTAAAAATAATTATTACTTAAGACAATGACTTTATTAGGTATTTTAATAATTAAATTAGAAAATAATAGTCATTATGTTTAATAATATATTAATGTCGTTTATAATATATTGGCTCAAGATCATACCCCAACATTTGATTTCTCCTTGGTCAATACTAGCAGAACCATACCAGAAATTTTTCATTTATTAAGATTTCTAATATATATCAACATTGACATTACATATATTATAATTAATATTTTATTCCTCTCTCTCTCTCCTCTTAAATTTGTGAACTTAATTTAAATAGACAAAAACAATAACTTATGCAATAAATTCATTTTTGATTCTTGACTCATTAATATAGCTTTTCCAATAGATAAATAGCCCATCAGGTCATAGCTTTGGCAGTGATTATTATCAATCAATAAAGCTGAATCTAGTTCATATTATTAGCAGGAACTAATAGTATTTCACTCTACGTTTATCCCTATAATATGATACCAAAAATATAATATAAGAAATAATTCTATTTTATAAAATAACTTTCTTAAAGATTATAAAATCATTACCTTGAATTAAAATTAAATTGAAGAGAGAAGGGGTATATGAATAGACAAATGAGACTAAGATTGTCTCAAAATAGCGAAAATTTAGAACACTAGAATGAATAATATTATTTATCCTAAAAATAATTTAATAAATATCTAACAAAATTAATGTCAGCTGAAAGGCTCTTATAGGAGGAAGTGCCTTATAATTATAGCAACTATTAGAAGGAGAATTAAGGAAGCGGAAATGAGCATCAGTTTGAAGGGTAGGATAACGAAAAGGTCGAGCTGTTAAAAAAGATTGAAACTTTAGAATCACGATTAAAGAATAGCATTGATGATAAACCTTACAGTGAGTTGATAAGAATATTAATATGGGAAGCATTGGGAACGGCCTTTTTTGCTTATGGGATAGTTTGTTCAAGAGGGAATGATGTGATGTTGAGTGTGTATTTGTTTGGAGCAATATTTTTAATCGGAAAGATTACAGGAGGACATGTGAATCCTGCAGTTTCGATGTCGTTTTATAGTTCAAATGAGATAAGTGCATTTACAATGAGGGTGTATTGGGCAGCTTAAGTGGGTGGTGCAATAGCAGGGGCTTTGGCTGCTTTTGTGATTGTGGGTAGAGTTACATCTCCATACATTGAGACACAACCTATAGAGTGGATGGTGGCAGATTTTTGTGGAGAAGTATGATATATACATCAACTATTAAGGCTTTGGGGACTTTTGTATTTTGTTTGTTTATTCATATTCAAGTGCATCCATAAACGTAATTAACCGAAAACAATTTGATAGGGATTGGCATTATAGCAACAGCACTATATTTTGGCAGGATATTGACATTTCATACTGGAGGTATCATTAAATTTAGGATATGATAGGTTGTTTGAACCCAGCTATGGGAGTTGGATTAGGCATTTTTGAGTCCTTACAAGATGGGAATTGGGATCGTTTGATTAATATTTGGATATACATATTTGGTCCTTTGTCAGGAGCATCTTTGGCTTCAGAATTCTACAGAAGTGTATATGTGGGATTATTGCCTAAGAAATAATGAATATTAAAATTAATATATATATATGAAAACAGTTTTGGGCCTTATGACCATCATCTTGGGGTTATGCTATAGCAGTACTATAGAAACTACAAGTCCTTGTACTTGCTAATAGCTAACATAAAATGATTGTATAAAAAATAGTGGTTGTGCTTGGAATAAAACATGTGATGTCAAAACTATCACTTAACCTAAATCAATTAATTATTGCAGTTACTTAAATGAATAACAATGCCAATCAGATGACGTTTGTTAATGGGTGAACAGTTAATGCACTTTTTTTACAGGATGCACAGCTTACAAATTAACGTCCGATAGGGAATGCAAGAGCATAAATAAGAGATGCTATAAATCGGATCTTAAGAAATGCATAGAATTAAGCGAATGTGTCGATTACTCAGATCCAATCATTTGTTTTATGGATGTTAATTAAAGATATTGTTATTGGGATACAAAAATCAATAGATGCTCAAAGGCTCTGGATTGTGACTCCTAACCTTCTGCCTTGGATACAGATGCTAAATGTAGATCCTAAATTTCAACTTGTACAGCAAAACCAGGTGGTGGATGTATGGATGCTCATTAGGGTTGTTCTGACATCACTCTAGAGATCTAATGTTTTTATAATAAAGACCAATCATCATAATGTTTTTGGGACAATTCTATAGATCCTCCCTTATGTAAAGTAAAAATTTGTGAAAACGCTCCTACGACTTTGAAGACTGATGAACAATGCAAATCATTTTTAGCGTAATGCACAACCAAATTAAATGGTGGGTGTGCCTAAAGATCGACATGTGATGCTGCAACCACTAAAAATGCTTGTATAAAAGATCAGTAAGGAAATGATTGTTTTTGGGTGGATGGCTTTTGCAAATAAAAATTATGTAACAATGCTACTAAAGAAATTGTTACTAATGTGGGTTGTTAATCAATTAGTTAAGATTGTATAACAAAGTCCGGCGGTGGTTGTATGACTAACGGGGAGTGTTCTACAGCGAATATTGACTATGCTTGCAAAGTCAACATAAGAGGAGAACAATGTTTTTGGGATTCTGTGGCTCAATCATGTAAAGATAAAACTTGTACTAATGCTCCTTAGAATCTGAGCACATATGAGTAATGTAGTAAATTCTTAGAAACTTGCACTGTTAACTCTCTTAAATAAGGATGCGAAGATAGGACTTGTGAAAATGCCCCTGTATTTGTTACTACTCTTTAGGGATGTCAAGATTATTATAATGAATCTTGCATTCCAAAATAAGATGGTGGATGTATTACAATCAATACATGTGAGGAAATTCTATTAGAAATTAGTTGTGTTATAGATAAATTATAGCGTCCTTGTTTTTGGAATGACGGAAAATGCTACCTAAAACTCTGCACTAATATTCCTAAAACTGTATTTGATCAGGATTCACAGAGTTAAAAACCCGTTACTCTTGACCATACCAAGTGTAATGAGTTTATGTAAACATGCACAATCAATTAATAAGGGACTAATTGTATTAATTACACATGTGACAATGTTTAAGACAATAACATATGTTTATCAAATCAACAATGTTATTATCGTCAAACCTGCTACACCAAAACATGTTTCACTGCCCCACTGTCTTATGCAACTCATTAATAATGTTTTCTATACAAGAACACATGTACTCTGGCCTCATCAGGATAAGGATGTTCAATTATGTTATAAACATGCAGCCTATACAAAAACAAAACATAATGTGTCTAATCTGTTGCTACTGCATGTGAATGGTCAGACGATGCTTGTGTTGAAAGGTAGTGTAATCTAGCTGATATTTCATATAACACCACATTAAAATGTCAGTAATATCTAACTGGATGTGTTGTCAATAACTAACAACAGGGATGCATTCCTGAAATTAAAAAATGTGAGGATAGTACGATCCAACAGAATTGTACTTTAAATGTATGTGAATGGAAAACCAATAAGTGTGTTACTAAGTAATGTAGTAATCAAAAGACTAATTGTTTAACATATAAGACTCCCATATAGTGCATCAACAACAATACCAGCACTTCCTGTATGGATGTTCCAAATACTTGTACATTATTACCAAAGGAATATTGTAAGCCTGCCTAATCTTATGACTTGATTAAGAAATATTGCTATATTCAAGATGGTGTTGATTGCGTAGAACTAACGTTAGAAACTGAATGCAGCAGTTATGGTGACTAAATGTATTGCATTAAAAGGATTAACAATAAAGGTAATTGTGTTTGGGTAGATGGGGACTGTTACAATGATGATTGTACTCAATTGCCCAACACAATGACATCATCGTCGGAGTGTTAAACAGCAATTTCAAGATGCATCGTAAATAATTCAGGCGAAGGATGTACTAATAAAAATGATTGTTCGTCATATAGTGATAAAAATTGTGATTAATTAGATAAAAATGGTTATGAATGTGTTTATAAGAATAGTTAATGTCAAATGAAGTCTTGTGCAACCAGTAATGCTACTAATCACACTGATTGCTACAAGTATTTGTCAACAGGGACAAGATGCACTGTTAATAGTAATGCAAACGGTTGTATTGAATTGACATCATGTTCTAATTATAGCAAAGAATCATAATGCATCATTAGTAATTTATCAAAGACTTGTTATTGGAGTAATAGTAAATGTGTTGAGAAGAAATGCTCTTTGGAGACAACCTCAACAACCCATGACTAATGTTAATTATTTATGAGCAGTTGCACTCTAGATACAACTACAAATCTGGGATGTATGGAATTCCCTGAGTGTTAATAGATTTAAGATCCATCAGTATGCAGTTCCAATTCTAAATGCGTGTATCTGTCTAACAGTTGCATTGTAAAGACTTGCGAAAATGCTATATTAACTGAATATAATAACACGAATTGTAGCAGTTTGCCATTTGAAGGTTGCACTTTCGATAGTAATTTCTGCAGTACAAAGACATGTGCTCAGTATGAATTCAGCACTGATGAGGAATGCAGTTAATAGAATTCAAATTGCACAACCAATGGAAAGACATGTACAGAGAGATTAGATTGTAATAAGGCTGTTGCAGAATAAGGATGCAAGAAGGACATGTTCGGTAATTATTGTCAATGGAATGAAATATCAAAGACTTGTACTTTAAGAAGTTGCACTACTGCACCCACTTCCTTAACAACTGAAACTCAATGCAAATAGTATTATGATGGTTGCACAACTAAATTAGGTGGAGGATGCACAACTAAATCTACTTGTTAAGCTGCAAATGTCTAAGCTGCATGTAATACTTCGAAATACGGAGATATATGTAGTTGGGATGATGCTATCTAACAATGTAGAAATTAATCTTGTGTTGATTTCAATGGAAGTGATTATAACACATGCAATAAGTAAAATAATAAATGCACCACTAATGGCCTAGGTAAATGTATTGAAATTGTGTATTGCAGTTAATATGTTAATGCTTAATCTTGTATTATGGGAGGCGATGGACCTTGTCTTTGGGTTAATGGATAATGTTATTTATATAGAGATTGCACTAGTATCAAATTTAAAACACATTAAGAATGCCAAAAGGTAAGTGATAAATGTACCACTGATGGTACCAAATGTGTATCTATTACAGAATGCAGCCAAACTAACACTAATGGAGGTTGTTTATTAGGAATTGAAGGGAAATGTATCATGACAGTAAATGATAAAGATGTTAAAGTTTGCACTACTTTTAAGAAATGTTCTGATGCTAAATTAAAAACTCATACTGATTGTAATACTGCTAATAATGGATGTACAACTGATGGTACTTAATGCACTGAATTGCTTGCTTGTAAAGATTACAAAATATAAGAATAATGTTATTTAGATGTCAAAGGTGCTGTCTAAGTTAACAATAAAATCACATCTACTGGAATATGCAAATGGGATGGATCCTGTAGAGCATAAACCTGTGAAGATTTAACTGGAATTGCACATTCCATTTGTAATTCACAAATGATGACTTGTACTTCAAATGGAACCAACTGTTATACTATGGACAAGTGCTAAAATTATTCATCAAAAGAGCTATGTAATACTGGTCTGGGTACAGATGGTAAATGCATATACTCGACTGAAAAAACCAAATGCTCGCTTATGACTTGCAGTGATATCACCAATAATATTTGTAATATTATTGATAATTGTGTCACTGATGGTACAAAATGTATTGCTAAAACAAATTGTGCTTCATACACTAGTCAAGTATCATGTGAAATCTCAGGAACTGATGGAACATGCCTTTGGAATACTACCACAAAGAAATGTGCTTTATTCTCAGCTTGTTCTATTGCTGCTGATTAGAATCAGTGCAATAAGATGAATAAGGTATGTAGTTGGGATACAACTTCAAACAAATGTGTTGATTTAACTTGTTAAATCTAATTTAAATCTACCAATAATTGTGTTAACATTTCCACTTGGACTCCTTCATAAATTAGAACCTGCAGTCTTCTTAGTGGAGTTTGCTAAGAAATTGATGTTTCAGCTTATGGACCTAGTGAATGTTACTTATTAACCTAATATACATACACATACAATACTTCTTTATAAAAATGCACTTAATGTTCAACTAAAACAACTAATTAGACAAATAACACTGTAAATGACACTGATGATACTGTAGATAGCTACCAATATCTAATCGCTTTAGGATTTTCAATATTATCATTATTATTATTCTGATATTTTAGCTATATATACATCAAATAAATTATTGTAATATCATTAGATAATTCCTAAATATCCTACAATTTTTCATCATACTTATTATATACTTTTAATTGTCTAATTTTATAAAATTTCTGTTTTTAGAAAGAATTTATTCAACTAATTCTCCGTTATTTCCATCTCCTAGATAATAAAATGCTTGTTCTTTGAAATGTTGTAAATGTTGTCCACAAATCTTAAGCATTTAGAACTATAAACTGTTCATATAATTAATATTTAATTTATAACATTTTTGACATAAGAGAATCAATATTTAATATCAAATGCTCAATCATTTAAATCATTTGCCAAGTGGCTCTTATAAAATGTACTTCTCATTTTCATATCCTTCATATTGTTATTTCCTATCTTGATATTATTATAATGATCAACATAATATTAGTTTCGATTAAAAATACTATTCCTCCCCTCCTTATCGTTCATTGGAGTTATATCGCTTGATTTTGAATAATCTAGTATTTAGGATTAGTTTAAAAGTTGTTATTACTCTTCTTACTTTCTTTTTATAATAGGGTTAACTCCTTCTAAAGTTGTGTAATAAATTTCTAATTTATCCTTAACATTATAAAGTTTTCTTCTATCTTTCTCCATCTGCCTCTCTTCATAATCTAATTCTTTTCTACTTTTTAATTTTGATTTCTGAGGTGATCTAACGATTACTCCAAAATGATTTTTTAAAAATGTTATTGTTTCATCTGGACTTCTCATTCTCAAACCAGCTCTGATAACAAGTTCTGAATCGCTTTAAACTTAGGATGTATCTAATTATTTATAATCACATATCAATTTAGTTTATTCGTCAATTTGTGAATCCTTTTTCTTAACTTATTGCTAAAGTTTTAAATTTTTTGTGTTGTTGAGCTATTTTTCAAAAAATTCTCTTAATCCTTATTTTTTTAACTCATATATTTTTTCTTATTTATAAAGAGGCATTGAACTCAACACTTTTGTTAATACCAAATTATCTTTATTACATGAATTACTTAATACTTCAGTTCTATATTTTGAATACTAAAATTATCTTCTTTAAATGTTATCAATTATTGGAAATACTCTATCACTTTCCTACTCTTTGTTTCGATTATATTCAATCTTATATTTTTATAAACTTAATATAACTTACCTACCCAAATAACTCGTCTACTCTTAATAAAATATCTTTGTTTTACTTCTTCACTTTTTCTTTTTTATCTCCAAACCCAGTTATTTTTTCAGAAAAATTGATCTTTCTTTCTCTTATATCGAAATTCATTTTAAATTATATTTTATATAAATTCAATTCTTAATTGTAATAATCAAGTAGATTTTTTAATTAGTTCTTTAGGAAATTGCAAATTTGTTAAGTTTAATATGCTTTGATCCCATGTTAACTTTTGCTAATTAATATATGATATAGGTTTACTTCTGCTAATTACTCTTTTTGAAGACTACAAAATGTTTTAAAATGTTCTGAAAATTCAGAAACTGTGTTTTCAAGAAGTTTCGACACCTCTACATTTTATTAGTTATTATAATAGGTTAAAAATTTTTTTAAGTCTTCTTAAACCTCAGTTTCTTATGGTAGCATGATTTAAAAGCTTATTTCTTTATTTTATGTTAAATTGCTATCTTATAAGGCTTTAAGTTAAATAGCTGGAATTTCCCATCTGCTGAAGTCTTGCGTTGTAAATAGTTTATTTTTCTTTTGTTCCAATCGACATTTAAATCTTTCATATTCATATTAAGCTTACTCTTTTTGTTTCATAAACTTAGATATGAGGGATGATTACCTCTTTTAATATTAAAATTGAATGATGATGAAATTTAAAGAAATAGCACAGTTCTTCCTACACTATTTTGATTTGGGCTGTCAGATTATCGCCCCACTAGACTAGCATATTATTCATTGATATATATAATATATCTAATTTTGATATTTTACCTAAGGGAATTGATTAATTAAACTTATTTGATATTTAATAAAGCTCAGCACAAGTTGATCCCATATTAAAAATAGTATTTGATAACTGATCAAAATCAAGCAATAATTATTTGGAGGACTTTCTTAATTTTCTATAGCATAAATCAACTGAATTGACAAGTTATGTAGCTTCAATATTATAGGCATTTATGTTTTCATTAATTTCTAATGAAACCTTACCATCCATTGAAATAATCTATTCCAATTTAGTGACTTTTTAGACTTAGGTACTCAATTTTTAGATTTACTTAAAGTCTTTTTCATCTTTTGATGATAGAAATGCAAAAAACCATTTATCATGCCTTAATAATTCACATTTAAATATTGATTTTAGGAATTTCTAAATGTTTATGATATGTTACTTCCAAGTATTTCATTCTTTTTTTAATATACATTTCATTTTCATTTTTAAGAACTGACTTTTTTGGGACAGGAGCAATCTAATTTACTCTTAAAATATACACTTTTTCCAGGATAAATTTTGCACAACAAGTCTCTCAACCATAAGAAATCGCTATATCTCCTTGAAACAGTCCATCCTAATGGATCTGTTTGAACAGTATATGAATAATACGATGATGTGAAAATGCCTCCTGGTATTCTCTAATATTTCGTGATGTAAACGTTTATTTCATTGGATTGCAAGATTAATTTTTTATCCTAGACTTTGCATAAATGAATTTACGATTAATCTGACTTAATATTCATGTCTTTATTTGGTAATGGTTCTTGCTCTTTTTATTGATTTACAAATGTTGAATTTTAATTTTCTTGATGCTAGTCTACATATGATAACTTTTTGTCCTCAATATCTGATTTTCTATCAGAAACAAAAGCTTGAAACTATTGATCTAATTATGGTTAACTTAACTATTAAAATTAAGTGATTGCTAAAATTAGTTCTTGATATGTCCACATGTCGATGTCTTATCCACCTAATCGTAAATTTATTTTTGGAGTGTACCGTTCTCTTTTTAGAGTTCCATATAGTTGATAAATCTTTCAGGATCATATCCTTTATCAAGTATTTCTGTTTTTAATAACATTTCCTTTTGTTGTACTTCATCCCAATTTTGTTATTAATCCATTAATTATATTAAAAATGGAATATTATACAGATATATCAAATGAACTAAAAAATAAATATAATTAGCATTATAATCTATATCAGGTATTACAATAATTGTATAGTAATTAGAAACAATAATTGGAGCGTAAAATACTTTGTTATAAAAATAACAATCAGGATCCATTAAAATATCAATAATGCATTGATGATATCAATACGAGGATGAATATGAATTCCACAACACTTAGGAATAGATACAATCAAATTGAAATAGATGATAAAGATTGTCAAGGTAAATGCTATGAAGATCCAAAATGTATGAAAGGATGCGAAGATTAATCAAGAAAAAAAGCAAATTAATTATAAGAATAATTTTATAAACTTATGCTATAAGAAAATCCAGAATACAAAAAATTGTAATGAATGCATTTTATAATATAACCTATAATCTCAGAATATTGCGCAATCATCAGTTTATCCAATACTTTAATTTTCAGGTTGCTCATCAATTATCTGCTTTTCTTGTAATGGCTAACTTTCTCTGAATACTTATTGCTAAGTTGTATTTCTTTACTCCTACTCTTTTGGAGGATTTTGCTAAAATTATGACAATAACCTATTCATCTACTCTTCATGTGTTTATTCTAATAATGAGATTTTTTCTTCATAAAAAGACTTTAATTAATGTATTTCCTTCCCCTCGTATTATTTTAGGGCTTGATTGATTTCTTTGTTAATTCTTTCATAATTCTACATCTAATCATAGTATTCGATCTTTAATTGATTAACTTCAACAAACTTCTATTTTATATTAAATAATTCTTTCTCTTTCTAGAGTAGATTATTTCTAATTTATATATTGTTTTCTTATAATTCTTTTGTAATATTGGGTTAAACTTGAGTTTAATTAAAATTTTAATCAAAATCTTTTCTTTTCAAACCCAAAATTTGTACATTTAAATCATCAATGTGTTTGTTTAACTTTTCTGTTTACTCATTTTTTCTTGCACATAATAAACTCATTTCCTCAGCATTTTTTTTTAATTCTGCAAGCTATTACTTTAATTCTAATATTTCTTAATCTTTTTCTTCCAATTTTATATTTAAACTTGAATTTTACTGTTATAGCATAGATGTTTTTTTTAATAATGAAACTCGCTCTTCTGTTAATCTAAATATTTCTTGTTCATAGTCACTACTTATTTTCTCTTTCAGTTAGCTTTCGAATTCAATTTTGTTTTTTTAAGCTTATTATAATTGAATTTATAAACTATTGATTTCAATTTTTAAATTGTTATTGTCCGAGTGCAATTTAGAAATTTAATTCCTGTAATTTTCTTCATTCTATTCAAAATTTCTCTAATTGATTTCTTACTTTTCTTCTAATTACTAATTAAGCAATTAACTATTTTATTCATTTTTTAATTGAGCTTTTAAAGTACTTACAGTAAGTTAATTATCCATTTCCAATTATTATTGCTGATCAATATATCTTTGAATTAATTACTATTATTATTATACTTTTTCTTCCAAATCGATAATCAAATTATTTTTTTCTTATATTTAGATCATTTATTTATCAGCATTATCTGATTTTATAGAGCTTCTTGAGATTCTTGAATTGTATGTCTCAGATTCCACATCATTGTCTTATTTTGCATAAGCAATTGAATTCCTCAAGTTCAACAGCTCCTCCTTTTGCTTTTTAATGGCCTAATACAACTCCTTAATTTAATTTTTATTGACATCATTTTTTTCATTTTATATTACAGACTCAATCTTAGAATTAGAATTATCCTTTACAAGTCCAATAAATGAATCCAATACATACTCTAATGAGCCATTGTTTAATGATTATCTTTGTTATTATTATTATTCCTTTTAATCCGATTACTTTTATTAAATATAGACTTATTATTGTTGACTTAATTAATCTTTACTTGTTAAACTAGTTCTATGCTTTCTTTTCTGTTGGTCTTCAAATTATAAGAAACTTGTCAACTACTCTAATTATATATTCTTCATAATTTGGATTGGTATATCATCGATTTATGTATCTGCAAAGGTCTTCTATAATTCCAAGCAGATATTCGCTAAGAATTTCTCATAAATGGAAAACTATTTCAATAGTATACATTTATACATCTTTATTGATGAGTAATTGATTAAAGAGAAAATAGCCAACATAAAATTCTATATGATTAAACATGAGAGTTGTTAGAATCACAGAAGAGTAAGTCTCTAAAAATACCTTTATTTTTGATTTAGTCAGAGAATCAATTTAAGAGCTTGATTAGTCCCTTATACAATCCATTAGAAATGTAACCTCCTAATCGATTGGCCTGTTTTCGTCTGCATCTAATTTATGATATTGAAATCTTTGAGGGAGAACTTTTTAGTGTAAAAACTGTAATAGTGTTAAGCAGATGGCTTCATCACAAAAATACAAGATATAGGTAGTCATAAAGACAAGATTCCTTGTTAATCTTACAGGGTTAGATTTAAAAAAACAAATCAAAACATTTGATAGTTTTGTCTATATAGAACTTTCCGATTCTCCTACACACATCTTATAATTCCATTCATATAAAGAGTAATTTAAAGATTTTTTATTCTAAAATCGATTATAATCGATACAAATACCTCCTTATAATATCTCAAAAGATTGGTTTAAATTTAACCTTTTGTTTCATTGCTAGCATTTTTCAAAATTTTTGGTAATGAATTTTAATATTCCTCTTATACCTTTTCAATTACAATACTAAAAATGATTTCAAATTATACTCATCGCCCTAAGCCAAAGAAGCCCACCTTTTTCCTATTCCAGATAATTATCCAAACTTGCATTTTTCTACTTCCATCTACTAGGTTTAATGTTTTGAGTCATCTTTGCAATTTTTACAAATTCTATGAGGAGTTTTTAAATCATGAGATGGAATGATCGTCTTATCAGGGCCACAATTATAGCAGACAAACCTAAAACACCTTTTGCATTAATGTGATTTGTGTTTCCTTTGATACTTGTAAAACTTAGTAATACCAATCAAAAGTTTATTAGCATAATTCACAAGCTTCATTTTTATTACTCGAACTTCCAACAAATGTTCTATAAGTGAGTTTAGAGCCAAGCTTTTCAAACATCTCTTTATATATATTTTGTATTAATATTTATAATTCTGCAATGTATAAATAATGAGGAATATCAATATAGAGATTCTTATTTGAATAAAATAAATATATTTTTATTAAATGTCTTAAGATCAATGTTATGACTAGGGATTGTCAGGCTAATCTTCTCTATCACCTTCTCATTAGTGTGTTTAGAAAAGAATGAACCAATTTTCAATTGATTTTTTTATAGAAACACGATTTATCACTCAGGAAGATTTGAAACAAATTTTAGATAGTGTTCGAGTAATTGATTCAATAATATATCTTAGTGTTTATATGATATTCGTGCAATCAAACTGAATCCTTAGAATCAAATTCCAGCTTTGGATGGCACTGCATTTTCTGTAATTGATCCTGATGAAAATAAATTAAATGCAAGATGTGATGCAATTAATAAAATACTTTAATTAATAGAATAAAGAAACAAACAAACAATTGAAGTAATTATGCTGATTCCTGAAGGTATACTCAATTAATAGCATAGGTACTGTCTCATGTGTGATTGGAACCTAGGGAAAATACATAGAGCACATTAAATTAGAGACTAAGGCTCATCTTGTAGTTAATTAACCAATCTTTGAATTTTAATTAAGAACAGTAAAAATTAGCGGTAAATATTAGCTCAATATCATTAATTAGGGGAGTCTTCTTGTATTTTTAATGCAATTAAAATGATCATAAAATAATTGTAGGATAGAGGAATCTCTAATTAAGATTATACTAAAAAAGCTGAACCATTAGATCCTAGAAGAGCTATGACAAAAGTATTTATAATTAATATTAGAGGCCAAATTTGCATTTTAGAGTGTGATAATAGAATATATATTAAAAAACAAAGACTTTGAGAGAAAATACTCTGTAACATTGAAGGGAAAAGGAATTAGTGATATAAAAATAAAAGTATGAATTAAAAGCTAATCAGAAAAATAAATTGAAAAATGGTGAAGGAGTTCTGCAAATTGATGGGACATTATTTAATGTTTAAGAGGCAATTTAAAATATTATCAAGAAAGTGGCTCAGTAGTTCAAGAAGAATGAATTTGATATAAGAATAGTAATGCCTGCTAACTTTGCATCTAAATTAATCGGGCCGAGTAAAGAACTCTTTATTAATATAAATAGAAGGATGTTAGATCAAAGAGTTGGCAAATAAAGCTAAAGGTGCTTAGATAAAGGTTCTTTCAGATAGGGATGACACGGATCCTAATTAAGGTTAGAATTCTAAAGAATTTTAGATTGTTTGGTATAAGTGACAGGATCAATCGAAAATAAATAGGAAGCAACAATATTGATTTTGGAATAAATTGAATGTTTCAAAAATGGAGGCCCTGTATATAAATAATTAATAAGATCCTTGAAAGTGGAAAGTACATAAATGAAAATTTTGCATAATAATACAAAAACTCAGTGCAGGTCTATGACATGAAGCAAAAGAGGTTAGTTTAAAAGAATTAATTAGGTAGACATTACTCAATTTCTTCGAGTTCAGAGAGAAGGTAGAGATCAAGGTCATCAAATAAAAGATAAAAATATTTAAGAAGATCTAGATTTTCATCTAGGTATTTATGACAACAAATTAGTTCTAATAAATCCACTAGGCGCAGGTCGAAATAATAGGGACTCAAGACCAAAATTGTTGTTAAATAATCTCTTATTGAATTAATACATAAATAATTAGTTCGATTTTGCCAGGATATGAGTGTTTAAATAAAGACCTACCCTTCTGTATTTTATGAAATAGATAAATAGGATATAGGATGGGAGAGTATCATTAAAATAAGTGGTGATGTTAGAGGTTGCATAACAGTTATCCAATATATATTAAATGAGTAATGTAAATTATCCAAGAGATGAAAGTAATTAAAATAATAAAATATTCTCAACATATCATTTATATGTATATGTTATTTCATTTTCTAAAATTTTCATGCTCAATTTAGGATATAATTTTATTAATCTCTGGGTGTACATTTTGGTATGAATTCAAAAATGTTTCTATAGCTTATTTAGCTACTTCTATTCCCAATATTCTTGAGCCTAAGGCGATTACGTTGCAACCAATTTCAGCTGCTTATTTAGCAGAGTTATAATCGTTGATTTATCCACACCTAATACCTTTTACTTTATTTGCCATAATGGACATTCCAACTCCACTTCCGCATACTAAGATTCCCAATCCCTTATCTCTCAAGACATCAGAGCATAATTCTGTTGCTATTTCATTGTAATCACAGCTTTGTTTTATGTTAGTTCCTCTATTTATTATATTATATTCTTGCTATTTAAGATGATCAAATATTATATTTTTGTAGTCCAATCCGGCATGATCATTGCCAATATAAATTTTATATTAATTCTTTTTTGAAAATTAATAATACGTAATTGTTCTTATTGTGTTAATGGAATAATTAGTTGATTTTATCATATAATTTATTTATTCAAATTAGTAATATGATTTATAAGCTTCATTAATTATGACGTATGAAATGCTGCTATTACTTAAATTGATTGTTGATTTATTACTTTTGAAAATTAAATGTCTGATTTTATTCAATGGACTTATGAAAACAAACTATAAATCTCCATTGACTTAGCAGCTGGATCAGTTAGTGGAATGTATTTGATAATTAATTACTCTAAATAGAGCAAATTGTATATCAAGTCATCCATTGGACACAGTTAAAGTTCGAATGCAAATGTCTAATGATGGAGTACTATCAACTTTGAAGAAAATTGTCTAAAATGAAGGAACAAAAGGGTTTTATAAAGGAATGTCATTTCCTATACTTTCCATCCCAATCACTAATGCCATTGTTTTTTCAGTTTACGAATTCTGGAAATCATTTTTTATAGGAAATTCGAATAAATAACTAACTTATTTTTAAACGTAATATTTCTACCGTTAATTATTAGTGCCTTTTGTGGGAGTATCGCAGGAAGCTCAGCTGCTTTTTTTTCATGTCCCATTGAGTTGACCAAATGCAAATTGCAAATGTAAGCTACTGAGAAAATATATAAAAATCCAATAGACTGCATATAATAAGTAAATTTTTATATGAATTTAATTTTAGATATATTAAAAGGAGGGTTTTAAATCTTTGTTCCGAGGAATGTGTGCTACTCAATAAAGGGAGATTCTAGGTTATTCGGCTTAATTTGCTGTCTATGAATTGATAAAGGACTTCTTGTGCACTTTGTCTTAAAAATCAGAACCATCAACGGCCAATCTCTTGATTTCTGGAGGCCTAGCTGGAGTTTCGTGCTGGACAATAGGATATCCTTAGGATGTATATTTTCAAATTAAGAATTATATAGACCATAAAAACAATTCTATAATGCTAAAAACCAACAGATTAAGCAATTTATAAAGTTAGATTTTATGATGGGGGTTTTCTAGATTGTTTAAGAAAAAAAATAATCTCAGAAGGAATAGGATCAATATGGAAAGGATATTCAGTTTGTATTTTGAGGTCCTTTTATGCCAATGCGATAGGATTCTATGCGTATGAGTTAGCAAAAGAAAACTTTACTTCGTTCTATTAATTATATTGATATTTTGAATAAATTCATTGTTTATATTATACTCAATTTTAAAGAAAGATATGAAATCAGTTTAAAAACATCTTGTCCTAACAAGTTTCATCAAGTTTTTCTTTGGATTTGTTCATTCTCCTTTGAATTATGGGATTTTTTTATAATTAATAAGAGACCTTTGCTCTTCGTATTTCGTAGGATTCTGCTAATGAGCCCACGCTCTTTAAGTATTCCTCGAAGTTATCGTTTGTGATCTTCGTATTAGTAGTCTATTTAGAGGAAGATAAATTCTTATTTATTGAACATCCCATCTTAATTATATAAAATTTCTGTATTTTAATTTCAAATGTATTATTCAAATATATAAGGATATAAAGTAAAAAAATACATTTAGTTTAATTCTTGTTGATTAAAATATTTAATATGATTTTAGATAAAGATGAATAATTTAAAAATGAACTACATTAGCTAAGGCCAAAAAATATTTAATAATTACTATCCATTGTTTTAATGAAATAATTAATCTGAATTGTAATTAACAATTGGAGATGATACAGAAATTAAAAAAATAAAGATAATAATAGATATTACTCATTCAATGGTAGAATTGTAAAACAGAACTGTAGTTAATTTAGGTGCTTGAGAACAGTTCTAAAAAGAATTTAATTTATATTAAGAATTCTTTGAATAGATTGATTAGATTGTTTTATAGCTAAATTATGTTAATAAAAAAATAAGTATATTAGCAAATAATATTGTTCGATTAAATTTATTTGAAAATCTTATTTTAAATATGGGTTGTGGTTAATCATCTGCTTCATTTTTTGAGTCCAGAGTTTTGATTTACATTTATTATGGTACTACATCAGGAAACTCGAGTAGAATGGCATTCTAATGGCAAGTCAAACAAGAAAACTGAACTTTCTCCCTAAGGGTAAGGATGTAATCTAAAATTTAGTAATTAATCTAAGTGAATTTGAACCTGATTAAAGAAGTTCTTAGAAATTGGCTGTGTTTTTTGTCTCCACTTATGGAGTTGGATCTAGCTCCTCAGATCCTTAGAAGTTTAATTCTTGGATTTTTTCAAAAGAGAGAAAAAATGATGAATTCAAGAACATGTCTTACATAGTATTCTCCCTTGGGAATACTAATCATGAAAATTATTGTTAATTTGGGATTAAACTAGAAAAAAGATTGGAGGAACTTGGAGCGAAAAGGCTCTTTGCTTAGGAAAAGGAAATGCAGCCAAAATACAATTGAAAATGATTATCAAACTTGGATAAGTACAGGAGTGGAAGAAACCCTTATTAAAACATATCCTGCATAGACATGTGATCCGAAAAGTTTGAATAATCAATTTAAAAGATCAAATACACAAATGAACCTGAAAATGTAAATGTTGAAAATTTGGATTATTAGGAATAAAAATATAAATCTAGCATTATTGTAAAACTTTATTTAATTCAATAAATATACACAATACCTTCACTATAAATGAAATAAGAGAACTAAAGAAGTGACCAACACTGGGAAACTCAACTCTATTTATTGAACTTTTTGCTGATAATATTAACTATGTTACTGCAAGTAATATAGCCATCTATCCAAAGAACTCAGAGTAATATTAATATTTTACATATTAGCCAAGATATCAATGAATTATGTAATTAACTGAGATTTGATAAAAATATGAAATTTGAAGTAATTACAACAATGAAGCATCCATTTCCTAATCCAATTTCAATCTATAATTATTTAAAAAAGTATAGAAATATATATTATCAATAGGTATTGTGATTTTACTGGTTTGATCACAAAATAACAATTAATGGAACTATCTAATTAAGAAAAAAGAGAAAAAATTTACTAACTGTTATCAAAAAATAAATAAACCCTAGATTTTTTCACAATAGCATCTAGTAGTATGAAACATCCAAAAACATTCATATTTTAGCAAGTCAACTTGTTTTGTATGAAAAAAGGGTTGGACTTTGCAGTTAATATTTTTGAAATTTAAAAAAGGGTCTTAGTTAAAAGGGTATCTTTAGGATTCTAAATTTGCTTTCACTAAAAATCCTAAAGCGCCAATGCTATTACTAGGACCAGGATCAGGATTGGCACCAATGAGAGTATTGATTTAAGAAAGAGATTATTATTTTGAATCAAATAATTTAGAACAATCTCCTTTTTAAGGAAATATGGAATTATTATTTGGATGCAGAACTGAAGATGAATATTTTTTTGAAGAAGAACTGAAGCATTATGAGAAGAACTGTACTTTGAGTAATTTGAAAGTTGCCTTTTCAAGGAAGGCTGTAAAATAATGTGTGACAGATATTATGGATTTACACCAAATACATTCTCATTTATAAATGGAAGGAATCATATATATATGTGGATCAGCATAAATGGGTAGAGATATTACAAACAAGATACAGGACATGTTTAAACAGATTGAAAATATTGCACCTTATTTAGCATTTAAAAAATTAGTGAGTTGGAACAGAAGCATTAGCTAATTACAGAATTATGGGGATGATATTGATCTACAATAATGTCTTAATAGATAAAATTGTTGTAATTACATGTGATTAAGTGTTTTATATCTTTAATATCTTTCCTCCATCTTATCATCGGTGCTCAACCAAATATTGCATTTGGAGAAATTCTCTTAATTTAGAATGTATCTACATTTCTTAGTTCAATATATCTAATATTGTTCGGATAGATTAATTTGTAATTCTAAATATCTTATAAAAATTGGAAGATTCTTTACTCAAGCAAATGAATTACTATAATCTCATATATAGATTATCTATTTGAGATGATTGATCAAATACTTTTGTAGAATAAGGTTAGAAGATTTTCAATTTTATTAATTATTAGTTAATAATAAATGAAAATTGAGCTTAAATTTGGTCTTACCCTTTTTAGTTGTAAGTTAATAAAAAAATAGAAAACCATAAATTAAAATTGGTAAATAACTAATAAATAGTCTGACTGATGATATTTGGACATAATTATTTTGGTCAATAAATGGAATAACCAAATGATCAGAAATCTTTGTCCCAATTAGGATCTCTGGCTAATTCCTTTCTGTACATTTGATTTCGCATTGTTCGTTCTTATTAGATTTCTTGAACAAATGGCTCTCCTAATTAGAATTTCTTCTCAATATCGTGTTCTGAGATCATTCTATCTTTAGGAGGAACATACTAAACAAATAATGATTAAAATTAATACAGGAACTTTTTATAATTCTCTGCTGAACAATTTATCATAATCAAAATCTTCAAACCATGGATTAGCTTTTAAAGCAGAAAATGATGATCCTAATCTCGTTTCTGGTTGTTTACTGAGCAATTATTCCATAAACTTCTTAGCCTGTCCATCTCCAATGAAGGTAGGGAATTTTAATTGTGTATTCATTATCTCTTCATAAATTTCATAAGGGTCCTAAGCTGAAACAAATAGATACATCTTATTCTTCTGCATAAGGAACTTTTCCACACATTAATTCATACATACATATACCCATACTCCAAAGATCTACATTAAATGAGTATCCCTTGCCCAGTAAAATCTCTGGGGCCATATAATGAGGAGTTCCAATAATTGTGTAAGTTCTGTAATTTTTTGATTTAATTAATGGTTTTGCAGCCCAAAAACTTTTTAGGCATATGTAACCAGCATCATTTACCATAATATTTTCAGGTTTTAAATCTCTATATACTATTGATTTGGAATGTAGATATTCTAATGCTAAAATCATAGTAGCCACATAAAATTAAGTATCGTACTTTGTTAATGGGCCCATGTTTCTCATTACCTTGGAAAATAGATCTTAAATGTTACATCAAATAATTCCATTCCTCTGAGATATTCTACTAAAAAGTAGATAAAAATGTCATCCTGAAATGTTCTAACAAAACCCATAATAAAAGGAAAATTACATTGTTCCATAACAGTCCTTTCTTGCAGAATATGCTTTTCTAGCATTTAATTAATTATTGAAGCTTTGCTAACAGATTTAAGAACAAACATTTTATTAATTGATTTATGCTTAACCAAATAGACCTTACCAAATTGTCCTTGTCCTATTTTTTCGATATAAATTAGATCTTCAAATGAGATGTGAGAGGCATCTGCTCTTTCACCTAATTATGTAATTTTCTTTTCGTGAGAATTTTCATTTTTCTTTAATGCAGTTTCTAAATCTCCCCCAAAAATATCAAAGAGAGATTAATATGAGATAGTAGCTAATACACCATCTCTAACCATTGCATATTCAGAATCAATTATTTATCCATATTTTTCCCTCATTAAAAATTAATCTCCAAAACACAAACCTTTTGGCACTAAGTCTGATTTAGAATTAGTCATCACTCCCTCTAACACTACAATTAATTTATCACAAGCTTTGCCAGCCTCTACAATAACTTAGCCTTCCTTATAATTGTCAATCTTAGCTCTCTAAGCTATTTTTTCGAGTTAAATTTTTGATAATTATTATAAAACCTCACTTTTGTCAAAACTCCATCTCATGATATTATTAAAAATGATAATTTGGACTTTATCTCCTAAAATTAGGTTTTCTCTCCCCAAAGCAACACATTTAACTTCTGTTTCAGCAACACATGTAGCTACACTTTTAGATTTTTCATATAAGGCTTATTCTCTAATTATAATTCTCTAACATATACCCAAAGCTATCCTTAGCACCCATCTTTCTGATCTCCTTTGTTCCTTTGAGAACTGATACTTCACCACTCTTTATCACATAAAATGAGTCAGCCTAATCTCCTTCATTGACTATTGCTTAGCCTGGAGCAAATTTGCTTGTGATTAAGGCATGTGCAATCTAATCTTTTTGTTCTGATGTCATAAATGAGAAAAATGGAACCTATTTCTACTAAGATTTAGTACTTCGTCTATAAATTTTCTATTTTCATCATAATCTTTTAACATCAACTCCTCAATTGTTTTTTTGAATGTTCTATGATCCAAAGACCAAAATCCACAATCTGTTAGAGTTCTGATAGAAGCAGATCGTGTGGCATTGTAAAGAAGTGCAATTTCGCCGAAATAACTGCCTTCTGCTAATGTTCGAATTTGTCTATCGTTTATGATAATTTCTACAGATCCTTTTTCTATCACAAAATAAGAGCTAGCCTACTTTTAGAGATGAATTCAATACTTGATCTCCTTATTTAAATATAAACTAATTAGCTTTTAAAGTGCAGTAAAACATATGTTTTATCAATTTATCTATTTAATCTTCAGGTAGACTAAAAAATACGAAATGACCTTTAAAGCTTTTTCTTATCAAGTCAATGTCAGATTCTACAATATTTTGTTTAGTACATTGCATTTCTCTATCAATTCTTGTAACATTTTCATGGATCTATTGATTTACATCATCTCCACCTATATATTGTTTTTGCTATTCTTCTTAAGCTGTAACAACTTCCTCTTCAGGTGGCTCAGTTTGAGCTAGTTGAGACTCACTAAATAATAATATTTTCTACATTTCTGATTATTCTTCATTGTCCATTATTTGCTTGTGTTATGTCTTAAGCAAGACGAAAAACTATTGATAAGATATTTTCATTCTATTGCCAATGAGATCTTCTATTAATGATATTGAAGTAGACTTAAGTGAAGCACTTCCCTACTTTTATTCTGGTTTTGCTGCTTATTGCGTAGAATTTGTAGAATCCATATTTTATATTAATTAAATATAATTATATTCAGTATTTCTATGTCAATACTAATAATCAACTTAAAGTTAGACTTAACTTATCTTGCATCCTTAACTCAGAATTAATAATATTGATCAATAATTGATATTTTACATCTTTTATTAATTATCGCTTATGCTTTTTCTATATTATGATTTTAATAGTTATTTTTATACATTTTTACAAATTAATTAACTTAAAGAATATGGGAAAATCAATATATTTGATATCCACATCATTTTTTTAAATCAGATACAAAAAAGTAGAACTAAAATTAATTTGCATTTAATAACTTATATAATAATAATAGTTTATATATCTATTTAATTAAGTCAGTGTATATTTTACTGCTTTTCTTATTGATTTTCAATTATTTATCTTTTAAGACATTATTTTTAAGTATACAAATTCAAATCCATCTAAAACACCAAATTTTTAAAAATGTTGAACTCAATTATTTCATTTTTTTCAGCCTTCTGACTTCCTCAAGAATACTTGATAATTAATTTAGTAGATAGCAGACTCATTTAGGCACATTTAATTCATTATTTAAGAAGGGTTTTTATTATTATGAGCTGTAAATGGACAATTATAAAAGTCCTACCCATTATCTGGATTCCAAGGTAATGAACATTTCACACAGAAGTCATTCCCACAAACACATGAAATTTACATGCAGCTTTTAATCTTTTGTATATACCTCTTGCAATTAGGATATGCTGGAATCTAATGATACCCAAGATTAATTTGCTTCTTTAAACCACGTGATTTCATTATAAAAATGGCAAGTTATGGGATAATGATTATCCGTCTTACAATTTGCACAAAACTTTAACCCACTATGGCATTTCTATTTCTATGAAAACTACTCTAATTTATAAATTTTTTAACATTAAAATCCTTATAAATAATATTTCATCTATACCTGGACACCAAGTAAAATTTCTATCATTATCCAACATCCTCTTAAACAATATTTCTTTGTAATACAAATGAGGTAACCTTTCGAAACATCGATATTCTAAACATTTCACAATCGGTATAAAGTTTGATAATTAAATGTCTATCATTTGATCCCAACAATCTTTGCAAAACTTATGCTCACACCTTAAACTATAGCACTCCATATTTTCAGATATGCAGAATAGGCATGAATCATTCTTATGATATTTTAAAGAGGACTCGCGATAGATTCCAATTTATTTTAAGTCTTCTTTATAATCACTTTTAGTATTTAACAAATTAAAGCAATTCTTAATCTTCTCTCCTTTAAAATTGCAATATATAAAAATCTTAGAATAGTTGAGTTTATACATTCAAAACGATTTATATGCTTTCCTTATTAATATCTTATTCGTTAGCAAGTTAGTTTGAAGCTCCTGATAAAGCTCAGGTTACATTAACAATGTTAAAAATTCCTTTCTCCCACATACTTATTTAATTGACTAGGTTTTCGAATATTTTGAACGAATTTCAGCCTTTACACTTCTAATTACTTTCTTTTCAAAGTAGATTAATTCAGCCCTCTCATATATATGATTTTTGCCACAAGCTTAACCAATTTTATTAAAATAATTATAAATTTCAATTTGCTTTATGGTTTATTCTATTTGTGATACGACCTATCTTTTACAAAGACTATTTGATATAAATAATAGAAATTTATCTAAGATGGAAAAACTTGAAAGATTTGAAAAATAAATTAAATTGCATTTTGGTTTAGTACTAATTCTAACAGTAGCTATGCTCTGGTATATAGATATGTTCTTAATAAATTAACTATCCAAGGATAAAGTAATTCTACAAACTTCAATGTGTAAATTGATTGATTTAATAAATTTGACAAGAGAAATCATAATAATTTTATTTTTTATATAATTTATGAACCTAATAATCTGACTTTATTTATTTTAATTTCCTTAATCTCACTGTTTTCTTAAAATAAATTCAAGATAAATTATATAAGTATGAACATCTTGGAATACTTGGAAATGCAACAATAATTGCTCAAAACAAAATAAAATATTGATAGTAAAGAAGAGGGAAAATATATTTTGATTAATTTGTTGATGATTTTTAAATCAAAAGATGGACTTTTTAAAGTCTATTGATATGTAGAAAAAGATTAAGCAAAGTTGAAAATCATAGTCAACAATTAAGCTGAAAAATTCGAACATTATGTCTTTGCACACCTTTCCCTGCTTCAAAACACTTATTCAAGCATGTCTCAAACTCTCCATCGTAGTTGTCCTCTGCAATTTGAGACTGGAAATCGTTTAAGCCTGTCATTAACTGCTTTACACTAGTTTAGTGAGATTTCACTGTTAATTCCATTCGCTTGACTCCATAAATTCCATAGCTTTACCTTAACACATAGCAGGCTTATGTTATCTTATGTTAAGGCAGTTAGATAGTGCAAATATGAAAGTTATCATAACTAGACTTTTCCTTCATTACCAAAACGAATATATATATTATTAATATTTAGATAATATTTAAACATACATATCTTGATGTCTCATATTTTTAGATTTTTCACTTCAGAATTTTCTTATTAGGCAAATTTTTCTAACTTTTGTTGACATTTTTTTCGATTTTCATAAATTTACCAATTGATTGAACAACCATTCATATATTTAATATCATTCACATATATAATCTATTTTATTCTATTTTTTTCAGCTTTTAAACTATCTTTGTATGATATGAAAATCTATTTGATAAAAATTTCATTAGGATCATTATCAGACAAATAAAGTAAATTTTAGACTATAAATTATATTTAAAGACATTACATTCGATTAATTTTACAGAAATTAAATGATTCAAAATTGAATGAACTGTCTTTCATAATTTTCTAAAAAGATTTATTATTCATTTANTTAACCAATTTTATTAAAATAATTATAAATTTCAATTTGCTTTATGGTTTATTCTATTTGTGATACGACCTATCTTTTACAAAGACTATTTGATATAAATAATAGAAATTTATCTAAGATGGAAAAACTTGAAAGATTTGAAAAATAAATTAAATTGCATTTTGGTTTAGTACTAATTCTAACAGTAGCTATGCTCTGGTATATAGATATGTTCTTAATAAATTAACTATCCAAGGATAAAGTAATTCTACAAACTTCAATGTGTAAATTGATTGATTTAATAAATTTGACAAGAGAAATCATAATAATTTTATTTTTTATATAATTTATGAACCTAATAATCTGACTTTATTTATTTTAATTTCCTTAATCTCACTGTTTTCTTAAAATAAATTCAAGATAAATTATATAAGTATGAACATCTTGGAATACTTGGAAATGCAACAATAATTGCTCAAAACAAAATAAAATATTGATAGTAAAGAAGAGGGAAAATATATTTTGATTAATTTGTTGATGATTTTTAAATCAAAAGATGGACTTTTTAAAGTCTATTGATATGTAGAAAAAGATTAAGCAAAGTTGAAAATCATAGTCAACAATTAAGCTGAAAAATTCGAACATTATGTCTTTGCACACCTTTCCCTGCTTCAAAACACTTATTCAAGCATGTCTCAAACTCTCCATCGTAGTTGTCCTCTGCAATTTGAGACTGGAAATCGTTTAAGCCTGTCATTAACTGCTTTACACTAGTTTAGTGAGATTTCACTGTTAATTCCATTCGCTTGACTCCATAAATTCCATAGCTTTACCTTAACACATAGCAGGCTTATGTTATCTTATGTTAAGGCAGTTAGATAGTGCAAATATGAAAGTTATCATAACTAGACTTTTCCTTCATTACCAAAACGAATATATATATTATTAATATTTAGATAATATTTAAACATACATATCTTGATGTCTCATATTTTTAGATTTTTCACTTCAGAATTTTCTTATTAGGCAAATTTTTCTAACTTTTGTTGACATTTTTTTCGATTTTCATAAATTTACCAATTGATTGAACAACCATTCATATATTTAATATCATTCACATATATAATCTATTTTATTCTATTTTTTTCAGCTTTTAAACTATCTTTGTATGATATGAAAATCTATTTGATAAAAATTTCATTAGGATCATTATCAGACAAATAAAGTAAATTTTAGACTATAAATTATATTTAAAGACATTACATTCGATTAATTTTACAGAAATTAAATGATTCAAAATTGAATGAACTGTCTTTCATAATTTTCTAAAAAGATTTATTATTCATTTAATTTATAATTGATATAGTCCATGTCATCAGCTAAATGCAGAATGCATTTACATGATACGAAATTTTCTAATATTCTATAAAATATCTACTATATAACTCTTGGGCTTAAGTATATGGAATGATATTATAAGCTTTGCCATGTAAAATAAAAGTAGGTATCTTGACTTTCTTAATTTAATCTAAATTTTCGAAAAGCTATCTAATGAGATATTAGGCCCAGGACCCAACATAAGCTCTTATAGCTGCTTTTAAGGGAGTGAATGGTGACATCAATGCAAGACATGCTGGTTTATATTTACTTGCAATTTAGGTATGTGGTCCACTGCCGATACTCCTCCCAAAAATAATAATGCGATTTTCATTATAGCCTAATCTTTTTGTTAGATAGTTGTAAACATATTCAGCATCTTTCAAAATGAATTCAGCATTAGGATATTCATTTTTTTACTTACCATAGCCTGGATATTCCATGGCTATGGCTGATACTGAGGTTGATATAATAAAAAATACATTTAAGTTATCTCTTAAATGAATAAGAAATTAATATGATTATGTTATGTCTTAACAATTGGCATGGAAATAGAGTATAATATTAGGAGAGTGAATCTTGGAATCTTCATACATACATGGAATATGTCCAAATATGTGATTAGATTCTCTAGAATTTGATCTGTGAACAGTTGGTTCTTCAAAGACAAAATTTTCTTTCTTTTTATCCAATAATTATTTTGGTAATTTAATGAGAGGCTGACTAAAGCAGAAATTTTTCTTGGGTTTAGTTTGAGGATAAAAATTAGATATCTTCCTACATAATTAAGACTTTTTAGAAGGAATTTAAATGGATTGCATATTTAATTATTGCAATTTATATGAAACATCAGGACTTCCCTCATTATAATCAAAAGATAGTGAATTAATTTCACTCGTTTATCTTATTTGCTATCTCTATCGCTAGGTGACAGTTTTACAAGGAAAGTTAGGGATTGGTTGTAATTGACATTCACTACTTTAGTTATTTGAGAATTACCTAGGTTCTTCAATGATAAAATGCTCATCATCTTCAGATTCTAATTCCCTCTGCTTAAAGTACACCTCTTTTTTTGGTTGTTCGAGGGACATAATTTAAAAAATTGGATATAATTTTTTATACTTTGGAATCATAATATTTCTCATAATCATGTTCAGTTGATATTTCTTTAGGAGCAGGGAAAAAAATGAAGTCTAGATCCATTAATTGATATTATTGTAATTAATGAAGAGAGTGAGCGATAATTAATTTAAAAAGACAATAAAACATAAATAATCGATAATTGGATGAATATGCATTTAATGTTTTAGATAATAATATATAAATATATCTGATGGAGGAACTAATACTGGGACAAATTATATGGAAAGTACGAAGTAAATGAATTCATGGATCACAAATGTATATTTAAGCAAAGAATTTTGAAATGAAAGGAAGAAAATTGTGAAAAATAATATTTAAATTATGAAACTGAAAATATTTAAATCTAACTTAAAATTTCTTATTTTTATGAATTCAATTATGAAAAATCAAAAGATCATGAATCAATCATAAATATTAGTATTAATATAAGAAAATCAACAACGATATATCAAATTTTTCTTAGGTCTTTATAATACGATTGTTTTTTTGCAGAGAATTGTAAATAATTAAAACAACATAATGCGGGTTCAAAGAAATGAAACTTATAATATACAAATAATAGCAACAAAAAAAATAATTATGGGAATTTAATTATAAATACTGCGTCACCCTAGTCTAATAACACATATATAATATCATAGTTTGAAATTATCATTATTCAATAATAAAAATTTATGAGAGGATTAATAATACGCTTTGCATTCGCTGAATAGGTCTCCGTATAGCCTCAGACTTATTTAAAAAGAGCTTTCAAGGAAGCTACTGTAGAAATGGCCATAAACCCAATCAACCCATATCACCAATGGTTCATCAAAGTATTCTTAAATTTTATATTTTTAGCTTGATGGCAAAAGTGTAAAGACTCAGCAACGCAACATCTTGGCAGTCCCTTCTCCATAATTGGCTGCTTGCATTGCATAAGAATTCAATCTTCAGAAAGAATTTTTAAGTTTCAAACAAATGCCACTTATGATGCTTGCCAGAAATGCTATTGATTTAGATTACGACGCAACCAATAGAGAATATATTGAAAAAACTATCATTAGTCATTTAGAAAATGACATTATTTTACATCGAAGAAACCAAAACTCATAACTTCTAAAAATTCAGTAACAATAATGGGATCCTCAATTAAGGTAATTCAATTCTCGATTTGGAATGGACATTCAAGCTAATGATAGTATTCAAATTGCATCATTAAGCTAACAAAATAAAGTCAAAATTGAGTCTCTAATTCGAGGATTAAATAACTGGTAATTAGTGAGTCTCAGTTCTAAAGCAGGTATAAAATTAATATTATAACATTAGATAATCTAAAATCTTGTATATTGGCAATACAGTTATCCTACGGATTAGTTGATTTGAATAAAGCCTTATCACTTTGCAACATTGAAAATTATTTTAACAAGAAACTTACTGAAACTGAAAATCCTCAAGAATCAGATGAGGAAGATAACAAAATTTCCATGAATGTATAAGCAGCACAACTCTTCTCATCACTAATTTATTCCTAAAGTATCCTATATTGATATTGTGTTTATTGTGTATAGAATTAATAAATTATAACAAGATATTAAAAACAAATATAAGTCAAGCTATTTCAATCATGACTTGAAGGCTTTTGGTTGAAAAGTAGATAACGATTAAGAAACCCTTGTCAGTATTTCTGTATGTGTTTTCCTTTCTACTCTTGCTACTGGAGATGGACCAGGAATTTGCTTCAAAGGGAGACTCTTTCTCAACTCTACTTTAGGTTAAGGTTTATATTGAGCATCCCTTTAAACATCAAAGGGTGTAAGTTCCGGTCCTAAATTGCTTGTAATGGCTCCAAATAGCAATCTAAACTCATACTACTTAAATACATTTCATAATCAAGTAATTATAGTAAAAATCCTGGATTAGGTCGAACGTATGGTCTCTTTTATTTTAGATATTTTAGTGCTTGTTCTAAGGTGTATTGATAACTCTTCATGAGGTAGGCCAATACAAGGGTAGCTGATCTAGAGATTCCTGCTGCACAATGAACAAGAACATTTTATTGAGATTTCAAAGCATTTTCAATAAATAAGTAAGATTTTTCAAAAACATTACTAATTTGAGAATTCATATTGTCGTGAATGTCCAAATAAATTTATTTATATTTTGGGCCCATCATAATTTCTATGTATTAAGATATAATACTTTCTTCTGTACAGATAGACAATATACAATTTATGTTATGTATATCTAAAACTTATTAATTATGTAGGCAATCTAAATTTCCAAGAAACAATTCTCCTCTTTCTTTTTCTGATAATATCTAACTGATTGGTTATTCACCGGGTAAGGTGTATTTAAGTAAATGGAAACCTTTCATTATCAATAAAATTTATTTAATTATTTAAATGCATAAATTAGAACAATAATGTGATATATTGTATATTGTCAACACTTTTTATTCATAAATTTAATATTGATAATATATTGGAAGGGACGAGTTATGAATATTATTTTTGATTTTTTAAATCAATTTTGACGGTCTTATAAGTCTTTTTAGATGCAATAGCACAAACCTAATTGTTCGCAAATGGCACCTTCGCAATTCAAAACGAATCCTTTGCAACAAGGACAGCCTCTATATTTTTCATATAAATCCATCATCTAATCAGGGTCTTCTGGATCGATGTCGATTAATAGCTGATCTTATAGTAATGATGCAATACATCTTTTTATTTTTAGAGCACTTCATTTTAATACTTTTCAATGTCTTCATTAGTAAGCTCTTTAGGTATGGTTTATGCTTGTGGTTTATTACAGAATGGACAATTTTATATGCCATGAAGATGATAAAAATTGAGTTTGAATTCAATGCAATCAGGAGATGGCTTAATTTGAGGTACTTGCTAAATTTCTTCTTATTAGGACATTAAATTAAATAAATGATAAAAAAAACATTTTTTGGTATTTCTTTAAGAGACAAACAAAAATTCACCTTTAAAGAGCAAAATGGCCTGCTCTGTTATACATTCACTTAAATAGTTTTAGTTGGCAAAGGTGAAGCAAAGATATATGGATTTTCAAGTAATAAAAAGATTTAGATTGCCTCTTTGAATGAGAAGCATAACCAAAGCAAATGCAAATTTATTATGGATGAAAATAATTTTACCCATCTAATCTGTATTGGAGATGAGTCTATTTCAATAAATGTGTTAGGATATAAGTTAGAAAATAGGGTTTAGGAACAATAGGAAAATAATTAACAAGAAAATTCAATTTTCAGAAATTAGTACTAAGCGCTACAACATCAAGAGGAGAGAAAATTGGACACAGAAGAGTTTAAATTACTTTCTAAAAAGGAAAAGAAGTAATATAAATAAATATAAAATCAAAAATAATTATATCAAAAGTATTGAATAATAGTGTGTGTTGTGATATATTAAAATTTATTAGTTTAAATATTTTCTTTGATATGCTCAGATCAATTTCAAAATGGAGAATGAGAAATTAGCTAAAGCTCTACTTTTTGCTATTATCTCTATTCTCTACATTATTAATAGGAATTGTTCTAATCATAACTCAGAATCTTGTATACAAAGAGGTTGTTCTGACTACCTAGTAGATATCGACCAAGTTGACAGACAATGAAATATCAAATTAGTTTGAGACTCAAATGCGATTGTTTTTTGAAGTTATTAATAAAAGTAGAATATCATTATATTTAAGATTACCAAGCTCTTGATAAATTTGCATAATTATTTACATTCGTATAATTAGAATTGAGCTTAATAACATCGAAAAGTGATTAATGTCCAGTAAACTAGACTCAAAATTATAGGAAATCGAATATTTGCTATAATATTTTGAATTTGAAGAGTGAGTAGGAATTAAATTAAATTCAATAAAAAGACTTATACTTCCATTTGAAGCATTAAAGTTTATTATAGGAATTGTTATTGCTTCTCGACCCTGAACAATTTATTATTGGAAATTGGTCGATTGGATATGATAAGCAATTCTATTTTTCAGCCTACTAAGCGATAGGCTATTATTCCACATTTAATATTGCGACTAGGCCATTCTACCTAAATCATATCAAAAAAGCGAATACTTCTGAATATATTTTTAGTGATGTATTCTACAATTTTGAAAATGAATATAAAGTCACTATTTCTAAAAACCTTACTAATGATATAACAGAAGGTATTGTGGCCACCTAATTTGAATTTCAAATAATCAAAAAGTTTTTTTAAGAAAACTTTTTAATTCTCAATAAGGATGGATTAATATTGATTGGCAATGTATAAATGTATTTTCAACCAAACAGAACTAATGTTTATTTTTTTAATGAAACCCTTACTGGTTTTAATGAAAATGACTGGAATTCGGTCAGGATTTATATGGAAAACAACATATCGTAATCCAATTGCGCAACTTCAAATTCCTTACACCTATGTAGGTAAAACAAGATAACGTTGATGGATGTGATGATATTTGCAAAGTTTTTGCGATTCTCTAATCTGATATTGATTATGTAAAATATGCTTGTTATTTAGATTAAAGAACATAGAGAAGGACGAGGATCTTGAAAGGTAGTTGATCTGGATAGAGGATTAGAAGAATCTTCAAATTACTCAATTGTTAACATATCAATTAATTGCTGCTTTGGTCACTAGTCTTCTGGCCATCTTGGTTGTGAGATATATATGCAGATACATGACCTATCTAGAAAGATTAGCACATTCCCATTTTTAAAACAAGTGTGTTGATTTTTAGGTGTATTCTTTCCTAAGAGAAATAAAACTACATTAATAATCGCACTCGACAAATATCACTCTGAATCTATCTGATTCCTACTACAAACTAATTTCGTAGTTAAATGCAAGACCATTTATAAAGAATGAGGAATGTAGGAATTTTGAATCTTTTCAATTTCCATCCTTTAAAAAAAATAATCTATTAAAATGGAAATCTTGTATTCAAGAACTCCATGATAACAAAGGGATGTCTAGACAAAGTTGCAAAGCTCTAATATTGAATTTGCTTAGATAATCATATCAAAGACACAAATATTGAAACTGTTTAGACAATTCATATTAATCTTTTTGATCTAACATAATTCCTATTTCTCTTTATTTAAACTTAATTAATAATCCACGTATATTAAATTAATTAAAATGGAAAAAAAATAAGGAGCAGTAAAGCAAATAGTATCCTCGAATTGTGTGTTAATATCTGGACCAATCAATAATGAGACAGGAGTACCAATGACTAAATTCTTGACATTGTAAGGAATCTAAGCCCCTGAATTCTCATTGACAGATAAGGAGAATCCAAAATAGGAGTCCTTTGGATTTTTAGCAAGGGAGTTCTTAAGAAAGTAAGTATTAGGATAATAAATTGAATTCACAATCGAACACAAGATCAAAGACTAAAATGATAAAGTCATTGGAAGAATCTTTAAAAATGGATAGGATGTTGGAGAATTGTAATTAAGAGAAGGATTGGCCTAATTAAGACAATAAGGAAAGCCAAGTCAGGACTATGAGAATGCATAAAACTTGGCTAAATAGAATGGAAAGGGTATTTGGTCAAAGAGAGAAGAATTAGTCAAATATAATAAGATTGACTTGAAGGATGTGAAGCCTAAATAATATACTTAATGTTTTGTTGAAGATGTACAAGGATTGTTTGTATTTTATGCTTACATCCCAGAATTACAAGGCTTAGTCAAATGCTCATACGGAGAAGTCTTTATGCCAACCTCAGTTTCATAAGTTTTGTAAAATAGAGCTAAATGGACAATCCAAGAGTTGATTCTCCAATAAGAGGTCACCTTGACAGTCTAAGGACAAGATGAAAAGTTTTAGTCTTTGAGAGTAGATATTAAAAAGAAAGATTTGGATGTAAAGAAAGAACTTGTGAGTTTAGGATACTTTAGATTATCACCAAATGCATTTTAATTAATCAATGATCAAAAGAGGTATATAATTAATCAAATTTTAATAGATACAATGAATTGAAAGAGACTTAAAGTCAAGCTGAAATTAAGTTGATTGGAATATGGAAGGATGCCATGAAATAATAACAACAATAATAAGCAGTAGTCCTATAAGGTGGCAAATAGACATATTAAGCCAAAATTATTGAAGTCCATTCAGGAGATTAATTGACTGTCATGAATGTCAACAATAGATAATAATCAAGAGTGTTGTTGGCATCAATCAAGGCTCCAAAATATTCACTAAAGGAAACTTAACCATTTGGATATGAAGCTAAAGAATTTGTTAGAAAACATGCTATTGGTAAAACAGTTAAAGTGGAAGTTGAATATGAAAAGAAAATTAAACCAAAAGACATTGAAGGATTAGCTGATGAAGATGAAAAGAAAAAGTTATAATAAGAATTAAATATGATCTTCGTTAACATCATATTAACAGAAGATGGTGATCAAAATTTAGCTTCCTTAGTTGTAGGAGCAGGATTTGCAACTGTTCAACCTCCAAGAGGAGATGATGGAGTTTCTAGATATATTGATGAATTAACAGGTGCTTAAGAGGCTGCAAATAAGGCTAAAAAGGGAGTCCATGGTAAACCAGTTTAATTGCCTAAAACAACCGATTTATCTGTTAATCCTAATTTATAAAGATCTAGAGATGCATTTGATTCTTTAAGAACATTAAGAAAACTATCTGGAGTTGTTGAATTAGTGTTGAATGGATCAAGATTAAAATTGAGATTCCATGAATAAAATTTTACATCCATTGTTGTACTTGCTGGAGTCAAATGTTTACCAAACGAATAAAATCTACCAGAATTTTAAAAATTCTCAAACATTGCTTTGTAATATGTCAAAGAAAATGCTCTTCAAAGAGATGTTGATATCGAATTGACATCAATCGATAAAAAGGGTATCTTCCATGGACATGTTTTCATTGGAAAATAAAGAACCAACTTAGGATTAACACTTCTTGAATTGGGATTAGCAGTTACATTTAATCCAGTTGCTAATAGTCACGCATATCAAGCATTATTTGCTGATGCTGAATCAAAGGCTAAATTGAAGAGAGAAGGGTTATGGGATATCAAAGGACTAGATTTAACTATTGTAAAGGGTGATGATGATGTGCCTGTTAGATCTGAAATCAAACTATTGAATGGAGAAGTAATTTATAAACTTATCATTTTAGTTGAAAAAACTTGTATTGGTTGAAATTGCAGATAGTAATACACTTTACTTCTAAGATCCAACAGATAAACTGTTAGGATAAATTGAAAAGAGTCTTGGATCATTTACAGCTACTGAAGCCAATAAATTGATTCCACCATTCAAAAAGGGATTGCTTTGTATTGCTAAATTCTCTGTTGATGGCAACTGGTATAGAGCTAAAATTACAAGAGAATTAAAGAATAGATATGAAGTCTTATTTGTTGATTATGGAAATGTTGATATTGTCTCACAAAATGATATCAGAAAACTTCCTGAGAATTTGGCTGCATTACCTCCTTAAGCTATTAGATGCAATTTAGCTTATATTAATGGACCTACTATAAGTCATGAGTTAGGCAACAAAGTATAAATATTTTAAGTAATTTCAAGGTTGGATAATTCATCAGAGACCAAATCTTCGAAAAGGAAGTTGTTGTTTCTTTTGAGTATTAGGATGATGTTAGCAAAGGAGTCATTGTCTATTTGACCAAAGAGAATCAACCCAATAAATCACTTAACATTCTATTGTTATCATAGGGCTTTGCTAAGCTTGATAAAACAGTATATAAAATGATTCTATATTTGTAGGCTCCTCCTTTACCTTAAAAATTAGAGGAATGGCTTAAGGCAAGTCAAGAGGCTGAAAATAATAGCAAGGGATTATGGAATTACGATGAGGAAACTGAGTGATGAATTGTATTTTAAAATAATATAATAAATTTATGTAAATAACACCTAAAGCTATAACAGCACTTTCTAAATTATTGTCTTAGAATTCCTCCAATAATGTAAGAATTTTATGATTTAGTAAGAAATAAAGTTAAAATGATGCAAAGCCTAAATCGAATCAGAATAGCAAGAATTGCAGATCGATTAATAATAATGAATTCAAAAATTTCATCTCGAAACCATCTTTATCAAATGAACCCAATTATAGTGTTAAAAATGAATTGATATCGGTACTCAACAGTAGCAAAGAGAAATCGGTTAAATCCACTTTAAAACCACATCATAGTCTAAATTATCTTTTATTATCATAATAACAACTATCTGCTAGGAATAGTTTTCAAAAAAAGAGACCTCCTTAAATTAATGTTGAGGAAAGCACAGACATTCAGAAACATCCTTAGAGTGCTAAGAATGTGAATTAAATGAGTCCATTGCATTATTGTCCTAATTAGAAATCGCAGTAATCTCAAAAATCAATCAAATATCCGAAAGGTATGAATGTGTTTAGCTCATTAAATGAAATATTAGGATAATATGTTCAAAAGAGGAATTATTAAAAATGTAATTTACAATACTTTAATTAGAGGCTGGAACTGGAGAAGGGACAAAATTGGTTGTATGCAGATCAGCAAGGAATCAAGAATAAAAATAAGAAAAATAAATATATCTATCTGAAAATAAGCAATAGCAGTCGCATTCATAATATTTTGATTCACAATAATTGAATAAATTGTATCTGTATGCCGCATAAATTTTGAAAGCATACTAAACTAAAGAAACTATTTGGAAATAATAAAAGTAAAGCTTGAGAAGTGAGATTGTATTTCTAAAATAATTACTACAATAATAAGAACAGTAATAAAACCATGAGTGATATTCATTTTTTTTGTAATTTCAATCAAATTTATATTAAATTTACTTTTTATAGATTCTTTTGTAATATTCCTAATAATCTTAATAATAAATTATTTTATAACAATATTTTGGTTTGGTTGATTGATAAAATTTAAGGTAATAACAAATTTTAATACCTTCTATATTATAACCTCAATGACGTCAACATAGCAATGAAAAAGAAGAAGAAAATTTAAAATAACCATTATTTTAATGAAATATATTTTGTTATTGTTAGCTATTGGAGTGTTCCAAGTAAGTGCTGTGAATTGGGCATTACTGGTTTCAGGCTCAAATGCATTCTACAACTATCGACATCAAGCTGATGTATGTCATTCATACAAAACATTAATAAGAAATGGTTATTCCCCAGAAAATGTGATTGTGTTTGCATATGATGATATAGCATAGAACAGATAAAACATATACAAGGGGGCTATCTATAACTAACCAAATAAAGATGGATTTTCAGAAAATGTTTATGATGGTTGTGTTATCGATTACACTAAGACTGATGTCAACCCAACAAATTTTCTCAATGTTTTGAAGGGAAATTACGATCACTTGCCTGATGGTCATAAATTTATCAATTCTACTAGAGAAGACAACATTTTTGTATATTTCTCAGATCATGGATCTCCAGGTTTAATTGCTTTTCCAACTTCTTATCTCTATGAATAAGAATTAATAGAAACCTTCTAATACATGTATGAGAATGACAGATACAACAAACTTGTATTCTATTTGGAAACTTGTGAATCTGGATCCATGTTTGTGAATCTACCAACAAATCATAGAATTTATGCATTATCTGCAGCCAATCCATATGAATCATCTTGGGGAACATATTGCCCACCAGATGATATTGTCAATGGAAAGAGTTTGGGAACTTGTCTAGGGGATGAATTTTCAGTCACTTTCTTAGAAAACGTTGATCTTGGTGATTTTTCATAGTCTCTCTAAGAACATTTTGAATTTATCAGAGATCACACATTGAAATCAAATGTTATGTAATGGGGTGATGTCTCATTTGCAAGTGATACAATAAAAGAGTTCTTTTGGGGACGTAGATTCTAAGAGAAAAGAAAGATGTGTCCTAAAGATGCCTTTTTCATGAATGAAGAGGTATTAAATAATATGATACAATATAGAATGTTTCCAAATGGGATTCAAGAGACAACAAATTGTTATTCTATTAAAACAGATACAATCAAACAGGTGATTTGGAGGACTTCATTGAATTGGAAAAAGAGATCAAATCCAGAGCATACTTTGACACTATTGTAAATATAGTTCATTTATTTAGTTTGGCGAATTGCAATAATCATTGAAATTGACTGGAGATTATCATTTTGCCTTAAACCAGAATTGCCTCAAGTCAGTCATTGAAACATTTGAAGACAAATGCACCAAATTGACTGATTATGGACTTAAATATGTTAAATTATTTGGAGAGATGTGTGACAGCACAAACTTACTTCAAATTTAATTAAATATGATAGTATCCACTTTATGTATGACAGAATGATTTATCTAAAATATTTGCATTTAATTATAAAAATTAAAGTATTGGCTTAGTGAGAAATTAAATTATATTATTGGAATTACTTAATAATAGATTTGAAATAAATATTAAGGAATGGTATTTTAATTATAAATAATAATAATTCAATCTTAATTAGTAATATCAATCCTAGATGTTAAAAAGTAATGAAACTAAAAATTAATAAGGTGAGGACATCAGTAAAGAAGAAACAGAAGAGAAGGAATTAATGCAAAGTAGACAATTTTCCATCTTCAAAAAGTCCAACTGTTAAGAGCCATCTATGGTCAAGTAAATTATTGTTTAATTTTGAGGAATTACAAATCACAAATTATAGATTCCGATGAAGAAAATGATAAGAAAGATCCTGACAATGATGATGAAGAAGTAGAATTTAAGGTGTGGACCAGTTTAAAAAAGTCTACTACACTGCCCTAACGTGCATAAATATCATAAAAGAGTGTTGAAAAAGAAGAAGACGCCAACAATTTAAAACCTTTAGATTTCGAAGAGGTTTTAAAATAAAGTTAGATTACCTTCAGTTAGCATAGATAAAACTTTACAAATGATGAATAAGTTACTAAGCCTTAATTTAAAAGTGTGAGAATTACTCAAATTGATTCAGATAATGATGAAGAAGAATAGTACGATAAAGTGGCTTTAGATATTGAAGCCCATCGAGATTTGGAGACAGAAATAACGGCTGACAATAGAGTTATGATGAGCGTCATATAGAGTAAGTTATCTTAATCAATTTAATAATAATTCAAATAGCAATAATCTTTAGATAATTAATTAAAAACTAATGAATAGGATGAGATCTTTAAATCTAAGATTGTTTTCATCAATAAAACACCAGTGATTATAAGAGAAGATGATCTATACATTCGTAAAATCACAAAGGTTCAAAATAATTTTAGATTTGTCAAACCTTTTAAAAAACTTAAAAAATAGCATCGCTACAGAGTAAATATAATAAATGAGTTAATATACACAGAAAAAAATTATGTGAGTGATCTTAATTCTATCAGAGAGCAAATATTTAAGCCTCTCTCCTAATTGATTGATTGTTAATATGATTTGAAAATTATGTTTAATTTGGAAAGCATTTGTGAATTTAACTAGGAATTTTTGAAAGTTCTTTTAACTAAAACTTAGAATTTTAAAGAAAAACCTTATGCCTAGGTTATGGATGAAATAGTTGTCCTGTTACCAGGTTTTAGGTTTTATTTTGATTATTGTAAAGAGTATTAAGCTACTCGAAAAATACGAGATCACTATTCTAACACAAATTAGGTTTATTAAAAGTTTTTTAATGATTTGTTAGAGAAACAACCAAATTTCTTCAATAACTTAGATTTAGAAAGTTATCTTATTAAACCTGTTTAGAGATTACCTAAATATATTTTATTATTTANGGAATTACTTAATAATAGATTTGAAATAAATATTAAGGAATGGTATTTTAATTATAAATAATAATAATTCAATCTTAATTAGTAATATCAATCCTAGATGTTAAAAAGTAATGAAACTAAAAATTAATAAGGTGAGGACATCAGTAAAGAAGAAACAGAAGAGAAGGAATTAATGCAAAGTAGACAATTTTCCATCTTCAAAAAGTCCAACTGTTAAGAGCCATCTATGGTCAAGTAAATTATTGTTTAATTTTGAGGAATTACAAATCACAAATTATAGATTCCGATGAAGAAAATGATAAGAAAGATCCTGACAATGATGATGAAGAAGTAGAATTTAAGGTGTGGACCAGTTTAAAAAAGTCTACTACACTGCCCTAACGTGCATAAATATCATAAAAGAGTGTTGAAAAAGAAGAAGACGCCAACAATTTAAAACCTTTAGATTTCGAAGAGGTTTTAAAATAAAGTTAGATTACCTTCAGTTAGCATAGATAAAACTTTACAAATGATGAATAAGTTACTAAGCCTTAATTTAAAAGTGTGAGAATTACTCAAATTGATTCAGATAATGATGAAGAAGAATAGTACGATAAAGTGGCTTTAGATATTGAAGCCCATCGAGATTTGGAGACAGAAATAACGGCTGACAATAGAGTTATGATGAGCGTCATATAGAGTAAGTTATCTTAATCAATTTAATAATAATTCAAATAGCAATAATCTTTAGATAATTAATTAAAAACTAATGAATAGGATGAGATCTTTAAATCTAAGATTGTTTTCATCAATAAAACACCAGTGATTATAAGAGAAGATGATCTATACATTCGTAAAATCACAAAGGTTCAAAATAATTTTAGATTTGTCAAACCTTTTAAAAAACTTAAAAAATAGCATCGCTACAGAGTAAATATAATAAATGAGTTAATATACACAGAAAAAAATTATGTGAGTGATCTTAATTCTATCAGAGAGCAAATATTTAAGCCTCTCTCCTAATTGATTGATTGTTAATATGATTTGAAAATTATGTTTAATTTGGAAAGCATTTGTGAATTTAACTAGGAATTTTTGAAAGTTCTTTTAACTAAAACTTAGAATTTTAAAGAAAAACCTTATGCCTAGGTTATGGATGAAATAGTTGTCCTGTTACCAGGTTTTAGGTTTTATTTTGATTATTGTAAAGAGTATTAAGCTACTCGAAAAATACGAGATCACTATTCTAACACAAATTAGGTTTATTAAAAGTTTTTTAATGATTTGTTAGAGAAACAACCAAATTTCTTCAATAACTTAGATTTAGAAAGTTATCTTATTAAACCTGTTTAGAGATTACCTAAATATATTTTATTATTTAAAGATTTGTTAAAGCACACTAATAAAGAACATCCAGATTATAACAATATTGAATAATGTTTGAAGCTCTTCTAATAAATCAATGATAAAAACAATCATTAAATCAAAACTTAGTTAGAATAATTAAAATTAGTGGAACTTTAAAATAACTTTGGATAACACATAATACTTGTTGAACCTGGCAGAGTCTTTTGCTTTGAAGAGTTCTGCTCTACTTACACAGATAAACTACATAATAATATAATATTATATGCATTTAATAATCTATTATTATTTGCATACAATAAGTAAAATGGATAATAGGGGTATTTTTCACATCTTCACTTAACTTATCAATCATATGTTAAAGATAAAGAAAATACGGATTATTTTGAACATTTTTTTGAAGTGGTTAATAAGACTGAATCTATCATCATAATTAATCAAGATAATGAATCGAAAATGGCATTACTGTCGAAGATATAAGAAATAATCCAGTAACTTAAAGACAAATAAATCAATATGCAAAATTTAATAAAATAAGCAAGTATTATGCCTGAAGTTAATAATGCTCAAAAAGACTAAAAGCATGATTTTGAAATAAAAGTGATTGTAATTGGAACGGAAATAAGAAACTCGAAATTTAATCCTTATACAGTATACGTAGTAAACATCTTCATTTAAGAATATTAAACTAAGATATTTGTAAGGTACAGCCAAATAGTTTCCTTATAAACCATTGTCAATAAGTTTGATTCTAGTTTAAAAGTGCCAGTATTTTAAACATTGAATTGGTTTCTTTCAAACGACGAAAAAGTAATAGATGAGAGAAAACTATTAATTGAAAAATTCTTATCCTCAGTGTTGAATTCTTAAAAATGCCAAACAGCTAGTGAATATTAAAAATAGGTTTTGGAATTGCTAAATCTAAACTAGGATTTCTTTTAAATTCCTTTAAAACTGAATTCGAATTCTAACAATAAATTGGGCGATGAAGACATGAGGAAAATGATATTGTAGAGTCAATTTTCTTTTGGCATTAAACCTAATTTACTTTAATCATTGATAATGAAAGGAAAGTCTACAAACATAATGTAAGCAGCTAAAGCCTCCATCTAAAAATTGAACATAACGGCTATTGAATAAGGTAATTAAATAGTGATTGGATAAGATGCATCTAAATAACCGTATTGTATCGAGGTAAGTCTCATGGATGATAGAAAAATAATGGTGGGATTTAAAAAGCAAACGTTAACCTTATTCATTAAGAATGAAGTTGCTAAATTTGTAGGATTAAAATAGTGGCTTGATTTTAGATTATTCATTGTGGATTAGAATAAAGATCAGAGAGTTATTGATGATGATGAAACAATGTCATCTATCTTGGATGCTCATATAAATGAAAACACAGGTTTGATAAATGCTTTTAAGAAGTTATTAACAGTTTAGCAGAAATTCTAATTTGTATTTAGAAAATACTTCTACTTGTAATGGAAATAAGAAGAAGCTGATTACAGTTAAGATCAATAAAGACTTTTATATTTAATCTATGATATCATTTGGGAAATAAAAAATGAAAATTTTCAATATAATTTTAATCAATTTTGTTTGATAGTCGCATTATTCTATTATTCAACAAGCACCACTCAAGATTAAATTTCTTAGCTTATGCATAGAATAATCCCTAAGAATTATATAAAAAAGAAAAAAGATGAAGTTTGGTTGAAAGAAATTGTTTATAATATCAATGCCTTATAATAAGAGTTAAAGAAAATGTAAAAAGAATCATAATAATAAGCCGAAAAAAAGAACCAAAAATGTCTAAACAATTCTATTAGTGGATAAGCTTAGTTAATGCTTATGAATTATTTGAAAACTCACTCCCTTTTTGGAATGTAATAATTTTTGGTTGAATGCAACAAATAAACCATTCAACTCTTCTAAAAGAATTTTAATATTAAAATAAGTACTCATATGTTTATTGGATTGAACTATAATGGATTTCATATTTTGAATCCTGAAACAAAAGCCATACTTTATACATGTTAATATCAAAAGCTGACTGAAATGAAAGCTTGCACAACAGAATTTTCATGTATCATTGACTCTACAAAATTATCCTTTAAAACTTAACTTTCCTTTGAAGTAAAAATTTATTTAATTTCATTAGATAAAATCATTGATTCTTGAGTTTAAATAATTGTAGGAATTCACTAATCAAATAGCTTATGGTGCACATTGATTTTTTGTTTTTAATTTCCTTTAATAATATTACCTTCCTTCTATATTATTTTCTTATACTTATTAATTATTAATATATGATACAAGGTTATTTGCATTTATTAGGTATCTTGTAATATTTTAAGTTCTACAGATTATTATCTCTCTTATATCAATTCATAGAGCATCGATTTCAAAAAATTGTTTAAACATTGAACAGAATTATTTGTTAATAAATAGCAGATACTAGAGAGATATTCATCTTTGACTAATTAAGCTAGAATGAAATCCTCTCCTGAAATTATTAATTATTTTTATAAATAGTATTCATAATAAAGATACTAAGTATTATTATAGTGATTTAAGTTATTCTTTAATGAATTGCCTGCATTCTAAAAGTGAAAGTTCTCTTCTTTGTTGACATCTCGAAATTAAGTAGAGGATTATTTTGTTCGGCATATCTTTGGATATTTTTTAATTCATTTTTAAAGCATCATTAAGCCATTTTGCATTAACATTCGTTGATTCTACATCATTCTTGTATTAAATATACTCAAGCCTCAAAATTTAATTATGTTTTTCGACTATGCTTCTCAATTCAGAAATCAATTTCTCCTTCTCTTACAATAATTTAAATTGATTAAGGAGTTTAAGTGCTTCAATAATTATTTCATTTTGAGAAAAATAACATTCAATTGAAAAAGAAATCAATTCAACATTTGTTTATCTCAAATATTATTGAAAGTCTAAGTGATCAAATACCCCATAACACTATAAACATATTTTACATGCATTTATGATAGAATTTTCATCTCTCCCAGTGATTTTATATTTTATAGGTTATGAATGATATGGGCATTCCTCTACTTATTATTGATCAACAGAATATGTTTGTATTTAAGAAATTAATGGCTATTCACATGATGTAGTTTGAGAATCTAGAGATATTTTTCTATTATCCTTTTAAATACTACTTTGTGGGCTATATTAATAGTACTCATTTAAGCTCTATATAATCCAATTCAAGTCTTTCCTTTATTTAGGGTCCTTTTAAATAGAATTTATCAATATATTTTTGATCAAACTCTTTTTATTATCAAAATTTGCAGGTTCTGCATATTACTTATCTCTTATAAAGTAATCAATGGTTCTTATTTTACTGAATACTTCTTCTTCAGTAAACCCATTATAAAATGGTGTTTTGTGCAGTAATTCATCGATGATTAAACCTAATGCCCAAGTATCCACGGATTTATCATACTCTTGTTCCTTCAATATTTCTGGAGCTACGTAATAGGCTGTTCCAACTTTAATTGTTGTCATTCTATCTAATTTCACACTGCTGAAACCGAAATCCGTTATTTTATAGGTTTCAGTCCCTTGTTCATCAATTTATCTTAATATATTCTCAGGTTTAACGTCTCTATGCACAATATTTTTGCTATGTAAAAAGTTTAATCCGTTTGCGATTTAAAGTGCTATGATTACTATTTATTCTTCAGTAAATGATTTAGTAATCATCATTTCATATAATGTACCACCATTGCAATATTCTTAAACTATAAATAGAGCTTCAGGTTAATCAAAAATATCAAACAATTAAACTACATTTTAATGTTTAAATTATGACAATCGATAGAGGATTCTTTTCTCCTATTGAGAAATAGCAAGATTTCTATTACTAATTTTGACAGCGACTTTTTATTGATTTGATTTTTTAACGCCCAAAAACACTTATGAAAATGCCCCTTATCCAAGCAATTAGTTTTTAGTTTCATAATATTATTCATATCGACTTTTCATTTCTTATCAATTTAAATTTTTTTATTTAACTCAGTTATAATAAAATTTAGAGTTCATGGATGGTAAGGAATTCAAATTAGTATGGTTTCTCGAGATTTAGTCTTCACAGAATCAATACTTATACTAAGATTCCTTAAGATGAGAACTCAAGAATTTAGCCAATTATTGTTGTATATATTAATACATTGATGTTATTACAATAAGAGACCAAGTTATAAATTGTCTATGTGAGTATTTATGTCTTAGTCATCAATCGGTATTTTTATTTAAGTAATTCACTGCTCATAGCCTAAAATATTAATGTAGTTTATTTATTGAAAAATTAAATTAAAGTTTAATTCGAAATATAAAGCTTTGATTTTAAGTATGAGATTATGAATTAAATCTAAAGGAATCAACAAACAATTCAGTATATGTTGGAAATCAGTTCATTTAAGTAAATGTTGAAAAAAGATCTAATAATAATCTTATAATGTGAACTATTGTTATTTAAAGATTGAAAGGTTATAAATCAATTGTTATCATCTTCTATTAACAGTAACTTAGGGAATGATTTGGGAGATTTTTGGTATTTGTTTCTACAAGATGTAATAAACAACAATTGGCGCTATTATTCATTAAGATCGCTTTAATCAGTTTATATCCGTTTTTTAATATTACTTTGAGAATGAAGACTTTGGATATGGCGAAGTGATAAAGAAATATTTTTATTGACTGTGTTTGGTTTATTTGATAGTTAAATATTAAGCAAATTTTGATATTTCTTTTAAGATTCCCTTCTTGATGATTGATTGAACTATAATACTTTTGATGGAGATAGTGAAGATCCATCAGTTAATTAATATTAATGTTAAAAAGAAATTATATTCTCAAAGTTCTCTTCGGATTAATTAAATTTGGATTAAGATTTAGACAAATTTAATTTAAAGTTTTTAATTTCATTTGAGAGACTCAATTCTTACTTACTTTTTTATTGTAATAGTCTATTGTTCATATAAAATAGCTTTTCTTTTTCTTTTTACATATTTAATAGCAATTCAGAATTAGGTACCAGAAGATCTTTCTGCAACTTATCTTTGTATTTTTATTGAAATGCTTTTTAGTTTCTTCTCACACTTTAAGACAGAGTTAAGAGTTTTTTATTTCCAGATCTTAAGACTTTGGATTAATCAATGTGTTCTTTTTAAACATCCAAAAGTTCATCAAATGGTACTGGAGTTTATTGATTTGATGTTGTATTAACGATTGAATTTTAACAATTTTAAATACTCTACATCATTTATTGGTATCTCAAAGATATATATTAATTATTTTTTTCTTAAATTTCTTTTAAGAGATTGACAATTTATGGAAAACTCTTCCTAATTTTTCTAAATTCCTCTGCCTCCAAATAATAGGCAGAGGTATTATCTACACATTGACAATTATACTTTCTTTTCGGTAATTCATCTATAAGTTCTTCTTAACCTACAACACCTCCATCTGTTATTTAACTTAGCTACAAATAAAATAATACACATACTACAACTTTCTTGAGAACAATGTTAAATAGATTATTAGGAATAGCTCTATTTTAAATTGGTTTCTGATCATCTAATTTCATATAGATATCAATTCTTCCATTAACGATAATTAATAGATTTTAAGGTTCATCTCCTGCCTACCATAGGATAGATTATGAAGTAAATTTGATAGGTCTTAAATATTATACAAATTTTTAGATAATAAATGGCTATATTCCAGGAAATATTCTAGAGTATAAACTCATGGCCTTTTTTTATTCTTAAATAGCCTTCTCACAAATTAGTTTATATTAAGCTCGATTAATTGATATGCAATGCAAGAGATCTGATAGAACTATTAAACTAGCTGTTCTAGGTTTATCAGAGGTTAGAGCTACATCTCCAAACCATTATCCAGATATGTATTAAAATACCTAGAGTGTATTAGAAGATGATATACTTTTTGAAATCTAAATATGCCATCCTAATAGTAAATAGGATTCTCCCTGTTTTCATACAATGGGTCATCTGTAAAAAGCATTCTTTTATGTTTTTTTAAATTATCTTAAGCCAACTCTTCTTGGATTTATTCTTGTGACTTTGGAATGTAAACACCAGCTTATCCTTTCAATATAATGTACATCTTATCACCAAAGTCTCCATAATTGAAAATGATTTATCCATAAGAAAAACACTCATATTTTGCATGCTTTGTTGTTTGCATAACAAAATCTTTAAGTTGAGTTCCATCGGGACAATTATTTTTAAAGAATTATACCTGAAGCAGAGAATCTACTATTTATTCATTTTATTATTTTGGATTGATGAAATATTCAAGTGCTTTTGACAATGAAGCTTCATTTTACAGCTATTATTTCAGTAGTTGCTCTTACTGATTTAGCTTTTGATTAGTTTATTTCATCTCAAAGAAATATAAAATTAATTTTAATTACTTTAACCTTTTGAATTAATACATATTATTATGCATGATTCTTTGACTATTTTCAACTTTGCTTTTGTGTTATTAGCATAATTGAGTATGCAATTATATAAAAATTATTTGTGATAAATGATATGTGCACTATTTTCTAATGTTATAATATTTTAATTTTGTATTTATTGAATTTCCCTTTTATTTGATGATTTAACTTAGAGACATGTAGATAACATTTGATTTATTGGAAAAGAATTTATCCATATTTCCTTAAGAATACATTTTAACTATAAAGAAATAAATAAAAAAGTTTGATATTTTAAGAACTTTTTGGGGGTGAAGATACTTTAACTATTTTTTGGATTAAAGAATAACGATTTATGTGATAGTTCTATTAGGAATTTTAATATTAATAGTTCTAATTATTTAAAATGCTTATTTGAGCATAATTCTTTATAATGATATTCCAAATAGTTTTAAGGGGTTTGAATAAGATGATTCAGATATGTGATTTGTTTGTGTTGGTCTTTCTTTTTATTATTTGTCATTATTGAACGTAAATTATTAATTTTTATACTTGATGAGAGAAGGACAAAGGCTTAATCAGTCATTTTCTTATAGTCGATCAAGTCCTGATAAGAAGGGTTCAAGACACAATAAAATAGTTTCGGATTCTTATCGAAAGTTTCTTGCTACTTATTAATAGTTATCTATGTTAGGCAGTTAATATAAATATTCACATAGTACTCTTATGCCTTACATTTACTTCTTTAAATACATGGCTAAGAGATATGATGAGGCAAATCAAAAATGCAAATTGAAAATGTGGATTCCAGATACCATTATATTAAATGATTTAGATTTAAGTGCAATTTGGTTCTACAGTAGTGCAGATGGTTACGTTTATAGAACTGATTCGTTCACCAGTAGAAATGCAGCATAAAAATTTACAGAAGGAAGCAATGATCCAAATGAATTGATTGCTGTTGTAAAGAAGCCGCACTACAAAGATATGGAATTAATTGGAAATGACACAAAACCAATTTTATAGAAGGATGTTCAATTGATATTTTCGAATGCCATGAGCGTAAAGTAGGAAATCACTTGTTTATAAAAGTATATTAAATGCCAAGGTCCTATGGCATACATCTGTAGGACCATTTGGAGAAAAAATGGGTAAACTACAGCTTGGGTTATAACCAACAAACTCACATTTCAAGATGAAGGTGAGTATGCCTAAAGATGTCTTGCAAGTGCTAGCAAATATAAATAAACAAATATAATTCAATGTAAGGGCGGTCGTTTCATTGAAGAAACCGTCCCTTACATTTAAAACCTGTTACTCTATTGCAGATAGAATATGAATGTGGAGTTTGATGAACTCGGCTGTGATTTTACAAAGGGATTAGATAACAAATGGTATTTACTTAATGTTAGAGGATTCAAGCTGATGAATCCTTCTCATTAAATCTTTACTAGACATATTACTCACGATGAATAAATACCTGCAGATTTTGAGAGAAAATAAGCTTCTCACTCTAATCAATAATGGAATTTTACGAAGACATAGGTTTGTAAGTTTTGTGAATTGATATACCCAGCCAAAGAATTAACTCATTAATTAACTTTAAAAATGTTAATAGAGTGTGATTTGCATTTATTGAGTAGAAATATTGAATTAAAACACCTATAAATTAGAAATAGAATAAACTTTACTCATCTTGACAGTGCTATGTTATTCCATAAATATTATGTTTGTGATAGTTGTTATTAATTATTTATGGCATGTGATGAATTAATATAGCTTGAATTCAAGATGGCATAGAAATTAGGAATTGATGTGTGTGAGAAAAACAACATTATTTCACTTACTTAATAGGACTATCGTGTTAAAGGACCCAATGTTATTCAGAGATAGGCTAATACTATTTATGGAAATGGGGAATATTTTATCAAGCCTCACGATTGGGAGATGTTAAATGAAGTATAAATAAAATTAATGCCAAATCTACCTGAAATTAATTATGGAACCATTCCTAAGATGAAAAGATTTAGAATCATGGTCTACATCAAATCAGTATCTCAGATTCCAATTGAAGCCTAATTCAATTAGTCTAAATATTACATTTATTATAGTTTTCTTAATTAAGAAATTAAGTAAATCTATTTATAATTATTTTAGATTTTAATTAGACATGAAGAAGAGTATCGATCACCAAAAGGATGTATTAAATATTGATCATGTTAAATTGTTTTATCTTTTCGCAGCCGATAGACAAGACATTAATTGTATTTTATCAAATCTGAAAATTGGTCTATTATGCAATCAAGAGATAATAGGAGAATTGGAATGTGAGTTAGGGGATTTCAAAAGCTCTTAGGTTACAATTAAAGAATATTTAAAATATTTTTCTGGAATCTAAATTAAATAAATTTTATCATGGTCAACCGATTTGAGCATTGGGTTAGTCGAAAGCTAATAAGGAAGTATAAATGTAGAAAGAATTAAACTATAAAAATATGGAATAATTTATTTGCCAAATGTTGATTATTATTGTAGTGAACCCTTACCTTAAGAATGGATGAATTAATTTGAAAAACGAAGAAAGAACAACATTAATCATATTGGTAATAATAGTACAAGTTTTGCAATATCAGACGTTTCCAACATTTTAGATCATTCAAGAGCCCAATAAACCAAATATCCATCAAGAAAAAGTTGCACTGCAGCAACTACTGCCCCAAATAAATTAGATTAATCTTCAATTTTATATTCTGAACTCTTAGAATATTAAAAAGAGTATTATTTTATTATCAATATAATAGCACGGATAAAATACTTAATTTTGATTATTGACCAACATTTTATGAATTATTTAATATTTATAATACATTCACTAGAAATAGCACTGATTTAACTTTATAATAAATTGAATGTTTCTTTAGTTATTTCTTTAGTAAATTAATTTATTAAATTTAAATAAATTCCAATACCTAATTTATAAAATTCTTAATAAATCTCCAAATTTTAATTTAAATAATTTAGACATAAACCTCTAAATTTAAATCGATAATCGCTCTTTTTAAAAATGATTTTTAAGATTCACTTTAAATTCTAGATATTGTTATAAGATATTTAAATTTTGTGTTTAATATCATGAATACTAGTGAATAAAAATTCATTTAGATAAATGCTTATCCTAATTACAAGAATTTTGATATATTCTATCTAATAAATATATATATATATGATGGTCTAATCTTACAATTCATATATTTTCGTTGAATACAGTCATAGATTGTTTTCTTTATTAATTAAGATTTTAAGTTTTGCAGAATATTCTGTCTAATATGTTAAGTAATAATATCAAAAAAGGGAATTTGTATTAGTTATATAAATTCTTTACAAATCTGATTTAGAAATGAATGGATATTAAATATATCAACGAAATTAATACTTTGTGAATTAGAGAGATTTAAAGATTAATATTATTATTTATTTATTGATGCAAAGAAAAAGACGCTGTGCTTTCGATTCAGATAATTTGGAAGAATATATTTAAGTAACAAATAATTCAAAAATGAGCTGGCAACTATTGGATAGAATTAAACTAACCTATTCTATGATGATAAAAAAATAAATTGGTTAAAAAAGAGTAAATAAGTGGAAGATGATGAGGAAGTACTCAATGATATCGAAGGATTTGAACATAACTATAGCTCCCCACAGGTGGATTATATTGACACTTCTGAATTACCTCCTGATATAGTTTTGAAATCAGGAGATGATATATTTAGTCATTATATTATGATTTTGGGAGACATCAACGAATATGTGAAGCAATCATTAACCTTGTTTTGCATGTAGAGTCGTAAAAATAGTAGTGAAGATTTCAATGAAGAGTTGATATCTCCAATTAAAAGGTATATATTAATATTTCACACACTAAGCAAACTTTGTTTAGATTTAGCCGTAAAGAGGATTCAAGAAAAAAATGGAGTGCACATTGTCAAGTTTCTTATGCATGATATGACAATCTAGAATTATGGTCCAATTATTAATGGTATGTCCATTTCAAGATCATAGTTTACTTTCTCTAAACTTCCAATTACATACTAATAATTAATATCGATTAGAATAACTTCTAAGCTTAGAAGGAGCAAGATATGATAGAAACTATTAAATAGAAAGCTTCAACTTTTAAGAATGTCTACGTTTTATATTTTACGGAATCTGACATCCAGGATCAAAGAATACCTAACAAATATTATTGCAATCGATGGAATATAGGTGTGATTCTTTCATAAGTATACTATATAAATTAAAACTAAGATCATAGACCAAGTCATTAATTAATGAACAAAATACTTTATAATTTATGTATTAATACATTCCTTTTTAATTGTTTTTTTTATCTTTTTATATTAAAATTCAAAATGCAAACAACTGATCCCAAGACTTACAAGCCACTCAAGCAAATTGATAAAAACTAGAGAGGATATGGATTAAAATAAATTGCCTAAATGACTCTTGGTTCAGGCAATATGTTGTTGGCAGTCGAATTACCAAATGGGGAAGACTTANATATATATATATGATGGTCTAATCTTACAATTCATATATTTTCGTTGAATACAGTCATAGATTGTTTTCTTTATTAATTAAGATTTTAAGTTTTGCAGAATATTCTGTCTAATATGTTAAGTAATAATATCAAAAAAGGGAATTTGTATTAGTTATATAAATTCTTTACAAATCTGATTTAGAAATGAATGGATATTAAATATATCAACGAAATTAATACTTTGTGAATTAGAGAGATTTAAAGATTAATATTATTATTTATTTATTGATGCAAAGAAAAAGACGCTGTGCTTTCGATTCAGATAATTTGGAAGAATATATTTAAGTAACAAATAATTCAAAAATGAGCTGGCAACTATTGGATAGAATTAAACTAACCTATTCTATGATGATAAAAAAATAAATTGGTTAAAAAAGAGTAAATAAGTGGAAGATGATGAGGAAGTACTCAATGATATCGAAGGATTTGAACATAACTATAGCTCCCCACAGGTGGATTATATTGACACTTCTGAATTACCTCCTGATATAGTTTTGAAATCAGGAGATGATATATTTAGTCATTATATTATGATTTTGGGAGACATCAACGAATATGTGAAGCAATCATTAACCTTGTTTTGCATGTAGAGTCGTAAAAATAGTAGTGAAGATTTCAATGAAGAGTTGATATCTCCAATTAAAAGGTATATATTAATATTTCACACACTAAGCAAACTTTGTTTAGATTTAGCCGTAAAGAGGATTCAAGAAAAAAATGGAGTGCACATTGTCAAGTTTCTTATGCATGATATGACAATCTAGAATTATGGTCCAATTATTAATGGTATGTCCATTTCAAGATCATAGTTTACTTTCTCTAAACTTCCAATTACATACTAATAATTAATATCGATTAGAATAACTTCTAAGCTTAGAAGGAGCAAGATATGATAGAAACTATTAAATAGAAAGCTTCAACTTTTAAGAATGTCTACGTTTTATATTTTACGGAATCTGACATCCAGGATCAAAGAATACCTAACAAATATTATTGCAATCGATGGAATATAGGTGTGATTCTTTCATAAGTATACTATATAAATTAAAACTAAGATCATAGACCAAGTCATTAATTAATGAACAAAATACTTTATAATTTATGTATTAATACATTCCTTTTTAATTGTTTTTTTTATCTTTTTATATTAAAATTCAAAATGCAAACAACTGATCCCAAGACTTACAAGCCACTCAAGCAAATTGATAAAAACTAGAGAGGATATGGATTAAAATAAATTGCCTAAATGACTCTTGGTTCAGGCAATATGTTGTTGGCAGTCGAATTACCAAATGGGGAAGACTTAAATGAATGGTTGGCTGTCAACACAATCGAATTTTATAATGAGATATCAATTCTATATGGAACACTCGTAGAATTCTGCACTCCTGAACTGTGCCCAATCATGTCGGCTGGCCCCAAGTAATATTTGAATTCATTATTTCAAGATATGAATATCTATGGGCAGATGGATAGAATGTTAAAACCCCTCTCAAAGTCTCGGCTTCGGAATACATTGATTATTTAATGACTTGGGTGGAGAACTAACTCAATAATGATTCCTTGTTCCCATGTTAAATTGGTAATTTAAACATTTTATTAAGGAATTCCTTTTCCAAAAACATTTTTATCTGTCGTTAAGGTTATTTTTAAGAGATTGTTTAGAGTTTATGCACATATTTATCACTCCCACTTTTAGCACATTATGGCACTTGAATTGGAATACCATTTGAATACTTGTTTCAAGCATTTCATATATTTCATTGGTATTGATGTCAATAGAATTTAGATGAATTCAAACTAGTTGAAGATAAGGAACTCGCTCCATTGGCAGAGTTGATACAGTAATTCAAAGCAAGAAAGGAAAATCCAACCATGAATTAGGGTGTGTGAAAGTTAATGCACTTAATTAAAAGTATATATATTTTTTTAATAATGCGTAATAATTACCAATGATACCAATATTTATCAATATAAACAAATCAAGTCTTGAATGTTAAAAAGTATTTCAAAATTATACTCTTTTAAAATACAATTTGAAAAAGATTTTTTTCTTTTTCATATTATATAAATTTGGATCTCACTTGTTCTTCTTCATCATTTCAAGTAATCTGAAATTTGGAATCATTTAAAGGTCAGGGATCTCACAATTAGTCACGTGATACATCCTAATACTTTAGAGCATTTCACACAAATCATTTGTTTGGAATCGACTGGTTAGAGTATTTGTGTTGATTTTATCAAAAGGAATTTACAAAAGTGATGGATAAATTTAAAGCGATAGAACAGAAATTATATATAGAAAAAGATATTGAGTCTATAGAGTAATATGAAGTATAATTAATAAAATGATTGAAATGTTTGGATCAGGAACTGCAGTTAGTATATATACAACTAATTCAGACTATTGGATACAATGATTAAATATATGAAGTAAATATGATAGGAAATTGAAAAGCAGGTGAACCTTCATTTGAATTATTAGATCTTTTAATTAAATTTTTAGGATCCAAGATTTCAATAAAATTAAACTGGAGGAGAGATCATAAATAGTTTATATCTATAATTTTAATTTACAAATTTCTAAATTAAATTTAATAGTCCTTCTCTTTTTTTATTTATTTGAATTAGTCAAATTCTACTAAAGATCATTTTTAACTAAAATATACATATTATAATATAAAATAGTTTAATATTACAATTTAAATGATTAATATTCTATATTTTTAGATTATTAAATAAATACAATCATAATCTTCTTGCAATAATTATCATCAACCTAATTTCTTCAGTTGATCTCTGATTTAATTGGCTTTTTTCAAATTCAATTACAATTATGATTTGTATTAACTTTAAGGTGGATAAAGAGATTAATTAGGAGGTTATCGAAAAGTTATTTATTAAAGTGCACTAAATTATAATTATCTTGTCTTTTCCTTTTTCGAATCAGGAGAGCTCAGAATTGAACAATCAGAATCTGATTATTATTACTATATATTAGGAGAACGAAATAAATAATTTGGATCGATAGTACTTGATTTCTCCATTAACCAACTATCAGAAGATGCTTTAATAGGATCAAATTCTCTTACACCTAAAAAGGGTGTTTATTAAATCAATTCATTTTAATTGCTTTTTAATATCCTAGACCTTAAATCACACTGTCCGAACTTTTTCATATTGTCTAAGATACTAAATTTTTCATTAGAGCCATCATTATTTATCTTAATATCATCTACATAATTAGATTCTCTCTTGTATAAGTGAGATATAAATGGATGAGAAAGTGCTTCTAAAGATGAAATTCTACATTCAGGATTGGGTTCTAAGGATTTCTTTAATAAATCTAAGGCATCCTCAGATACTTTAAGATCCTTAAAATTAATTTAGCAATCTCTGTTTTTCTCCATTATTTCATCAAGACTATTTCCATCAAAGGGTGCTTATCCAGAAAGTCTAATATGATTTTAAAGGTTTACAAAATGTAAAGAATGATTCCTGCACTGAAGACATCAACTTTTTCATTATATTTTTTATTTTCGAAAATTTCAGGAGCAACATACCCAGGAGTTCCACATCTAGCGATAATAAGGTCAGCTTCAGTGTAGGATGCTAAACCAAAATCTGCAATTTTTATATCAAAATTCTCAGATTTATCTTTTAGTAATATATTCTCAGGTTTAATATCTCTATGCATGATATTCTTATCTAATCAATGAATGATAGTACTTTTGTATGCAAATATTCTAGAGCATCGAATATCTTGAACATTATCAGAGACACCTTGGACTCTTGAAAGGATTGAGTCTCTAGAATGAGATCGAATAATTCTCCTCCTTCGAGCAGTTCCATGACTAAATAAATGTAATCACCGCTTTCATAGATTTCATATAATTTAATAATGTTGGGATGATCACAAGAACGCAGCAAATCGATTTCATTAAGTAATCCTTACTTTTTGATATCAGTTATATTCTTACTCTTTATTTATTATTTTTATCTAATAACGCTGATTTTTAGAAGGTCTTAACAGCATATTTGCTTTAATTTACTTTTCTTTAGGCTAAGAGAACCTTATTTATTTATACACTTACCTTTGCGTACGTTCCTTTCCCTATTACTTTAAGGTTCAGAAAAATATCTCTATAATTATTAAGAATGCATGTCTTCTTGAAGTGTTCAATCCATTTTTATCTTTATTCTTATGATTTTGCTCTAAAGATGTACTTTTTAGACCCTGAGAATAGTACAATAGGATGACCATCTTTTTCTACAATATTTTACTAACTTAGATCTAAATACACAGTAGTCAGAAACAAAGCAGCTGTTTCTTTCTATTCTCTGCAGTTCTAATATTATGATATTGTGCAAATTACCTTATAAATGTTTAGTCTATCGGAGAATAACTTAAAAAACTTTGGTTTATATAAATCATGTTTCTTGCTCTTTATAAATAAAGTTCCTTCATATAATCTAATTGTGGAGATTGGACGTTTTATTGAATGTATTTTCACCCATTAATTCTTTCTGTTGGTAATAGCTGAATCAAAAAAATATTATTCCGTTTACATAAATATAGAATTTATTATTAATCTTGGTTTGTCCATGTAGAAATTAAATATGAATTTAAATAATACGAAACTCCAAAAATTGACTCTTTATTTAATTCAACAAAGAAGTATGAAAATATTTTTATTTTTATTATTAAAATATGATGTATTCCAAAGCTGGTAAAATTTCAATTGAGCTCTTCCCTTGGATACAATAAAGAGATGCAATAATAAATGGGGACAAAAAAAAAACTTATGAAATTTCAATTTTTGATGATATTCCTCATAGTAAACGACCCTATAAAAATGTCAAACAAAATCCTAAATTATCTCTAAAAGAAAACTCTCAGCCAAAAATTTAACCATTTTCCAAATAGGTTGGAAGGGTCGAATCTAAAAAGGAGTTAGATAGATAAGGATTTTATAATCCCAAATATCATTTAGTAAGGAGAAGGTCACCCTTAACTGATGATCCTGATCATTTTAAATAAATAAATAGGGATCGATCTTTGTCTCCGAAAACTATTAAAAGAACCATTAAAATTTAGAAACCGTCCTTAAAACATAATTGTGAAACTAGTAAATCATTTGTAGAGAAAAAGAAACAGTAAGAGTAAAGAAAGCAAAGAGCCCAAGATTATCAACCAGATCTAAATAGATTCCCTTTGTCAGATGGGCCTAATGAACATAGATTTGAATACTAAGAATACCCGTAGTCATAGTATAGTAGATCTCCAAATCCAATAATTAGACCGCACTCTAGTTCTTCCAAAATGAAGTTTAAAGAAGTAAGATAATCATTTGATAAATAGTAGTAAAAGAATGGTTAAATTTATGATGTTAATTACACTGTAATCTATCCAAAATCTGATAAGATGATACCTGTCTTAGATAAATTGACCCCAAGATAACCTTTCAATAGCGATAAACCAGTTTATACATATCATGAAACCCTTTCTGATGATACTCCGAAGAAAAGAGATAGTCCCTAATCATTTAAGCTCGATTAATAGATTTCTAGAGAGAAAGCCATCAGTTACTATTCCTCTATAAGAAGACTTTATTATTTATGATTATGCTATTATTATTAATATTAAAATGTCGTATCCCTTTGGTAATTAATTTTCAGCAGGGATGCCTAATGCCAAATACAAAACAACCCTTTGCAGGCACTATCAAGGTACTAACATTTAGATTTTTAGCCACAAGACAATGTGCCATAGGAGCCAAATGCCAATTTGCTCATGGACATGAGGAAATGAGATCCATAAATGGTATTAATGAATTTCATAACCCATAAGATCCTATACCGTCTGCCCTTATCGCAGTTTTAGCAGTCCCTCCTCCTTTTTAGGAAATTATGAAACCAATGATCCCTTAATAACCTGCTTTTAAAAGTATTAAAAATCTTTGAGGTTAGTCCCGTGCAAATATCATGCTTAAAATTATTGCAAAAATGGATAAAACTGCCAATATTCTCATGGTATTCAAATTTAATATATACTGAGATGTCGATATTTAACAACCCATGATTCCCAATATAATTAACCCATATTAACCATAATACCCGTAAGTTGAAATTAGATAAGAAATTAAGCAGGAAGAGCCAATGACTACTGTATTTATCATTATATTATAAACCATGGAATAAATATTTTCGAAAGATGTTAATTATTATAAAATATTTAAGGATATCATATAAAAATTAAAAATTGCATAAGATCAAGTGAAATGTGGTAATTTGACAGTTGGTTCGGAATGCATTAAAGCCATTATGACAGATCCAGAGAGAACAGATGATGAGATAGAATAGTATACTACTATATATAAGAATGCATGTTATTATTATCATCAATTGTAATAAGGTTGAAAAATTTGTTGTTTAAATATAAAAAATATATATAAATAAATAGAATTGACCCATTTTTAATAATTTGTATTTTTCCAAATTTAACTTAGTTAAACTTTAGATAAATAAACTAATGGTTGAAATTTTACTCTTTCATTTAATATGTATTTTCTGTGATTATTTTTTAAATTTATTCATTTTTAATATATTTAAATAGCATAAATAATCGAATTTCGTTATTCAATTTGATTCTTCGTAACATTTCTATAACCGCAAAATTCTTTATTAAAAGCCTTCACCTAAATGACTTTAGTATAAAAATGTTAGCACAGTTAGGTATTTGAATTTTCATAAAATAAATATGTGTATTTTATGCTTAATAATATTTTCAAGATAGAAGTTCACTTTTTCTTTTGGTATTTTTTAGGGATATTATGATATTTTAAAAACAATATTGTGAACTTTGATTTCTATAATAAAAATTATATATTAGATGTTGTTAATTAACTTCATAAAATTTAAATTTATAAGTTAGTCAGTTTTTATTTAATTTTGATCAATAAATGATGATCAATAACATTTGAAAATTAATGATTTTATGTAAATACTATATAAAGTTATAATCAAAGTTAAAGTAATTGATTTATTTCCTATTCAGCCTTACTTAATAAATCTAATATATTGTTTTTAGTATATGGCACTTCCTCATCTATTAAACATTGTATTTCTTAATCAGTTTTATTTTGAAAAGTAGTTGAAGCCAATATATTTTCCATAGGTAATTTGACGCTTTCATATCTTGATAGCGGTTCTTTTTATTATTCTTCGGGAATGGCTTGGAGCTAAGACAAAGTAAATCTTTCTTGAAATGAAACTTCGTGATAATTTAAAGTGATTTACTAAACTTTTAGTTGTTCATTTAATTATTCAATCATATTCTGTTATTATTTATATTACTCTTTATGAGTGTTGATTTCATCAAGTAACTATTAATTCATATTACTTAGTTTAATAATGAGTTGTGTTTATTCTTCATATAATTCTTTTAATTTTAGATGATCCTAATTTTATTGTTTTATAGTTTTGTTTTATGTTTCAATTCTATTTTTTTATTACACATTCTCAAATTTCAGTTAATCAATTTGATTATATAATTATTTGACTAATTGAATTGATTTAGTATCAAGAAGGTTCTCATTTGATACAGTGGTAATTGTCGATTATTGAGAGAAGTAATTATTTAATTGATTAGATTTTTGTTGATGAATAGGTGATTTAGAATTATTTCTACTTTAAAGTTGTAAAACTTGTTTCAAATTTGAAATGTTCTATTCCGCTATTTGTAATTTCGCTTTGAGAAGCTGTGTTTCTTTAATAAGATCCTGTACTAGATCTTATTTCTTGATATTCATTTTAATAAATAAATATATATTCAAAATGAATGAAATAGAACAATAAGAAGCATCACATTATTCAACAATAAATGAACTAAAATCTGAAATATAGGTTGTGTCTCAGAAGGAAGACCATTCTATAATAAGGTCAGACAGTATACTGAATTTTGATGATACCTTAACTTAAATAGGGTTTGGAAGATTTTAAATAATGTAATATATGGTATCAATAATTTTGGGGGTGATGGAAGGAGCGCAGATCACCATATTCACTCTAATGGTGCCTATTCTAAAAAAAGAATGGGATATATCAGAATCTATAGTGTCTTTACAAACAAGTTTTATATTCATAGGTTTTCTAGTGGGATCTATGCTATCAGGTCAATTTACTGATAGATATGGAAGGAAGCTACCATTTATTTTTAGTTCATTGTTCACAGTTCTGATTTGCTTTGCCACAATTCTTTGTACAAATGTATATCAGTTACTGATAATGAGAGGACTTATGGGTATTTTTGTAGGATTCTTTGCTCCATGCTGTGTAACTTTATTATAAGAGATCACCCCAAACAATTTAAGAGGTTAAATGACAGGATCTGTTACATTAAGTGTTGCAATAGGTCAATTGTACGGTTTTTTCACGGCTTCATTAATATTAGATGGAATAAATGGAAGTTGGAGATGGCTCACCTTTTTAGGTTCATTGCCAGGATTGGTTGCCTTGATATTGTCTATATTTTACATTTAAGAATCTCCGAGATACCTACTATTAGAAGGCAAATACTATGAGGCTTTCCAAACTATAAAATTGATGATACAAACTAATAAAACTACAGAGTTTAATTTATCTATTGAGAATGAACATAAATTGGTGATATGGTCATTATACATGAACAGTATAGCCAAAAAAACAGAACATGCTTCTTTCAAAAGTATGCTCAATGGAGACAGATTATATGTATCATTAGTTTTATGGAGTATTTGGTTTTTACTATGTTTTGCTTATTATGGAAATTTGATGACCATGCCTTAAATACTCTATTAACTCAAAGACAATTAATCATAGTTGTAATAACTCGTATATGCTTGTCTAAGTGATATTCTAGGCGCAATTTTGGCTACTTTAATTATTGATATCAAAGGACTTGGTAGAAAGAACTCATTAATTATTGGATTTCTAATAGCAGCTGTATTTTCATTTATGCAACTTTATTATTACGAACAACATTTTGCTATTTTAGCAATTTTACAAAAATTGTTTCTCTCCATGAACTACATCTTCTGGTATTATATTGATATTAAATTAGTTATCAATTAACCACTGAGCTTTATCCTACTAAGTTAAGAACTACAGGATTGGGCACAGCAGTAGCTATAGGAAGACTGGGTGTCATTTTGATGCCATGGTCGTGTATGATTATTTCCTAATATTCAATCATCGCTCCATTTCTTCTGTTTTCCATCGCTTCCTTTTTAGGAAGTATTTTTACTTGTTTTATTCCTTTTGACACATTAGGGAAGAGCTTAGATAACAATAATTGATTAATTAATCTATCAATAATTATATTATATATATATATACGATTAAATCATAGTTATTATCTTTAAGAGTATTAGGATCCTCTATTTAATCTATTAGTTGTATCCACTGATTAAATCATGTTGTTAGTGGTCTTACTATTACTTTTTGTAATATTGACTTCCTTGATTTAAGTAATCTATCTCTTTTTTAATGCTTCAAGTGATGTTTCTGCCATTATTAACTTTTCACTGAGTTCTGAAGCCTCCTCATTTTTTTCCTTAAATTTCCTTCTCCAAACTTCAACTTCTCCTTGTAAAGAAATAACAGTTGTTTCAACTCTTGAATAGTTTTCTTAGACTATTTATAAATCTTGGATTTAATCATTTAATTAATCTATCCAATTTTCTTTTTCATTTAAAATATTTCTTAATTTTATTATCTCTGCATCTTTAGTACTTAAATGTTTTTACATTTCTTTATTGTCTATTTCACTTTGTTGAATTGACTTTTTCAATTATCTAATTTCTTCATTATTGCCATTCTTATTCTGTAATTATTTTTATAACAAAGTGAAACTTTCTTTTGATTAAAATAATTCTTATTTTAATCGTTAAATTTCATTCTTTAACCCATCTTCTTAAACTTCATAATTCTTAACCATAAGTTCCAATTCATTGATTCTGGCCATATAATCCATAGACCTAAGATTTTGTTCACTAATCCTTAATCTTTGATTCTCAATCTCCAACCTGTTGATCAACTATTCTAATTGCAATAATTTCTATTTATATCTATTTTCCATATCTGATAGAGAGACCACTAGCAAAGGTTTCTCACTTCGTTGTACATCGTTTTGATCTTAAGTTTATTGTGTTCTTTCTGTTGATAATTAAATTACTCTAATAGGGGACACAGATTATTGCTAACAGGAAGATTACATTTTGGTAATAAATTAAGTGTTATTTCTCTCTGTTGGTGGAGTTCTATTATTCTGTTTATTCATACATAGCTGAATGAGTAGATTAGGTTTAGACTCTTTATATTGAATAAGCAGGCAAATAATTATGTGCTTGGCTGTTCATTAGTGGGACTTGTCTCACATAGGGAGATAAAGCCTAGCTATTTCTTGGGATATATTGGCTGCCTTTAGATCGCATAAGTCGTTCTACCTATTCTGTTTACATATATAATTATAGTATTATATGAGTTAAAAATGTAATTCTTTATAAGATAACAAATCACTCCTATTTGAAACTAAGTAATAATGTTCATAATAGATCTATATGTACTATAATAATGAATGTATATAAACTCTTGTATTACAAAGGGGGATATCAATATAACTTCATATAATATACCTATAATTTGTTTTAGTTTTGTGATGAATGGGCTCAGTTTCATTTTTATAAATATCTAAATTTTATTATGATCCCAGAATTGGTTTTAATAAAATTAGAGGTTCATTTTGATTTTAATTGCAATAATTTTAATGATTAAAAAAATATTATGCAATAAGCAATTGTATTAATTTTGTGTTGAAACCAACAAACCCAAATCTAAAAAGGGACGAAACATTATCATATTTCTGTTTGGTTTAGGGTTTATTAATCTAATGACCAAATATAGAGACTATATGTCGAATATATTTTTAGGTGAATAAGAATTGGTTGATCTCCAAAAAAATAAACAAATTGAAGTAGATAAGAAAATATTAAAATATCATGAAGTTAATGCAAAAAGAAATTAAGTTATGTAAACAGCTGTAATTATTGGTGGAGGCATCATAGGGTTGAGTCAAGCACTAAAATTATTATAAAATGGTTACCAAGTGATATTAATTGAAAAGGAATAATTTGTTTCAACCAAATGCAGTGCTTTTAATGGAAATATTTACAATCCATACTTATTCAATCCATTGATATCAAAATATTCAATAAAAACTATGTTCGATAACTATCTCAATCCCACTGACACAGCAACTTAAAGATTCAGTTTTAACTGTCTTCGGGAACCAGGAGCCTTCGTATGGTTATTTAATGCATTAAGGCTGAGTACATCTGATCGATAATTTGATAAATCAATTCAAGACATGACTAAATTGGGGGAGATTTAGGAATAGGAGTTTGAAAAAATCAAAAAAATGGGTTTGCTTGATAATCAATTAACTGCTAAAGGAGAATTGAGTTTCTTTAAATCTGCAGAATACGGAAAACGAATTAGTCAATCATTTGAATAAGCAGGAATTGGATTTGTAGAAGTGAATAAAAATGAATACAATTAGCATGAATTAGATAGACAATTATTTAATAATTACCCTTATGTTATTAGGTTGGATAAAGAAAATAATTTAGATACTAAATTATTATCAATAAACACTTTGAAATATTGTGAAAAACATTACCCACGAGAATTTACTATTCTTTATGGAACAGAGTTTAATGAATTTATTATGAATTACAATAGACAGGTTTTGGGAATAAATACTAATAAAGGGTATGTAAAAAATTAAATTATCTTTAGTATCATAAATGGAAACAAATTTATAATTTGTGCTGGATTGCACAGTAAACAAATAGCCAAAAAGTTGGGTGTAACATTGCCTATCATGCCTTGCAGAGGTTGGGTTATTGAATCTGAATTGCCTCAATTTGCCAAGGGATCTGTCTTGGATTAAATGGTACTCAAATTACCCACTTTATCCATCACCAATCTTAATAATAAGTTAAGAATTTCAGGTTGTCAACTTATAGATAAAGAATATAAATCTGATGATCCTATTAATGAGTGGGGAGCTTAGATTCTGATATAGTAGATGAAGGAGCAGTTTAATGTGGAGTTGGATCCGTAATCTATTTCAGTTAGGGATTGTTGCAGACCCTTGACTCCAGATGACAAAATTATACTGAGTAAATTGTAGTTAAACAAAAACGTGTTTGTGAATGCTGGACATGGTTCTAGAGGAATGAGTCAATGTCATGGTTGTGCAGAGATTATATACCAATTGATGAAGGGTAAATAAAGAGCAGAGTATGCAGCCTTTGATTTAAGCAGGTTTTTATTTGTTTGAAGTATATATATATATCGTTAAAAATAATAAAAATGAGTTAATATGAAAGGATTAGACCGATAGTTTTTTAGAAAGCTCCAGAAGTGAAATAGGTGAGATCCAATTCATTAGCTGTTCGATCATCGCCGTCTAAATGTTAATTGGATTTATCATTCGATTTATAAGTTAATTCAACAACTAACAATACAAATCATCCATTAAAAGATATCAACAATTATAAAAAGCTGTATGTGAGTGAGTCATGTTAGAACAATAATAAGGAAAATTAATTATCTGGAAAGCATTTTTCGTTTAAGGCTGATGAAAATTAATATCTGAAATAAAGAATTAAACAATTAGAATCATAGAATAATAACTATGTATCTGAAAATAAAAAATTGGCTCATGTTTTGGATCAATAAATTCAATTAAATCAATCACTTCAAGATTAATAATAATCAAAAAACTAAATTATAAGAAAATTAGAAGATGTATAGAAAATGAGTAAATATTAATAGTCTAATAATACTGATCTTAAATAAATCAATGAATAACTGATTATGTCTAAAAAAGTAGTAAATGATTTAGAAGAAAAAGTTTAAATTGTATTAAATGAGAATTAAAAGTTAAGCGAATTAAATGAAAGATTTTAGTTTACCGAAAATCAATTAAAAATTGAAGTCGAAAAATATAAAAGCAAATGCTCAATTTTGGAGAGCAAATTAAAATAATAACAGTAATTTACATTTTCATATTTAGAGATGAATCCAAATGTTTAGAATTGCAAAGAAAGATCAAAAAACAGAATGATCAATTAGAACTATTGGCTAGAGAGAATTATCAATTGAAATAATAGATAAGTTAAAATACTAATCAAGTATCATAATAAGAAGATAGATCATTTCATAGGTATATTAATATATTTGATTTTAGTGATAAATACAAAGAGACAATCCAAGAATTAGAATGTGAAAATCAATATTTATAATAAATGATAGGCATCGATTAATAAAAGATGAATAATCTTGAGGAAAAATTAATTTTGTTGTCCAAAGAAAATTAAAGACTAACAGAAATAGTCAAAAATCGTCATAAATAGCAATGATCAAAATTTATAACTATTTTTGTTATTTAATTTAAAGAAGATTAAATTAAATGATAATATTGATTTACAATCAATATCTATAAACTGATCCATAACCAAATGTTGGTGCAACATAGCTATAACTTGGAGCATATCCATAGGTTGGAGCAACGTAGCTAGTCCTTAAGGGGGCCACTGGTGCTACTGACACTACAGGGGCTACTGGTGCAGCATAACTGTAAGAAAGTGGTGATGCATATGAAACTGGAGCAGGAGGAGCTCTTCTAACCTATAAAGAATGAATTAAAATTGAACCTCTCTTTCATATTCTAAATAATCAACTCTTGGCACATTCTTTTCAACTGGCACATAATCAATTTATTTTTCATAGGACACCTGAGGAATATATTCCTTTTGGTATTCGACTGGGTAATAGTCAGTCACCCATTTCTATCTTGGCACCTATGTGTATAATATATTATTTACTTAGACAGTTCTAACTTCCTCTTCTAGCTCTACGACTGGCTTTTGATATGGAACGTATTCGACTCTTGATCCACCTCTAACAGGAGAATAGGCTGGAGGAGCATAACTAACTGGAGCTGCATATGAAACAGGTTAAACATATGAGACTGGTGCTGCATAGCCAACTATTCATTAGTCATATGTCTTTACCTGGAACTGGTCTGGCAATTGATGTTGCTAATGGAGAAGCATACGAAACGCCTAAAGGAGCATAGGAGTACATTATAATATTAATATTGACAATAAAATTTATTGATGTTTTATTTTTACATGAGATATCAAAACAAAAAATTTAATAAATTATTTGAATTATGATACAATGTCTAAAGAGAGTTTAATGCCCAATATACAATTATTAGGATTTATAATTATTTTCGATAACTAGCCCTTTAGAAATATTGATTAGACTCCATTTAACAACGTTTTTGGATATCTATTATCCTACAGAATGAAGCATAAGAGAATTCAATCATATATATATATACAAATGATTCAATTATTAAGTTTGTGATATTTCCAACTGATTATAACATATTTGATATTATTTAATATAAACTATTTTTTGTTAATATGTCGGAGTATTTTCGAAAGTATATCAAAAAAGAGCATTATGCCAACCATTAGTACTAGTTTATGAATTAATTGTAGCTCAAACCTTAAATTCAAAACTTCTTTCAGAAATTGCATATTGGAAGTATTTAACAATTATTAAATCAGGCGTTTAAAAGAAGATTATGGAAGGAGACAGATGGGGATGATTGGGACATAATGTGGGCTGAGAAGGAATGGATTCATGAAGTAATGGATCATACTCATCTTTAATCTAATCAAAAAATCAATCATTTCAGGAATCATTACGAAGTATACACAAACTAATAATTAGTTAACTAGAAAAGATCTCATGATTAAGAATTTTAAAAGGTATAAGAAAAATTTAGAAAGAGAAGGGAAAAATGAAGAAGCTAATAAGTAATTACTGCATTAATTAATACAGTTATAATTTCTTCCCTCTAACTTTCCACTTGCCCAGCGAATACCCCATATTTTTTGAAGAATTCAAAAGGTAATCCAACAACGGTGATACCAAAACAGCTTGGATTATGAAGCCTGTACTATTATTATATTTATTGTTAAGATTGGTAAATCTCAAGGAAAAGGCATATTCATCTTCAACAAAATCCAACAAATATCCCAATGGAAGAACACTCTAAGATATAATTAAGATAATCCTTAGGCTGAAGCCTATATAGTTTAAAAATACATAGCAGACCCTCTCCTTATTGGAGGAAAGAAATTCGATATGAGAATATATTTGCTATGCACATCCTATTAGCCCTTGACATTATACTTGTATAGGACGGGCTTTGCAAGATTTACACATCATCGTTATGATAATGAAGATATTTCGAATACATGTATTTATATTGATAATCAAACTCCTTAGATGTTCATTTAACCAATGTGGCCATTCAGAAGACATCTGACAATTATGACGAAAAACTTGGTGGAAAGTGGAATTTATAAACCCTTAAACTCTATTTGATGACTAAATATGGCTAAGAAAAGGTTGCAGAAACCTTTTATAATATTTAAATGCTTATGATTAGATCACTTCAAGCAGTTCAAAAGATTATTATAAATGACAAGCATTGCTTTGAGTTATATGGGTTCGATATTTTATTGGATGCACAACTAAAACCATGGCTTTTAGAAGTAAATGCTAGGTATTTAATCAAATCTAAATTTAAGTCCTTCTATGACATCTAATACTCCTGTAGATTTTGAATTGAAGTGTGGTTTATTGGATGATGTATTTACAATAATTGATTTGGAGAAAGTGTTGACAGGAAATGAAGAATAAATCGGAGGATTTGATTTGATATGCAAAGGAACTCCAATCAAATTACCTATTAATAGCACATTCACTACTTACTTAGGGGCATTTAACAACAGGTAGCAATAATTAAAGAAAATTGCCAAATCTACAGCAATCAGATTGGCTTAGACATATTAGGAAGGCCAAACCAAAGCCATTGAAGTCGGATCTAAAGGGTAAAAAGAGAAGGAGGAAAAAGATAAATAAATGAGAAGTTCATCTAAAGGACCGTAAGTTATGCAAGTACTTTATTATTTTATTTTAGAATGGAGTTAATGGAAGCATTAAAACTACTAATTAATCCAAATAAAATACGATAGTAAAAAGAAATACTACTAATTTGCCTGCCTTAGGAACTGTGCAAAATAAGAGTAATATCAAAAGATATCCATTATAAAATGCTGGTTAATAATCATAACCAATTTAGTAGTCATAATCTAATTCTAGCAAAAAGTAAATTATCTATTTAGTTAGAAATAATCCCAATGAAGATTCAATGTTAAGTGCAAATCAGAAGCTACAAAAATTAACATAAGAAAGTAAAATAAATTAGTTTTAACCTTATAAATAATAATCATAATACAACGATGTCATGGGCATGGGCTCTAGAAATCTTTAAAAAAACGAAGAATGAATTAACATAGTTTTCTAATTCTAAACAAATTATTTATCATCAATTCATTAAATTCAATTTTGTAATACTTTATCTTAGTTATGGTATTTTTTCCATTCCTTTCCTTATCACAAATTAATCATAAGAAATGCTATCACGTAACAATTATTTTAATCAACTGTGCTCCTCGATTATAAGTCACCCTACAATCGTACAATAAAGCATTAACATGTTTAGGATAATAATTCATTTCTAATCTTAATATTCTAATAATTTTCTTTACGGCATTTTCTAGTTAAAATTTAATTTATGATGTTCAATCAATTTTAGTTTTGTTATTCCCAAATTTTCTTTTCAAAATTCTGACATAATTATCTCTGCTTGTGTATTATTATTGGCTTTATCATCCCAAAAATCAGATTTTCTTGAGGTTCCCAGTAAAATCCTTTATAATTCAGTAAAAGATTCCAGGTTAACTAATATAAAAACAAGTTCTATTAAGGGCATACAGGAATAAGAGTCTAAAATTATTTTAATTAGAATCAAGATGCTAATTAAAAATTCATTTAATTTTTATTAAAAGAAAAGCTCATGAATTTTCTCCTTAATAAAGAAATCCTTAATTTGGACCATAAATATAAGAACAATTCGATTTGAAATACTTATCACAAGAGAGGGATTATTATCAATTCCACATTTAAATCAAACCAATCATTGTTACAAAGTTTATGTAGTAGTTAAACATACGCAAATTAAAATAAGGATAAAATTAAGGAATCAACCCGCTTCTAGACCCTTAAATTAAAGCAAAAACAACACATTTACCTCAAAAAAATGTAATTCCATCATATTAATCTCTATATAAATTATGCTCTTAAATATAATTACAAAATTTTATATATTAATATTTAAAATGCTGTATCTTTAAATTTTAACTAGTTAAAAATCAATTGGAAATTAATGAACTTAAAAAATAAATATTCAAGATTTAATGAAATACGCCAAAATATCAAATTAAGTTAGATAGGCCTTCATAAAAAGGGTATCTGAAAAGAAATGTACAATTAGACAAGCAGCAAAGCAATTTGGAATCAAATTTTCTACAGCCAAAGCTATTTTATCGATTTACAGACACGAGGGCAGGATAGGAAAAAAACAAAGAAGACAAAGAAAACTATTGAACAATACTAATTCTGAAAGGGAAACACAAAATTCTTTAAAAGAGGAACATACGGAACCCAAAAAAGAATTTAAATTGGACCAAGCCCCTCAGAACACTCCTAACGACGGTCAAACTACACAACCCCTACTGTAATTTAATTATGACTCGACTTACTTGCAACATTTTTGGATGATGACTTACATGAATCAACACTTACAATACCAAAATTTTTAAAGATTTATTGGATATTGAAATACATATATTTATGAATAGAAATTTTTCGAGAAATTAATTTTTTCATTATTGTTGTTTTATTTATTATGAAATATACTTTGAATTAAAAAGTTAAATCCTATATATTTTCCTCTACTACGATCCAATTTTTGAAATCATTGGTATTTTGTATAATTCCGTAACATAAGTTTAATATTATGCTCTTATTTAATGAAGCAAAAAGATATTACAAATTTTAAATATTTCTCATTTGAATTATTCATGTGCCAGCAAAGTACTTTAACTTATTTATAATTCATAGGAAGACTCGTAAATCTGAGTTAGTTGTTGAAATCGAAATTTATAAAAAGTATGGTGTGGAAAATTTCAGTTATTAAATGTGTTCTAAACACTATTAATACAAATAATATGAATATACAGTGTATCGTTCATCACAGATTATGAAAGAGCCCAAGTGCAATTGAAAAAGGAGGTAAAGTGTACAAAAGGAAATATTTTTAAATAACAATTAAATTACGTATTAAGGTACTTTTACCAATAAAAGAATGAACATCAATTGGAGTGATGAAAACAAAGTATGAATAATTATTATTGGAAATTTTGTTTATAAAATAAGTATTAATATCGAATAATTAGAAATTTGATTATAAACAAATAATACATTGATGTTCCACCTATTATAATCTTCGAAAATTTCCCTTTATTTTTTTAACTCACTTCAAAAGAGATTTCTTAGCCATTATCTATTGATTTTTTTATCATGGTGATGATTCATACTAACTGGAATTTTCATATCTAGTCTTCTTTTATTTATTCCTAATTTAGCTTATATTTATATATTTTTTTTCACTTTAGTTTAATTATTTCTAGCGCTTTCTCTCACTTGATCAATTTAACCTACTTTTTTGATTTGTTGAGTTTTTGGAAAATAATTTAAAATTTTTTTTTTAAGTTTAGCCTCATCCTATCTAATTTCAGTTGTTTTAAATACTATTATTATGTCGATTAGATAAATTTTTATTCTGTTTATTATTCCATGGCTGTGGTTACTTCTTTGCTTTTTTTATTTTTAATTCCTTTCCAATTCTGACATTAGTAATTTTTTGATGGGAATTATGTCTTTATTTCAACTTAATTTTTAGTTATCCTTTTCAATGTATTTTTACTTTGATCATCTTAAAGTAAGATTTTCTCTGTATATTTATCCGTTATTAACTGATCGCACTTCTAGGAACATATTTGGCATCCAGCTCATTTTCTAAATCATCTTTTTAACTTTCTCACTTATATTAAAGAAGTACAACTTAATTGACCCTTCTTAAATAAAATGAACCGCTTGTTAAAATAAAAAGAGGTAACATTTAGGATTCATTTAAAAAAATTATGAATCCTTAGATGGAACTTTCTATTTCTCTACGAAGAATAGTTTTGGGATTTTTATAGGTAAGAACTCATATGCTTAATGTAACCTTAATTTAAACAAATAGATAAATGCTAAATCGGTTCATCCTGTTTGTCATATCCAAAATAATATTTTTTCATACAATACAAGTATTTTATATTTAATTTTTAACATTCATAAAATTATCTGACCTAACCTAGCTGAAAGTTACCACAAAAGATAGATATTGATTTATTTCAACATTTGGAATGTATTATTATATTGATCATAGATTATATTAAAATAATAAATAAAAACAAGGGTTGAATATAATAAATTATTTCTCGAATAATAATGATATTAAGAGAGATAAGATACAATAAAAGGCTGGTAAAGGAAGAATGGAGTTCAATTAATAATAAAAGCAAGAAATTTACAAGAATACGAAAAGTATTTACAGCACCTAAAAGAAGAAATAAAAACATTTTGATCCAAAGGGAACATTATTGAATATAACGTTCAATAATTCACCTATTTAGAATAACAAAAACTATTACTGTATTTGATAGAAAATGAAATATATATTAAATAATGAAGAAGAAAATTTAGCAATTGATTGTATAAAAACGAATGTCTGAATATGTGCAAATGTATTTTATAATTCAATATCTTGATATGAGAATAAAAAGGAGAAATTCTGATGCTTTTCTGATAATGCCATGAGTATCATTAATAAATCAGAATTTTGATCTTGAGCCGAGAGGCTCAAAAATAAAAATGATGAAATTTCATTCTATATCAGAAAGCTAATCAGAATGATATGTCAGGCATTTAAATTGTTTAAATAATTAAATCAAAAAACAGAAGATACACTGTAAAAATTATAAGTTTATTAAGAAGAATTAAAAGCAATTATTATAAAGAGGAAAAAAATTCTTGATTAGAAAATTTGATCCAATACAATTTATTAAAAATGTAAAAGAAGCTCATGAGAAGTTGATATTCCACAAGACATATGTGAAGATGAAGAAAAAAATGATTTTTAATAATTAACAGATCTATCTTTCATTGAAGAAATTAATTGAGTACCTCAAATTAATAAAAATGAAACCTAAAGAAAAATAAGCCTTACAGTTAATTATAAATATTTAGCTGCGATTACAGCAACTATCGAGTTAGGAGTTAAAATTAATAAAATTTTATTACGATCATTTTATGAAGATATATTTAAAATATAGATAAATAATTAAAAATGAAAAACTTTATTAAGAACATTTATAATTTTTGATCTTTTATTCTTTTCTTGGTAAATAATTTGGGTTTAAACAGGTCCATATTCGCTATCTAAACAACAATCAATTATCATATTAACTAAACGTAATAATTGGTCTCTTATTCAGTTAACTATAGATGTTTAAATCATTTTAGTAATAAAAATTTTTAATAAGAAAAATGATTAAATGAATTGTTTTGCTGATGAAGACTGATTACACTTCATTCTTAAACAACAAATTGAATGTATGTGAATGTGCATAATAATAAAATCATGATGACGTATAGTTTCCAACTTAATTTTCGAGTTCTGCTACTTTTTAGGTCGCTGCTATTATTAATTGCTAAATTTGGCTTTTTTCTTTTTTTAATTCAGTTATTTAACTTTACAATTTAGAATTCTCATCTTTTTATGTATTTATTGCCTAGATCATTCTTATTTGATACTTGTCTCAAATCTCTAAGCATAGCATCAAGTGTCGGCTATGTTGTATTCTTAATTTCCTCATTATTATTGGTTATTCTCTATTTCATCAAATGTAACTCCTATTTTAATTGATCAATCTCATGTTTATAGCTTTATAACAATTCATTAGATAGATCTGTAATATTCTAAAAGTTTAAGAATCTAATTACATTAACTAAAAGCATATGATTTTTAGCATTTGTAGCTGATTCTTGATCTAATTTGGAACTGTGCAGCTATTATTATTAAATTTCTGACATTTATTTTTATTATATTATTTTAATCAAAGCAATATTTATAAAATTTGAGAGAAGAAAATATGAAGACAATTAAATATATTAGCTATTTATAAAATTTATTACTATTTAAAATTAATTAATATCATATCTGCAATTTTAATATAAAAGTCTTTTTTTATTAATTTTCTTTTTAGTTTACTGTTTTCTAGCTCTTCTTGTTTAATTTTGATAATATTATTTTTCTTTAATATTCATTGATTTCTTAGGGGTTGCTTTCAAATGTTTAATGCTTGAATTTTAAATTCATAGTAGAATTAAAAATTCTAACAAAGTTGATTTTAATTTTTAGTAAATATGGGTAAAATAAAATAGATTTGGATTAATAAAATAAAAGCATTGATCTTAATAGGAGGGATAATATAGGATATTGATTGGATAAATTAAGATATTTTTCTAATCTTTATTCTTACTCTAGATCTACATATATAGATTATAATCATCTTTTTATAAAAAAAATTTATTATGATTTTTTAATATATTATCTACAAGAAAGAACAATAATATCTATTAGTTAATCTAATTTAGAATTGATATTTAATGATTTGATTGATTAATTTTAGAAAATGAAAAATTATATAAACTTCATTAATTTTAATTCAATTTTTTTCTAGGAATAATCTAGTTTAAAGGATTACAAGAAAAATAAATTAAAGTATCAAACATTGAAGAATCTGATTACAATATTGATCTATTCTATATATAATTATTAAATTTATCTTGAATTAGATTGTTAACAAAGTTTAAGACTTTCAGTTATTGGACTCATAATAATTCAATAATAAGCATAATTGTGTGGTTATTTGAAATTAAATAAAATCTTTTTTTATTATTCATGGGTATTTCAAGAGATAGCAGACACAAAAGAAGACTTACAGGAGGGCGTATGCCAATTCATAAGAAGAAGAGAGCATTTGAGAAAGGAAGACAAGCAGCTATGACTAAATTAGTATCTGGTGAAAAGAGAGTTAGAAGATTAAGAGTCAGAGGAGGAAATTTCAAATTCAGAGCACTTAGATTATCTGATGGCAATTTTTCTTGGGCAAGTGAAGGTATTGCAAAAAAGGCCAAGATTGTGGAGGTTGTTTATCATCCATCAAATAATGAATTAGTCAGAACAAAGACACTTACAAGAGGTGCTATTGTATAAGTTGATGCAACTCCATTCAAATAATGGTATTTGAAGAAATACAATATTGATTTGGGTGCTAAAAAGGGTTAAAAGAAAGTAAGAATATTGAAAATAACCATAAGGATCAACCAGCATAACCAGAAGTCAAGAAATCAAGATCCTTATAAAAGAAATTAGACTAAAGAATAAAAGAGAGAGTCATTGATAATTTAGTAGCAGAACAATTCTAAAATCAAAGACTTTTAGTAAGAGTCACATCGAGACCTGGATAATCAGGTAGAGCTGACGGTTACATTCTTGAAGGAAAGGAATTAGAATTCTACGTCAAAAAAATCGAATCAAAGAAAAAATGAGTTTTATTATCCATACAAGTACATTAGCATTTATCAATAATTCATTTTTTATATTCCATCATCTTTTATTTAGCTTCTTCTTTTGTATTGTGTACTTATTGTGTCATCAAAGAAATAAATATTGGTACCATAATCATAGAAAGTACCATAACAATGACATATTGAATCTAATTTAATAATATTAATACATATCTTGTATCAAATGAATAACTTATATCCTTAACGTAATTATTATCGAATCCTTATTCTGCTATATCATTATGCATCCCATACTTAAGAGTGCATCTTAATAATCCAATAAATGAATAAAAGAAATTATCATGATTTACTAACCTCCCTTATAATGTGATACTCCAAGACATAGCGCAAATGCTAATAATAAATATCAACACCAATAGTAAGAACCAGGATTCTTTATTAAACTATAATATCCCTATCAACATTTACCCTTATCATAACTAAGCCATAGCACTTTAGATATGGACTCCAATTGCCTAAAAATCTATTAATAGCGATCATTAAGAACAACATTTAAATTCCATCATAAATTCTTGATGTGTAAAGGGGAGTTATTAATTTTGAGACATCTTAATATGAATTAGAGCCAACAACAATTAAATTTAACTAATCTTGATATGATTTCGATATGGTGCTTCTTATTAGTATGCTAACATTGCTTAACATATCTAGCATATGTAAATACAATTACAAATAATGTCAAATATAAGTGGAATTTTAATGACTACATAAAGGACTTTTAGATTGAAGATGAAAAATTCATTTAAAATCAATTTCTTTTATTAAAATTCTCTTTCTTCTTGTGGGGCTAAGTCTCTTTTTCTTGACTGCATCTTTTTTCTTCTGTTTAAAAGTTCCATATATTGTAAATACATTACAATTAAGGCATTTTAAGTTCCGATGAAATAAAATCCAAAAAAGTCTGAAAATAATTATTGAGTCCAATACCAAAAAATGAAGGAACAAGTAAAAGTATAGCGATATAGAACATGAGATTCTGAGCAAGTTCTTCAGTATCTGATTAAGGGTTTAAATCAAAAGCCTGTGTTTACATAGTATTATAATTGAGTAATTCCTAAATCTATTCTAAATTTTACATCATTAAATAAGTAAAGCGTTGTGATTGTTGCTTATATCAATCTTTAAGTTGGACTATTAAAATAATTTAAAATGAATTATGATTATTTAATATTGTATTTTAGCCACGTTTAAGATTGAATCTCTTCCATGCTATTCTAGAAACTGTTCTGATCTGTGAGATTAAGTTGCCAAACGTATCCTCCATAATAACTATCATATTTAGATGGATCGAACTCGGTTTGAGTATAATCCCCATCTAAATCATCAGAAAACAACTTATCAAAATTCAAACAGCTTTAATTTTTTTATAGGAACATTTCTTTTTGATTTTCATTCAAAATATGACAATCATCTATATTTTCTTCTTAAACTAATTTTTAAATTAACAATCCTGATTTTAAAGGGTAATTGTAAAATTTTTGATCATCATTTTCTTCTGCCAGAGTTTGGTGAATTAGAGTTGATAAATTGAACACAGGTTAAGGATAAGATCTTTGAATAGGATATGAATTTTAGAAGGAAGCTAGTATTTGAGTATTAGTAACGAATTTGATTTGGTTTATTTCCGTATAGATAAATAAAAAGAGTAAGAGTATAAAGAGACAAGATTCAAAAAAATATTTGACTTTGTTCAAATACCCTAAATACAAGGACCAATTGACTTTATTATCCATTCTTCTGGTTTATCTAAAAACCTTTGTTAATCCATCAGGGTATGCTTCTGTGAATAAAACCTCATCGAGTTGAGATAGGTTTGTTTTATCATCTTTTTATTTTTTTTGTTTGACAATCTGAACTCCAACAGTAGGTTCGTAGTTTCTGAGTAATTCATAAATTGGGGGATATAATTCGTTTAATATGTTCATATCAAATTATAGTAAATTACCCATCTAATCTGTATAAAATATTTCATTGTCTTCGGCCATAAAGCAAGATCTGACAATTTACTTCAATTCTCTAAAGGTTTTAATTGTACCAGGAACTTTGACTTATACAGAGTTGAATTAATTTCTTAATGTTATAAAATATCCATTGTCTAGTTCCTCATCTTCAACTTTGACATTTTCTTCTTCCTGCTTTTGGTTCAAGGTTAATTAGAAGGTTTGATTTCGCTATAATCTTTTTTGTAATTCCTTTTCTTAAATAATTTCCAATGTTTCTTTCTTACTAATATTAAGGAGAAATAATTTCAATGTCTTGGTTACTTCATGTTCTAATTTAGCATCAATTCCCTGGGATTCCTAAGTAATAGGACCGCTGGTCTTATCTTGATGCTATTTCTGGTGCTGATCAAAATATTTTTATAATGCATCAAATTCCTAAGTCATCTTGGAAAATTACTTTTTCAGCTCTCCCTATTTCATCAAAATAGAGATCATTTAGCTTTTCTTCCTCTTGGTATTCTTGTGACAATTTATTAAGATCATTTTACAAGGCTTCCTTTTATATTTTGAAAGGTCTTAATTTTTTTGCATTGTATGAAATGCTTGTCATTATCACTTAAATTTTAATAAACAATCAGCAAAATAATCAATTTAATCTTTAGGATTTTGTTCGGCAACTTAATTCAAAGCCCTTTCTATAGCAGCTTGTAATCTTGAATCCTCTAAGTACTTGAGAGTATTTATGTATTCTCTTTCTTATATTTATTAGATCCATCTCTTCAATTCTGCTTGTTGCGTCTCTATATTAACGGTTTGAAAATCATAATTATTATTATCCTATTACTACTTTTATCCCTATTTGGATGAGATAGAATTATTATTATTTGATTTATCTAATTATCTTTCTGAACCTAATTCGCTTTTGTCTCTCTTGGCAACTGGCTTCTGTTTTCCTATGAAATCGAATTCCAATTCCAATGACCCCATGTCGTTTTAATCTTTATACAAAGGGACTGAAACCAACCAATCAGGAGCTGTTTCTGCATTTTTTAAATCCAGAACTCCTTTTCCAATTAATTCCTCAGGGTTTTTTTTTTGCAGATCAACATCAACGACAGAGACTGTTAAGTTCGAATTTTTGGGATCATAGACAAATTAAAAGGTCTCATTCCAAATTGGGACTTTTCCTTAATTTGTTGCCGCTTTTGTTTTGAACTTCTGTGATCCCAATTGAATTATGGCTTGCGGATCTTGTTTTCCTCTGCCTTTTTATTGATCCAGATCTTGAAGCAATTGGGCGCCCTTTACAGTTATATTCAAGTTAGGCTTGCTTTTCATAATTTTATTAATGTTTGAGAAAATACTTTAGCGAATTTTATTCACATATTTTGGTAAATTCATCACAGGCTTCGATTAAACAAATTTACAATTAGGAATTTGGAATGGAAACGTAGTTATTGAAAATGTGGCTTTGAAGTAGGAGATATTTGCAGATTTGGAATTACCATTAGAATTGAAATTCAGTTCAATAGGCAGATTAATTTTAAAAATACCCTGGAATAAATTGTCATCTGCTCCTGTGGAAGTGGCATTAGAGAATATTCTGATTGTATTTAAAGAGATACCTGAATAACGATTGAATAATGACGATTCTATATAAATTAAAAGAAAATTTAGTAGATTATTGGACAAGGTCAAATCGAGCATTAATTTTAAAAAGAAGGATCAAAGAGAGGATACTGGTTATTTCGAGAAATTAACTTTAAAAGTGATTGATAATCTATAGATATCTCTACAAAACATTCATTTTCGTTTCGAAGATTAACGCTATTCTTGGGGAATCAAAATGGATTCATTGACAGCCTTGACAACTAACGATGAATTTGTTGTTTCCTTTGTAGATAGAAGCAATAAGGACACAAAGTTAGCACCAAAAAATAAATTAATAAAGTTGTCGTAACTACAATTTTATTGGAATGCTAAAGAAACAACTTTTATATCAGATGATATCGCTTTTGAATAACTTACTAATTTCGATTAAGTCATTTAAATTAGTGCTTTATGCAAGTTGATAATAAATCATAAGGAGAGATTTGATTAAGCCAATTACCTTTTAGATGTGCAATTGGAAGAAATCAATGTAAACATAAAGCATACTCAATTAATTTAAATAATTTAATTTTTGGAATTGATCTCCAATTATGAGAGGAGAGTTTGGTCACAAAAATAAGATGTAATGCTATCGGATATCAATATTTATTAATAAGAATTTTGTGATGTCTTTCTTTTGTTTTTGAAGAATGATTGGAAAGAAATCGAGCAATTAGGTGATGTGGATCAGATACTTCAATTTAAACAAGCAATTAGATTTGTTACTTTTAAATAATTGGAATCATGGAGTCAAATAGCATAAAAAAAATATTTGTTAGATTTGAAAGTGTAGGAGTATCAAAGACAGAAATAAAAGAAGGGGTGGTTCAATTTTTTGGGTGGACAAACACAAGAAGAAATTTCTGATACTGAATTAAAGTAATTGGAAGAGGAAATAGACAATGAGGAAACAAGCCTAGTGAGCAGACCTTCAGAATCTTTGAAGTTAAAATTCATTGCTAAGTTAAAGAAGGCATAGATCCAATTAATTAAAGATAATAATCCATTGTAGGATGAGGGAATAGTCAAATAATTTGAATATATAGAAATAGAATGGACTTAAAGTGAGAACAAAGATTTTGCGTTTTCTACGATCATTAAGAGCATCAGTTTGTAATTGATAAGAAATAAATAATTTGAAGTTATTTGTTAACCTACCTAGGAGACAAATGAATTTTTGAAGTTTTCGATAACGTAAACAACTACCTCCAAGATTTGCAAACTCGATTTCAGATTTCTGATGCAGAGTTTAACAATTAATTATAATCCTTGTATAATTAGGATTATAAGGGAAATCACAGAAGTCAAGAAAGGAGACTATGTAGAACAGACATTGAAAACAGCCACATGGAATTAAATTGAGAAAATATAAGACTCAACGGAATCTACCTTTAAAAATATTTTATAGTCAAACATCCAATTAGAAATTGATGTTAAGATTTTGGAACCCATATTGGAATTATCAATTAATAGCAATGAGTTTTGGCTGGTCAAGATGGATAGCTTCTACATTCGTACCATACCCATTAATCCTGAAGATTTATATGAGAATTTTGAGATCACTTTTAGCAATTTCAAATTTTTATATTATCCAGAGAGATTTGGTAATCAAACTTTGCAGATCTTGAATGATTATAATCTAATAGTATAAATCTAAAGATTGCAGAGCATCCATAATGAGTTAACAAATAATGATAATACACCGTTGGTTATTATTTAAGCCAAATTGAACGAAATCAATATTATGATAAATGAAAAGGTCTACAAACACTTAGTTTATTTACCTGAAACAATTTATCCTAAATTGTCTGAGGGTTAAATATTATAGTAGTTACAATTAGAGAAATAGCTGATATTGAAATACAAAGTCAAGGATGGGTTTTTGAAAAGGCAAGGGCAACTCATCAAGACATGGAGTAGTTAATATGTGGTGTTAAGTAACTTTGATTTATATTTTTATGATTAAGAGAAAATTCTAATGGCCAATTCGCAATTAAGTTTATTTAATTCTACATTAAAATAGATGCAAGTTGATGATTAATTATACTCGTTTAAGATAAGAAACAAATCGGGAGAATATATTTTTGCTTGTGAGAACCAAGCTGAATTAAGGGATTGGATTAAGAAAATAAAATTGTAGATAGAATAGTATTAATCATACTAAGAAATTAAATAGAAATAAAATGAATAAATAAAGGTTAGATAAAATGATAAAATGTAAATTGATATAACAATCAATAAATTACAATTGAAATTATACAAGGAAAATAATTATCCAAGTGTTAATTAAGAGCACCTGTTATTTTTGTTTAAATTGAATAACTTAAAGTTTTAAACTATAAAATTGTAGTAAATTTAACAAATAATCTAGATAAAGAATTTATCAATTTAAGATTGGATATTCGATTATCAAAACACTTAATTCTAGGATTTGATAATTTTAAGTAATTAGATTGAAAGTCAACCTGCTTTGAGAATAGATATTACACCAAAGAAGCAAAAGATAAAGGTAGATCAGTTACTTATCAATTGGAAACCTGATACTTTTTTAAAGATCAAAGCACTATTAGGAATAATATCGGATAGGAAATCAAGAAAATGGTATTTTGCAGGACTTCGAGATTTTGAAGCAGAACAAATGAACAGAGGAAATAATTGCGATTAGGAATAGATTAAAAGAAATAAGTTGATTGATGGATTAAAAAGGGAATGGAACAAGTGTCAAAGATATGGTTAATCAAAATTGAGAGTGAAACATAAGTTCGATACATTGGTTGATCATTAGAATTTCCTGAATGATTATCAATGGGTTGAGAACGAGATCCTATCATCATATCAAATGAAGAGCAGCAAAGACACAGTCATGGAATTAGAGACTTCTATCAATTTCATTTCAGTGAATTTCTTTCATAGAACCAGTCATTGTCTGCTCTTTAAATGTGAAATGGACTAGGTCTAATTTAATTTTAAACAACTATAATTTAGTTAATTTTTGAATGCTCAATTGCAAGATATTAGTCTATATGATATGACTAACTATCCCTCCACAATAAATAGCAATAGATAGTTTGATTAGATCAAACCATATAAGTTAATAGGGAAGAGAGATATTTATGATGACTGGGCAATCAGATTTAGCTTCAGTGGATACGATGAAATCATTATAGCCAATCAAGATAGGGTTAATACTTTCTTATTGATTGAAATCAATCCCATATTTGCTTGTTACTAACATTAACCTTTAATGAGACAGATCGATTATATAGTTAATTAAATAGTAACTTTGATCAGAGAACCTGAGGCATTGACTATGAATACAGAGTAGAGTGAATAGAGAAGAATGAATAACAAAAATTTTAAAGTCAAAAGAGTCTGGGGAGATGTAGATCTAATTTAGTCAAAGTTCATTTGTCCAACCTTTATTGATATAAGAATTGTGCTCACTAAACCATTGATTATTCTCAAAGGGTGGCCTGAGTTTTCGGAATATTTTTAATTGGACTGTGATGTTTTGAAAATTTATAATAAATAAGAGATAGATATGAGTAGATTAAAATAAAATGGAGGTATTAAACTAATATAATCAAATGAGTAATGGATGCCTGATGGTAGCATCAACGAAGCCTGGAACGAGGCATATTGTATTGAAGGACACAACATGTAAATCTAATATTACGAAAATGGGATCAATTAAATCAGCTCTTTATTTGAATTAAATTTATCTTTTGAAAGAGTGTTGTATTACTTTGAAATAAGCGAATTGTATGATAATGTAGAAATGGATAGAAGTATCAAAATTAGATCCTGTATGTCCCCTATGATTTTGAAATTATACAGAAAAGAATACCTAGAATTATGTAAAATGATTTTTCATAACTTTACACATGATGATTTTAAAGATAAATTATATATTCATGATTTTGAAGTGGTTAGTTAATTTGAACCTGCTCCAATATCATTTTGGTTGGATTTTGAAGATCTATCAATATTTGCTTTGAGTAAGTAATCTGAATAGCCATTGGTGTAAATCAATATGAATTAAATGAGATTAGAGTGGTTAAAAGAGACTGACATTTATTTGAATTTATTTAGTCAATCGATCAGTATGTATAACTATGATGAATTCTATAATGAATATGGGTTTATGGGAGTATTGGGTTAAATTCCAGATTCATAGAAACTATTCCAACTTAATCAATTGATTCAAGGATATAAACCAAAAGAGTAAACAGAACAATTCAAAAAGTACATTTTCGATGAAAATTTCAACAAAAAGCAGTGCTAATTTACAATGATATTTCATATTCAAAAGCCTAGTGCTGATAAGAGATGTCATATAGATTTAAATAATGTCCGAATGATAGTAGAGCCTTAAGTATTTACGAATGTGGGTTTGTGGAGTAGATTAGAATAATAGTGTTGGCCCATTCAAACAGAATTTGGAGAGATGCCTAGTATTGCAGTAATCATTAAGATTCTGGGTTCTAGTCTTTGTTTTTAAGGTTTGGACAATGATTTCATACTTGCAACTAAAGGTGACATTTCATATGTTTGGAATAGATGTAGGTTTATGAATCCAGAGCAAATACTAATAAATTTGAAGAAGGATCAATTAGATAAAAATTAAGTGGAAATCATTGGGGATGCCTTTGAACATTAAGTGAATTTAAAAAATCTGGAATTCTTTAAATGCAAATTCGCAGATTATATCAATTTTGATCTTATTTTAGTGAGAAAGAGACAAATCATAATGCCATTCTCATTATTTTTAAGTCTAAAAAATGAGTTATAGGTAGAATTTAACAAATAGTTCATCTATTACAATAATAAGCTTTCGTTTTATATAGACAAAACAGTTTGTAAATTTTCATATTAAGATTTCCTATTGATGATGAGTATTTCAGATAAGCTGAAATCAAGCACTTAGAAGATTATTCGTGAACCTATTTATTAATAAGAGGAGATAATAAATTAAGAATAACCAATCAATGACTCATATGATGTTATCATAAGTGGGTTACAAGTTGTTGTGATTAATGATGCAGGAGAAGTATATGTCCCAGTCTTTGATGTAACATTATCAGAGACTCAGTTACAGTTTTAAAGAATCAATTCGAAGTCTATCTATTCTACTATCATTAAATTAAGTAGTTCATTTTACAATCCTAAAATTGCAGTTTGGGAACCTATATTGGAGTGTTGTAATTTTTCAGTTGATGTATCTTTAAATCCTAAGGGAGAGCCTCAATGTATCATCTATTTAGAAATGACTTAGGAATCAGAAACTTTGAATATCAACTTATCCGCTCAGATGATCAGTGTATTTCACAAGACGTTCATATCCTGGAAATAGGAAGAGGAGACAAATAAAAATGAGAAAGATCAGGAATAATCTGAAAAATAAATGGAGAATTATACCAGTATTTAATTAGATAAATCTTCTCAAATTATGTAATAGCAGACATCGAAGATTCAGAAATAATAGATATTTTAAGATGACAGAATTGACAATGTTGATTATGTATCTCCTTATACCATCAGAAATGAAACTGGATTTGTACTTGAGATCAGTGATACAGCAAATAAGAATAAGAAGTATATATTGGAATCAAGTTCATCCATTAATTATGAGATTGATGCTGATTTTGATCAAATATTCAGAAGAGAAAGAGAAGACATGCAATAGCAATAGTAAAGATTGGTTACCGTAAAGGTTATACATGACAAATATGAGTTTGAACCAATAAAACCCCTAGATCTAGATTGCATCAAAGTTACCAGATGCCCAATCAAACCACTTAATAAATACACTGATATGACTTTTATGTTATTTACAGAAGTGGTGCCTAAAGACACTAGGAAGTTGCTTTTAATTTCCTCTGAAATAATTATCTTCAACCAAACCGATAGGCTTATTGATATACAATTATTTGATATGCCAGGTTAAATAGAATAAAACATTTATGAAACATAAATTGCTCCTTATAGAGCATTTAGTGTCCCTATTGACAGAACTAGACAATATTTCAAATTCAAATTTAATGGTTATTAAAAATATTGCAATTACATCTATTTAAGATATTTATAAGAGAATTTTGATTAGAAATACGAGCAATAGCATAATGATTGTTACACAATTATTAGATGTTCTAAAAGGAATGTAAATTAAACCCTTATTTATTTGGAATCTCCATTTTAAATTAAGAATTGTTTGCCAGTCCCCATTTCAGTCGAATTATATGGAGACTCTGAACAAGACTTGTCGCATGATGCTGTCATAATATACCAACAATAAATGGAGGAGGAGCAATCAAATTTAACTAATATCACACTGAAACATCTAGATAAATATCAGTATGACAATTTACAAAAGAAGGAGAAGGGATAAATTTTGAAGCAATAATAAAAATTAATTCATACTATTTCAACCAAAGGGAGATTGGCAATCACAGTCAAATTGCCATATTTTTAGGTTTCAGGAATTCATATGTTGTATCATGCCAAATTTGGTCCTTTTCAAGTTGACAATATCCAATTATGCGATAATTTTGGAAATACAAATGGATATTTATTAATTGATCAAATCAAAAATGTATTTTACATATACTGCCAATAAATGATCGTAAATGAATTACCCTTTAAAGTATATAGTTATGGGATGACAGACATAAAAAAAGGTAGTCCAACTCTAATAGCTGGTTAACATACAAAAGAATTTGAATAAAATGAGTTAAACGATACTCATAATATTACACTATTCAACGACTAGCAATACTTATCGTTTTCTATCAGTGAGAGATCTGCTCAACTTTCGGAAACTCTAAACTTGAATTATACAGGAAATCAAACAGTTCGGATATAAAATAGTTAAAATCAAATTATGGAGGTGGGCTATAATATTTCGTTAATGTGTGTGGACAAACAAAAGCCCTTAGTTACTAAGGTATTAACTATTTCCCCAAGGTTTATAATAGTTAATCAAACGCAAAAAACTATTCATGTATTGCAAGAATCCGTTCATCAATATTTAGAGATCAACTCAATGGATAGAAAACCTTTAGTTTGGTATTCCCTACGCTATCAGTACATCTCAATACAATACTTAGATGATAATATATAGTGGAAACCTACCAATCCAATTGATCCAAATGGGAATGGGTTCTAATGTTTTACTATGAGAGCTGTTAGGAATTAATAAATAACCAAACACTTCAATTGTATAACAAAAATAGACAATCAAATAGTTTATCTAATTATTTTAGAATGCAAATAACTAGATCCATTAAATTCAAGGATTGAACAATCATAAAGGAACTCTATTCTTCAACAATAATAATAATCATAAATTGGTAACATCAACTAGGTGGATCCTCCTTATGTAATAGTTAATAATTTGGAATTAGTGACATTGATATGTTATCAGTACTGTTGCTCAGAAGAAAAGTACAGTCATCATTATACATTCAACGAATACAAATTGTACATAAATAATAATATGCAATGTGCTTTCTCATGGGAATATCCTTGTGAAAGAAGGGAGTTAGTGATACACCTCTAATTCGAAGGGGATTTAAGCACTCATTATAGATTAAATCCAATATATATCAATCTTGAGGAAGCAGAGGCTGTTCAAGAGTATGTAATTTCAAGTTTAATAAATGAAAAACAACAATACAAATTTTATATTATTTCCCTTTGGGAAGGTGCTAGTAGGAAATTAAAGTTCTAATAAAAATTGTAGAACTAATAAAATTAACACGACACCAATATTCTAAAATTCGATGTCAATTTAAATCAAGTAGGTATTTCCTTGATAGATTAATGTTACACTAAAAGAGTAGAGTTGATTTACATATTTTTCTAAGGACTTGAATTCAATTTATTAAAGACAACACAGAGTAAGAGATCTGAATTCAGAGTGAAATACATCAACATTGATAATAACACATCCAGTAAGACTATGTTCCCTGTTATTTTTACTCCTACTGCATAAAAGGAGATCTTCGAGTTTAATAAGCCTCATTTGTCCTTGGTACTTGAACAATCCACTTAAGTCAAATCGATTTCATTAATTAAAAACTTTACAGCTTGTTTACAACCTACTACAATAAGATTGACATCTGAAGTGCTCGAAATACTGTATTCTATTTATAAATAGATTACATTATCTTTCATTTCTAATAGGCAGAGCGAAGAGTAATTGAAATAGTTTGACTTTGAATATGCGATCAGTTAAGATGAATAGTAGATATTCCAATAGGCAAATAGTTTAACATTATCAAATAAGGTGTAGAATAAATATGGAGTAGGATCCTTCGGACTTTAGAACTTGATAGAATGGCAGGAGTTAAGGATCGAGTTGAATGATCAATAGGCAACATACATCAACAAGATTGAGATATCTCCTTTGAACTTCAATTTGACCTTCTACAGTAGTGCGAAGTCGAATTTACATTACAATATGCTGATGCAGATTTTTAAGACCATAGGTATTGTTATAGGCAACATTGATGATGCTCCGCTGATATTGGGGGGTATATTTTTAGAGAATTCGTTTGATACATCTAATGCCATTCTTAATAAGTTAACTACTCATTATAAGGACATGCTCTTTAATCTGATCTTGAAATTAATAGGTTCGATCGAATTCTTTGGTAATCCTGTTGGATTGGTGAAGCATTTAGCAAAAGGAGTTTATGATCTATTTGATAAACCGATTGAAGGGTTCATTAAGGGACCGGTTGAAGGTAGCATAGGTATAGTGAGAGGAGCAGGAAGTTTAGTCTAGAATACAGTAGGTGGAGTATCAAATTCAACGAGCAAGATTGCTGGTAGTATTAGTGGTAGTCTGGCATATATCAGTTTAGATAGACAATACAAGCAGTAGAGAGAATAAATTAGAGTTGTGAAGCCCAATTAAATTCTTTCTGGGATTTATTTAGGAGGGAAATTGTTATATATATCATTGAATCGAGCCTTTGTTGGAGTGTTTGATATCCCTGTTACTTAGGCAAGGAGAAAGGGAATAAAAGGATTGACTATTGGGGTTCTTGAAGGGACTGCTGGATTCTTTATTAAGCCATTTGCTGGAGTGTTTGATTTTGTGAGTAAAACAACTGATGGTTTAAAAGCAACAGCTCAATATTGGAATGACAAGGCTAATGATAAGAGGACCAGAGACATTAGGGTGATATATTAGAAGGAATAACTATATAAAAACTATAATGCTAAGGATGCTGAGATCATGCAATTCTTAATCAATATCAATAATAAATTAGAAGATTATTATTATTATGATAGTTTCGAGTATGAGTCTGGGAGTGCATAATTGGTGTTTGTTTTGATGTACTAACAATTCTTCAATTGTGACAGAAAGAAAAGGAGTTTCATTTGGCAGATTGATCCAAACAGTGTGTAAGATATTCAGAAGATAAATGACGGTGTTTTGTTTTTGTTAAAGGAATACAATGAGAAATACAAAGTAATATAATGCAATTTATTGAATAGGCTAAACAGGTGCAATTGCACATGACATAGTAAAGGTAGATGGATTAGGTGATATTAAAATCTTAATGGCTCTTGAGTAATATTTGATATTATTTATTTTTAACTCACTTTCATGCCAAATCTATAGTCTTTGAGCAACGCCTTCAAAAAGTTTAATGTGTACACGAGACCTGTGAGTTTATTGCTTTTGAAGGAGTAAGGACATCGAACCTATTTGGGAGTTTTTCTCACAACTATTCTTGTTAGTCTTGTGATTCTGGTTTATTATAGTGGACTGGTTTCACTTATAGTTCGAAATAACCCTAGTGTCATAACCTATACGCAATATTAGGAGCATCAAAATGCATTTTATTTGACTCCTAAAAATTTCAGCATTGCCATCGCTCAGAAGGGATACGATCTCCTGGATTCCTACATTCTGGAAGGAGCACTTGGAGGTGTAGATAGGTATCGACATTATTCATTATGTATAGTGCGATCTTTCAGGAAATCCCTCTGACCAAATGTACCGATTTCTAATTTAGTGATCCTTCTTTGAATGCTTACTTCGATAAGTCGGATCAAATCTGGTATTGTTTAGACTGGAGTTCCATTGGTCGAATTGTGATCGAGGGAGGTTTAGAATCCTCCAAAGACTAATCTTTGTAAATCATAGTTAAACAATGCACTTCAATGTATATGATTAATTTAATCCTAGTACCTAATGTACATATCCAAATATATTAGATAGTGATTAATTCATATTTAAAATGACATCAGCCAATACAGACATATCTAATTTCAGAACCCCTGCATCCCTCATTGGCAAAACCTTCAGTCTTACCTCTCTGACCAACTTTGCCAAAAAACTCAATATCATCCTCCAACCACAACAAACACAAACTGATAATGGATACATCATTCAAGACTAGTATTAGGAAACAATTCTTTCTATTTCCAACTATTACGAAACTATCTTGGACAAAGATTCTGATAAACACATCTTTGAAATCAACATCTCACTTGATCAAAAAACCTTGGTTACTTAAAGATCCTACCCAAGAGTCTATCAATTCTTAGGAGATATTGGAGGTTTCTGGGAAATCATCTTTCTTTGTTCCCTGTTGTTCATTATGCCTTTCAATAATTTGTCATACAGGGTGGCTTTATTAAATGAACTATTCAATTTTGAATTAGACTACGACAATAAAATACATCCTGAAAATAGGGGCAGTACAAAAGTTAAGGAAATCTTATCCAAATCTGTTTAACTTGAAAAGTTCAATAGGATGTCCAAAGTGGCTGATCACGAAGAATAACAAAAATCCAAATTATTAGATTAAATCTCTAATGATATCACCCAATTCTTCTAGGAATAGGAAAGCAAATTGGATCTAAAATTATTTGATTATTTTGGATGTTGCCAATGTAAAAAGGGAGGAAAAAGAGAACTCATTAACTTCTCCATGGGCAAAATCACTCACACTCTGGATATTACTTACATCATTAAGAAACTCCAAGAAATCGATAAATTGAAGTTAATTCTATTGAATTCTGATTAAATCAAACTTTTTGATTATTTGCCTAAACCTAAATTAGGGTTGCATATGAAACCAAGTGAAAATGAATACTGCTCCATCCTAAAGCCAGAACTATCCGATCTAGACAAGGCATTAGAAGCTTAGAAAGCCTTCCAAGCCCTACAAGATCACCAAGATGACATCACACCTAAATTGGTCAAACTCTTAGATGACGATCTTGTGGCCTTATTCAAATTATAACTAAATAAAGGTGTAAATCGATTCGTTAAAAAACCAGCTTAATTGGCTGATGCAGTTTAGTAACTAATGCTCATGAATGCAAAAGAAAAGGAAAAACAGAATGAGAAAAATAAGGGAAAAAAGTAAAAAAAGAAGAAGCAAGATGAATCTAGTGATTCTGAAAATTTTGCATCATCTGGCTCAGAAAAGGAATGAAAAACTATACATCATCGCATTTAATAATCTTTTTACATTAAATTATTCATTTTTGAAGCCTCTCTAAATTATCTATTTATGGTTTATTCAAAAATAATTAAAAAAAAACAAAATTATATAATATAGAAAATATTAAAAAATCTATATTTTTTATTATCAAAATAATAGAATTATAAAAATGCATTTAAATGCATTAAAGGTGAAATTTATTACATTAATATAACTAAGTAAATTAAAACAATATGTCACAAACAACAATTTCACAAGTAAGCAATATTATTGCTACAACTACATGTATAGGAGTGGCTTCAGCATCAAGTTTGGTTGCAGGAGTTGTAGTAGGAGTAGTAGGATTATCAAGAGGAGATCCTCCTTTATCTAAATGGAATTTAATGAGAGGATGTGTAACAGGATGTGTAGCAGGAGGAATAAGTGGGAGCACTGCAGGATATACTTTTGGAATTCTAGAGGGGTGTGTCTATAAATTGATTGGATACTAAGAAAAAAATATTATTGAAATAACTAAAAGTAGGAGTAGGACTGGTGCTTACTGCTGTATATTTGGCCTTATAGGAGAACCTATAGGAGTAGGTCTAGGGTTGTTTTTGATAGAAATGATTTCAGGTTTTGGTCGAAAATTTTCTAATGAAAGACAAGCGAAAGAAAAAGAAAAAGAAAAACTTGAAGAGGAAGAAAATGAAAAAGTTGAAATTTTAGAGATAGAAAACAATAAAGAGGAAGACGATGAAGTTGAAATTCTGTATATAGGAAGTAATAATGAGAATGAGGATAACAATTAAATAACTTAATAAGATTGATACTACATTTAAATTAGTACTACTAAATACTTTATATTCATTGCAAAATTTCTTAAAGTATATTTTTTATCAACTTAATGCATTCCTCCAATAATCTATCATAGGATTCATATTATTATTTATCTTATCTTACATTAGGAAATAGCTCTAAAATTTCACTGATTTTTTTGGTTAGTCTTTCTATTTTATTAGAAATTATGTCATTTTAGTAGAGCTATTCGTTATCAATAATATTGTTAATTAAATCTTAAATTTCTTTGTTCTGTAGTGACACTTAAGATGATTTTGTTTTATGTTGTAAATTCAAATATAAAATTACTAAGAAAGTTTATCTAAAATAAATAACATCTATTACATTTAATCTAAATGCATAATTTTAACTTATAGTAATTATTAAAAGTCTTTTAACTCTCCATCTTTGTTCCGCTATATCAGCCAGGATGCTTCGTATAATTTCTTAATTTTTTATAAATATCCTTGTTCAAGAATTAGTTGTGGGTCAATAGTTTATATTATATTACTAAAATTTTCTTATGTTTCAAGGAATTTAATCACGATATCATTTTTGGGTAATTGCTTTTTGATATCATTGAGGTAAATTTAAAATTTCTCCTTTCTTAAATTTAAAACCTATCGATTCTCTTGGACATAGCTCTTTAAATAGTAAAATCCTGATTCCTTAGGAGGGAGTAATTTTTATATAATTTCAGGATGTTTTTTAAATAAATATTCTGAGAGCAATTCGAAATCGCCATATCTCCTCAGTACACTAATGTTGCCGGATTTGATTGGGTAATAATAATGAGAGTTTTGGTACACTGGGTCATCAACTAAAATGACTTAAGAAATTTCTTATTGCTGCTCTGTCAATAGATTAAAGAGTTCCTTGTTGGATGAATTATTCTAAAGTATGTCTTTCATTCGATTATTAATCATGGCTTCAATCTTCTAAGCTAAATAGTTTAAAAATTGATGTACAATTGAGAAGGTTATCCATATGTAATACTATTAATTTTATATATATATATTATATAAAATAAGGTAAAAATATTTCATTAAGATTTAGCACAGCATTGATTATTTTTAACTGCTGCTGGCTATTAGAATTATTTGAGTCCAGTCTGATCTAGATGAACGGGTTTTCTGTTGGAGGCCACTGTTTACTGTTCAAATTATGATTAATTAACTAAAATACAATTGAAACAAGAATACCTTATGATTAGGTTATGAGAAGAGAGTGCTCAGTGGGCAATGCTAAACAAATTTATTCCATGGCTTCTTCGATTCCCTTACCTGTTTTAGCACTCACTTCATAATAGAGAATATCTTTTTTGATGGCATATTCCCTAGCTTCATCTGCACTGACCACTCTTTCTGCATCTATTTTATTTCCTAGAATGACAATGAGAGCTTCATTGCCTCTTGTAGATTTCACTTCTTTGAACCATCTATCCAAACTTTCGAATGAATGTCTAGCTAATAATATAAAAATATATAACATGTGACATCGAAAACGATAACAGCGCATTAAGCATCTCTGACATATCCAGGAATCAATGAATGAAATCTCTCTTGTCCAGCAGTGTCCCACAACAATAAACGCATAGTTTTTCCATCAATGGTCATATTTTTGCTAATGAAATCAATTCCAACAGTAGGCTGAGATTTTGGATCGAATGTATTTTATACAAATCGTTCGATTATACTAGTTTTACCCACAAATGAGTTTCCCAAAAAGACTAACTTTTATTTTTATCTTGCTTCTGATTACATAATATATTATTTTAGTATTTAATTTTGAAATACATCACTCAAAATTCTAAAAAAGAAATTAAATTATCTCTTGGATTTTTCATCGTGTTATCTTTAAAATGATAAAATGTGTAACTTTAAATTAAAATATATCACAAGATTCTTAATTCACTATATTAATTCCAAATGTAAGATTTTACATTTTCAAATATATCCCCAACTTTTCTTAATTTCATGTAATAAAATTCATTAATTAGTACAAGCTCATATAGATATTTATATTGTTCAGTGTTCAATAACTCGTGTTCAGTCATATTGGAAAACACACATACAACCTAAATATAGATCTGCAATTGTTACCTACACAATTAAATTGATTGATATGGTGTATATGCCAAAAATCATCCCATAATATGCGATTTATTCGAATATGTTAATATTTGAAAACACAGGCAGGAAATAAAATAAAGTAATACTAAAATTATTATTCGATAAAGTATAAAATGCAGTGTAGACATTAATTATAAACGTTATAAAGTTGGATAACAATAAGATGACATAGAAAAAATGATTTGTGTTGTTTATGCATTTATTCAAGTAGATGGAGTGAAATTGAAATCCTTTAACCTAGATAAATGAGATTATTTATTACACATAAATTACAATGATCACAATGGTACACTTGTGCTTTTTGAATTATTTTACATTTTGGACAAGTCCTTGAAATTTCGAAATTCTAAAATTGTTCATCCTTCTCAAAATGCAATTTAACTGCTCTCAACAATTCTGATAGATTTTATTAATTCCCATTCTCCACATCATCTTGAATTTCTTCCAAGTTGATCTCCTCTTCCAATATGTGATGTCTATGTTCCCCATCCCCATTGTGATGACATTCATAACTTATCTTGGGATGTCCCAAACCTTTAGATATCCTTTTGCCTTCCTCTTGTCTGCTTGTAGTTTTGGATATAAATATTATGCAATAAAATAAACTGTAAAGTGTCAGAATTAAGGAGATTAAGCAAATGCTATATCCATAGACGTCATCATCTTGCAATCTCGAAAAATTGTTCACAACAAGTACCCCAATTATAAAATAAATTACACCTATAAATGTACATTAAACTAATCTCGTATTGTGCTTTTTTATGAATTCTTGATACTTCACAGTTTCAACTATCTTTTTTATGGCTAAAGTTTTTAAATCCATTTCCTTATTAGGCATTATGTCTGGGTATGTCCTAATTAAGTATTCAACAGCATCATTTGAATAATTAGAAATTGCTCTTATCAAAGGAGTCTTGCCCTTAGAATCCTGTTGATTATAGGATTTATCGCCTTCAAAATATTTGAGCATATACACATCGTTTGTATAGGCAGCCCAATGCATTATGGTACATCCAGCACCATCTTTGACATCTGTTTTGGCTTGCAGAGCAATCAAGTAGAGTGCAATCAATTGTTGGTTACATTTGGCTGCATAAAGCAGAGGAGTAAATAATAAATTATCCTATTCATTGACTTTGTTTCCTAATTCTATAAAAAGCTTAACCAACTCTTGGTTTCCAAAGTGACAAGCCATCATTAAACAGCTTTATTCAATTTGAGATTTATTTAAAGGATTTGCACCCTTTGCAAGTAGGTATTTGATAATGTCCATTCTTTCGAATGAGATTGCATGATGAATTAATGCATAACCTGTGGAATCTAATTCATCCAAATTCTCAGGGGTATGCAATACCAACAAATTAAAATTTCCAGATTGAATTTCCTATTCAAAAAAGATTGGCTATTATTTGATTATGTCTTCTAAATTTTCTTATACATATTGTTATGGCTGAGGTATCAATTTAGAATCATGAGATTCACTATTCGATTCAAGCTACTCATATTCTTCCAAAACATTATCACTCATTTTAATTAATATAGTCCTATAAAACTTAGAATTATATATAAAAATATTAAAATTTAATATGCGGGGATTTTTGAGCCTTGCCAAGACCATTGTTTATTCATCTTCCATTGTTAAGCCTACGTAATAAATAAAAATGCAGTTCCGATTGTATAGAAATATTGATATGTTAGGGCAAATCAACAATTGGCATCTTAATTCAGGTTGTGTTCCAGTATTCAAATTTTGAGATTGATCAATCTGCAAGGAGTTTGTTCCAATTCACAATTAGAAGAAGCAGATGGTATTTAATAAATCTTGATAAATAGAACAAGATTTGGAGTCAACCATTTCTAAAATACTTTCAGTAACTCTAAAAAGCAATACCGAGAAGCATCAATCCATAACTAAATGATAGCATATTTGGTTTATATCTAAGATTAAATCAAAATATAAATTAAACTACATTTTATATCTAATTATATCTTTATACATATAGATGGTTTATAAGATTGAAAATAAAATAAATAGTCTTGAGCATTACATTCACACATTTTTGAATCCACTGGATGCCTTTTATTCATTCTAAGGGTGATGTCTAATTAAATAGAAGAATGTACATCTCTATATTCTATTTCCTTAAGTTATTATATCTAGTAAACAAAGTGTCAATGGCATCATCGTCCTGAGATATGTAATCCTACTTTGAGTCACACTCATTTGCCATCTGACTTAATTAATAAGTATTTTCTATCGACTTATTTAAATCATCCGGTTTTAGTAACTAAATTTATGAGATATTTTAAAACGATTTCTTTCTCTCCTACAAAATATCCTGGGTCGACGGTACTTTCAATGAATGACTACGATAATCCCCAAACATTACCATTTATTTGTTTTAGAAAAAGGAGTCTTTTCAAACTATTGCAAAGAGGCAACCTATATAATTTAGTTTTCCTATTTTTGACTTATACTATTCGGGTTGTTATTCTAAACTGTCCAATCATAAACATCGTCGAAATCTATCTTCCTAGACTGTGCCAATTTCCTAAACAACTAAATCAAGTAGTCATAATCAGGATCACTTTAATATTGCAAGGATCTAATATATCTATTTTATAAATATGTATTTATGTACTCCAATGCTTTTGCAAATTCTATTGGTAAGTCTGTGCAAATTTCTTAAGGTGTCATTTTGATTTTCTTTTCACCCACTTATTTTTGGCGTTCCTTGTTATTCTAGCCTAACATGTTTTACCATGGCAAAGATCTAAATTCTAAGTTAACCATTTTAGTATACCCTTTCAACATAAGAATATCAATATATATTATTGATTCCAAATCATCCTTCCTTCCTATTTCGTATCCCTTATGCGCTGCTATAGAAGCATACCTTGTTGTACCCACAAAAGATCTCCCATCTTTAAATGGACTATAATCGATCGAAATTATTACACATGCTTTAAGTTATTATCTCTATAAAGCTTACTAATCCCAAAATCCACAATATATATCTGTTTAGAATGGTACATTATATTTTCTGGTTTCAAGTCTCTGTGCACTACTGATTTGTTATGAATTCGCCTTATAACTTATAATAAGTAATCAGTTATTATTAACACTGTTTTTAGTGAAAACTTTCTAAACTCCTTGAGATAAGCCCCGATATCTTTGCTCAATAACTATTACACTAAAACATTCGAATTATTATCAGTTCCACTCCAGATTAATTTAGGAACTCCTTATGTACCCTATAATCTTGTCAAAATATGTATTTCTCTATCCAAAGTTGAATTCTTCTCCTTTTTCTCTATCTTCACAGCAACCATCTGATTTTTTATAATGTCCTCTGCTTCAAATACCACCCCATATGACCCTGCTGACAATTTTTTCTTCAAACGGAATTGGTTGTTAATCACCCTATTTGGACTGCTGGGAGAATTCATATTTTTAATAAATTAAAAAAAATAAAAATTCAACTTTAAGCTTTTTCTATGCATACATCAATTAATGAATTGACCTATTAAGGTGACTTAATTCAAATTATTATTAAATCTAGTGATTTACAATTAATTGTTACTTTTCTAAAACTTATATCAAACTCACTAAATCCTCTCCTTCGATTAAATGAACACCTTCTAAACCTCAACCCCCCATTATTCATACTTCAAGAGAATTACTCGCTTATTAAGGTGTAAATTAGTTAAATAATACTTCATTTAATGTATTTAAAATAAAGAATGGTAAAAATTTACAAGTATCTAAATATAGATTAAATTATAATCATAACTAGTCAATTATATGTGGATAAATCATATTTCATCTAAATTTAAAATATTGACATTTTATCAAATCTTGATTCGTTAACAATTGAAATAATCTTATTATGCCTCTTAAATCAAGTGCATACCTGCTTTCAAATCTCCCTAATTAAATAATAAGCTTGCTTAAATCTCTTTATAGAATATTTATAAAATATGCTATATATAATTAAATTCTACTAATTAATATTTGTAGAAACAATAAAAATTAAATGTAAACTAATGAACACATATTCTTTCAATAGTTTAATCTGCTTATTTTTCCTCAACAACAAAATTTAATTAGTATAATTTGAAACTGTTGTTTGCTTATGTAATTTTTTTAATTATTTTTGTGGATTTAAATTTAATTGCAATGTAGTTCTCATTACTCTTTCATAAACTATTATTTTTTTCATTGTTTTTCTACTGGACTCTTAGTTTATGGATGTGATTTTTAAGTTTTTAATCCAATGGCAGGTAATTAATAAATTAAATTTCTTTAGATCTTACGTCTATCATGCTAGCAAAATAGGGGGAGAGGAGAAAAACAGATAGAGGCGAATTCTCATCAATTAATCAACTTTAATTGTGAATAATTATTAAGGAAAAGCATTTAAACTAATTTGAATGAGTAAAATAATAATTATTGATAAATTTTAATAATTAGCCTATATGAATATTAAACTCAGAGTGAGGAGATTGATCAAGCCTGGCTTTATATTTACATTCCAATTTATTGAGATTCAAGCAGGGTTTAATTTAGGAAAAATGCTTTGATCATAGGATTTTAAGCATGTAATCTGCATCTTTCTAATTGTAAATTCCATTCACTCTACTTGACTTAGATTTATGGTTTTGGAATTCTTAGCTGTTTTTAACTATTCATTAGTGAGGTTTTATTTTTTTTTTATTTTTTTTTTTGAAATTAATCATTGTATTTATTTCCTTTTATATTATAAATATTAATAGAACTCTTTTAATTATGGTTTATAGCTTTTCTGATACTAAATATTTCTGTTCATTGCTAATTAATTGATATTAGTCTTTAGTAGAATTTAGGGGAATAATTGGATCAAATAATTTATCTATTATCATCTTTGCCTTCTCATTTGATAATCAAGAAATATTCTAATCTCAACTACTAAAGTTAATTTGTTATAACTCTAAATTATGAATCAAAACTCTGGACCTTAGTATGCAGATATTATAATTTAATTTAAAACCCTGAAAAATCATTAAAGGTTATTATGTATTAAATATATATATATATTTAATAATTTCTTGATCAAACTCTACTACCAAAAATAGAGCTTAAGGGTCTTCCAAATTGACTGTGCTCTTATTCGGCATCAGCATACGGATCCTCAATGCCTTTTTCTTTAAGAATCTTTTTGAAATTTTTAATCATCGATTCATTGGCTTGCAATTAGTTAAGTGCGATTTGCAATTAATTTTACAATTCTACATTTTTTTAAAATTCAAATGGTTGTAATTTTTATTTATCGAAGTTGGGGCCTCTCAATATTTTACCCATTTTATTATTCTTTTATGGGAGTGATTATAATCTAGCTTAGGCACTTCCTTATTTGTTGATATTCAAAGCTTAAGGCAATATGGGTTACTAAGATTATTGCATAACCTCTTCGTTCATCATCTCTACATTTTACTAAGTTTATTTAAGAATATAAATACTTCTCCTATATTTTTACCTAGCTTAGTTTGTAAGACTTTAATTTCTTATTTAAATTTTTCATTTTCTTTTTTATATTTGTCATTCTCAATTTTTAAATTCGATTTTTCTGTTTCGTAATCCTTACATTATTTTCTAATTTCATTTAATTCATGGATTAATTATTAATTCTCACTAGTTCTTTTATAGATTTCTTTTTCTCTTCTAACCATCATTTTTTCTGTACTAGAATTAATTTAAATGGCACTCTTTTCTAGATGATTAATATGTCTATTCATTTCTTCAATAGAACGAGGATCATTAGAACTTTATTTAATTTCTTATTGTAGTACATATCTTTAATATAATTTGGTCATTTCTTTTTTCCATTCCTAAAATAATGTATTTATATTACCTTATCATCAATATAATGAACACAATTGTGAATGTCTCTGGTAATATTTTAAATGATATTTTCCTTCTTTTTTGTAGTTTAAATTTATAAATTTAAATCATGAGTGAGAGCATTAGTTTTACTACTTTCTTCATTGATTTTAGAGTTCAATTCGCTATTAATTTTTAATTGCTTTGCAAATTCACTTTCTAATCTGAATAATTCTTCCTTTAACTTTTCAATTTAAGCTTCCTTTGGTTCTAGTGATTTCTTCATTTCTGTAGTTCTAAAAGATAAAACATGTTTAGATTTTTGTAAAACATTAATTTTATCTTTATACTCTGAAATCTTTTTATCTTTTTTCTTCAATTAGTCATCCTTATCTTCTAAATCCTTGCATTAAACATCAATTTTGGTTTCAGCCTCCTTAAGGTTCTTTTCTAATAACTAATACGCTTATTCCTTCTCTTACAATCTTTTGTCTAGCTTTTCATTTTCTAATCTTAATTCCTATACTAATTTCTGCTCTTATTTAAACTTCGAGTCTTTTTCAGCAAGTAAGCATTTAAGCCTATCAATCTCTTTTTTCTATCTATCATTTAAATCTTTAATTTCAAATTCATGATCCTCTTCTTATTATGCTAAGATCTCTTCATATGTAGCCTTCAATTAATCTGCTTGATTTTAATTATTCTCTAATGCCTTGGCAGTGATTTAGAAATTCTTATAAAACTTTTCTTTCAATTCATCAATGTATGATGTATGTTTCGATTCAAATTCTTTGGCCTAAGCTTGATTTCTCCTTCTTTCTTCCATCAAATCCTATTCCAATTAGAGATATTTCTCATTTTCAAATGCTAACTTTCTTTCATATAAATTTTCTAATTCTTCAACTGCTTTTAAATGGTTATTTTCGACATTTTTAAATAAATTAGCAGATTCCTTTTCTGCAGCTGACTTTTAAGCCTTTAACTAATCATAACGAGCAGCCCAGGCAGCAATTTCATTATTCATTTACTTTTCAATTTCTAATTTCTCCTTTTCAACTTTTCTTTTCTCCTCCTAAACTTTGAAATCAGTCTTCTAATCAAGATCTTACAAATCATTATGTAATTTCTTCATTTCAGCAATATAGGTTTCAATTTCATTTCTAGAGACTAATAGAACATCAGCTAAATTTTCATCAACAACTCCAGCCTTAGGATTAATTTTATCAATATCATCCATCTATTCTTTGGCTTCTGCCCCTGTCTTAGAAGCATAGATTTAACCATCATTCGAAATTTCAGACACTTAATATATAAAAAGAGCACCATCAGATCCAGTTGAGAACACATATCTGCCATCTGGACTGCATTTAATTCTAGTAATCTCTCCTTGATGAACAGGCATGGTCTCAAAAGCCATCTGATTAAATATATAGGAATATATTTTTATTTAACCATTTTCTGTGCCTCCAATAATTCCAAATTAATTATATAAGGATTAAATATAAGCTAATTAAGTTAATTTTTATTGGCCAAGATCGTGGAAATGATGATCCTTACCAGTGCTTATTCCATTCTAAACAATTCTCTACTCTCTAACTATATATTTGGTATCAATCTTGTCTTGTTCTGTTTTATCTTTAGTGCTTTCTGTTCCTGCAGCTATCAACATTCCAATTGGTGGATCATAAATCAAAGATGTGTATTTATTAGTATTATAAACATAATCCTTTCTGGACCAATCATTGGGACTCCACTCAAAGATACTACCATCCAATCCACAACTGGCCAAAAAGGTATCTTTGATTCCCCAGATCAAATCAGTTATTTGATTACTGTGTCCTTTTAAAGTGTGCATGAATTCCATTGTGTAAGCATCATAAATATTAATATAATAATGATTGCTTTTAGCTCTTGGATATGCAACTGCCAACATATGACCTCCTTGACTGAATTTCACTTAAGTACAACACTTAACAGCCATTTCTTTATAAGCACGTAATTCACTGTGTAGAACATGGAAAATACGTAACTTATCTTGAAATCCTGCTGCCAAATAATAACCTGTGGGATGAAAACCTACTGAACATAAAGGTGAGATGTCTTAGGTTGTACTTTAATTTTCTTTTGTTCCCAAACCTTATTAATTACCATCATCTCCTAAATAAAATTTACGAGCCAATTCACACCTAGGATATGCATAATTCCATATTCTAATTGTACTATCATATTTGCTTGCAGTAACTATCAAAGGTCTTTATAAACAGACATCTAAATGTGTGATTGGGGCATTGTGAAACCCATTAAATAAAAAATCAAATTTAACTTCTCTCTTTAAGAATTTCTCATTATTTTTATAGGATTCCAACACTTCAGTCGAGTTTGGTAGTACTTGACCCATTTCAATTGTGCAGATATCATTGTTTGAGAATGCTACCGCAACTAGATCTTCTTATTTAGTTATATCCATACTGACAACCTAACTCTTTCTTTCACATCTCCATTTCTTTAAAAATTGTAAATCCATTACAACTTCAATACCATCTTCTGTCTTCTATTTATCATGATCGTCACCTCTAATCCAAAGTGCAAAATGTCCACTATCTGATCCTACCAAGAATCCTTTAGAAAAAGCAATTAAAGAGGAAACTCCAGGGCCTCTAATGTCATTAAAAGCATTATTTATATATTGTCTTACATCATTATCGTGAATGATGAAAATTTCAGCTTTGTCATTTGCCAATATCACTTTGTTCTCTTCAAACCATGCATGATCAGTAAATGTCTATATCGGAGCCAATCTCTTAATTTAATCAGTTAATGAAATAAAGGAGTTTTCTTAAACTCTCAAAATTTTAAAGTAATTTTTTCCACTTACAGCTACCATATGATTGTCTTTAGGAGATATTGAAATTCTGGTTAGTTCCTATCCTATAGCAGATAAAGCTAAATGCTTCATTCTAATTAAATCTACAAAAATCAATAAATAATCAGGAGGTCCTGTCAAACAAAGCAAGAATCTAATTGGGGTTCAATATTTAAATATTACCTAGAATCCGTATGAGAGAATGCCATACTAATAAATGTCGATGATTTAGTATCTAAATATTTATACGGTTTTTTCTCTGCTTCCATTTTACTGGGATGAGCTTTCAAATTATAAATTACTAACTATGGAACTGTTTCATTTTTCATTTTTTCTGCAACTGCTAATGTCCTATTAAAAATAAATAGTGTTTTTTATACCTCTTGTTCGGAGCGACAGTCATGCAGGAAACAATATCTAGGTTATCTGATAGTCTAATAAATTAAGTATCAGGTTTATCAATAAACTTCTAGGCTATAAATTTACCAACTGGATATAGTAATCTTCTTTATTCATCTAATAACTTAATATGTTCAGTCACTACCCTCTATAATGCTTATGCTGTCTTTAAATTTCGCTGAACATAAACTACCATATGATTATATCACATCCAATTTAAGTCTTCTATCTTCATTTCTTCGTTTCTTATCATCCATTTTAAAAATAATTATTAATATTATAATAATGAAATCACAGATTATTCTAACTTTATTCTTCATTTCAGCCTTGGCAACTGTTGAGAGAGATGCAAATCAAGAAGCACTAGAAGGAGTCTGGTCCTATTTTAATAAAGAAGGACCATTTACGGTCGCCAAATGCGGAACTGACTAAGACCACAAAGATGCCTTTTTATTTACAGGTTATATCTTAAGAAAAGCAGATATTGGCTCAACTTCTGAAATCAATCCATTGATCGCCGAAGCTGAATAATTCTACAATGTATTAATTCAATCTAAAAACCTTAGTCTTTGCCCCTTGAAACAAGAAATTGCTTTGAAAATAACCAAGAAGTAATTGAACTTGGCAAATTCTTGGGACTTAATTAATATACTCAAGATTAACTAAAAGATAAGATATCTAACTGGGTAGGAAGTCATTTCTTCATTTATAAAAGACTGATTAAAGCAGCTGGCAATGATTGGAACAATTGGAAAGATTATAAATTAAGTGGAGAAGATTTGGCTGAATTATTACAAAGAATTCTAACTGACACGAAAGAATGAGTCATCACAATAATAATAATAAATATGTTAATATTTATCTATATTATTCTATCTTACAATGATATTTGTTACTATATCTTGCATAAGATATTAGTTTTCATACTTTTTAGTTACTTCATCACACTCACAATATTTAAAATCTATATAGAATATATCAAGATTCTAAATTTCACTTCCCAATTAATAAACTTTGATTTGGTGTAGCCACCATCAGAATTCGTTTATTGTATCTAATTTATTGGAGGGGCAAACCGCTTTTTAATATTTATATAGAATAACAAATATAAAATAAGTTGCATATATATTAAATTCATTTTAAATCCATATAATCTTCCTCTCCTCCTTATTCTTCTATTTAAAGTGCTCTACCAAATGGGAAAAATTTAGTCTCTTTTTCTTGTATGCATTTTTTTAAATATTTCTCCAAAGAATTACAATCATTAGCATCTTTACTTTTAATATAAATAATGTAGTATAACATATGATACACGTTATGTTCTAAGTAAATATGATAATGCCAACCTTTTGTACCTCTAATATGAATATAATTGAAATTTTTACTTTGTATCAATATCATTCTTCTCTTAGCTACAAATAAAGCACTTCCCTTCGATTTCCTTAACCAAAGCTTATCTTTCATCTCTTAATTCGCCAAAAGTATCCAATATGATTCCGAATATGATTTAGATAAAAAGAATGTTAAAAATGATAAAGAAAGTAAAATCAAAGAAGTATCTACCCCAATATAATGTGGGATAATCATAAGCATCCGGATATTTCGTTAAAGATTCCCCTAAACCACCACCATTTCTTAATCCAAAATTGATTGTTGAGGTAACAGCAAGATTAAATGTCTAGCCATATACTCCACTTTCATCATCAAACATTGAATCAAAATTAGAGAATGCAATTATAGCATAAATTAATAAACCAATTAATCCTAAAAATGAAAAGATAGCTAAATTTCGACCATTTGATGTAATTGATCTAATGATATTTTAAAGATCTTCAGATCTTTTGATGATATCTAATAAAAGTACAGCATAAATGTAAGGATTAAAGAACGCATATACAGTCAGGCCAAAAATGCATATCTAGTATAGATGAATATATCTTACATTATAAAAATTATCGAAGTCAAAAAATATCACTAAAATTAATTGCTTTATTGGATTGTGATTCACTTTTTCTTCTTAAAATGCAGATTCAAAGTATCCTATTAAACTATAATATTTCATCGTCAACCATGAAATCTAAAATCCTGCTTCCTTTTTTAAGATTTAAACTCTTTTTGCATTTGTCTGACCTCTATTATATGTAATGGAAATAGGATATCTTTCAATGGCACAAAAGAACACAATAATTAGATTTAAAACCAATTATACAATAGTAATTACCTAATATATAATAGTGTATCAATACATTGTTTAAATAACTGACAAAGTTTTCTCCAGTTGTCACATCAGTATCTTCAGGGGCTTCAGTATTAGATCCTATTTTACTATTGATTACTGTATCATGCATAAATATAAGTAGAATTACAAATATTAGACATAAAAGGAAGGATAAATCCTTTAATAACCTCCAATACACAGCACCAAAATGCATAATTTTTTTATTGTTGATGTATTAAGAATGCCTCATTTGAACCTAATAGAATTCAGAAAACTCAATCAATCCTAACATTCTGTCTTCATCCGTTTCTCTATTGATTTCATAGATCAAATGTTGTTTAATATTTGGAGTAATAAAATTGCAAACAAAAGGTTTTTAAAAATATACTTTTTCTATTTGGTTGAATTCATTTTGTATCTCTATTCTTCCAGTAAATTATCTATAAAATTTAAAAAATCTTTGTGTTCTATCAAATTGATAATTTTTGTTCTTCCTAACATTCATCATTATATTTTTAAAGCTTAAATCATTAAATTTCATTTCATCTTAATGCAACAATCCATCAACATCATCTTAATTATAATCACATTAGCTTCCTTTGTTTAGAGGTAATATTTTTTAGATGGGCAAAGTGTTTTTTCTTTATTATTCTTCCTCTTGAAAATCATCTATATCCAAAAGGTCTTCATATTCTTCTTGCTCTTCATCAAATTTGAACAAGTCCAATTATTTATCGTATGGAAAATGTTCCGATAATTTCAGACATATGGTAAATATATTAAACCCAGTTTATATTAACATATTATCTTCATCTGTTCTTAAACCAAAATGGCATAAGCTATTTGTACAATATCTATGAATGCCTGTTTCTGATTCATCACAAATGTTATCTAAAACTATGTTTTTTTATTTTGGCTTGATTCTTTCTTCATATATAGATTTACATATCCTTATCAAAATAGAAATATCAACAGTTTTTAAAATGAATTCTAATGATTAAATATCCACTCTTCCTTAGGTCAATAACAAGAGTAGTTTAATAAATGATTACAATGTCTAATATAATCCATATTTCTTTTTTCCTTCGTCTGAACCAATCCCTCTTGTATCTATCACTATTTCTTCCTCCAATGACTAATTCAATTGTCTTTCCTTTAATATTATACTGTTTTCTTTCTCAAGCTAACTGAAACTTTATAGGTCTTACTTCTGCAAAATTGAATTTAATAAAGTAAATAATCTAGTGTTTTTACATAATTCCTTTTTGTTTTCCACATAACCTGTAGAAAATTCAACCAAACTCTCTAAAGCTTATCTGTAAATATCTTAAAGTTTATAAAATACTTTTTATCCTTTTTCTAAAAGATCAGCTAATAAACTAGCAACCTCATTTACGATATTGATATTTGCTTAATAAGAATCATCATCATATTAAAATACTAGAAATCTCTGAAAATCCATGTTAACATTTTCACACATGGCTTAAAGTAATTACAGTACTTTAAGACAGCATAATTTATATTCAGTATTATCATTTTCAGTTAATTCTAATTCTTTAATTCTTACATCTAAATCTGTCAAAAAGAATCCTCTTAAAAATACTAAAAACTTTTATTTCACATTATCCCCCTTTAACAATTGATAAAATTTTCTCTATATATATTCATTTCCAAAATCTAATAAATGAATAAGAAAAGATAACGCTTCAATTTTATATTGATCATCATCTGTTTAATTCAGCATTTCTAATGCCAATACATCTAATTAACCATCAGCCATAACTCTTTAAAACTTTATATATATATCTTTTTTTTCCCTGACAGCTTATTTAGATTATTCATCTTTTGCTTCAACCAAGGAATCTATTTCATCCTGAGTAGGTCTTTTAAGTTATAAAAATATTCTGCATAGTTTGATTAGATAAATTTCTTTATTTAAAAATATTTCTTAACATTTTTTCAAAAAGTCTTTTAGATGATCTATGTTAAATACATTAGTTTATTATTTCTCTAAAGTTTTTATCAATAATTCTATTTACACATCTTCAGAAATTAAATTTCCACTTAATTCAAGCTACCCTCCTAATTTTTTATAATATTTTGCAATTAGTCTTATAGTAGATAATTAAAAATCTTTTTTCAAGCTGTCTAAACTTTCTTATTAACGTTAATATACCTAAATTTATTAAGAAGGATTACGATTTGTATTAGATTTTCTTTCGAATTATTCTCTCATTGCTTATTTAAACAAATCCCAATTGACAAATACTTTGTTTCTATTATTCACAGATTCCTAATTTTTTATTCGAGCAACATCGTTTTAATATATACTTTCAATATCCTTTAACTAAATATACTATTTATAAATGTTGCAAATTTTGAGAATCTTTCTTGATTTTTCAGACTCAGTTAATTCTAATGAATCTTTTTCAATGAATTGACAAAATTGTACAATGTTGACTTTATATCTCATCAAATATATTTTAAAGTTTCTCTTAAATTGGTTTTCAATCCTCTCCACATTCTCTTATTCTTGAAGCTTTTTCTCTCCAGTTTGATCTTCTTTTAAAGTATTTTGTATAAAGAGATTATATAACTATATCATATTTATCAAATAATAATTCTTCAGAATTGTTTTCTTGTATAAATCCAATTCTGAAATTCTTTCCAAATTTAGTAATTTTCCTTTAAGGTATAATTTCTTCAATTGAAATAATGAGTTCTCTATAATCATCTAAATCCAAGTCTTCTTTTTTAACTCGAAAATCTCTTTCAAGAACATTAAATATTTCTTTGATTTTCTATACACTTTATTTGATAATTGCAAATTCATCTGATAAATTAGAATTTTCAATATTTTCTATATCAATTCTATCCTTCATTTCATCATAAGTGTAGACTAAAAAGTGAATAATTCCATTTTTCCTCAGATATGTCCAAAACTCACTGCAATCCCTTACAATTCCTAATACTTTATCAGGCGCTGAATCTTAAGATAATTTCTTTTCAAAATAATTCCTCTTTTACCTTACAATTTATTCTCTCAAATCCCTTTGAGTAACCTTCTTATTCTAATCTTAATTTATTAATTTGGCGATTCCTTCTAATAGTTTGCATATTTATTACTGATCTAGTTCAGGTATTATTATTCTTGATAAAATGTCTCTTACTTCTTCAATTTCAATGGTATCATTACTAAACTCTCCTTCTTTTGCTTTATTTATATATAATTCAAATAAGCACTATAAGTAGGCTCTCTTAACAATGTATTCAGCATCTGAATTTAAAAGAATCGATTTCAATTATTCATATAATATAATTCTTTACATTTCTTAGATTCCTAATCTGTTATATGTACAACACTCTGTAATTAGAATTACCAATTAAGCATGCAACTTTATTCTATGGTAATATAAGTTATCATTTCCATTCTAATATTCTATTATTTAATCAGGAATTAATATCTTACTATAATAATTTACTGGTTGCAATACTATTGTCAAAAATTAAGTTTTTAAAATGGAGCTTAAAATCAAATGCTTATTGAGAGGGGACTGTTCAGCTGGAGTTTCAAAGGTTTTAGTAAAACATCTTAAGATTCTTAAGTATTTGATTAAACTAAAATAAGCCACTGCATCTTAATGTTATTTTCTTGGAGTGATCTTCATTTCTTATTATTCATCTTTAAAACTAAACGCTTTCACAAAAAATTCTTAGCTTTTCATTAATTCATCTCCTAATTTTTATATTCTCTCAAAAACATTAATTATGAAGTTATCATGTTCTATTTTTGGAATTGAGGATACTAATTACACTATAAGTTTGGTAATCTTTATGGGAATGTTAAACAAATCCTCAACCTCTAATTGATCAATTTAGATTATATCAAGTAATTTATATAAGTAATTGTTTTAAGCTAAAATTTATACATTGGTTTCATTATTCTTTGTGAAGTATTCAAAAAATACAATTAATCTCTTATAAAATTAAACTACATCTGGAGAACTACACACACTTTAGGGTTTTATTAAAAATTATAGAAATACCAAATGAACTCCCGCATTTCTAATAATATTTTAAAATGATTTTAAATATTATGCTTCTTAAGAATTCGGTTTAAAGAACTACTCAAATTATTCAATTATTTTTTATTGATAGATTTTTAATTATTCAAATGATGTAACACACCTTTAAGCATTTGTTTCCCTTTTAGTGCTTTAAATGTATTTTATAGCTCTTTTTGTTAAGTTTTATGCTTCTTTGGGACTGATAATTTAAACTGCACTTGAATTTCCATTAATTATAGAAAAATACTTTAATTCCATCAAATTATCAATAATTTCTACTTCATTGATTTCATTGGTTGAATTTTTAGGAGCATTAAAGTTATCTATCAGAATTTGAAGCAAATCTTCGTTTAGTTTATTTCTTTTTTCTGATGAAAGTAAACAAGAAAACAATAGAGCACTAAACCTATTACCATCTGGTTCCTTAAAAACATTGAAAATAGCTTTCTATAATGGAGTTTTTTACTTTTTTATTTAATAGTCTTAATTATTATATGCCATTTCATTCAAGTCAAATTCATCAAGAATTTTGGAGATTGGATTACTTTAATTCGATTCATTTAATTATTATTTACTAAATAAGAACTCTAATATTTGAAGATTCAATTTTAAATTACTAAAAATCTTTAATATTTGTAGACCTTCTAAATAAATTTTCATTTTTAATAAGTCATCATTGCAATATTGAAATGTCCAAATCAAAAATTAAAGAATCCAATTTCTTTAAAATTCAATATCTTATTTAATTGTTTAATCGGATTATTTTTAACTTTAATGCTTAGATTTTCTTTATTCTTATAACTGTTGAAGAGTTGGCAAGTAAGTTGTGACCCATACATTACTTTCAATAGATTCATTTAATTTAATTAAATTACATTCAAAATTTTCATTATCTTTAAATTTATAGATATTTTCATCTGGTCTTTATTGGAGAATTAATGCAACAAAAATATTTGGTAGTATTGCAAAGATTCTTTAATTTTCATCCAATTAGTTATATCCTAAATCAATGCTATTATTTACGATTTATAAAATTCCCAAAAAATACTCCAATTAATAATTGGCTAATCTTTAATAGTTAATATTTATTTATTTCATTGTAGAATTAAAAGGTTAAATTATATTGTTATTAAATTCTAGAACCTTGAAATGGTCAGGATAATCTATTTAAGTGAATAGTTCTAAATAATAAATCCTTACATCATTTATTTACTTTCTAGAAAGCATTTTAGAGGTAAACTATTTCAAATATTGATGTTCTGCTTTAGCCTCTTTTGAATTTATAAATTTCTTATATTCATGGTTTCTTTTCAATTATTTTGAAGCATTTTTTTGGTAGAAATAAATTCCTGATTGATTCTAAATGTCAAATTAATCTAAATCATCATTCAAATAGCATTTATTATCAAATGAAGAAATTTTATTAAAGGATCAATATCTAAATGTAAATTACAAAATAATTCGATTAAAGTTCTCTCAAATCTCAGTTCTGCTTTAATTTTTTATTGTCTTTTCAAACATATTTCTAAGAAGTTTTCATTTAAAAAGCAATTTTTCATCAAACATTTGATACTTTTTTAATTTCTTCCCTTACACAATGATGAGTATAAATTCATAATATTCATTAAATAATTTTCATATTTTAAAAATATTGGCATTACTACTTTTTAATCTTCTTGTCTTACCAATTAGTTTTCCTTTAGTGTTTCAGTAGTAAAAAAATCAATAGTGACATCTATCAAAGGAGGCCTTTTTTCCTGGAATCTTGATGTTGATTTAATCTATTTTTCAACAAACCTTAAATATAATTGACAAAATGTTGGATTATTTGAACCAAACTGATGTGATAATTATGGTAGTGTTCCTTTATCTCTTTTTGGAGAAAACTGAACAACTGGATAATAATTTTAGTTTTCCTCATAAATATTTAATGCAACTAAAGCATTTTAAAAAGGAAGAGACTAACTACATTTAAGCTTTTTTCCGAATAATAATTTTCTACAAGAATCTTAACACAAAGAATTTGGATTTTCGTATGGATCGATCATCATCAAACTTAAAATTTCAATATATAGGGCTTGATCCTCAATGTTATCTTCAGTTATTGGTTAGAGTTCATTAACCAATTTCTTTAAACTACTCTTGGTATTACTCATATCAGTATAACGCACGCTTTCCTTAATTAGATTGGAAACTTACTCTCTTTAATATTTCAATTATTAGAGTAAGAAATCTAAAATACTTTCTTTATTCATTTCCAGGCTTAAAACATAATAGCTTGTTTATGGATTACTTTCAACACATAAACTCAAAACAGAGTAAATTTCTTTAATGCAATTCATTTTTTGAGATTAAGTAATCATTGGATCTAATTTCATTTTGGCTATTTTTTAAGGACCTTTTTCTTATAAAGGTTGAATATTTTGTTTGTGATTTCCATAGATCATGCAATTACATAATCTTTAAATTGCAAAAAGCAAATTGATAATATCATTATCCATTAATGTCTTTTACTTAGTCTACTGTTATTCAATTGACTATGGCTTCCCTTCATTTGTTAGATACATTGTAAGATTGTCCAAGGTTTGAAATAGTTGCAATATTTCATCAAATAATAATTTTTGATTATTGAAAGCTTCATAATATTCGTATATTCGTTTTTCTTCTTAAGCTTATTCAATATATTTAACTATTCCCCAATCTTATAGAAATATATAAAATTAAATTAAATATTCTTGAAGAGAATTAATTCTAAATGATATTTTCTAAAGATTTTAAGATGTTTATTTTAATAGAAAAGTCGCTCTTTCAATGTTTTACTTTTAGCTTTTTCTTTAGACCGCAACTTTATTTTCATCCAAGCAAACTATGACTACTCCTTCTAATTCAACTAAACCATCAACTGAATGGCTTAGGGTGGATTATATTTTACAGGCCTCGCTATAAGAAATTGGATCAATTTATGTTTTTTTAGATTTCAGATTAAATTAGCATTCCATCTTTAATCCATCATAAGTTAATCCGACTCCATTATTAGTTATTTACAAAAATAATCCAGTGCATACATGTCTTATCAAAAATACATTTTCATAAGTAGACCTTGAATAAATTAAACTATCAACATGCTAAAATTACCAGAGAGAATTTAAGTTTTCATCAGCTTTCGGTGTAGTATCAACATATAATTGATACATTTAATTTATTTTTTCATTTCTTATTTTAGCGACATCAAAATAGTATTGAATAATTGAATAATTAATATTCGTTTCATAATCTTTAATAATTAATTTTTTTTATTCCAATTCATCAGTAATTCTTTTTTTTCTCTTAATACATAAATACCCTCCTAAGTATCTATTTTTTATAGTTACAACTTCACCATTCTATAAATACTTTCCTTTAATCTGTAATTTATTAATTTCTTCTTCTGTCTTCTTATCAACATAGCTTGAAATTTTCAATGGATAAGCCTATTCAGATGCATTTACTTCTAGTCCATCTTTCTTTTAAAACTTAGCAGATGGCTGTTAAATACCTACTTTCCATTGTGATTAATTGAAATTTTGAACAATAATTTGATCACCATACAAAATAGGTTCTCCTGGATTTTTAACAGAATTTAGCGAAAGAATTGTGAAGTTCGAATTTTAATTTGGTTTTTCTTCTAAGGATAATTCTCTACAACAGTTTTCCTTTGCTAAAATGTCACTATTTAAAGAAAGTGTGCACCCTGAATAAATATGTAATAACTATATTTCTTAACCATAAACAAAATTAGATCCATACAAATGATTGTATAATCGTTCGTTCTCATTTATTTCTTCTTGACTTTTTTTTCGATATTCTTCTAATCTTTAATCGTAATCAGAAGTCAATTTTCCCAACTCTTTTGAACATGTCTCATTTTCAGGTACCCCTTTATGAATCTATCGGTTTCTCTTTTCTTACTTATATTAATTTTAATATAAGTATTTTTTTCCTGTAACAATTTAAAATAAACATTTTTAGAATGATAAGCTGCCTACTTTGTACTATAAACTTTTTTGTGATTAGAAATCCTGGACTTTATTATTACCTAATATCTGTACACACTCTAATTTGTTGCTTGCAATTCCATCACCAGATATTACTCCCTTAAAATCATCACTTAAATAAGATTTAAAATAGATGATATCACCAACTTTCAGGTTGAAGTTTCGCCTTTTATATATAACAACATACTTTTAATGTTTTGCATTCTCTACATTTTAAGATAGTGGAGTAAAAGAATAATTTTAAGCCATAAGATTGTCAGCAACAAGTTGTGTTTGTTATCTCAAATTCAGAATACGTGGTAATTCAGTCATTTCTAATAATTACTTGAAATTATATATAATGTTAAATTATATCAGATTTAAATCTCAAAATTGATTTAAATATCAATGGATATTGATAGAAATAATAAATCATCATTAAATGAATTTTTTAATTAATTAAGTGTGTTGTATTCTTCTTGTTAACACTAGAATGAAATTTTCACACTACTCATATTTATACTCAAAATTAAATTAAAAAAATTTGTTAACATTGTTTTTAAGAATTTCTCAAAATAATCCTCAACTTGATTTCAGAATATATTTATTTCCCATTTTGACTCTAAAATCATATCACTTAGTTTCAGGTTTGCTTCTTCTCAATTTAACTATTAATTTTAATAATTTATATTTGATTTACCTTGGTTTTCATAAAATCTTAATTAATTCAATAAAAAATTAATAATATGAAAATATTATATGATAAATAATTTATAAATTGCACCACTAACTGCTCTTCACAAATTACTGTCAGTTAATAAGACAATCAAATTTAATGATAAACTTCATGAATCATAAAAATAAAAGAGTCTTTAAAAATCTATTTAAAATTTAAGCAGCAGCTAATGCGAGATGATGAATATTAAAATGAAAAACAAATTACCAACCCCAAAAAATACAATTGATTCATCTTTAAGGCAAAGTCTTGGCAAAATTAGTAATAATAACGATAGTGGAATCAAAACTAATAAAAATATCAAAAATGAACTTATCTCAGTCCTCAGAAAAGCATAGAGTTAATCTAAAAAAATAAATAATCTAGAAAAATTACTAAACACTTCTAGTGCTCCTAAATAATTTAGCAACTTAGAAAGTTTTAAAATGAAAAGACCTCCATTGCTCTAATATTTAGGTGAAGAAAATGAGAAATTAAAAATTCAAAGTGCAAAAAGTGCTACCGAAAAAAATAAAAGTCCTGAAAATCGATATTCATCTGGTATTCATCTCAAATATTGTAGGATTCTTTACTAGCACTAACCAAAGGTAATAACTATTTGGGTCCTTGAATGAAGTATTGAAATAATATATCCAATGCAAAAGCTAACAGAAGTGTAAATAAATTTATTAATTTAGAGGCTGGAACTGGCGAAGGCATCAAAGTTTGTAAATCTGCAAGAAGTACACAATAGCAATTATTAATGAATGAGCCAGATAATCAGGAGAAATACTTTCCTAAGCAAAAATCTGATTATTCCAAAGGATAATCAAAAGTACTTAACGAAAATTTACACAATTTATTTTTAAAGACTCAAAATGTGTTAGCCAAATACTAAGCTAAAGAACTTCAATGGAAAAAATAAAAAAAATAATTAAGAGATGAAATTAGAAATCTTAAACAATTATTGAAATAACAGCAATTATAANTAATGTTAAATTATATCAGATTTAAATCTCAAAATTGATTTAAATATCAATGGATATTGATAGAAATAATAAATCATCATTAAATGAATTTTTTAATTAATTAAGTGTGTTGTATTCTTCTTGTTAACACTAGAATGAAATTTTCACACTACTCATATTTATACTCAAAATTAAATTAAAAAAATTTGTTAACATTGTTTTTAAGAATTTCTCAAAATAATCCTCAACTTGATTTCAGAATATATTTATTTCCCATTTTGACTCTAAAATCATATCACTTAGTTTCAGGTTTGCTTCTTCTCAATTTAACTATTAATTTTAATAATTTATATTTGATTTACCTTGGTTTTCATAAAATCTTAATTAATTCAATAAAAAATTAATAATATGAAAATATTATATGATAAATAATTTATAAATTGCACCACTAACTGCTCTTCACAAATTACTGTCAGTTAATAAGACAATCAAATTTAATGATAAACTTCATGAATCATAAAAATAAAAGAGTCTTTAAAAATCTATTTAAAATTTAAGCAGCAGCTAATGCGAGATGATGAATATTAAAATGAAAAACAAATTACCAACCCCAAAAAATACAATTGATTCATCTTTAAGGCAAAGTCTTGGCAAAATTAGTAATAATAACGATAGTGGAATCAAAACTAATAAAAATATCAAAAATGAACTTATCTCAGTCCTCAGAAAAGCATAGAGTTAATCTAAAAAAATAAATAATCTAGAAAAATTACTAAACACTTCTAGTGCTCCTAAATAATTTAGCAACTTAGAAAGTTTTAAAATGAAAAGACCTCCATTGCTCTAATATTTAGGTGAAGAAAATGAGAAATTAAAAATTCAAAGTGCAAAAAGTGCTACCGAAAAAAATAAAAGTCCTGAAAATCGATATTCATCTGGTATTCATCTCAAATATTGTAGGATTCTTTACTAGCACTAACCAAAGGTAATAACTATTTGGGTCCTTGAATGAAGTATTGAAATAATATATCCAATGCAAAAGCTAACAGAAGTGTAAATAAATTTATTAATTTAGAGGCTGGAACTGGCGAAGGCATCAAAGTTTGTAAATCTGCAAGAAGTACACAATAGCAATTATTAATGAATGAGCCAGATAATCAGGAGAAATACTTTCCTAAGCAAAAATCTGATTATTCCAAAGGATAATCAAAAGTACTTAACGAAAATTTACACAATTTATTTTTAAAGACTCAAAATGTGTTAGCCAAATACTAAGCTAAAGAACTTCAATGGAAAAAATAAAAAAAATAATTAAGAGATGAAATTAGAAATCTTAAACAATTATTGAAATAACAGCAATTATAAAATTAAATATATCACTGATATTATTAATGTATTTATCAAGTATTACTCTTTCAAATAATTTCTTATTGTGTCATCTACTTTTAATACATAACTTAGGAATATAAAATTTAATTAATAAAATTATACATTTTTACACTAATGCCAATATCAAATGATTGAAATTCTAATTATCTTGAGAAAATACATACATACTAGAAATTTTATTTTAGTCTTGACTTTCTATTTTATTAAAGATTAAATTAAAACGCAAAAACTTTCAATGTGAATAATAAATTTATACTCAAATAAGAATTTCTAATTATATAGAACTATCAAGATAAAATTATGAGCATGATCAACAGCGCATAAATTGGATCTAAAAAAGACTCGATTATAATGAATGAATTGAAAAATACAGAGACATTTTACAATATTAATAGAAAATTACCCTAAAATATACACTCATTAAATTTCCTAAAATTTTTTATTTTTGATGCACTATTTACATATTCTAAAGTCACAATAGCTGCATTAAAAGGCAATTGGTTAAATCATGTCCTCTCCTTTTTTATCACAGACAGAACATCTAAAATTATCCGTTATTTGAAGCAAATAATGTAAGGCAGGACACTAAGGTTATTGTGGTTATTTTTCAAATTTTAATTCAGGATAATAACATTTGAAACACATGAAAATTTTACATTGTTAACAAAAATATCTACAAGTTGTGTTTTACTTTAAACAATTCGAGCATATTTTTTTTTTTTCCTCACCAAAAGGCTTTTTCCAAAATTTTAATTTATGATTTTTTTCGCAAAAGGTTTAGATGCTATCAATCAATTCTCCTTTAGAAATAGGTTAATTTTATTGTTGTTATTATTATTATTGTTGTTGTTGTTATTGCTATTGTTATTACTGTTGCTATTATTGTTGTTATTATTGTTAATATTATTGCCACCACCACTGTTATTAATATTCATGTTATTATTTCTATTAATTTTCTATTTAAGCCTTTGCTGAATTTATTTTTTCCTGGTTTTCTTAACACATCTTTTACTTCATTTATAATTCATTTTTTAATTATTTATTTTCTTCTAATAAAGCTAAAAGCTATTATTTTGATGAATTCATTTCAGTAATACTGTAATTCTATTAATTTTTTATTTCTAGAATAGCATAATTAGACTATTCCTTATAATCCTAAAATTTCTCTTAGAATTATATGATAATCTTTTAGAGTTCAAAGAGACATTTATGAGTCTTTAGATCCGACAGTGTTAATGATTATTAACAAATACAACAATTTTATGTTTTCTAAAATAAGCACAAATTTTTCTTAATATTCTTAAAGACATACATGCGATTCTAAGTTCATTTTCTAAAAATTTTATCCACATTTGCATGTAACTTATTGATACAGACATTATGACATATGTTTAATTACATTATCTTAAGCCATCTCAGTTTTGCATCCTTCATTATGATTTATACATTTAAAAGATATTTTTGATAGTAAATCTCTTATCATGCGATGAGGCTATTTAGTTTGAAAGGGTCCATCACAATTTTCTTCTGGGCATCTTACTATCATACTTAATAATACTTATCATATGATGATTTAGATAGTTCATAGCATTCTTTGCAATAAAGGTTTTCGCATTAAGCGCATTCAACAGGATCTATTGTGAGATCGTTACAAATTTTGCACAAAAGGGTTTAATTGAAAATTCCAATAGGAATATAAAGTTATCTTTGATTAAATTACATATTAATAAATAAATAAATAATATATCATAGTAAACGAATGTTCACCTATAATATAAATATGCTTCAGCTTCCAAACACTTAAATCTTGACTAATTACTTATTTTTTGGAACTTACCCAACCGCCTTTCACAATCATTAATTTTAGCTAATAAACTTTAAGGCTGTTCGAAATCCAAAGATAAATTAGTTTAATCAATGATACTTCCATTTAAAAGCAATTTATTTTATATTGCTTTTACTTACTTCTGTTTGATCTAATCATGTAAATTGATGTTGAAATAATTCAATTTGTTTAAGTAGTCGTAATCAAATTTTAGCGACTCTAGAGCCTTTTATAGCAGTTCTTCAGGTGATAGTAATATCGATTGCATATCAGGTGATAGAGCTTCTCTATTTAACAACTTTTCTATTGTTTGATCTAATTCAGGTTCTACTCCAATTATAAACTTAGAGATAATGAATGATTTAGATATATTTCTTCTTAGTTTAAAATGATATTCAAATTAAGAAATATCATTGGGACAATTAGGTTTAATTTCTTTAAAGAATGTATGAATGATTTTTCTTGTTTTATAATAAAACTTACTTGCTTAAACCTTGGGTTTTTAAGATAATTTTAGTGATTGTTTTTTCAATTCGAAATATTTATTTTAGAATCTCATAGTTCATAACTACCTATTCAATCATATATCTAGGATCTTGCACTTAACGATTATTATCTAGGATCAAATCATTAAAAGCAATTTTATCATCTAGAACATATTCACATAACAGATTTCTTAATGCTTTTTCTGTTTGAAGCTATTAAATGAATTAGATAAATACATTAGTTCTTTTTTTGGGACTCTCAGTTCTACTCAATTTTAAGAGAATACTAGAATTTAGACTTTATGATTTTCCATCATTCATCTATTCTTAAAGTGCCTTTTTAATCTCTTATATTCTTGGAGATTGTCCATTGATCGATCTATTTTAATAAAATGCTTAATTCCATTAATTTAAATCATTCTGTCTTTTCGAAATATTGTTTAATACTTTAATCCTCTTTTTTGTTTTATTCAATTCTTCTGTTTAAGTTTTTTATAAATTTATTTTTGGAAGAGCTTAATTAGATTATGACATTTCAATAGGTTTTATTGGTGATGAAATTCTGTCATAATATGATTCTTCTTTTTATTTTTTTCTAGCTGATGATTTTTATAACGTAATGAGTTCATCATGTAAAATTTAAGAAACTGATCGACTCTTAATTAGCTATTACATTGGCATATTCATACAAAACACTTTTTTCTGTCTTTGCACTTGTAGTGTTTCAAAAGTGCCAAAATCTTGATCTTAAATATATTTTAACATTTTCTATGCAATTAATATTTTATTAATTAAATTATACATAAAAATACTGTATTGAATTCATTTAATATATTTTGATATCCTAAAGCCTTTAGATAATTATTGCTTTATTGAAAAATTAATATTAAAGGGAAAACTTACTTAAAAATATTGATTTATAAACATTGTTGTTTTAATGAAAAAAATTATTGATTATTTAACTTTATGAACTGATTATCTAAATAAAGTAATTATTTATAAAATTAAACAAGAATATATTTATGTTACTAATATTTCAATAATCATCTTTTATGTGAATAAAGTATAATCTAAATACTATGTTCCATTATTACTGTATGGTGGGCCATAGAGATTGAAAAATAATGTTAACTTTAATAATAACCCTTTTATAACTAATTTTTCAAAGTAGAATTGCTTGATTTCGGTTTAACTGGTTCATAGAAATAAATATATTTAGATTTATTTGAATCTGCTAGTGTCTACAAAATCTATTTAAAATGAGCATAATAGTTGTAACTTATATCTTATCATTTTGCTGGATTCTAATTTTAATCCTAATTAAAAAAAAGATGAATTCTTATCAAATTTCTTCTTTCCTACAAAAAGTAATTTTTCATAATTCTTTATTGATTAAAAATTATATTCAAGTTCAAAATAGATACATATTATATTGAGATAAAATATCATGAAAAATTATATATCGGAAAAATTGATATATAGATTATAATTAGTATCACTTATAGAGGTAAACAACAGTACCAACAGATACTTCATCAGTAAAATGTCAAGTAACAGTTCAAACAAATTTAACTATTTCACCTGTAATTATTTCAAAATAATGTGAATGATTAGATATAACGAAACTAATTAATTTGTTCGTCTTTGAAAGTTTCTTAAGAAATGAAATAAGAAACAAGTTAGAATTAACAATGCAAATTATCCTTAAGATATGAATAGATTCACTTATTAATGTGTTACAGAAACTGTTTTTGCATTTCTAAAAAATACAAGTTCTCTATAATAAGTAACTAAAATAAGATTTGATTTTAAGGTTGGGTGCATTAGATTATAGCAATAGTAGTCGTATATTTAAAACTCCTTAGAGAGGCAATTCTCCTGGAATAGTTTCTAAAGATATAGGGGTAATCATCATTATTAAGGAACTTTAAAGGACAATACATATATTATAAAAGAAGATACTGAATAGAAAATAAATATAAAATAAAAAATTAGAAATATTTAAGAAATATCTTAAAAACGACTTTTATTCAATTAATTGAGAGTAAAGTTAAAATAGGAGCAAAAAGATTGAAGCTGCTAGCTACTTATTGGTTTTTAAATTAGAAAAACATATTTAGAACTTAGAATTTATTTTATCATCAACTAAGATTATCATAGTTGAAATAAGAACTGATCAAAAATTCATAGATTAAGTAAAATAGATATAGCAAAGGAGAAGCAAATGAGGACATAAAATTATAAAAACTCCATTAGATCATGATTAAAATGAGTTACAAAATTCCTTTTAATCATCATAATAAGCTTCTTAAGTTGGAGGAGTCACAAAAAAAGAAAATTAAAATATTTAAGAATAATAATAATTACCGATTGCAATTATTAAAATAAAAAATCTATTTCTAAATGAATGGAAAAATTGCTAATAAAATACAATTATACAGTATAAAATAATATATAATCAGTTTACAAATTTGAGAAATAGAACCAATTGGCCTAAATGCAGAAATTAGAATAAATATCTAAATTATCAAAATAAAATTCTTTGGATAATCTAGATGTAAAAAACTGAAATCTAAGTCTAACATTTAAAGTAGGTTGGTTATTCTTAATGGCAATTCTTATAATTCTAATTATTAATTTATGCCGTGTAATTTATTGAATAATAATATTAAAAGAAATTTAATCAATTAAATTAGTAGAATATTTAGGTTGATAGATATTATTTGAGTAATAATGAGATTTTATTTCTTATTTTTAGAGTAATTATTTCAAATAAGGAATGTATGTTAAAATTAAACATATGTTTCTAAGGTCAACTTCTATTTTTTAATAATTTATCAAATTTTATCAAGTGTTATAACTAATTAACTTTTTCAATATTTAAGCAAGTTTTAATCATCTGCTTGTAATAAGAATTTGTTTTTGCAATATTTTTACCTTGGTCCTAAAGGTTTTTGTTTATTTTTTTTGAATTATAAAGTCTCGTGTCTTTAAAAACCATAGATAAAGAGTTCATCTCATAATTCATTTTCTAAAATTTAGTTAATCATGCATAAGCGTGTTCATTTATATTTTTTCTATTTCTGGTTCATTGATCGTTCTTTCTGAATACTAATAATAGGTATTTTTATATTATGTTTTATTTGAATGATCAAATAAAATATCTTTATGCAAAAAGGAAGAATCAAGCTTCAGTTTACTTTTGAAGCTAAAGAATGGATAAGTAAATTCATAGTGTTACAAGATATTAATATTTTTTAGTTGCCTTAAAAATTAAAATTATTAAATGTCTCAAGAAAAAAGAACATCAGCAGACTTTTTTAAATAGGTTTTTGGAAGAACAGTGAATGTGAAATTACATAATAGAACAGAATATATTGGAGTTTTAGCTGCATTAGATGGAAACATGAATCTTGTGTTGGAATAATGGTAATTTGTAAGATGATTAAAATATAGTGAAGAATATTTGGAATAGAAGCTAATCAACAAATATGGATAAATATTATTGAGAGGAAATAATGTGCTTTATATTAGTGCTAAATTTAATCAAAAATAATCACAGGAGGAAGAAGTTTGATTTATTGTATATTATTTTTATTTTATATGGATTAAGAAATAAACCATTTCAATTTGCCTGATATCAGAGATAAAGATGATTCTGATGATTAAGAAGATTATAATCCATTTATCTATCATCATTAACAAGAAGGATATCATTCATTTGAAAAAATATTTTAGAATCATTTTGATGTTGTAAATAACAGATGGATTACAATTCCAAGAACCAAAATCTATTTACTCAGATCAGCTATGCATAAATTGAAAAAATGGTAGCTTTATTTAAGGCAAGAGCATAATATGATTTAATCTATTGTTAAATAAAATGATGATTTCAAGACTCAACTAAAAAGGAACCAAGAATAAAATGCTAATCATTATCTTGTTGAATAACAGAGGACAAATCAAGTATTCTAAATAAATTATTATTCAGTTTTATGAGGAAATTAGGAACTTGAGATAGGAGTTAAAAGATAAAGTTATGTAAATGAATGATTAAATCTAATAACTTAAAGATACAATTGCTGAAAAGGATAAAAAGATTTAAAGACAAGAATTAACAATACAAAGATTAAATGATGTGAGTAATGGGTATGAAAATCAAAACAAAGGTTTGCAGCAACAAATAAACAACCTTTAAAGAGATTTTACATATTTTAATAACATCAAGAGATATGGCTATATTGATGAGAAGGCACTAATTGGAGGGAATATAACAACATTCGAATTGGTTTTGGCATCAAAGGTTAAAAGTAAGATTTTATAATTCTTGTCCTTATAGGATTATCAAAGTCTAATGATTTGTAATCGTAAACTCTATCTTTCCTTAATATGGCACAATACGATAATTCCCCATGCCGTAACTTCTCTCAGTAACAAATTTAATCATTAGTACAAGTTATTGTAAAGTGTAAATGAGGAATTCAAAGTATTCAAATTAAAAACATCATATAATAGAGTGTTATAAAATAGAGTGATGATCCAAAACTGAGAGAAATCATGATAAAGTAGTTTGAATTAAAGGTAAATTTCTCTGAATATATTATTCCTACTTTGCGTGAATGCTAATCTTTAATAGATGGTGATAACTTTATAGGATTGAAGAATAATCAACACAATAAAGATTGTAAAATATACATCATTTATATTAGTGATGAATCTATTGGAGGGTTACTTAAGTCAATAGGCTTAAAGTTATTAGGCAGCATTATAGAGTTTGTTATAGGAGAAATTTCCTTGGAATCAGTTCTTCCCAAAACACTAAACTACTGTTTAATAGGTTTAATTCTAGAGGAAATAATTTCCAACATCTTCGCAAATGTTTGCCCAACAAATCATCACTAGATTATATGATCTGAGTACAGTATGTGCTCAAGACTCTTCAATATTTGGGATGTTTTTATCATAATTATAGCGATGTTTGGCTTCACTATTTGTTTATGGATAGCATTTGGCATAGGAAGTAAATGATTTATAGTCACTTAATTATTATATCATGACCAAATTTTTCTTTTTGTTGAAGGAAAAGAAATAAATTGAAGATCATTATGAAGATTTTAAAACATAATTAGCTCTATATTCTGAGGCAAAACGATTCTTAAAGTATAAATAATAATTAATATAGCGAGAAAGTGAAGGATTTAGAAAAGGTGATCTTAGATAAAAATGAAAAAATTAGTAGTTTAAATCAATAACTATATATGAAGGAAAGTTAATTGAAATAAAACTAAATTATGGTCTAAAAAAACAATGAATCGATTCGTTTGTATTCAGATAAACTTAAAATACTTGCGAGAGAAGTTATGGAGGTAAGAAGAAAATATAAAAATACATGTATGGAATACAATCAAATAGTGTCGAGGTTTAATTTGTTAAAAATTTAATTAGAGAAAATGGAAAAGCATTAAAAAAATTGAGTATAAAAATTATATTAAAAAAAGTATCCTTTTTATTTAAAATAAAATGTCTTCTTCAAGTTCGTCGAGGTCACGATCACCAAAGAAGAATAGGAAAAGAGTATATGTAACAGGATATTCTCTTAAAGAGGATTAACATGACATTAAAAAACTATTCAAAAAATTTGGAAAAATTGAAGAATTTGCTTGGAAAGGGAAATATTGTTTCATTGTACATATAATGAATTAATTGTAGGAATTTAAAGACCCTGAAGATGCAGAAAGAGCTGTTAAAAAAATGAATAAGGAAGAAGTAAAAGGATCAGTGTTATAGGTCGAGATGGCTCGTGGAAATAAGCCGAGCAAAAATAACGGCCTATGCTATTCATGCGGTCGCTCTGGACATTTGTAAGTTTAACTATAGCATTTCACTCTCTTTTTATAGATTACGATTTATTTTTTATTTTATTCATTTACCATTTTATTAGCGCTAAAAACTGTAGACATAGATCATCATCATCTAGTTCATCTAGCTCCAGTAGGTAATGAATTACATAATAATTTTCAGTGAGTCTAGAAAAAAACACAAGAAGAAACATAAAAAAAAGAAGAGCTCATCCAGTTCGGATTCCTCTTCAAGTAGTTCATCAAGTAGAAAGAAAAAGAATAAGAAGAAGAGTACAAAAAGGAAATCAAAGTCCTCATCAAGAGGCTCTTCAAAAGACTCATAACATTCAGAGTCTTCTGCCGGCTCGTACTTTTAAAGTTGAATTCTGTTTAGCATTAATGACGAAAAAAAAGAAGAAAAAAACCCTATTGAAGTAGAGAATCAAGGGAATGAAGGAGATGGTAAGTAATGAAGTACCCGTGATGTTATAAATAAAGTTGGTGTCCAATAATAATCTTATTATAAATAAATATTATCAAAAATTATTTTAATTCATCTACTACCTATTAATTTACTTAAATTCATTTATGGTTTGACTTTATTTAGTTTAATTTTATTGATAGAATTATTCATAATTCGTCTATGAGTGAGCTGCATTATAGAAAGACATAGGTTTTTCAAGCTTATTAGTAGAAATTTCTAATTAAATACAACAAATTACAGCTAAGTTTTAATGCTGGAACTTAATGAACTTAGTCCTGCTACTTAGATAATTTCAATAAGCATTCTTTTAAGTTTTCTATTTCATTTTTATGTAATTGAATTTCATGTTTATGCTATTCATTTTCATCTTTTAATTATTGATTAATTATTCCTAATGCTGCATAATCATTCAAAGCCTTTTAAATTTGATTGGATTATTTTTCATAATTAACCAGGCTTTATTCATTTAATTAATTCACTTGCTATTAAAATTATTTAATAATTTCACCTTACCTTTTAATTTATTATTAAGCAGTAATTAATTAGTTTTATACTTCTTCGTATTTTAGTTCTTAATCAATTTTGTGTTATTATAACTTGAAAACCTCCATATCCCTTAAATCATGCACTTATTGTAAATGATTAATATTATTCTTCAATTACTTGATAACATCTTCATAATGTTGATTGATATCTTATAATTTCTTGATTTCCAACTCTCTTTTTTAAAGTAATTTATCCTGTTCTTTAAGACTTTCCTATTATGAACTAGCAGTGTTAGAATTAGGTTGGCTTGTAGTCTATTAATTATTTAGGATCTATTTTTAATAGATTTATTGTTTCAACCTTTCTATTTCTTATTTTAATTCTTGATTTTTTTGCTTCTATTCAAATAACTAATTATTTATTTGTTCTTTTTCCATTATATGTGAGTTAATCTCGGATAATAACTTCTCTTTTTCACTTATTACTTATGTAAAGTTGAATAGTTAATTAGAAAATGCTCCTCTGCTCTTGCCCAAATTCTTTGAGGCTTGCAGAAATTTTCTTTCCATTTACACTATTGAAGTTGATTTTAATTTATTAGAAATTTCAATTCCCAAATTACCCTATTTCATCAAATCAAGGGCATTCTTCCAAATTTATGGATAAGTCTTTGTGGTTTATAAATTATGTTTTTTATTAGTATAATAAGACTTGGTTAAAATGCTTTAAACCAAAGCAAGATCTGTTTTTTATCCATCCTATATATGTTCCTTAATAACTTAAGCGCATTCATCTAGCAACTCTTTAGGTGGCTTATTTCATTATAGTTATAGTTACCCTTTAGATTTGCTGATAATTGATGACTCTCTCAAATGTGAAGTAGGATAAGGTAGGAAATTTAACATTCATAATAGAAAGTCTCTCCTAAGCAATTTTATACAAACTCAATTTTCCAGCAACAGTGTCAATTGGAAACCATTTACTCCAGACCCATATACTCTCCAATGTATAACGATGAAAAATTAATCCAACTTATTCCAGCTCTTTTATTTATTCATACTTTTTCTTGGAAGTAGTTGACGAAAGAAATAACATTTTGCCTCGTTCATCGTCTTTGCTCTCCTTTTTGAACATAGCATAATCTTCTAAAATAGGCAAAATATTCTTTTGAGTTAATTCAATCCATTCATATTCCTGTAGCTCCAATAAATCATTGATAAACTAAATTTACATATACTTATATATACTTTCAAACACAAGAATTTTGGATAATGGGGTCCTTGTTGATCACTAAGGCAATTGATTATTACATCAGCACACACCTTCATAACATCCCTGAGAATATTCAATTGAATTACATTCTTTGCTGTTAAACTGCTTCCAGATATTGTTTGACCCCAATATATGTGTTATTAGAACTGAGAATTTTTTTCAATGATTCATAATCCATTATATAAAGTTTAATATATATTATTTAATTATTGCTTGTTTATAAGATAATTGATATATTTAGATATTTTTTATTAATATGTAAAGAAGTTCAAATTCAGATACTACAAGCAAATATATTTACTATTGCAACAGCATTATCACTCTCTTGTCTTATTGCTACCGATCCGTCAGTTATATGATTCCAATAACATGAGGCAGAGAGGCTTAAATGACAATCAGCTTTTTAAATTATATCATATTGATAGCATTTTATTTCTTAGTCGAGTATCCCTTGAGCAATCTTTGTTGATTCTGGTTTCAAAAATATCAAAAGAATCCACTTTTTCGAAATTGGACATAAATTTTTGTATTTATATAATTATCATATTTTCGTAGAAAAATCTAAACATCCATAAAAAGATTAAGTTAACATAAAAAGACGAGACTATGTTTGTTCTACTTAGAATAATTCTCAATTCTATTTGATTTATTAATTAATTGGTTCAGATATAAATTCAAAGTATTTAAATTAAACCTAAAGACTAGTTTTTTTTTTTTCACTTCATGTTATACAAGACTGCAAATTATTTATAGTTTAGAGATCAAAACAGTTTTAAACTCTCTTCATTTTATGCACAGTAGTTAGCTATAATCTATGTTCATCAATATTTGGGGTTCTGTATTTTAGATTAGTGGATTGATAAAAATTTTATGTCAAATATAAACTCATCCTAATATATTCTGATTAATTCGGTTTTAATATTTTTAATTTTATCAAACCCATAATTTAAAACTTTTGACTTTTATATTTAAGAAGAAATTAGTTATTTATAAATTTAATTGAAAATACAGTAACTTTACTAAGAAGAATTTTAAGATAGTAAGAAGTGCATTTTGGAAAAGATTTGATATTAATTATATGGATGCATTTATAAAAAACGCTATCTATATACCTATAATAATTTAAAATTGAAATATTAATTCGGATTCTAAGTGGATTTCTCAAAATAATTACAAGAATATATATATTTTAAAGAAAAAAAGTGGTTAGTAGTAATGTGTTAGAAGATTGGCATTTTAGAGTTTGGAAAATATCTTTTGGATGCGTGAAACTGAAAAAAGAATTTTAAAAACACTCTATATGTCAGAAAGATCTTTGTATTGTACCTAGTTTGTTAAATTATTTCTCAAATTATTCTTTTAGGAGATTATTAATACCCTTTAAACCTTTAGAATAACAAAATTATTAATTATTGTATACCATATTATTTATATGATTATGAAAATGCTTTTCATTGATAAAATGGAACATTTACTAATAACTTTTAAATAATTTTAGAAATTTTAACATGATTCCAATTAGATTGATAATCTAGAATAGTTTTAGTTTTTTCCCCGTTTAAAATATAGAATTGTTTAATTAAAATGCCACAATTTGTTATGAAAATCAGATTTGAATAACAAATAAAATTTCTATTAGAGTTTTTCAAAAGATTCTTAATTGTCCTTATTATTGAAATATTTTTTTTGATATTTGAAACTTTGGAAGGATTCTAATTTGTTAATCGAAAATATGAAGTGTTTGGATTTAAGAATCCTTTACAAAATTCTATTAGTAGATTATCTATTGCTTTCAGAATTAGATTCTATTGCTAGACTAATTTTAAAAAACTAAAAACTAATAATATTTTAATTAACGCTTAAAAAATCCCTTAAGTAAAAAAGAAGAATGCATTATAAATAGAAAGAATTACTATTATTAAGATTATATAAATTAACTAATAAGATCCCTAATAATTAGAATTAGAAAATTAAATTAAGAATAGAAATTTAGAAAAATTAGAAAAACTTTTAGCATATTTTGGAACTTTTGGATTTTTTGGAAATTTCAGAACTTTTTTAGATTACTTAATGTTTTGGAAAAATATGATTTGGAATTTAAACTCTTATTAAATTGGTTTGTTTTTGCCTATGTTATGATTATGACTTGAAATAAAGTGAAGTTTTATATTAGGTATTAAGGGATTATGTTGTAAAATATTGAAAAAAGTGTTTTCTTTTTGATATTTTATGATATAATAAATTAGTATGTAGTATAATTCATGAAATTTATGAAGTTGAATCAATGAATATTATGACCCTGCAATTTTAGTTAGTTGTTTTATGTATGAATTTTAAACAAATGAAGTATTCATAACGTGTTTTTGTACAATATGATGTCCAACAGAAACTAAGACTGAGTTTGTTAAATTCCTGAAATTTGTTCAGATGAATAATTCAAGTAGATTACTTTATAATAGGATTCCAATCTTGGTTTCTGTTTCAACTTTATTTAACCAACATATGTTGCTAGAGCTCATTGTATCTACTATTACCTCTGAACATCAGAAGATTTTAACAAAAGAATATGCAAAATGAAAAAGAATGTAGTTAACTTAATTTTAGGATTAATAACTTGATTTGAAGTAAGAAAAAACTAAAGAGAAAATAATAAATTCAAACCAAAAGAAAATCAGAAGATGAGAGTTTAATTGAAATATAAAGAGATTTAAGAACCCTAACTACAATTATAAATAAAAAACCAACAATCTTACATATTTGACGTAGATAGATTATTATTAGGCTACGTGGCTGGAGTAGTAGTGTTTTATCAAGAGCCCTGAATTATACCTAAAAATAAAAGATAGATCTGAACTAAGATATTCTTAATTAAATTGAAGTAGATAAATTAATTTTAGGTTCAAATGCTTTGATACTCATGTAGAACTTTTTAAAACTAAGAAAAATCAATCAAAAACTTCAAAATTTTTATTACATTGAAAGAAGATTTAATTAATCGAAGTAACTAACCTTATTTTAGATTCCTCACCTGATGTATGATTAGAAGACTTTGATAAATAATGTGAATTAGATTTCTGAAAATTCTAAACAAACAAACATGTGTTTGAAAATTAGTATTGAACTCGAATGAAAATTCTGAAATATAGAACGAGTTAGAATAAAACTGCTTACAAAGAAGATCTATCCTTTATTTTTATCAAGTAATGGATTCTATATTAGATACACTGACTGAGTAGTTCTTTTGCAGAATTAATTGAAGCTTTAGAAGAGTAAAGACTTTGTTTTAAAGTATTTATTTAAACAAAATCAGAAAATAAATTGTTGTTATTTTGACTCCTTGTTGAACCAATAGATCTACCCTTTAACAAAGTTGAATGATTATCTTTCGATCCCAGAACTAGCGAAGAAGATAGAACTCAAGAACTATGACCAACTCGCCAGAGACATACTAAAGAAGATTAAGCCATAAGACGATATCGAGTAGCCAAAATGAGATCCAAAACCAATAGAGACAAAAGAGACTATCCAGAAAGACATAGAAGTTTTCTAGCTTTGTTCTTTTCCAGTTGAGCCAATTTTTCAATATTTCTTGAGAACCAGGTGGTCCACCCATGAGACAAGACATAAGATTGAAGACATCCAAAACTTCTTTACCACGGAGAAAAGACAAGACTATATTCAGATTTCCCAAAATTCTCTTCTAAGAAATAAGATTCCCTGTACAGAATGATTCCTTTACTTCCGACTTGACTCGATACCCAAGATCAACAATTTCAGACTCAGACAAATCTTTCTAAGAGCCCTTTTCCTTTTAATTTGCAGACCTATCACGAAGATTAACTATTGTGGACCAATCTCAGATGCCAACCCTTTTATATTATCTTATTAAGTCGACATTGTTCAGTCCCCAGATTTCTCTATTACTTTAACTCAAGAGACAATTTCCTTATATTTTAAGAGCCAATTCAATGAGAATATTTCTTTTATCAACTAGCTTTTGGAGCCTTACTTATAGAACAAATCGAATTCATTTTAAGGAACTAGAAGACAGACAGAGACAGACAGAGCTTCGACAGACATTATATTAATAATGCAGATGCTTTTTGTTATTTAAGTGCTTGTGTTGACTACTCGAGAATCCCTATTTATTCTAGAATAATGATTTGAAGTGCCATCCTTTATTTCCTGAAGACCCCAATAAGACCCTGTTTTCTAATATAAAATTCTAAACTATCCCTTTGACGAAAAGACCCTTTAAATCTGTTTTAAGATCACTATTTTTGATTTGATGATGCTTTTTTGGAATAATGAATTCCCTTGTGTCCTTCCTTGAAATGAACTGAAAATTTGAGTTTGAAAGTGCGACCCAATTAAAGAGAAGAGCCAATCGATTAAGAGTTGTGCCTCCCCCTTTAATGAGTTGTGACTTGAGCCACCAAACCAAATTGGAAGAGTACACTTTGTGATTTAAGCCCCCCTCCCCACCGTTGCCCCTCCGGAGATCCAATTTGTGTCCAATGAATATTAATTCATGGAAAATTGGTCCCTTCCCATAAATTTTATGGTTGCCTTAGAATTGTGTATGTGCAATTAAGTCCCTTCAACACAATGATGTGTTTGATATATAAAAAATCCTTGGGCTTTGCTAAGAGACGTTAGACATGGACAATAGACATGCCGATTAGAGGAGAGAGCACCTAAAAGAAAGAGAGGCAGAAGAAATAAACAGAGGGCAGACTTCGAACAGGCTAAAGACAGAAAAGGAAAACTTGGAATCAGAAATGGATTGGAATCGAGAACATGAAAACTAATTTTGGAAATGGAATCAGAAATTGGATTTGGATGAGACAAACAATAAGAGAAAGAAAAGAGAAAAAGGGCATGAAATCACAAATTGTGCTTACAGGTAAATATTTATTAATAGGTAATCATATCATAATGGAATGAAATTGGCACAACAGAATTGATTCAGAGAACTTAGACCATACAGTGGAAAGAGCAATTTGGATCAAGTTTGGATGTGAATTTTATACATTTGTACATAATTTAAATACAAACAAACAAAAAATATCAAATTTCTTAATCATCTTTGAGTTAACCTTTTTTCTTATTGCTATTATTTTTGGCTGGAGTAGCTACCTACCATTCAGGATAGGAAGAATCTCTATCATGATGCAAATAACTAAAATTCTTATATGATATTACATCCATATTTTTTTTTCTTAATCATATTTAACACATGGGTCAGTAGATTAATGCAATCTGTCCAAGGCTCCTGAAATGATTGAACTCATTTTCTCTTCTGGCAAATTCTCATTTATGTATTGTGAATCTCTAACTAAATTGACAATGTCTGCTCTTGTTCCAAATCCTTTTGGCAATCTTGCTGAAGCATCTCTTACAAGAGATAATATGGTAACATAGGTAGGTCTTTCATTCTTAAGTAATTCATGTTGTCTTGGTTTTTAACTTGATCCTGATATTAATTTCTTAGCCACGGGAGCCACTGTTACTTTTGAACCATCGATGCAGGTGAAAGTATAAGGTTGGAGCGGATTTTAATATCTTTCTCTTTCTTATTTCCAATAGAATTCTAACCATTCTCTATTCGTTTATCCATTAGGAATGTTGGACTCTTAAACATTTTAGGTTTGATTTTTATTCTATTACTTTATTGACTTTTTGGCTTGCATCAAAGCCAAAGTCATAGCAGTTGTAGCAATTGATGTTGATGTTAAAGGAGGCAATGGTGTTATTGGAGTTATGATAAATAAGGATTGGGCTGATGGTATAAATTACTATTGGATTTGAGGCTGAGGCTACAAAGAATATTGCTGAACATTGGCTGAAGATTATGATTGTGATGTTTATGTGGAGAATCCTTCCTCTTCAAATTCTTCGTTATTGTCATCTAACTTCATTTATTTGCTTATTTCATCATCGTCTGAAATTGATTATGGAGATCTTTAAAATATGATTCTTTTCTTCCTCTAAAGTACATTCTAAATTCTGTTCTGATCTTTATGAAAACTGTCGTATAGATTTGAATAATATTCATTTAAATGATTTCTAGAGATCTTCTGTTCCAATTTATCACATATTTCTTTATTTCTGGTGAAATATCCACTTTTCATTTTTGTCAGGAAAATATTTAATGGGCTTCCAAAATGAAAATTTTTAGTGCCTTCTATCACATCTTGGAATAATTGCAAATCTGCTTCAGGTAATAGGCAACACAAGGAATCAATTTCTTGTTTTGTGAAATTGTCAACAGAAAAGATCTATTATATTGAATATCATTACATTTTCCAAGGATGCCAAGGCCATAATGCTCAACGGGAAATTATATTATTGACCTTTGTAATACAAAATGATTTTGTCTCCCTAAAATACTAGAAATTATTAACACAACATTTACTCACTTTATTCTTCATCTTCTCCTTCATCACTTGAGAATTATTTAAAATTGTCATATAACATTTCTAAACAATATTATTCACACAATTACATTATTCTACAAACTACTCCAAGTTCTTCTTATTGATTTAATAAGTCTTTTGATAATGATCAACACGCGAATTCATTAAACAAATTTAGAATATAAAAAATAAGTTATTATAAATTCAAATTCAGGGTTCCTTTGAATTCTTTACTTCATTAATTACAGAGATTATATCTATAATCTTGATTGGCTTTGATACAAAAGCATCAAATCCTTTCTATTGGCACTTCTCCTTTTCTTTTAAATCATCATATCCAGTCAATGCTATAATGTAGCTTTTGGGAACGAGATTGTTATTCTCCTAAACTTTATTATGTCATATCAATACCAGTAATCGAATTTATTCAGTAGCTTCATATCCATTCATTATGGGCATAGTCAAATCCATGAATATATATTAATATCTTTGATCATTAGTTATAGCCAATTTTATCTTTTGAAGAGCTTATTCTCCATTGTAAGCTTCCTCAACTGTAATAAAATCATATTTGGTTAAGATCAATCGAAATGCAATAACATTGACAGGTGAATCATCTACAACTAAAATTGTGCAAGGTTCTGGGAATAGCTTTTTCATCATGTCATCAATAGATTCGGTTATTTATAAAGGTTTGCGTTGTCTATTTTAAAGTGGCGGTGACTCCATACTATCAATTTGATATAGAGGAGTATTCAATGAGCTATTAATATCAACTTATTTATTGATTTTCTTAATCAACTTGGCCTGAGTAAGTTCGCTATTAAATTCCAGATACTATTCTATGTTTTTCTATTTTGAATGATCAGAATCTTCAACACCACATAACTAACATAGGTTGCCAAAGTTCCCTTGATTTTCATGTTTAACTTAACACTTTTTTTAGGTCTTCTTTCTCTGGACCTTTCTTAATTAGTAAATCGAATTAGAAGATTTTCTATCTTGGATTTCTTGGAGAGTTGAAATACCTTTTTTATTAAGTTTCTTTTGATTCTACATTGAAGGTGCCAAGAGAGTTTAATTGAAAATAGTAAATTAGGAGGTTAACAATTAATTAGCAGAATTTTGATCATCTAATATCTGTTTTGTATCCTGTTTATAAAAGTTTGTCATCTCTTTTGAATTAGTAATGGTAGTTAGATTTCTTTAATCATTATTAATATAAACATCAAAACTAAATTTAGAACCTACTCCAACTTAACTTATCAAGTCAATGTTATCAGTTGGTCCTAATAATCCAACCAATTTCTTACAAATAACTAACCCCAATCCAATTCCGTGTTTATTTGAACCATTATTTGTGAAATCAAATGTACCATACATCTAAAATAACTTAGGCTTCACATTATCGGGAATACCCACTCCTGTGTCTGAAACACTTATCGTAATAAGTCTGACTTACTAATTTTCAATTTCACTATTTTTATAATCGACAACAATATCTATTTTGCCCTTTTCTGTAAATTTTAGAGAGTTACTTAAAAGATTCAACAAAATTTATTTGATTCGATTAGGATCGGAATACATCAACCTATCTCCAAAGGTAATCTTCTTTTGCACAATAATGCCCTTTTGATTTGCTTAGAGGGAGACCAGATCAATTATTTCTTAGACGATGGCTTGGATGTAGAATGTTGTATTGGTTAAACTTAAGGTGTTCTTTTGAATCCTCGAAAAATCCAAGATATCACTGATCATGTACAATAATAATTGAGCCCACTTTTTTAGTATAATTAAATAATTAATTTCCATTTAATCAACGACTATTCTACAGAAATTAATAATATATAAGTACTATTCTAAATATTATACAATAGCCACAATTCCATTAATGGGAGTCTTGAAATCATGTGACACACTCACCAAGAGATCATCTTTGTATTGGTCTCTCAATTTTAATTCTTCTATTTATTATAACTATTGTTTTTCGGATTGCGATTAGAAAATCAACATAATGGCTGGCTACTATTCCCAAATGACTTCAAGGACATCGATATCAGCAGGAAAGTAGTTTTGGATTTACTCCTTTTGTTATATTGTTGTTGAGTAAGTTTCAAGAGTGCAATGTTCAAATCGTTTTTTACTATGATATTAATATGACCTGTTTTTTAAAAACTTTTTTTTATTTAAGTAGGTTGCCAGACATTCTTTGTTTGATTTAGATGTAATATTCTTGATAATTTAAGGCGTAAGTCCATGATAATCAATTCTAAATTAATTTGTCATGAACTTGTATTCTAGCATTAAATCATATCATACACTCATCTTAAATGATGCAAACAGAAATAGGTAGCGATTCTTAAAAAAAATCAAAGATTTAGCCAATCTGATGTTTCTCAACGCTTGGGGTTTTATGCTTCAAATATAGGGCTTTATGATTAATTCAAATTAATACTTCTCAGAATCAAGATCAAATATCCAAATATGGTGAGATAAGCCAATGGTTAAGTGCTAAAATGACTCCTAAAAAGGATGTAAAAGAAGCAGAACACAAAATATATTATTTTTTATGTGTCAAGTAAAATGAAAGCGCTTAATAATAATCTCACACTTAGATAAAAACCTAATATCTAATATAACAATGGTTTTTACATTTTCTTCTGAGTCCAATAATTCATTTGATAGACATACACTCCCTATAAGCAAAATTAATAATATTTTCTATCCGAAACATCCAAATATCAATAGTAAATCTATTAACAAATAGTAATTATCTGTTTATTCAGTAACTCCATTATAAATTGCTAGTATAACGGATTATAAAATCAATGTGCCAATAATAATTATCATTTATTTTAATTAAATATTTATATTTGTATAATTCTTATATCTAATCCTAGACTTCTGCATACATATATTATATATTAATAAATATATAACAAAAATATTATTTTCTAAGTATCTTTTTTTCATTCCTCAATGCCTATAGATTTAGACAAGATTTCATTATTCTTGATTTGTCTGCTATTTCAATATTTATTATGCAAGCCATTCAACATTTAATGATAGAAGCCATATTCTTCTGTTATATGTAATATATAATATCTTTGCTACCTTAATACTATTAACAATAAGTATGTCAATATTCATGGAATCAATCTACTCTACATTGGATAGTATCACATCAATACTCTTCACCATTCCTAAGGTCATGATTCCCTCATAAGCTCGATCATATTTGATGATAAAATAATATAAGATCATAATAATGCTAAATGGTTGATATGGATATCACCTATAATCAGCATAAATTTTATTACAATACTTGTTTATCTTGCTTTTCTGAGGTTCCTAAACATATTCATCAGTTATAATTACAAAAAACGAACTCATTATGATAAGTTTGCACAACAACTTGTGATTATACATTTATAACATCTTAAATATTTGAGATTGAAAACTTTCTTTTTTATGATTGAACAATAGTTTTCAGCTTTGTAATTAGAATTTGTTATGTTTTTATTATAATACAATTCAATGATTTTGAGTTATGTTTTTCATTTTATAAAATATGTAATAATAAGTGATGAAATTTAAATTAAAATGGAATTCCAAATGCAGAAAATCGAAGAATTGAGTAAAATCTGCCAATCAGGTTTAGAATTGATATAAAACAGTATACTTTCTTTTTCGAGAATATTTAAGTTTTACTGTTTAATAATTTATTTAATTCCTAATCAATAATAAATTTACGTGTGAGAATATCAAGAAATAAATTATGCAAATAGAATTACACCTTATCTTAATCCATTAATTGAAAAGCTTGAAAACGCTATGATAGTTAGTATAAATAAATTATCATAGAAGCTAAATTTGATGGATTATAATTTTGATCAATTTCCAAAACCAATTTGGATTCAGCTAAAGCAATATGATTAAAACTAATGAAGTTAGAAACTGATATTATTGGGAGATTAATTTTTAAAGAGAAAACGACAGCTATGAAATGTTTAAAAGGAATATTATCCATTATGTTCTACTACTAAAATGTTTTAATCATGTCATTCAAATATGAACCAAAAAAAATTCATTAGAATTTTAGGCTGAAAATAAAAAATAAATTTGATATTAAATGATTATTTTCTTTTAGGATAAAAATACTAATAATGGGTACATCATTCAGGGGGTTGCTAGTAATAAAATTATTCATCAGACATCTGCCTACGTTTAAATTATTGGGCTGCTAAATAATGATTGATGTTTACATGATATCATTCTTCCTGTAGATCTAGTTTCAAGGGATTTCCTAGCCAAATCATTATAGTCTTAATTAAGTTCTATAATTATATGACAGAAATATTACTTGTCCTCTTTAATATAATTTATTTGTATATTTCATTCTTTTCATTATCATGGTACCAATAATTTTTGTTATAAATTGACGAAGCTGATTACAGTCGAGAGAGAAACTTTTGATTTTCTTAATTAATTTTGAATTTCTCGAATTTTCGTTAGTTAAGATTGCTCACATGTGATAAAGATAATGGCAATTATCCAGAACTTTAACTTCTTAAATTATGTCTCTAAATATCCATCATTTTAGATAGCAATATATTATTTTGATACATGATTTTATTCTCCTCCTCTTTGTTAATTTTTATATATTAAATTACAATGACTATATTTGTTGTTAACTTTCGATAACGAATGAGATGGTTTCCATGGTTCTCCATTATTGATTGTCTTTCTCATGTTTTTACAATTTAATAATAACCTCTCCTAATCAGAAACCAATTTCTTTTTCTAACATATTGGATTAATTGAGATTATATTCCACATTATAATTAATAAAATAATATATAATCACCCCACTTACACATTCTCCTATTGTTTCCTCTTACCCTTCATAATTTCTATTTTAAATCTTCATCTCCTGCACAAAACTATGCTGCAACCAAGAGACACAATTAAAATAATAAATACCACAATGATAAAATATTAACTAATAGTTATAATTGAAAGTCTCAGAACACTTCATTAATTGATAGACGACCCCATTTTTACATGATTATTTTAATTGATATCTGATTTCATTTTATGATATTCTTAGTTATTCATGTTGACTTTGTAGTCTACATTCCATTATTGTATTATTAGTTTTAGAATGTAAAATTATAATTTAATATCGGATAGTCGCATTTGTTAGTTACTTGGAAACCACACATAACTTAACATTTTATAAATTGTAATTATTTGCCAAATTAAGATATATTGACAAGACTGACGGAAGAAAAGAGGGGATAAATATATTATTTAAGTTGAATTACATAAAAATTTTATTTGATGGATGGGAAATTCACTTTATCATCATGATTAATTTTTCATTTAGTGTTTGGAATATGAATAGATCAATGCGATTTCAGAAGACATTAAATTAGTTAAAATCATAAAGCTACTTTGTAAGTATTTCAACGAAATGCTTAAATAGATTAATATAGATTGGAGAATGAGGCATTTAGGGAATAAATTAACAATACAACTAATTGAATGAATTAGTAAGGAAGGGGCTTTGGAATTTGCTGAAAATGAGTAAATAACTTATAGCAATTAAAATGAATTGCCTGAAGATTTTTTGAGTAATGATTCTAAGGTATTTTATTGGTAAAATAGATTTTAAAGAATAGAAGTTTGAAATAAAAGAAGGCAGAATTTGAATTTAATCAAAAGGATGGCTGGAGTCAATTGAATTGGAAGTAAAAGAGTAGCAATTGACAAATTATATAATATAATTAATATGTTAAATTTATAAACTGTTTTAAGGGGATTTGAGGAAAATGGATTAAAATAAGAGTAATATTTCACTCAGGATGAAATTTTACATAAATTGGATATAATGGCGAAACGGGAGTTCGATCGAGGGATTGGAGAATAAATATTTGAATAATGCCAACCTATCTAAGAGAATTTGAAATTATTTTTTAGACTAGCTGATGTTAGTTAAACCTTGGTTGATGCTAGTTTAATATTGAGTGAAAAGATTAAGAAAGCAGAACTCTAATTAAAGCTAATTTCTTAGAATAAGGCAGTTTGCGAGAAATAATTAGATGAAACATGTTTGCTATCATCTTATAATTAGCGGTTTACTCTGATACAAGATACTTGTTCTTGACATTATTGTGTGCTAAGAATATACCATTAAAGTTAAAATACTCAAATTGCCACATTCAATTGACTTTGGGTGTAACAAATTAAATAGCAAGACCAGAATAATAATATGATAGAGTAAATCCAGAATTCAATTAAGATTTTGAATTGTAATCAAAATATACTTAAACATAATTTAAGTTAGATCCCTCCAGCGACAACATCCCTTTCGCTTCAGTTTTACATTCAGACTAATGCAGCTCCAGCATCTTTATGGGGATAAGCATATCTGTAAATTCAGCAATTAGATGATTCAGCAGTAAGAGATCTAGAACTGTAATTGAAGGATCCTTAAGGCAGAGAACTAGGAGCTAGCATTGAAATAGAAGCTCAGATAGTATTGAATAAAGTATTCCTCTAAAAGATAGTTAGCATCAATATCTGTAAACTCAATTGCAGAAGTTTGAACAAAAGATTTACACCCTTGAAAATGACTTGAACGAGTACAGAACTGATTTGGATGTAGTGGAGAGACCATTTAAGATTAAATTATTCAAGGAGTAGAGTTTTAAAGATTAAAAGAATGACATTTTTGAATAATTCGATCAGCAATAAATGAATGAGATGGATTAATAGAACCCAAATTATTTATAGGCATCTGAACATAAAGAATAAATAATATCTGCATTATAATCAGAAAAACACTTAGATAAGTTTGATGAAACGCCAGATGCTCCTGAGATCCTGCAACATGGAGTCATCATATTCACTATTTATGGTTTGATCACCTTATTTGTTTGTTCTGCTAAACCCTCCTTCTTAGATGTAATTGTCTAATCATTTTGTAGGTCTTGGTTTGCCATGGTCTCATGTTCACAATCTTCATGGATAGATTTGAGTCATTCCATCTAAAACTTGTTGGAGGAGGCCTTGTAGCTTCCATCTTTTATGATATCTTATGGATGAAATAATACCATGTATGATAGATCTCATTTCTAGTTATGGTGGGAAAGCGATGATCAAAACAATCCAGAATGGGGATTGAAGGCACAAACCTTACTAAGATTTGTTTTAGTTTTTACTTATATCCAATTCTTGTATAAAGTATTATACCTTATATTATTAATAGTTTGTTGTCTGTTATTATATATATTAATTTCATAGAGAATCTATTGATCCCACCAAAAGATACATTTTTACAATCTGGAGAATATAATATAAAGTAGGTAAAAGTAGGGGGGAGAGTTCAACTTGGTAATCAATGTGATCATATTTTTATATTTAAGTTTATTATTTCACTTGATAACAGAATGATAAGATAGAATTTATTGAAGTAAAACAAATTAAAAATTTATTTATTTTCAAGTTTATCTAGCATTTCAAATCTTCATTCCCTCCCCATAAAGTATTTAATTATTATATATATTCTCTTTCAAATTTTAATTAAATTGTTAAATATTTCTTTTGATTAAGATCTGCCATATTGTTTTATTTTCTCTTCATTTCAAAAACAAACATTTTTTGTAATACTTATCAATTGATAAACTAAATGATCACAATATTATCCCCATTTCTTCGATAATTACTTTACTTATTTTTTTTGGTTTGATATTAATTTAAAAATATTCATCTATTTTGTATTCTCAATCCAATTTCAATTATTATACTATATGTATATTGGAGCTGGCTTTTTAAAAGATAATTATTTAGAGCGAGTCTGTATTTGTAGAACTGAATATTTTCTAATTATTCTTATATAAATAATTAAATTATTTATTTAATATCATGGCTATAATTATTATTATTATTAATTTTCTTATTACTAATCCAAAATTTCTTGTTCTGCCTATCTAGCAGCTTCCTCTTCAGCTAATCTTAAATCCTCAATTTCTTTAAGTCTTCTTTCCTCCTCCATTCTTTTTTTTTCTTCCTTCTCTCTTTTTTTTCTAGCAATTTCTTCGTATTTGTCATCTATCTGTTATTACCTTCTTTTTAATGAATTCAAATGCTCTATAGTAATAGTTTCTTCGATATTATTTAACATATCTTAATAATGTGAATGACTTACTATTAAAGTTGGAAGCATTGTCATTTTCATCCACTAACTAACTTAATAAATTTTCATAAACCCATGGTATATACTCATATAATAAAGCTGTTTCCAGTGGATCACGAAAAACACCCAAATCCTATAATTTTTTTATTGTATTTTGTTTAAGAGGATTAATAAGAGATTTTGATAGATTTCTGCAAACTATTTTTTAATGGCTTTGCTTTTATATTTTTAAAAATGTTTCATATTGCAATTTTCTTCTTGCTTCCTCTTAATCTAATCTCTATTGAACAGCCTCCAATCTTTGCATTTCTGATAATACAGAAGTCTTTTATTTTTCATGTTATTTCTATTAGTGCTTCATTAACTTAATTTCTTCTTCTTCTAAGACTTCCATTCTTGATTGTTCTAATATCTTATTCATTAAGACTTATAAGATCGGTTCTACTTCCTAATCAAAATCAAAGAGATCTCCTTCCCAAATTTAAGTTTCCTTACTATTTTTTATTATTTATACTTTATCAATGCCATTCTTCTTTGGTACAAATAATCTATCAGGTGGTTTATCAATATAGTAGTCTGTTTATGCATCCATCTCTTATTCGGGTGGTTTATCTGTCAATATTTCTAAATATTCATCAGTTTAGATATCAATGTTAACACGATTTTAAAATGGTCTAGGAGTGCTTGGATGTAAATAGGTTGTCTAAGGTTATTAAGTCTATGGTCATATTTTTAATATGTACTGCTTTTTGTTATGGTTTTTTGAATGATTTAAGGGTCATTAATTTCTTATCACCTTAAGTTTATACACTAGCATAGGTATTTCCCCTGACTACCCTTTTGTCAAACATTATATTGCATCCCAACAATGAACTTAATATAAACATCATTTACCAACCTATTTTTTTGATCCTCAGAAGATTATAAAGGTTATTGTCTGTATTTGGGTTTGGGTTTCACAACCTCAGGGGCAGCTGTGAATTCATAATTCTCTCCAGCCAATGCTTAAGCTTATGCCATTATAATTAAATTATATTAATAAACATGTATTATTATATAAAATTAAATAAAGCAACCCTCACAAATCATTCAATTTTTGAATTCTTTGCTGCAACTTGAATTGCTTCAATCATTTAGTTCCAAAATTAATCAACAACTACCTTTCTTGCGAACTGTAAAGTGGGCTCTTATCCAAGAATTCCTTATTTATCAATAACAGTTCTCCCATAGCACAATTTAGATTCGCAATCGACTGCACAATACACAGGCTTTATTACATACATTTCTGGATGTAATGCATAAAACACAGCAACAGCTAAACTTAGGATCAAATATTACGATCATGAATTGGAGGATAATCGAATTCCTAGGCCTTGTATGCTGCCTAATATTCCTAGAGCATTTCCAAACACCAATCAGAAAATTTGGTGTTTATGCTTTTAATTCTTTATTAAAGGGGTTCTAATAACTAACAAGTCTAATATTTTTATAAATTAATGTATAGTACGTAAGTTAAATCCAATGAAATCATAACCAATTTCAATGAATGCTATTTGCATGTATCAATGACAAATTGAGCAGCCTCAGGGTCTGAATAGATGTTGTATTCTGAACTTGGTGTCACATTCCCAAATCCTGATGTACCGCCCATAAATACTATCTCTTAAATCTAAGGAATAATGTCCTCGTGATCCCTGAGTAACTTAGCAATATTAGTCTATGGACCTGTTATGACTATGACAAACTAATTTATTGAATTTTAATACTTCTTGATCCCCTGCAGTCTACTTAATCAAATCGTATAAATCCATGTCTTCTATGGGCTTAAAAGTAGAAATCAATTTATTAGCAGCATACAACCCTAGCATTTATTTGTTATTCAAATTTACCTTAAGTCCCATGCATTTTAGTTGTAGCTCTCGTAGATTTTAAAGAAAATTCTGCTCCTTTATACACAGGTACATCAGTTCTTCCTACTGAACTAAGCAATCGAATTGTATTATTTGTGCAGTTTTCAAGACTATTTTCAATACAAACTCATACCTAGTGTTTCCAAAACAAGTGGAAATTCCAAGTAGATTAGATTTTGGATGAAACAGTGATAAAATGACTGCCATGGCATCATCATTTCCAACATCACAGTCTAACCATATATTGACCTTTTAGTTGTTCATTATAGATTATTAGATAATAAAAATAATAAAATCATCTCTCGTTTTCAACATTAAATTTTGTAATACATTAATAAATTACTTATTTTCTATAACTTACATCTGAATCACTTTCTTTATTGCCTAGACCATTGACATTAATTTTCAAAATCAATTTCTCTCCTAAACGGATCCCTTGCTTTTTTATATTTTCAGATGAAAATACAGACTACCATTGAATAATATATTATGTCCTCTCTTATCATTAAGAATTTTCAAATAAGTGGAACTTATTCTATATTATTGTTTTCTACACTTTTTAAAAAATATTGTGCTCTCAAAGTCGGTTTACTTCTTTAGGGTCAATAATGTGTTTAGGAAGCTTTGAATTAGACTGTTTGGATAATTATAAAAATTTAATCTAAGTGGCAATTATGGCATATAACAAAATTTGAGTTATTATAAATACTTTGGAATCTCAGTTTGAAAAAATGTTACAAATTTCCATATATATTGCATCAAATACGTAATCTGTTTCATTTAATGGATAAAAATAAATGAAAGAGGATCTATTCGATATTTAATTCCTTTGTAAGTTGATTATTGATGATCAAAGAGGGAAAAGATATTTAGACATTTTTAATGAATTTTATTTTTGAACTCCTTTTTAATTAAAAACTTCTAGTACATTCGATCTGAAGATTTTATGTTCAACCTAATTTCACTATTTTTGAGATTATGCAGTTTTTGGTAAGGAGATCCTTCACTAAAAATCTTTATTAAAATAACAGAAAAAAGATGTGAAGATAACATATTTTTCATTAATCATTTCGAGATTCCCTTTGCTAATATTTAGAGATTAGAAAGGCTGGTTTTCTTTGATTTTTTAGACTTGTATTTTTAGGCTTTTCTGCGTATTTGGTAGTTTTCAAAGTTCAAAGAATTTATATAGTTTATCTCATCAATTTGGACAAGATGAAAACTGTCTTGAGATGTCTCTTAAACATAGATATTATCTTCGATTTAGGGTTATACCTCGGCTCTTTCACTTTTTCCAGTTGATCTATAACTAATTATGGATTGTTAAATTTTGAGAGCATTTAACTCACATATATAATAGAAATCCCCCAATTGTTACTTATTCTTTTTCCTTGATCCGACTATCTCCATTGTTTCTTCTAATTCATCGGATAAAGTCATTCTTTTGAATTCAAAACATACTGATTCATCATTTTATTTTTGTTCCTCTAAATTTTGAAAATATTGTTCTTCTTAATCATCGTCTTAAGGGACACTCTATAAGGGTTTTTTTCTTTATTTTATTTTCAAATATGTTCTATTATTATTTCCATCTTCGATTGCGTGAAACATAGATTAATAAATAATAATAAGAATTTAGATTCAAAGAGATCCTTATGAAATAAAATGAATTTCTATTAAAAAATCGATTTGAGAATTAAAACTATTTTGAATAAAAAACTTCTGAAAAAAAAAAAAATTTTTTCCTTTTTAAAAAATATCAATATGATTTAAAATTATACAACTATTTTGATATCAGATTTCGAATAATAAATTATATGGATAAAATTCAAAAATATATATTAAAAAAAAAAACTAGAAAATAAAACTAAATATATAAAGCCCTTAGTAAGCTTTATAAAAACAGAAAGTACATCATAAGGGAAATATATTAAACAGAGAAAAATTATGTGGAAGACTTAAAGATGATTTGTGAATTGATTGTCGATAAATATACATAATAATATGGAATCGAAGAGTCGAAAAAATTGTTTTCAAATATCAAAGAAATCGTTGCAGTTAATGAATGGTTTTTTGATAAGTTGACTGAAAGAATTTAATCAGAAAATCAGAAATACTAAAAGAATTATAAATTATAGATCGAATTGAAGGATCAATTTGGACACGAAAACAGTTAATTGTTCTATTTTCAAAATTAAGAGAATTTATTGTCCAAATTTGAATGCTATTATTTGTATTGCGAAAGATATAGCACTATCAAAAATTTACTTATTAAAATGAAAAATGAAAATGAAAACTTTAAATAATTTCTAATGGAAGCAGAAAAAAACCCATTAATGAAATCCAATCAATTGGATGATTACTTGATTAAGCCAATTCAAAGATTACCAAAGTACATATTACTTCTAAAAGATTTGAAAAAGAACACTCCAACTTAAACCAGCAATTCTTTGTTTAATGGCCTCGATTACATTTAACATCCTGATTATGAGAATATTTGTAAATTATTAAATGTCTTTGAGAAGATCAATGATAAAAATAATGAAAAGATTGGTGAATTTTAAAATCTATAAAAAATGATAGATATACAAAAGCAATATGGAAGTGCTAAGTTAATTATTAATAACAATAAAAGAGTGTTTGTTTTGGAGGAAAATCTTGAATACTATGTGAATGCTTATTAAAAAAAAAACATTTAATTGTTGTGCTTTAGCGATGCTATTTTATTAATTGAATTTGAGTACTCTCTATTTGGTACAAAATAGAAATGTATCGCAATGAGTGAATTTTCATTGGCCTCTGAATTCAATAAAATCAATTCCTAATAAGGACTATTGTTCAAAGTAACAACCAAATAGAAGGTATTCATTTTTATAGCAAATGATACTAAATAATTAAATAAGATAGAGAAACTACTTAAAATTACTATTGCAACATTTATTCAAGAAAAAAAGAATATGCTTGATGAAAGTGGAGGCAATACAGATACTACTTGGGATTAATTATAAATATAAGTAAGAGTTGAAGGAACAGAAGAATATAATTAAGCATCCCTTCAAAATTACATAGTTTACATTATGAAGATCTAATTGAAAGACATAGAATGGAAAATATATTTGAGATACTCACAGATTTCAGCAATATATCAATATATTAAAAAGAGTGATTCAGGCAATAATGTGTTGAAATTATAAAAAAGTAATTGGCTATAAATTCATAATAATAAATACTTAGATTCTCTTAAAATTAATATAGAAGGATTTATTCAAAGTATCTTTCAATGGAAAAATTTTGAGAAATATAAAAAGAAAATTCTAATAAAATTAGGTCTTCCTACAAACTTTAATATTTTACCAAAATTTATGGGAGACCAGAATGAATAAAAATTTACAAGGAATCAATCGTTGATTAATGAAAACCAAGATTCGATTGATATTTTAGCTGAAAAGTTAAATTAACAATTCTTAGAAGAATTAAAGATTTCACATATGTTAAAATCTTATATCATTTAATCAGATGAGAAAACTGTCTCATTTAATATCAAAGTGATTTTACCTAGATGTTTATAAGTAAAGGAAGAGATCATCAATGATCCTAGCAGTAAAGTAGAAAGTTGGATAATTAATAAGATAACAAAGCTGGGTGAAATCATAGTAAAGATTGATAATTTAACCAAAGCAATGGAAATGTGTGAAATTATTGCCAAAGCTATATAACTTTCAGAGTTTTATGATTTTCGATTATTCGTAACTGATTTAAGAGGAAATAGAAGATCATTGGAAAACAATTAAATTGTTTTACAATCAGTGCCAGCAGACAAAAATATATTTCCTAATTAGAGTTTGAAAATCTTCACATTATTTGATGAGCCTTATCGACTTGAATTCTGTAAGTACATATACTTTCCCTAAACTATTGAGTCATATTTATACAAGTAAGATGAAACCAGGTTAAAATTGCTGGTGGAAGAGTTTTTAAAGGAAGTCAAACTTGCTCATTTAACTCCAAAACTATACTCAATGATTTATGCTTTATACATTATAATTTATAAAGAGAGTGAATTTTTTTAAAAGCATAGTAATGTTTTGGATAAGGAAATTATGAGCACACTTATTCTTTCCTATATTCGAAAATCACAAACAGATTAAACTTGGAATGTAATTATTTGTTTTATTAAATTAGACTTTGGTGAAATAGTAGTTGAAATCAATATACCCTGAGATTAGAAATCTTGTTAGATAAAATGAGAAATTGTGTGTTGAATAACAATTGGATTTGAAATAACACTAGATTTTCACAAATATCTAAAATTTGGCTAGGATTTCAATGATTAATTTAGCTTATCAAACACCTATTTGGGGAATCATGACCTTCTATGTTGGGATCAATATCACGGAAGAACCAAATAAGATTTTAAAAACAATTTTATAAAATGAATTGCCTAATCTCTATATAGGTATATCATATAATAAATTCTAACTGTTAAGTCCTGGAAGAAAGAAGGTGCTTTACTCTTCTAACTTAGCTCAAATCACTAATATTACTGTGGAACCAATCTATATATCCATTTAAATAGAAAATTTTCTTAATGATAATGAAAATTTATGTATTATGTTGAAATTCAAAACAATTGAAGGATACAAAATATCAACTTTAATTAAAGAATATCAAAATCTAAATTAATAATACCCTTAATTATCATAAATCATAAAAATTGAGAATTGAGATTCATTAATATGCATATTAATTAATCAAATATTCATTAATAAATTTTTGTGTATCCCAATTTTATTTCAATTTGTTTAATTCTTCTTGATTAATAGCATATTGCGAATTAGAATGTGTCTTGACAAATTGCTAGATTTTAAGTAAATTGTTGATTTAATTTGTAGCTCTTTGAACTCTTGGTTGCATCATTAACTCAGATTTTTAAATCACAGGATCTGATCCTTTTCGTTTTCCTCTCTTTTCCGGTAATAATTATTCACTAACATCGGAGGTAGTCGATTGATTTTCTATTTTCGAATAATAAGTTGAGGATGTATCTGCAGTGTACCATCTAATATATTTATTTTGTTTTTAAGGGAGAATTCCTATAGCCTCACTTAGTATTTCATCATTTTCATTGGTTATATCATCACTATCATATTATTATTCAGATTTAGTAGCTTAGAATTCTTCTTGGTATCTTAAGAATCTGTCTCTATCAACTTGGGTGTTGAAAACATAGACTTCGGCTTTTAGATTTAATTATTTGCATATAAGATAGTGGTTACCAGGTTTGCAATCAAAGATGTGTTATTCACCTAATTTCAATTTTTTACTTTCTTCTTATTGGAATGTAAATGATAATCCATTTTCCTATTCATTCCTAAGAACCAATTTTTCTTGTTTCAAAAGATATAATCTATTTGGCATCAATTCATCATTACAAATGGTAATCATTAATTAAATATTATAAAATTATAAACATATATATATATTTTACTAAGCATCCTAATATTTATGATGTCACTAAATTTGTTCTTTGCCTGATAATTTGCAAAAACAAAAATAACGAATTAAAAATGAAACTCATAATATAAATTTTGATAATTCAATATAGAAAAATAAATTATCTATAAATTACAAACTATTTGGGATGCTGAAATATCCAAGGTGATATAAAAATGAGCAAGTAAAAATAATGTCAATTATGAATATTTTTATAAGATCACTTTTTCTGTTTATTCTGAGATTGTCTAATCAAACTTTAATTTGATCCCAACAAGGCACTTAGTCCTTTTTTGACCTTTTGCTATGATTGTGCAGAGTCTTAATTGACTGAAAGTTTGTCCTAGGCAGCATTCAATAATTTGTAATATTATTAATAGAGTTGTTGAGATATCACTTTGGGCTCTGTTTGAGTATAAGAGACATTCTTCTAAATTGCGATCGATGATGTATTAGGAAAAGAGGGTGCATAAGTTTTATTAGGTTGTTATTGAGCCTGTATGCATTGTTTGGTTGGTTTGGAGCTTTTTCTAGGATTGATGAGTCCGGTTAAGGCAGATTACACAAATTTTGACTGTTTCGAATTTGATCTCCCTGAATTCCTTTATTTAAGTGATTCTTATTTGGCAGAATCGTAACACTTAGCTGAATCTTATTGTTTGCCAGAATCCAATAATTTAGCACTGTCTTACTATTACTATTGTGATTTGACTTCTTGAGTTTATGGTCTTTCCCTAATTTGGTTGGAATCAGAAACAGGTGGAGGGGAATGCAATTAAGAATTCAAATCTTCCTAATTTCTTATACTGTATCGTTTCCGAGTGGCAATTTCTTCATATAGTTTGTCTCTATATTCATTTGCTGAAAACTTCTAATTGTCATCTATGGCTAAAGTGATTATTTTTTCAGATGATGGTTCATCAACTTCATTGTGAAACCTAGTTGTATTATGGGGTGTAATACTTTGAAAAATAGGGATGAGCCAAAGCTTTTTCAGCTGTAAGTCGTTTATTTGGATTGAATTTCAATAATCGATATATCAAATCCAAGGCATCGTCACTTGCAGTTGGGAACAACTGATGAATGGGTTTCACTTATGGTGGATTGATTGCCTCTAACATAGTCGAGGCCAAGGGACTCTGTATTGCCTCAACATCTTCAGTCGATGGTTTGCCTGTCAATTGTAATATTCGATCTAACTAATTTAATGTTGAATTCCCAGGAAATATTGGCTTTCCTGTTAGCAGTTCCCCTTTTATAGTATTAATATTAATGATACCTAGAATGCAACCCACACTCCACATATCCACTCCTTTTGTGTAGGTATGGGATCCCAATAATATCTCAGGAGCTCTGTACCATCTGGTTGCTACATATTCAGTCAATATTGGGGAAGGGGCATCTTAGCGACATGCTACGGATCTTACTAAACCAAAATCAGCAACTTTAACAGAACAATCACTATTTAACAGAATATTTGAAGGTTTCAAATCTCTATGCAATAATTCTGCTGAGTGCATATACTTGATGCTCTTCAGTATTTGATATATAATGTATTATTTATGAACTTCTTCCAATATACCTGCTCGAATTACAGTATGTAAATCTGTTTCCATATGTTCAAAAACTAAATATATATCTTTATTGTTTTCTGCCCTATGAACATTATACAGTTTGATAATATTTTGATGATCCAATTCGTAAAGGAACATAATCTCCCTAAATGTTCGTTGAGCATCTGTCGCATTTTAAAATGCATCAAATATTTTTTTCAATGCAACACATGTATTCTTAAATCTTTTGTCTATAGCCTTCCATACCTTAACTTATACAATATTTTTATTACAACTCCATAAGCACCCTTTCCTATCTTTCTAACTATCTCATATCTTTTCAATATATGAGGTTCGATTTCGTCTGACATTATATAATTATTAAAATATATATATTCATAATCACAGTGATTACTTCAAATTCCAATGCAATTCCTATCTCCAACCATCCTTACTACTCTTATTTCCCCTCTTTCAATTACAAATTTCCATATTCCCTAAACTTGTTGTCATTATTTTGAAATTCAAAAATCTCCTTCAATTTCTTAATTATTTTCAAATAAATGTTATTTTCTAGTTTAATAACCAAATTTTTTTCATTTCCTTTTCCTTACAATTATGTAAATTATTTAAAAACCTTAATAATTAAATAATCTTTTTATATTCTTTGATAACTTATTAGAAATACGTGCACTATCTCTAACTCAATTTGATTTCCTATTATTCGCATCTCAACTTAGTTTATTTTGATCATTCTAATAATGATTTTTTTTATACTATTTATTAAAAACGTATAAGAAATTAACCTTGAAAATATATTTAACATCAATATTGGAGTATTTAGGGATTAGATTGACAAATATGTATGTAACCATCATTTTTATTATCATTAACTAATCTATCATTATTTTTTATCGTCATCATTTTTTTATCATTATTTTATAATAATCAATTAAGATTATAGATATTATTCATATTATTTATAAGAAAAAATGTAGATCTTAATTGTCTACAAGTATAAATAAAGTTGGAATGAATTTTTAATCAAGAATTGATCAACTGTTTCTGCTGTAATACGTCATTGACTAAAATATATAAACAGACCAAATTATGAATAATTAATATTAAATATTAATTTTAATAAAATGGGATGTACTAGTTCTAATTAAACAACTGATCAAGTTATTTAATAAGTTTCCAAATCTCAAATAAGAGAAAACGTAAAACTTAGAATAGGAGTCAACTTTGATGTATAAAATTCTGAGGCTAGATTGTATTCGATTAAAAAAAATCCAATTGTGTAAAGAAGAATTCTAAAATCAATAAAACCAAAAGTTTCGTTATCAAAATAACAAACAGATGAAACATATGGATCATTTTATTGAAACTCACTTTTTCCTAAACCCCCAAAATGATATATAAATCTATATACTTTAATTAAAGTCTTAATTGATTAAATCACATAGTCTAAAACAACTTCCAATACAATTCAAAAGTGGTCACACCTTATCAAATCATGATGAAGATATTCTAGATAAGGAATTTACAATTATGATGAAAAGACTAATTATCCTTATTCGTTTTAATAAAACAAACTTGTTTAACATATAATATTGAAATGAATTCTTAAGCGTTATAAGGATTCAATGAATGAAAAATGAGTTCAGTTTGCGACAAATTTACATTCAGCAAAATATAGAGCCAGGTTCGAGAACCTAAAATAGTTTTATGAAGAGATAAAAAAGACATCTAAAATGCTTGATAATATTTTTCATTGCTTATTTTATGTATAAAATTAAGAAGAATTACATATCAAATATAAATTCAACATTCCAGAACTCAAAAGGATATTTACCAGCTAAGTATTATAAATTTGAAAATTTTTAATCATAAAACCTATATAAATAGCAATTATATTGGATGTAATAAAAGTGGCATTCTTTTTGATAAGGATAGTTAAATTATCATCAGCACCATAGTCAATAGATATAAGAAGTGGACCTGAGGAAGAAGAAATGATGAATGATAACATAGGTGTGAATACCATAATTTTCAGTAATTTTGATAATTTCACAGGCCATATAAATAATAATAATAATCAATAAGTATTTATAATCAAATAAAATTTATATAAGAAGATACATCTAATTTAGGATATATAATAGATCAAAACTAAAAACCGAAGAGTGTTAAGATGGGTAAGGAATAAGATGACACATTTAAGCAATTGGGAATCGATTCCTGATAAGGTTCTTAAATTTGAAATATTATATATAATTTTAAATATTTTCCATATATTTATTATGAAAGAACTAAAGGGTTAGATTAGGTTGGTTTTGATTAGATATTTAATGAAATCAGCAGTGGCTTCACCGAAGTGAGCAAGATTGAGTATTAAATAAAATAGTTTAATTCATTAATATTAACAATTTTTATTGTGATAAATATAAATATATCATCATGGGGAATATTTGTAAACCTTAGGTTTAGTTACCAGAAGAAAATGAGGTAAATTTAAATAAAAAAACTGAAATTGAGGAATAAAGAAAAAATGCAATTCATAAATAAGATAATGTAAATGACTAAAAATAAGACTCTATAACTGACGATCAAAAGCAATAGTAGGACAATCAGGATGGATAAAAGTTGAGGAGTGAAAATAATCAAGAAGTACTTTATAAAAATAGTTCTTTAGTTAAAAAGAAGGGAAAACAAAAAGATGGCATAAATAGCAGCTGTTATTGATTAGGAAGTAATATATGAAAATATCTAAAAACAAGATAAAGTGAAAAGTCCTTTTGATTATTAACTATTATTGAATGCATTTTCTAATAGTTTCATATTTGCTCAGTTGTAAGGCGACGACAAGTATCAAAAATTGAATATTATTTTGAGTAAAGGTTATTGATAAAATGTTCTATTGTACAGTGAAAGATTAGGAGATGGTATTTAAATAAGGAGATAAGGGAAGTTCATATTTTTTGATTGAAAGAGGTTAATGCTAAATAATAATAAATAATGATGTAAAGAAAACCTTAAAATCTGGAGAAGCATTTGGGGAATTAGCCTTATTGTACAATGCTCCAAGATCTGCTTCAGTGAAAGCCATTGGAGGTACTGAATATCGTAATATTTAGACTGTGCCTTCTGGGCCATAGATAGAAATACAGTTAGAAAAGTGATAGAGGAAATCTCGTTGAAGGATTACGAATAGAATAAGGAGTTTATACAGAAAGTTCAATTTTTTGGTAATTAAATTAAATAATGAAATAGAGTCACTTACTGATGATTAAAGAACTGCAATTACATCTGTTCTGATAACTCTTAACTTTAAAGCAGGAGAGATAATTGTGAATGAAGGTGATTAAGCCGATTCGTTTTTTATAATCAAAAAAGGAGAAATAGAAATATTTAAAGGAGGCAAATAGTTGAGGATCATGTAACAGGGAGACTCTTTAGGTGAATAAGCATTGCAAAGTAACTCTGTTAGAGGGGCAACAGCCAAAGCACATAAAGATGTCATACTATTGGCATTGTCAAGAGATGATTTGACTAGAATATTGGGAGATAAAATATAGACTATTATGTTCTTGAATTTATAAAGATGGGCATTTGAAAGGCATCCTATATTGAAATAACTTACTAAACTTTAAGTAGAAAGGATAGTAAGTAGTATGGAATAAAAATAATTTAAATAAGGAGAAGTAATATTGGAGAAAGGGTAATAATGTACTCATTTGATCGTTGTTCTAACTGCTAATATGTAATATGGATAGCAATCGATTGAGAAAGGGTAAATGTTTGGTGATAAGTTTTTGGAATAATAAAATTAAAATTTAACTGATTCTTTGATAATGAAATCAGACGGATTGATAAGTCAGATATAAATTAAAGTCTTTTTTGAAATTATTGGTGGTACTTTAGAACAAATCTTTTTAAAAAATGAGAAAGCACATGATAGATTCATCAAAAAAGAAGAAGGATAAAAGAAAGATTAATATGATCATTTTAAATTAGATGAATTAATCTCAATAAAAAAATTAGGTCAAGGTTAATTTGGTAATGTCTATCTAGTTCATAATAAAACCGATAAGAAAAATTATGCTCTCAAATGCATATCAAAATTTTAAATAATTGAATAAAATCTGGAAAAGCATTTGGCCCAGGAAAAATAAACTTTGCAAACTGCCAACTTCCCACTTATTATGCATTTCGTTAAAAGCTTTTAAGATAAAAACTACATCTACTTTCTAGAGGAATACATCAAAGGAATGGAATTATTCGATGTTATTAGAGAAATTGGACTGTTAAATACTTACGATTCTCAATTTTATATTGGATCACTAATTTTATGTATGGAATATCTCCATCTCAATAATATCATTTATAGAGATATTAAACCAGAAAATATTATGGTTGATGATAAAGTAAATAGTAAATTTATTTTAAGGGGTTTATGAAGTTAATCGATCTGGGAACTGCTAAAAATCTTAAAAACAAGAATGGTAGAACATATACTATAATTGGAACCCCTCATTATATGGCTCCAGAAATAATATCTGGAAAAGGATACACTTATTCCGTTGATCTTTGGTCTATAGGGATATGCTTGTATGAATTTATGTGTGGTAATGTTCCCTATGCAGAAGATGCAGAAGATCCGTAAATCTTAATTTAAATTATTTAGATATGATATTTACGAGGAAATCTAAAAGAAAGCTTTGAGCTTCCCTTCTGTTCTCAAAGATAGAAAGGCAAAGAAGCTGATCGAATAACTTTTAAGCAAAACTCCTGAGTTGAGATTAGGATCATCATATGCAAGCTTAAAAAACAATTAATTCTTTGAACACTTTGATTACGATTCGTTAATGAATAGAGATTTAAAGCCTCCATACCTTCCGCCTAAGAGCAAATTATAAAGTGATAAGGAAATCTAAAAAGCAATCTAGGCTGGAAAACTAATTACTGAAGAAATTAAGGTATCACCAATCTTTATTTTTAGAGTGATCCAACAACAACTAATAACATATATAAACCAGAAAAAGCCAGAGATCCTAATTGGGATAAGGATTATTGAATTAAAATTTATTTCTTATGCTATGACCACAAAATTTATAAATCTTTTAATAATTCAAAAAGAATAGAATTGGAAATCTAAGTAATTTAGTAAAATATTATTATATTTATTATCCAAAGAGCAGTTTTTTAATTTCAATTGATTTTAAACCCTAGCGTGAATACTTAATTTTTATCCACTCAGTTTCTAAGTTTGACTTTAACTAATTCTGTTCTTATTTTAATGCATTTCGATCTGAAAAATTAAAAATCCAAAAATATTTACTTCAACTCTTAGATAATAGACATTATTTTAAAATAGATCGATTATTTTCCCCGATATCCATTAATCCTGTCTAATTGATTCATCACAGAGAATTCTGCGTAAAAGATTGTTATTTTAATCTTAGATTTCTTATTTTTTTTTACCTTTTAAAATTTCTATCCCAGTAATATATTTTCTTTATATAAATTCTTAAATATGCAGTTATTATTTAGAGTGAGCATTTTAAAGTGCAGTTTCGTAATTTAATTCATTAACCAATAATTCTAAGCCTATTTAGTAACTCCATGTTTAATTGCATAATCAATAATAATATTGTAAATTCTATTCGATACTTGAGAATTCTAGTATATATTCTCTTCCCAACATGCTAGATATATGATTAAAAAACATCAAACATATTTTTCAATCAATTTTCTTTTATTTTAATCATCAATCTTGTTCATGTCTTTATAACTATAAAATAGTTATTTTATCTCTAAGACTTTAACTTCTTTTTTCTTTACTTTAAAACCATTAATTTGATATGTAGTTCCAAGAATGATTAAAATGTCTAAATATATGAAGTCATCAATTCTGCGTATTATAAAATATTTGAATATTGATAGTTCTATTTCATTCATGCACATAAATCACGATCTCATATCTCTCCACAATATTATTCAGGTATTTAAGAAGAATATAAAGTTCAAAAATTATGCATAAAGTAATTAATTTATTTAGTATGATTAAAATAACAAGTCCACTGTTAAATTATAGATTCAAAATGCTAAGAGTTTAATGTAAACCTTATGATAATGTTGAACTAATCAGAGATCAAATAATGGATATTATGAATGAATATCTTTAAGAGAGTGATGGGTAAGAGTGCTTATTTATTCAACAAGAAAACTTATCAATGTTAAGGTAATTCCAAATAATTAGATTGCTTTATATTTTGTAACAGGAACAGAAATGGACGATACAAATTGGGAATAATAAATTAGTAGAGGACCATTATAAAAATTTACTATTTTATCAAATTCCATAGAAATTAGGCCTTCACGATTTTGAATTGATTTATAAAATTGATAATTTCTATATTTATTTTTAATTATACACAATGGGAAATAACTAGTCATAACATAAAAATCATCCCAAGCCCAAAAGCAAGAAGAAGGAACAATTTAAGAAATTATTTGTAATAAAGAAGGACATGTAAGCATCTAAATCATATATTTAGACTCTTTTCCAAGTTATCATAAAAAACTTTATCGCTGATTACATGCTTTTTAAATGTTTAAGAGTTTAACAATCTCCTTTAAGTGTCGAAGACCACTTATTAAATATTTAGTTAAACCTCTGGTTGCTTTTAAATAGAGTGTTAAAGACTATTAAATGTTAAATGTGAGTTAATATAATCCAAAAATTGGAAATTAATATTATAAAGTGTGATGAGTATTCCAATAAGAACATTGCCTTATGGAGAAGCAATTAAAAGTGTAAGATATTAGATAAAATAATTCCCTATGTTTATAGAATAGAAAATAAATTATAGTGGATTTCAGAAAGCCATTCTATATTATGAAAATTAACTTAATGAATAAAAATAAATACTTAAGACTGCCGATTACATTGAAGCACTTCACTTCGCATCTAATAACATCGATACACTATTAAGAGTAAGGTAGGGCTTTGAAATCCATACATAATTGCCAGAACTATTAATGTTAATATATAATTTGCATGACTATGTAAAAATATTTTGTCAGTATCTGGAAATAAGATTTTCTAAATGTAACTTAGAATAGTTTGTTCAAATTTGGCAGCATTACTAAGGATGGATAAGTTCAGTAGAAAATTAGACTTTTGATCTAATTTTTCTATTTAATAAAATAATTGATGAGAGCTTGCCTCAATACAAGTTACCAAAATATACAATTAGACATTTCATGGTATGTGAATGGATGAAGAAGGCTGATAAAGGAGAACTCATAGTTAAGTTAAGGGAAGATTTTAGATTATAAATGATAGAATCTAGAAATAAGAACAATAAGTCTTAGTTATTGAGATAATATATTTAATATCTTGTTGATATTAGCACTAATCAAAATAATATTCAAAAGTATGGCTATTATAACTTCTAATATTGCTAAGAACTTAACTAATTGATTAATTTAACTATAGACTTAACCCCTAAATTAAATATTGAGTACCAATAGGATGAGGAATTATTAACTTATATATTTGGATAGTATGTATATGATTACTATGTATTTGAATTATCATCAGCATTTAGAGTGGACCAGCTTAGATGTGAAATTAAACAATATCATTAAGAAAGCTAATAGATGTCAAAGGTTTTAGTTAAAAATTTTGAGGATTAAAATGTTTAGAATAACTTATTTGGGAATGAAGTATAGAACTTCAAATACCATTTATAGTCATAATATAATGTACAATTGAAAATAAAATCTATATTTAAATAAGTAACTGTTATGGATGATGATATTAATAATTCGTCTGAGAATATTGTAGTAGAAAGCTTAGGAATGTCAGCAATTTCATTAACATCTACAAACTGCAGCTCTATATTTTCAAGCGTAAAAAATAATGATTAATTATATCATTATATCAGATCCTATCAAAAAGACTTGTTTAATAAAATTTAAAAGTTTTGTTGCAAATAACAAGATGTGTATCAGTATTCATTAGAATAAGAACCGACTAATGAAGTTATATATGATGTTCCTGAATTGGCTGAATATGATTATATTTCACTATAAAATCTGATGGATTTATTTTACAATAGAATTCAAAGATCAAATGCTATTTATTAATTAGAAAGAAGATAAACTATTTTGACATCTAACTACCAGAATAATCAATAATAAATCTAAACTTAATCACTTAATCAAGCTGAATAACTATTAAGATGCCTTATAAAATGAATTTTAATTATTGTTTATTGTATTTTTGTAACTTGGTAATTTCAATGACTAAACTAGTATCTGAAAATATTTTTTTTTCTAATAAATTAAATTAAAATTGATAATCAAAGATAAAATGTTTGAATTTAAAACACTATTCTCTTCAAATCATAGTGTTTTATTTCATGATGCATTAATTTTAATTCTATTTTGATCTTATATATTATAGAATTGGTAATATAATATTAATATAACATAGATAATCATTACTTATACTGTCACACTATTTTGTTAAGTGCATTTTTCATATTTTTGAAATTTGATAATACTTAATTTAATTTGAATTCAACTTAATCTTTCTCCATTTTAATTTATTTGACTGCTTAAAACAAAGTGTGAGTTTTTTGCTCCTTTTCTTTATTTAAATCTTCCAACTCTTTTTCTTTTTTTTACAGAAATGATATTTATGATTTTTAATCAAAATTTAATTTATTTAGAGTGAAGATTTATTCCTCAGCCTTAATGACTCTCTCTTCAAATCTGTTTGCTCTATCCTGAATATAGTATTTCATTTCTTTTTAAGAATCTAATTCAACCTTCTAATCATCTATGATGGATCTTAATTAATAAATTTATTTATTTTATTAGAGCAGGAGTTTTGAGAAGTAATTACAAACTTATTATAATTATTAAGATTCCAAGTGCAAATAATTCCCATGGGCTACAAATTTAGAGAAAGTCATTTGTAAAGCTTGCATAAAATCTTATATTGTAAATTTTGGTTGATATGTAGATGTTGGAATACACTTTCTACCAGTTTAGAACAATTGTTGATTAATTTATGAACTCTTTTTAACAAGATCAACCATATCTCTTCTTGTTTATATAATCTGAGCTTTAAGAAATGGCACTGATAGGGATTCTAGAATTACTTAATCAATGTCCTTATATTCTAATTGAAGTTGGAGCGACAAATCACTTAAGGATTTAGTTTATTTGTTTTGTTGAGCTTAGGAGGAGCTAATATTAATATTTTTGCTTGAAGATTATGTATTATTTGATTATGTTTAGGATTTATTTTTAGTGGGTAGGGTATTTTATTATTAAGGTGACGCCTGTTATTTTAATTATTATTATTCATCAGTTTCTCCTAAGCCTAACAAATCTTCATTCTGATAAACAGAATCATTTTGTGAGATTTATTATGACTATTAAATTTATTATTGATTTTAGAATTTGCCTTCAATCAATTCAAAGGCATCATGAAATATTTCATTCATGTATTATCCAACATTGAATTTGAAAACTAAAAATTTAGCAATTCCAATTTAAATAACTTCTTCAGGGACTTAAAATACCATATCATTAAAATAACTAAATTAAATGGTTCAATTACTTCGACTCCTTCTTTAAATATATAACTTCTTTGTTTAAAACTTAGGTTCTATAGTTAACAATATAATTTAATAAGGATCGATTATTTTAAATGATGAAATACATTTGTTTACTTGTCAACATTAGGGCAAATATATCTTTGGGTTCTAAAAATTGTAAGATGGTTGATTTGAATTTCTAAGTCAAAAGCGTATAAATGTTACTATCTTAATATTGTTGGTTCAAGATATTGTAAGCACCTTTGATAAATAATGCACCTGCTCTTATTTCTTTCATTTATTCTAACTCTAAGGATGTCATAAGGTTGTTCTTTTCGGCCTTTGCAAGTTTACTTTCTAATTCATTAACTCTTTATTAGAACTGATGATTAGATTTCAGCAGTAGGTCATTTTGCGATAGATATTTGTTATTGGTTTCTTCCAATTCCTTATTTCTAAGCTTTAATTGTTCACATTCCCTGACTAAATCAACTTGGCGTTACTCATAATTATTTTTGATCTATGAATATGGTGTGATCATATTACTTCTTCCATTTATTGCATGTAAGTGTCTTCAATATTTTTGATAATTTATTCTTTTGACAAAATAGCTTTGATCTAATTCTGCAATTACAACTTGAGACTATCGATTTCGTTTTATTGTGTCTAATAATCATTGATGATTTCTCTCAGACCTTTCACATTATCCTTGACTGATTAAACTTTTTCAGCTCTCTCTTTATCTATACTAATACGGAATAAGAATTAATTCAATATACATCTGTCTGGTTTGCTTGTTGTATAGTTTGTCTACATCTTTTTAGAGGGAGGAGTCCATAAAGATCATAAATTTGTATTGGGTTGGTTAGAGAATTATCATGGGTTGTACAGACTCATCTTGTTTAATTTATTATTTCATTGTTATATATTTAATTTAATTAACGAATGAAGTATTTCCAGAATGGATTGAACCAAATTTGTCAATAAATTATTCGACCCGCAAGAGCCGAATACACCTTATATGATTTGTGTAAGTTTACTTAAGTTTATGAACAGCTTCCTTTTAGATTCAAGAGGAAACCCAATATCTGAGGGAAGATTTTGATATCATTAATCCTCGATAAGAAGTGATCAAAGTTAGTTAATACGTAGGCTAATAAAAAAGTGATGTTTGCATCATTTATCTGCATACAGCCAATGGTTCTAGAATGGAAGTGAGCAAATATGTGTCTATGATTATTAAAAATGGGTTTGGTTTAATCTCATTTGATTTCACTGGATCTGGAATGTCTGATGGAGAGATCGTGACCTATGGACACAGAGAAGTTGAGGACTTGTAAACTATAATTACTCACTTCCAGTCATCCTATAAACAAATAATTCTATGGGGGAGATCTATGGGCTCTGCGGTTGCTATTCAGTACATGCAAAAATTCAATAACCTAATTATCAAAGGAATGATTTTGGACAGTCCCTTCGTTTGTTTACTAGATGTAAATTTATACCCTCTAATCGAATTAGGTGATCTTGCAAATGGCATCCAGCAGGACTAAAATTCCCAATTTCATTTTGAAGAGTCTATCAACATTTGTATCGAATGAACTCAAAAAATAAGCTGGATTTGATTTAGATGAAATTAATTGCATAAAAAAGATTTCGTTAATCAAATGTCCAGCTATTTTTGTGACTTCCAAATAGGATGCTATTGTTCCACCTGAATAAACTGAAAAACTATTTAAGGCTTACACTGGTATCAAAAAAATTTAATACATAAATCAATAACACAATGGCATCAGGGACCATTCTTTTATTGAAACTCTAATTCAGTGGTTCAAGAAGAGAACTCCTATATTTGAGAGATTGGGAGTGGGCACTCAGATTAAGTAAAGAATAATGCATAAATCAAAAAATACCTTAGGATCTATTAAGTAGGTTTCATTGGATCTCTACAAAGAAAGATCTTCAACTCTAGAACGTTTTAATATAATGTTTATTTTAGATTAAAGAAGTCTCAACGATTCAATATCTCCCAGGTAGAAGATCATTGATCAAAAGAAATAAACTGCAGAGGAGAAGTATAACCAAATGCTAGAAACCTAAAGGTCTCTTTATGTAGATAGATCTGCCTCTGCACAAAGAATTTAGATCAGCAACTCTATTGATTATTCGATGTCTCCAATGCCTTTAGCACCTCTGAGTAATAAAATTGTCACTTCCTCGTAACACAATTACTTTTCTCATTCCAAACCTATTACTTTCACTAAGGTCCCTTATAAGACAAAAGATGGCACACATTTTTGATTTAATTTGTATGATAAAATTATTTTTTAAAATTAATTTAGTCTAATCAATTTAATTAATTTGGGTTTAAGATTTAATTGGTTAGGATATTTCATTTTTCTTAAATTTGGTATATAAACAGTCAAATACTTAAGTATCGCATTTAAGTTTGAATCTAAATATCAATTAAATTAAATTAAAATATAAAAATTAAAATGGGATAGGCATGCTAAAAATGCAAAGCTTTCTCAGGCAAGGAAGAGTTTGATATAAAGAACATGAATGAAGAATTGGGAGACGAGAGTCCTGATGTAGAGCAATCCTTTTTGGACGAGGAGGATGAAGTTAGAAAACATAGTATTTACGATAATTTATAGGAAAGACAGGCCACCTTCTTTAGATAATTTTAATAAAAGGGGAATGTTTAGAAAGGAAGATACATATGATTAAAATGATGGAAAACTGTCTGCCACAATAGAAAATAAAGAAATCTCTTTAACTGAAGAACTCAGGGGAGAGGAAATGATTTTAGTTGATGGATCAAAATATTAGGGTAATGTCGTTGATGGAAAAGCAAACGGAAAAGGAAAATTATGGTTAAATAATGGAGATATTTATGAAGGAGACATAGTGGACAATATCATGCAAGGAAATGGTGTCTATTATTTTCATAGGGGGCCAATTTACAGTGGATAATTTATATAAGGGAAAGCTAATGGGATAGGCAAGGAGATGTGGCCAGACGGGTCAGTTTATGAGGGACAATTTAAGAATGGTAAGAAGCATGGTTAAGGGGTATATAAGTGGAGTTAAGGCTGTTCGTATGAGGGAGAGTGGTTTGAGAATATGATCCATGGTCAGGGAAGATATGAATGGTCAGATGGTAGGGTAATTTTATTAATGAATCTATAGTGTTATAATGGAAGCTGGAATAAGAATCAAATGAATGGAAGAGGTAAATATTAATGGAAGGAGGGAAAGTATTATGATGGAGAATATGAATTTGATAAAAAATGTGGTTTTGGAATTTTTGTATGGCCGGATGGCAAATAATATTAGGGATACTGGTTCGATGGTAAACAACATGGAAAAGGAATAATGATCAATAAAGAGGGAAAGAAGAAGTTAGGGGATTGGGCTGATGGGAAGTTAATTAGTTGCAATGAAGAAACTAATGTAGAAATCATTCCAGAAGGTTGGATTGATAAGATTTGATTTTTATTTTATTTTATGCAATTACTTAGTTTTAAGGGATCAAATTTTAAATTACCATTTTATTTTTAAAATTATATGGAATTTTGGGCTGGATTTCAAGAAAACTTTTACTATTATTAATAATAAATATTATAAATAAATGGCTAATGCTCACATACCTGTCGAATTCAATAAAGATGATGATGAATTGAAATGTCATCCTTCCCAAAGTGGTTCCACTGCTACTCCAACCCTCTTTGAGAATTAGAATAACTCTAAAGTGTTCTGTGCATAATTTTTTGAAGACCAACTGCATCAAGATGGTACTTTCAATTTTATTTATTTAAGATGATGAGTTCGATGAACTCAATCAGTAATTAAACTAAGTGTTACTTAATGATTAATTCAAGCCCTCACTTACCTAGGCTTTTACAGCTGACATGTAGATTTAATTTTTAAAACGATTAGGTCATCATATCTTAGTCATGAGAAGCTGACCAAAAATTCGAGAAAGATGTAATTAGAATATTAGAATGCCACTTTGAGGGAGAAAGAATTTGTATTTAACACTTATATTAAAAATGATATTGAAAACTTTAGTCTAGATAAGTACAAACATTACATCCTTGAAAAAATCATTGAAGTTGGTATATTTGGTATGTTTATGGTTTAGGTCCCCCATCCCACAAAAATCTTATATTAGATCGAATCTATAATCAAATACATAAACTCATCAAAGATCTCTATGCATGCAAGGTTATGCAGAAGGGTTTGGAAATCATGATATGCAATCCCAAAGACTCCCAAGAATAACTGGAGAACTATCTTTTCTTTATACATTAGGACAACGCATAAATGAAGAAAATCTACGTTGACAAAATTGCTAATCAAATTATCTAAAAGAGTTTGGAAATCTTGGAAGGAAACAATCTATTGAAACTACTCTAAATTCTATCGAAATATGTAAAAGAAATAGTATTCTTAGATTCTCAATAATAACAAAGAAAAGTTCGAATTATCAACAGATCAATATGGATGTCTTATTGTCAATAAGATAATTGACATCTACCCAAAATAGTTTGATGTCTAAACCAAAACCATTTGTAACAATATTATAGTTAGAGCTATCGAAAATTGTTCTTGTCTGACAAGAAGATAGTATGCTAACTATATTATTTAATAAATATTGGAGAAGGGACAAGAAGTCCATAAAAGATTGCTAATGGATCAATATCTCATTAAAGACTTCATCTCAATGTCTATGGATAAATATGGTAGTAATGTAGCAGAAAAAGCTATCATCTATGCTGGACCACAATGGAGATTGAAATTATGGGAAGATGAAGTCTCTATTTCTGAAAGGTAGATATCATCATGATATATCATTCTAGTTCATTTAAGAAATTGATTAATGATCAATTTGCCAACTATCCCGTATAGAGACTATTCGAATATTTGGAACAATAGTAAAGAAACGAATTTATTGCTTTGCTGAATAAATTACATGAGAACAATCAACTCAATAATCATGGATAAATTGTTATGAAGTTTGCTTAAACCAATTATTCTGTTAAAAGATACACCCAAAAGATTGTATAGGCAGAGTTAAACAAATAAAGCAAGAATTAGGATAAAAATAATACCAAAAATAAGCAGTAGAAAAATCAGAAGTAACAAATAAATCAATAAATTCCTCAATACTAATAGTAATAATAGTAGCAACAATATCAACAATATCAATAATATCAATAATTGAATCAACAATAGATGCAATAGATGCTCTTGAATTAATAACAATAATTTAAATCATTTGATCAATAATCATATCAAGCTGCTGTTATGCAACAAATGCTATTCTTCTAACAACAATAATAACATTTATTAGCTTAAATGCCATAATTTTATAATTAGGATGCAAATTATATGCCCTATCCAATTATGTCATAAGAATAATAAATGATGATGTTAAGATGGATTCAACAGTAGCAACAACTTTGCAATTCAAATATTAAATTCCAAAATGAATAATAAAAATGACAATCATGTTAATGATAAATATATATATTATATTTATAATCATAATTTATTCTGTAAATGGAAGACTAAATACTTTATCTAAATAAACAAATAAGTAGTGAAATTATGATTGAACATCCAATATTTTGCAGGTAGTTAATGAAATCAGATGTAAAATCCTAGGAAAAACATATTATGCAAATCTAAAAAATAAGATTAAATTTAAAATGAAAGTATTTGTTAAAGCAATAGTTCTCTGAGATGGAATTAAAATGGTTTAGTTTATTTCAAATCTAAATAATAAATTTAATGATTTTGATATCCTGAGATATTCGAATAATAAAATAGATCCAAAAAATTTTATTAATGTTTTCAATTATTTTGGAATAAACATCTTAAGTTACTATCAGAATAAGTCTTAAAAATTCATCTGGGTGTATTGGGTTATTTATATATAATACATCTTAAGATTTATATGTGGCTAATCTTTTTGTAATTATAATTTTAAGAATACTATAGTGCTTCCTTCCATTCATTTACTTACCTTTGCATTCAGTTTTCATTAATATATATAATCAAGATGAGCCTGCAATTATTGCACTTGTTATTGTTATTTTTTTAAATTTAAATGACACAAGACATTTCAAAAGAAGTACTTGCTCTCTCCATCCATGTCGCTGCAGCTGCTTCCTAAATCACCATCTAAACTCAATAGAGAATGAATTTAGTTACAAATAGTGTTATAGAGAGCGTAGACTAAACTTTGAAGATCATCAATTCCTTTTTTTTGCAATCTTAAAAACACTCTCATTTGGATGCAGTTATAGAGGAATTTGATGAGGATTGTGGTAAAGATTCAAAAACGAAAGAATTCTATAAGAATGAATAACAAAATCCAATAGAAAATGAACGATTGGATTAAATTAGAATTGAAAATCTGATGTCATAAGAAAATTGTAATCCAAACTTATCAGTCAAATCAACTAATTCAAGTTGCTAATGCGTTTATAAATCAAAAAATAATAGTTAGATAATAGAGGAGTATCCACAATATAAAAATCATAGAAATGACACTCCAATCTAATAGAAGAAATAATCACTTCTGTCTTAATAGTTATCTTAAATAAAGGTTGATAAAGAAAAAGAAGCATAAGAATAAAAGGAATTAATGCTCCTTATTGACTAAGTTGATCCAGGGGAGCTAATTCAATAATTGAAATCGATTGAGATGATTGATCAATATCAAGAGGAGAATTCAAATCATTTGGATACCTTTGCAAACTTTGAAGAACCATTTGTTGTGTTAAATGAATAACAATGTTAATAATAAAAAAACCCCTCACCAAAAAAATCAGAATGGTATGATAGCTCTTCAGTTGAATATAAGGCTACATCTTATAACACTAATGAATCCTCTAATTTGGATCATCACTCCTATAAATGGAAAAGTAGCAGTATAGAAGATGAAAATTTATTGCATAATTGTGAATTTCAATTTTAATCCTCAGTTTTTGATTTCCCATTTCCAGAGGACTTTTGTACAAATAGTATAAATGTGTAATAGAACTTTTAACAATTAGAAAGTAAAAACTAATTTACTCCTAAAAAGAAGAGACTATACTGTAATAATAAAAAGGTTCCTCATTGGGCAGAAAATTTGGAGGTATCAATAGTATGTATTTTTTAGAAAGTTTAGCAATATCAATCTTAGTAAGATCATTTATCTTAACATTAAATCTTTGGTAAAATGAAGAACAGAGTTTTAGAGATTGCTAAATAGTTTTCAGAAAATAGATATCATAGAAGAGGAAGTTCAGCATAATGGGAACTTCCTAATAAGACTTTTGATGTGATGTAAAAGCAGATGAAGAAACTTTAATAAATATAAGATGAGAATATATAAAAATTGTAGCAACATTAAATAAATGTAATAGTGTTTAGTTTATGATAGTCTGCATAAAAAAATTAAGGTTTAATTGCAAAAACACAATACTTTTTAACTAGCATTAAAAAAAAAATACTCAATTCATTTGAGAAGGATTCAAAATATAAAATATGATTTTATCAAATTTATCTTTGTTTAAATAGAATTATTTTCATTACAATTAATAATAAAAATTATTGCTTAGGTCAATTTTAGTTTGAGAAATGTTTGTAATATTATTGAATTCAGACATTCTTGAATATTTAACTAGATATTACAATTTTCTATTTATTTCATTTTCAGATTGATCGCATTCTCAAGTGTCCAATATTGTTGCATATCTAAAAAATTTATGATATCTATGATTAATAAATAGAATTATTTAACCACAAGATTAAAATTGGATTTTATAACATTGCTGATTGATAAATAATGATATAAGAGAAAAAGTAAATTAAAGAAATAATTTTCAATTTATAAGCATTGATTTCCTTTTAATCATGAGAATATGAATTTTCATATTTAGAACAATTCTAATATTATTTGATATTATCAATTAAGACAATCTTTGATTTGATTAATGATACATATATAATTAGTTGTTTTATTAAATTTATTATTGTGTAATATAATAATGAGGAAAGTTTTACCATCTATTATGAAGCATGTAAGTGAAAGATTTAACAACTTAAAAGGTAAATCAGACAGAATTTGGAGGACCAAATGTTCTTAAATTAGGAGAATCCTTAATACCTAAACAAAATTAACACTAATCTCTAATTGAGATTCAATCAACATCTATCAACAGAGCTGATATACTATAGAGATAAGGCAAATATCCTCCACCAAAAGGAGTTACAAATATTTTAGGATTGGAATTTGCTGGCTATGAACTTGATACAGAAGGAAATAGATTAAGAAGAGTCATGGGAATATTATCAGGAGGAGGGTATGCCTAATATGTTGCTGTTAATAAGGATCATTTAATAGATGTCCCTTCTAATATACCTTTGGATGCTGTATAATCCATTCATTATTATAGGCTGGTGGAATTAGTGAAATCTATTTGACTGCATATTTGTAATATAAATTATCAGAATTGAAAAAAGGGAACTCATGTTTAGTGTATGCAGCAGCTTCAGGGGTTGGCTAAGCTACCTTATAATTATGCAATCACTTTGGAGTCATTGGAATTGCCAGTTGTTCACAAGCGAAAGTTTAGAAAATACAATAATACACTAATTACATTGTTCATAGAGATTAGTCTATTAAAGACTAGATTTCGCAGATTAGATAGTATCAACCTTAAGGAGTAGCTGCAGTTTTCGATTGCGTTGGCCAATAAAATTATCAAATGACTTTAGAGTCCTTGGGTATTGATGGCAAATGGATTCTCTATGGTTTATTAACTGGAGGTTCAATTGAAAAATTCAACCTTGCTCCATTATTGGCAAAGCGAATTCATCTAATCAATTCAACACTTAGGTATCTAAAGTAATGATTGCATAAGATCACGCTCTGATTAATTTAAGGCAGAACTTGCTAAGGATTTTACAAAGACCATTTTACCTGTCATTGAGAATGGGTAAATTGCAGTTCCGATACAATCTGTTACCAAAGTAGAGTGGAATGAAGAGGGAATCAATCAAATTATTCGATTACATACCGAAATGGAGCAGAATAGAAATGTAGGAAAATTAATAGTTTCATTTTAAAATGATTGATATAAAGCATAGCTAAATTTAAATTTTATCATGATTTTTCAGATATTTAAGTTACTTTTGTTATGATAATAAAGTGACAATAATTAATATCATTTATATTGCTATTTCAGAGGAATATTGAAGAAAACAACTATTATAGCTTCAATGAGATCAAAATCAAATATTGAATTTCTTGTTTCTAATCAGAAGTTTAGTCACACCCTTATGAATAATTTTAAGCAAAAAAAATGAAGTGTTCAATGATCATTACATATTATCAAATAGGAACCTTCATTATGAAAAAAATAAATTCTACTAAATTTAATTTCACTTAGAAATATATAAATAGGCCAAATGATAATTGGAAATAATTTAAGAATGCTTGCTTTTCTCACTTAGATTGAGGATTTTATGATAACTTTCAGGTGAATATTGAGTATTCCCATTTAATACAAAAAACATTAAGATCATATTATATAATCAATGTAAATTTTTATCATTTAAGGCTTTAAGATTCCTAAGCAAATGGGACATACAATCATTAATAAAATGGATGCATTTCTACGTTGAAAATATAGATGTTTTCAATTAGACTTGAAATTTTTAATATTACTCAATAAAGTCTGAAATATATAGGCACACAGGAACTTCAAGGTGAATGCATAGTATTTTTCTGTTCAATTAATTGTTTCTTTATCAGTAAAATCTTTAGTTACTTTTTAGATTGGCAAAATATAATATAATCACCTTTATTTTAATCGTTTGAATAATAATTAATTATGAATTACAAAAAAATTAAAAAATATCATAAATTCTAAGTTATTCTATCCAGCATTTCCTCTAAATCCTAGTTTAATTTTCCAGCAAGTTATTCAATTGCAATAATAAATTGAAAGAAATCCATTAAATTAGTATTGCATGATCTCAATATAATTTTCCTGAATAGCAAATCGTAATCATGTTTTAGAAAAGTCTAGGAAGTCATTTATGGAAAGCTTGCCAATTTTTAAAACTTCGAAGAGGTTAAATATTCTTGAAATTTGTATCCAGACAAAAAACCATAAAGCTACATCATCTATGAGAATATAGTTTCAGTTGAATCTACATCTAATTTTCGATAACTCTCGAATCCTGGAAGTTCTTCTTAATCTTCTGTTGGCATCATGGCTAACTTAATTGCATCTCCCAGAACTAACTCTTTAACATAACTGTCGATCAAAGATTCTTCAAAAACGGATTTGCCATTTGCTGAAAAAACTTCATGTTCAATTTAGAGACTGGGATTGGAATTGACTTCTAATAACCATGGTTTGCCTTTCTCATCAAGTAGAATATCAAATCCCAAGACTTGAAAGCACTTGACTTCAGCAACTTTTTTTTGGAAGACTAATTTTTAATTGAATGCAAGAAATGGAAGTAAACTCTTTAAGTAGGACACAACCAAACTTTCAATTTCATTCTCAATATCTTAATTATTGTAACCCAAGATTTCTAGATTCTTCTTGATGGATGTATAAGTTCTTTTGGTTCCCTCATTTATGTCCAAGATGTTCTTCCCATTAAACACTTGGAAATTGGTACTTCTCTTATTAAGAGAATAGTTGGTTAAATGCATGAAGGAGTTCCTGATGTTTTTGTCATTAGGTTTTTCGTAGTCTACAGTGCAAAATCTAGCTAGTCCTTCCTTATTGATGTAGCATAAATAGGGGTCTAGAGATGTAATGAGAACATATAATCTTAGATCGAATTTCTTTTTGTCTATTAGGAGAGGTTTTGAGATGTATTGTTGGATGACTATACTCTCATTAGTCTTTACTTCTTTTAAGTTTTTTAGCAAGTAGATTCCATCCCCTTAAGATCCTGCATCGGGTTTTGCTATGTAAGTTCGAGTGTTTTTATATTCTTTTTAAAATTTATCCAGTTCATCTGGTATGATGTAGGTTTTAGGAAAGAACTCGTATTCTTCTGGAAAATACTAGGCGAACTTATTCAAATAAAATGATGACTATGTCTTGTGAGCCAGTAAGTCCATTCCTGGATAGCGGTTAACAATTTATGAGAAGTACTCGTCATAATTTTACTATTTAAATGGTAATCCTAGCAAGCAAATGTCGCCATCGTTGAAAACTTCTTTCCAATTGTTTTTTGCAATTAATTTACGTATTAATCTGGTTTCACCTCTACAATTGGTGGTGTTGACTTTTATAACTTTCTACTTTTTATATTGGTCTTGCTATTGTTGGAAGTTTTCGTAAGGGGTTTTGAATTCGTCGACTTGTTATTCGGTGACAGTCAGGAGATCATCGTTGTTTTGATTCCATGGGGAGATATCATGAGGCTATTATTATTGCATATGGATTGAATTAATTTAATTAATGAAATTATTTAATAGTAGGAAATCGATTATAAAGGAGTAAGATTAAGAATCTGATAAATAACGATAGATAGGAGATTATCTGTTAGGTTGGTGTTTAGGTTTACAGTAGTTAAAACCCTTGGATTGGGTACATTTGGTTTAGTCAAATTGGCAATTCATTAAATAACTTAGGAGAAAGTAGCAATTAAAATTTTGGAGAAATCTAAAATAATAGATGTGGCTGATGTTGAAAGGGTCTCTAGGGAGATACACATTTTAAAGTTGATCAGACATAAACATGTGATTCAACTGTATGAGGTATTGAATGAAAAATAATCAAAGATAATCGAAACAAAGAAATATATATTTTTGGTTATGGAATTCTGTGATGGAGGCGAACTATTTGATTACATAGTGAAGCATCAGAAGTAATTATCATGTAGCATTAATTAAGACTCTCTGAAATCGAGGCATGTAAGTTTATTCAGGAGTTAATATCTGGAATTGAATACATACACAAGTTGAATATAGTCCATAGAGATCTGAAACCCGAAAACTTGCTATTAGATTATCAAAAGAGTTTGAAGATTGTAGATTTTGGATTAAGCAACACATATAAACAGGGAGAACAATTAAAGACCGCATGTGGTAGTCCATGTTATGCAGCACCTGAAATGATACAAGGGAATAAGTACAATTCCTTATTGGTTGATATTTGGTCTTGTGGAGTGATCTTATTTGCATCCATTTGTGGCTATTTACCATTTGAAGATGTAAACACTTCGGCTTTGTATAAAAAAATATTGAATGGAGAATATAAAATTCCTAATTTTGTGTCTCCTGAAGGCACAAGTTTTCTGAAAGGAATTTTGAATATCAATCCAGAGAAGAGGTTTAATTTGGACTAAATAAAATCTCATCCATGGTTTAAATTGTATCGCCGATCTCACCCCATTCCTCCAGGGATTGTAATTGGATATCACAGAATCCCTATTGATAACAATATTGTATCACAATTAAAGGACCGAGGATTTAATGAAGAGTATGTAAAAATATGTTTGGATGCAAACAAATAAAATAATGTGACAACTTCATACTTTTTATTAATGAAGAGACATTTGATGAATGGAGGAATGTCGACTTCCGATATAAATTCAGTGCATTTTGAACCTAAATTATTAGAACCAATTTAACGCACTTAAAAAGGTAATCCACACAATTCTATGTATTGTAGCACCTATACTTGGCTTTTTAGATGAGTCTATGCTCAAAACCTTGAATTCTAATAGGTCTTAATCCAATCAAAGTCGCAAGAACAAGAAAATGAATACTCAATAAAATAGAGGACACTACTATTTGTAAGATGAGAAGTTAAATAAATCAATCCAAATAAAATAATCTCATCGTTAAGATAGTTTGGACTCAGATGAAGAGATAAGCAAACCCTTTTCTCAGAATGTTACATCGAATGTGAAAAAATAAAAGGTTAGAACAGAGTCAAATTATAATGCTGATCAATCATTGAATTAGACAACTTTGATTGCTGGTAAAAGATAATCGATTTCGCCTGCCAATGCCAATCTTATTCTGTAATACATCAGTAATCAATATATCTAAATACTTAATTAGAACAATAAAAAAAACTAACTCCTACTTCCATCAGAAATTCATGCCAACAAAAACCAAATATGTTGTCTTTGAATTATCAAAGAAATGTTTAAACTATTTATGACCATGAAGGCTTGAAGATTATGAATTCAAACAAATAACAATCTAATGAGTAAAAGAGAAGCTAAAATAACTAATGGATGCCCTCAACCATAATGAATCCTTATTAATTACTGTTATAATTGAATTCAAGGAAAGGATCTCGAGATTTAAGTGCTCCTCATTCAACTAAATGTGCAAACAATCCAAAAAGTAAATCAATTAATAGACAATTTTGATTATACTAATCAATAATTATATTAAATGAATTTCTTTATGAATCTCTTTGGACAGGGTTCCACTGGACCACAACCAGAAAGTTATGAGATTAACGGTCACGAATATCACGAATTGAATTTAATTGCTGAAGGAGGATATGGCTTTATTTGGAGAGCTATTGAAGCTAAAACTAAGAAACTCTGCGTTATTAAGAAAATTATTTGTCAAAGTGAAGAGGCTATTCAACAAGCGTAATTGGAATTAGATTTGCATGTAATTTATGCTTATTCATATTTCAAATAGAGACAACTTCAACATCCTAACATTGTCAAATGTTACAATGGAGTTATCAAATTTAATAAGAAATTAAATCAAACTATTGCATATATGGTTTTAGAATTATGTGAAGGTGGAACACTAATTGATTTGCTGAAAAGGTACAATGAAAAAAGGTTGAATGAATAATAAGTACTCCTAGTGTTAAAAGTTATTTTTCCCTTTATCATAGTAATTAGTCTAAGCAATCAAATATCTTCACACCTAAAAACCTCCTATCACTCATAGAGATTTGAAGGTTGAAAATGTCTTATTGCATAATAAGGTATTTAAAATATGTGATTTCGGCTCAGCTAGTACTGACAAAATTGACTTAAAGTATTAGTATAACCCAAAAACTAGTTAATCAAACAAGCACCAGATTTCTCAATATGAAGAGAATTTCGCCAAATAGACAACTGAAATATATAGACCTCCAGAAATGACTGATTTATATTTAAAGTACGAAATCAATGAAAAAGTTGATATATGGATGCTCGGATGCATTTTGTATACAATGTGCTTTTACAATCCACCCTTTTAGGAATCTTCTAAGTTAGCCATTGTTGAAGCTTCATATATTATCCCCAAAGATAATAAAGTATTCATTCGAATTAACTGAATTAGTATTCCTAAAAGATGATCGATTTGATTGGCATAATGCTTTAACCAAATCCAAAGAACAGAGCATCGATCTTTGAGATTGAGGAAATACTGAAAAAGTACGACACATTAACATAAATTGTAATCAATACTATCAATAATAGCAAAGTAAAAATGAACAAGAGGATGATTTTGGGGATTTCCAATCCGGAGATTAAAATGCATAAGAGTAATAATAAAAGACTGTTTAATATGATGATTCATTAATTTGATATTGTGTACAATTCATGTGTATTTCTAATAAACTATTTGAATTTCATTTATTTTATTAAAATGAATTCCTTATTTACTATTCTTAAAGACCTGCAAATAAATGTTCCCCAATCATAATTGGGACATTCTTTTGTATTGTGTGGTCAAACTCAAAGTGGAAAATCTACAATCGTATGTTTTTTGTTTCAATTTTTAGGTCTCCAAACTTACCTCTCAATCTATATAGGAATAGGCAGGTTTGATATACACACAATAAAAGACCAACATTATTGGTTATCAAGCAGTACTTCAATATTTTGAGGTTTCTGGATAGGCATTTAAGCAATTGTTGACTTTGCCATTGAATAAGCAATCATACTAATAATACAGTTATATCTTAGCGATCGACTTATCAGATAACCCTCATGAGATCTTAAATGTTTGCAATGCAGAAATTAGATATATCAAGGAGGAAACAGAAAAGAAGTTATAGTAATCGATTGATGTTGACACTTTTAAACAATTGGAATTAAATATCTATGACAAGATCATGACGCATCATGATAAAAACAGAATAATTCCTTCATATGTTCCCATTATCATTGTAGGTTGGAAATATGATTTGTTCTCTAAAAACTTAGATTAAGAATCAAGAAAGTGGATAACTCGAGGATTGAGATATTTAGCACATTCAAATAATTGTTCACTTGTGTTTGGAAGCAATCAAGATTATCAATTAGTTAAATAGACTCTGTAATACAATGTGAAACCATCAACTCCAATTTATCAATTTGATCACTTAAAATAATTATGTATCACTCAACTATCTGATTCAATTGAAAACATTAATTTACCTCCTTCTGGAAACAATCCTTTAGATGGGTTCAATAAAATCATCAAAGATCAAATTGTTGCTGTAGCAAATAATTAAAAAAAGAAAAAACAATCTAAAATAACAGAGGAGGATTGGAATAACTATAAAGAAGAAAAAATTGATAGGCTTATCAAGTAATTTGAATTTTAATAAAAATAAACAGCAAAGCAAGAAGAAACAGTATTAATTTGATACAATATATATATATATAATATATTTATTTATGATTTTAGAATTAATTTTCCTATTAACAGGTGTTCAATCTATTATTCTCAAATTCAAAGTTCCACCTGGTTAATAATAGTGCATCAAAGACTCTGTGTCTTAAAATACACTCATATACGGAAATTACGACACCACATCCTTACATTACAGTTTTACATTGAGTGTATTCAATCCATACTATCTTATTTTAGATTATAAATTCATAGGATTAAGAGTCAATCATTATTCAGCATGCAAATGATATCAATCAATAATTTCATTATGTAATGGAAGAGTCAGGAGAAATTTCTATGTGCTTTGAAGTTGAGGATTACGCAGATGTTACAATCTTTAATCTGTTTTATGAAAGCGGTACGAAATCATTATTGATATCTATTATAGGAGCTGAAATCTATGACTAAGATTTATTGGCCAAAAAACAACATGTTCTTAATCTAAATGAGACATTAGACACAATGGAATAATTGCAATAAGATATATCAAGAGAACAATTGTTGATTGTTGATAGAGAAAATAAAAGAAAACATAGCTTTACCGATATTCAAACCAAAATTATTGGTTTTGCAGGCATAACCTTTGGATTGTTAATAATTGTGGGTGCTTGTTAAGTTATATATGTCAGAAGATTTATAGTGTATAAAAAATTAGCTTGATTTACTTGAATATTAAGTTGTTAATCAAGTTTATTTAATATAAAATAAGTAAATTTAAGCAAATAAAAAAAAATATTCTCTAAATTAGGAACTTCCGTTCTATATGAAATCCTTTAAAGAAGAAATCCTTATACATTAATCTAATAATTTTGATAAGAGATTAAGAGAACCTCTAAACCAATACAATTTTAAAATTTTATATTATTATCAGTAATAAAATAAGATATCAGGTTTTAATTGAATAATATATATTTATATACATATATATAAAGTTCAGAATTGAGAAATCAATTTTGTTTTTTATTTTCTAATTATATAAAGAATTTTGATCTGTTTTACAATTCCACATTAAACCCTTTGTTGACGAATTTTTATAGAACTTGCTAAAATCTTTAAACGTCTAATCTTTCAGAGTTATTCAGGTACTCTACTATAAAATTCAATAAATTACTTCTAGCTATCGAAGGCTTCATACCTTAGTTTAAGTAGGATTCTTATAAGAATTTCTCGAATCTTGATTAGTCTTTTAATTCATCATGCAAATACTGGCATCTTATACCGTAAGGACAGAACCCTTGAGTAAAATATCTATTGCACGGCTTAGTTTTATATTTCTGATGTAAATGAGTTTTAGCCTACAACTCTGAATAACCATGGGCAAATGAGCACTTGAAATTATGTTTAAAAAGTACTTCGTTTCCAAATTTGCATTGTCCAGTCAATTAGAAGTTCTTACACAACTCAGTCTTCTTCTTTTTTGTGTATTCTTCAATGTATTGTTTCTTTTCTTCGATAGTCTCAAAATACTTCTTTTTTGGTTAAACACTAAAAATACTATAAAAATTTTTTACTCTATTTAGAATTATTCTTCATCATCATCAGTACTTAAAAAGTCTAAACCATTTAATTAGTCAAAATAGGATTTATAATAGGTCTCAAGTGGAGTTAAATTATTCATTTTTTATAAATATTTATGAATTAATTTTTAATAAAACTGAAGTGACAAATTTTCAATCAGAACCCTAATCTCGATTTTAAATGAAATAGTACTAATTTATTAAACTTTCTAATAGAATTTAAATATATTTAAATTTATTTGTCTTAAATTAAATGTATTTTATCTATTATTTTATGTTAGGGTTGCTTCAAATAAACACACTTTTTTTTTTTATAATTATACAATAATTATTTTTAAATTACATGTTTATATTGTTTATGTATTTAAAAATTTATAACCTTATATAGGATAATTTTTCGATATTCATTTATTCTAATTAGTAATTTTTCCTTCTCAGATTTCCTCAGAATATTTAAAAAGAATTTTTTTAAATAAAGTATGGGTTTACAACAGATTTTTAAACGAAAACATTTTAATAGAAATTTAATAATTATCACATAAAAGAACCAAATACTATAAACTAGTGTTTGATATTAATACATTTATTAACCAAAATGGAGTTTGTATGGATTCATAAATTAACTGAATCATGCTGTATTGAATTCTCGTCTTCTATTTTTGGATTTAAAGGTATTCACTCAATTGCCAACCATTAAATGAATACCAAATTGCATACAAATATTAAAGAGATCTCTTTAATTGATATTGATTCAATTAAATAATCCACTAGTTTTTCTATAAGTGCTAGTTTTATTTTCTATATTTATAATTAATTAATATTGTTTAAATTTATGAATTTTCTTAATAAAACGCTGAAAACTGCCTCTTAATCTGAACCAGATTTATAACAATATTAAGACCTGATAAATGGTCCTGAGGAACTATGCTAAAATCAAAGCGTTAATTTGCATGACAAAAAGTAGTCAGATAAAAAAAACAAGGTTTAATATCAAATTTTCAATCTTTCTTTAACCAAAGCAACATTTGCAAGTATTCAAACTATGTATCAATTTACTAAAAAGTATATCATTTATAATACCAAAGAACTATAAAATAAATAAACCAAAATGAAAAAGTAACTTTAAAGCAAAATTTTTAGGACTCAATGAAGGAATATAATCACTAATTATATAAAATCTCAAAAAATCTACCAAGTATTTTTAAGAAAGAGCAACTATAATTTCCATCTATTCGAATAAGTGGATGGTATGAAAAAGTAAAATAAGCTTGTTTTAATAATAAAAACGAATAGAACTAGTAATTAATACTTCACAATCCAGGTTAGAGAGATGAAGACAATGATTTTATAATCATCTGATTCAAGTAATACTATTCTTCTTTATTTCTGTCAATATTCTTAAACTTTATCTCAATAAACCTTCTGGTTATTTTGATAATTAATTTATTTAGAATTTGCTAATCACATTTTTATTTAAAATATCATCTCCTTATAATCTTTAAATGAATAACAATGAATTTTTTTTCAAAAATTAAACTATAGTTATAATCATTTTCAGTTATAGAGCTCATAATACTTTATATAATTTTTATCAATTAACTATTGATATTCAAAATTTTAGATAATGATCGTTGAATATTAGAGATAAATATAATGTGATATTCAATTATGAAATAGTGTGACATAAAAATGATTATATTATTTTCAATATTTAATAATATAAATTCAATGAATAAGTAATAAGACATTAATAGGAGATTGGCCCTATTTTATCATCCATTGTTTTTATAATTAGTTGATTTATGGATGTCTTTGTTAGGGGATACTAAAATAGGATTCATTACATTTATTGAGTTAAACATAAGATTGCAGAAAGCTCTGTTGATTGAGTTTCAACTAAAAAATGCATGTACTATTTATTAGAAATTGAGTTATTTCTGCCTTGAATGATTGGGTAAGAGAAGTATAAGATTGCTATGATTTAAAAACATTATACATAATTGAACCAATTAACATAGAGAATGAAATGAAATAACTTCCATTTGAGCCCACATTAACTACTCTAGATTACAATAATTTTATGATAGAGTTTTAAGATAACCCAGCAAGGTAGTTTTTGAATGTTAAAATTAATTCAGAAATACTTGGTAAATTTTTCTTTGATTTATGCTCGACTTGGTGTAATCATCTTGACATAGAACTCTTCCACTTTTATGGACTTACATTATTTTTTGCTGTGACAAGAGGAGACAAGATAAAATAGTCATAGCTTATGTCATTAAATGATGTTTAAACCTTACCAAGAACTTTTTTTGAGGATTTTTGTAATTTGAAATGTACATACTTAAAATTCAAGAAGAAAAATTTATTATATTATAGAGCATGGTGTGAATGGAATTATTTAAGAATGCCTGAAATAGGAGAGAATATGTTTGATAAATTAGTCTCTTACTATCCAGATGAGTAAGTTATATAATAAATTTAAATAGTGCAAGAGTAGAAGATTTTTATGATTACTTTTCTAACATGATAGAAATTGTTAGTAAAGAGATCACATCGACGCTTCAAAACTAAAATACCAAAGATAAAGAAGTATCCAATAAAATGCAGGAAAATCATTAAATTTAGATTCAATAAGAAAATACTCAATAATAAGATTCTAAAGATGATGAATTTCACAAATAGTCATTGGAATAAGATGAAGCAATGTTATGGTATGAGTAATAAAAAAAGGATTTGCCTGAAGAATTCAAGGGTATGAAAAATAATAATAAATATAGAACAAAAATCTGATGTTTTAGGAAGATGCTATTTATAATAGATTTAACCATTGCCACCAGATTTATTCATATTAAGATACAATGAGAGAGAAAAGTGTTATGTTTTAGAGAGGAAAGTAAAGATTCCAATAATTGGTGTGCAAAAACCTATCATAAACACCACAGGAAATGAAAAAATTCAATTATAAAAATAATACTTTAAATAGGATAAGGATACGAGTTTATTCTATACAAGTAATCCCGTTAATGATGTTACTGTAACAACATAATAACAAAATCAACCAAAATAATAATTGCCTAAAGTTAAAAAATAGAACCCTCAATAGGAAAGAGTGAATAAGTCATTTTCACAATATGATAAAATCAACACTTAAGAAAAAGGAAATGTACTATTGCCACAATTTGCCTAAGAATAGCTGGTGTAAAAACAAGCAAATACTCCTGGAATGAAATTGTTTGAATAATATTCTACCGAAATCAATGTCAAAAAAAGAGAAGTTAAATAAGATCTTCCGTTGTAATTAATTAAGCATCCCAGATCAACTGTTACTGTTGATTTGAAGGAGGATTCTAATCAAGAATTAGGCAGAATTAATCTGACTCCCATTTAATCATTTAGATAAGCTTCATAATTACACAACACCAACTTGACCTTTAAATAGATTCAATCTATTTAAGAAACTAAGCATTTATGGTAGTCAATGATGACGTAAGAAGAAATGGAGGTTTTGTTATAAGATGAGAAGAAGTTTTATCATATGTTGCATCTTTTGAAGTTGAAGTTCAATTCCGAGCATAAGTCAGAATATTTGAAATAATTTAAATTAAAGCTAGATAATGTATCCAAAAGAGATGAAATGGGAGGAATATTAACAAATGAGGATAGAAAAAGATTCCATGATAGAATAGCCATGATTCTTGAAAGAGAGAAGAAAAGAAAGAAACGCAGAAGAAGAAATGTAATCGATCCATACAAACAAAGAAACAGGAGTTGGTCCATAAAGACTAAATTCAAAAACAGAAATTGCAGAGAGTAATTTAAATAGATTTTTATAAATCCTTTGCTTTAATGACATATTTTTACATTGTTATTTAATAATTAAGGAATCATTCTATTTATTAAACACACTTTAATTTTAATGAAATTATTGAATACAATGTTAAGTAATTATGTAGAAACTTTCTTTTGAAATAATTTTGAACCTTCATTATTGCTTAGATTTGCTCATTCTTATTAAATTTTTCTAATTTTTACGATTCTACTTCTTCAATCAAAATTTGGTTGATAAAATTAATTAATCTGTCTTTATTTTTAAATATTTCAAAATTTGTAATATATTAATAGATATCCATTTTTCTCATTATCTCTTCTTGGAAAGTCGACTCCATCTTTTTTTGTAAAAATTAATAGTTATCTCCATGTATTTATTTGAGTTCTTATTTCAAGTCATCTTAAGTAAATTCTTGACATGAATTCATATTTTTAATTTATTTAATCCAAAAAAATTAAGTTGCTACATGAAATGCATTAACATTTATTTGACCTTTTGAAATCATATGAACTTCTCTGTAAAGTTCAGCAATTTAGCCAGAACTTAAAGAGTAGTTCGATGATACAAAATCATAGAACTTTTTAAAACTAATAGGAGGATTTGGGAAGACTGTAAATAATTATTTATATCTCTGATTTCTGTCAGCTCTGAATATTTCTAATAACAACTATAATACATATCCTGTTTGAACCAATATATTATTATTAACAACTATTGAGGCTTATTTTAATGATTTCAGAATCATGCTTTGATTTTATTTATTTAGTTTGCTCAGGAATAATGATATTATTTTTTCTGCCTTTTCTATTTTAATATAATTAACTAGTTCATATATTGCATCAAACTATTAAATCCACACTCCTTTAATCAAGAATCTTATGTGAAGATAAAAGTATAATTCTTCTTTTGTGTAAATGTCATTTAAGAAATGGCGAAATTAAACAATTTCCCAAACTTTATCAAAACTAGGTATCATCAATTAAATATAAAATCTATTGATATATTCTTAGGCTAAGAGCTTGTTATCCTTAGGTATTATTTATATTTCATGTTTTTCCAAATAAAAGGTACTCAACCATGAGAAGACATAGGATTGAAAAGACATGGAATACTCCTTTTGCATTTCCTGATACATGCCATCCATTATAGCTCTAAGAGTACCCATGAAATTGGAAGACATCTACTAACTCTCTATTTAATGAGACAATATATCAAGAGTGGATTTATCTAAAAACTAAGAAAAATGTGGATAATTGAATCTCAACAAGGAGATATCGAATTGATCATCTTATCTAGCTTAGGAATTCTTATTATTCTACTCCAATGATGAAGACACGAGATACTTAAAAAAAGCCTATTCAGACTCTAGTGGCTTTGCTATTTAAGCAATTTGAACTTCTTCATAATCCATCCTACTCTAAAATGGAGGTTCTATCTCTTTGCTTCTTTTCACAGTTAAATGGTCTATCCTATTTTACAACACTTTTATTATATCTTCAAATAAGGTTATTTTATTAAGCTTCTATAAAATGGAATATTTATAACTAATTAAATCCTCCTTTGACATTTAGAATAATTCAAAATATCTTTGCTTTTGTTCTTGTAGATTTTGAACTTCAAATTAATAATTTCTTATTTACTCCTCCTAGACTTAAACTTACATTTACAATTCTTTAATAATACTAATTTGCATCTTATCCTGTCTTTTCGCAAAAATCAGTTGTTATTTCAATTCCATGACTATTTAATCATTTTCAGTTTATATCACTTACTATTCTTCAATTATTTAAGTCTGTTCTTATATCTGTTTTTTTATTAATGGCTTTATTACAGTTTCTTTATCCTTTATTTCTTTTAAATTATTACTCAATATCTCTACTGTTCTTTATAGCTATAAGTTTCTCAGCACATATTAATTTTTGTCTTGTATTTTCAACTTATTTTATTTTATCTAATCCTTCTCCAATAATAGTTATGTATATTCTTTTAATTTCATCTCCTTGTCATCTTTATATTTATTATATGAATCTTCAAGCTCCTATATTTTACATTGTAATTCATCAAAATATTTCAAACAACTCTGCATAATCTTAATAAATTAAGCAATTATCGTATCAACTCTAATATCATCAAACATTCCCAATAAAAAGAAATAATGTTAAACTTTCTCCTTAATGGATGGAAATCTCAGACTAATCTGATTAGTCAATTGCTAATATCTAAATTACTAAATTCTTACTTTTATTACTCATATTTATCATAACTCCCTTATCTAAAAGAATTATTGAGAGGTTTTAACATTCGAGGAGTTTGAGCAAAACCTTTCTCAGAATCAAATAATTTTTTCATTTTAATAATACTCATATTTATTTTAAGCTTAATCATTATTAAACTTATAACAATATGGATAGTTTAATCAATTTTCTAAGAACTCTTATTATATGTTCTTTTGGAATGAATTTCTAAGAATTTGAGATTTGAATTCTTAATACACTTATCACTCAATTTAAGCCTAGATATATTTTTAGAATAAATATCATTTATATAAATTTGATTCTTTGATTAACACATTATTTACAAAATTAAAAGTTTAAATATAAGTTACAAAGTTATTTAGAAATACTTCTATCTTTCAAAGATTTAGATTATATTCTTATTTGCTTATTAGTGATATATTTAAATAGAGTTATCAAACCATTAAGATTTATCAAATAAAAATTTGAAATAATTTTGATATTTTTAATTCATTGATTATTTGTAATATATTAATTAAATAAAATTAAAAATGTCCAAGGGAGATGCTAAAACATTGAAGGAGGAGATTCAAAAACTTTACGATCCATTGTTATTCTATTAACATGGTGATAATCCTGCTTATAAAAGATATATTGAAATAATGTAAGAAAATGCTTAGGAGGGTAAACAAATAGATCCAAGAACCTATTTTGTTAATAAATTGCAGAGGTAAATAGTTTGTTAACATTACAAAGAATCCATGTAGCAAGAAACATTTAAGATTTTGTTGAGAGAGACTTGAAATGCTTTAACTTTGTTCGAATCTTCCCAGTTTGGATATGTACAACAGGATTCTTTTTATAAGGTAAACAAATTCATCCTATACGTAAGCCGCATTAACTCATAGATAAATGTTTTTGCCAATTGGGTAGAGAGGTATAACCAGCATTAAATAGACATCATTCTTTTACAAGTATTAATTTAGTATTAAGTAATTCAAGTTTTGGATATGTTGGATTAGCAGGTTATGGGTTATATTTGTTTGGAGCATCTTACTTATGGTGGTAAGTCACTAAAATGACAGGCACCAAATTCTACAAGCACTGTTTATTGGGAGAAAGACAATGGTCTTATGAAAGGGAAAGATAAAATAACACTTACGGAAATTACTACTTTAAAGACGTTCCTTTGTCATGCGAAGAAAATTTCCCAGATCTAGCAAGAGGAGAAATTGCTAAAAAGCAAAGACCTAAACCAGAATGGTGATATATTAATATTATACATTCATATATCAATATAATATAATTAACATATGATTTAATAGAACTGTGTTGGCGTTGTAACTATTATAAGAATCCAGAATTGATTTAGAATTCAATAGAAAAAGATATAAAAATTAAATATCATCTAGTATCCATTTATGAAGCTCATCACCTCAGCAATTGGAAAGAAACAATAAGGATATTTATAAGAAAAGTTAGAATAATCTTAAGGTACATTTATTAATAACAAATAATCCATGACTCCAAAGTTTTATGTAAACAATCTTATGATGAAACAAAAAAATTATCGAAATTAATCTTGTTTTCTTTATTTACTATTGAAAATACATTCATTTGTAATCAACTAAATTCACTCTTTGATCAAGAACTAGTTGCTGTTTACCAAGAAGGCGTTTAAGTTTATGTTGGATTGATGGATCCAATTAAAATTATTTTTTTAATGGTAAAATTAGAATCATATTGAATTAGACTGATAATTTTAGGGAAAGAATCATTAACCTAGTATGCCTAATTCATATCCATAAAATAATAGAAACCTTTCTTTCTGCAATCTAAAGATTTTGCAGACTAAGGTGAAAATAACAGAGCTTGCATTAATAGATTTTATATTAATAACAAACAAGTGTTAGAATAATTGAAGTCATTTAGCCTGAATCAAAAATATCAATTTTAAAAATCTCTCAGTACAACACTAATTGTATTAAATAAGCATATTAATAATAAAACGAAAATACATAAAATATTTAGTATAATTAGAGAATTAATAATTATCAATTTAAACTAGATTATAAATTGAGTTAAAGAAATTAAAAAATACAAAAGAGATGACTCAAAGAATTAATTAAAGTTTAATTATTTTTATTAATTTTATCATATGTATAAATTTATAATATATTTATCCAGAATTGGATTAAGATTTAGAACATCATAATCTGTCTTATAAGAATTTCTCAAACATAAGTTAAAAATTATAAGATTGAAGGAATTTATCAAAAATTAGAATTTGAATTTTTTGTGATGGATAAATGAAACAAACTTGATTTACAAAAGAATAGTTCTCAGTACATAATTAAAAACATCTAGGTTCTATTTAACCCTAAATTGTTAGATATTCCGAAATGAATGATTCTTAATAGTTCATCATCTAATTTTTGTTTTATCTTAAAATTAAATTGAATAAGAATAAAAGAATTGATATCATTAAATAAAGAGATCTTTTAAAGAAAATATCCTTAAATAATCTCATAATTGCTTAAATTATTTGATTAACCAGATGTTTCAACTTTTTATTACCTGAATCTATCTAAAATCAAATATAGAATCACAATTTTAAGAATTTTTTATAATTTATAAAGAATTTATCAAAAAATTGTAATCTGAATATTTGAAGTGTTCATCAGGAGCAAAAATAATAATATTATATAATCGTTATCACAAAACTATTGTCTACCTTCTTTAAAAATACAATAGTGATTAATTAGTATGATAATATATTATGTATATATAAATTAAATTTTAGATAATTAAAATATGTTATAGCAGTGCCTCAAAATATTTAGGTTTAGCTTTGCTGCAAATACACCCTCATTAGCTACACCATGGTCATTGAGACCATTCAAGACTGAGGTATCTGTACCAATAATCAGATTTCATGATGCATAGCCTTCCGGGTAATCAATTACTTTAGATTAAGGTATTTATTTTATTTGAATTATAGAAATATTTAATTAGCCTATCAGAAGAGATTTGGTCTAAAGATTAGTGAGATACACTGATTTATATGATAAAAAAGTCACTAAAGCAACTTTGGCATTGAGAGATGCTGCAGCATCAGGGGCAAAAAATCATCCATAGAAAAAGACAGGAAGAGCACGTTAAGGACACAGATAAAGACCAGGAAGAAATAAAGGTATTAAAGCACATGGAAGAAAAATACGATCATTAAGAATTGATTTACCAAGAAAAGTTAGATTATAAGCGTACAAGGTTGGTTTGACAGCTGCTCTTATAGAAGGGAAATTCACAGTTATAGACACTGAAAAATTAAATGAAGGAAAGACTAAGCATTTGGTTTAATTGATGAAGGGTTTTGAATCTTTTACTTAGCCATTGTTAATTGTCACTAGTGTTGATCCAGATGACTTATTTTTAAGGGCCTCTCGTAATTTAGACTCTTTAGAGACATGCACAGTTAAAGAGTTCAACATTATTAAAATTCTTAAATTTAAATCAATTCTTATTACAAAAGAAGCTTTATTGCAATTAACAGAATCATTAAAATAAAGGAAATTAGCACTTTTAGGAGAAAACAAGATCGTCAAGAAAGTATATAATTAATTAATAAATATTTTAGAAATATTCGGAATATCCAATTGAAGAATACGATCCTACTAAACCTTTGGATCTTAAATTCAAAGTGTTAAGAGAGTATTTGGAGGACTTTGAAAAATTAAAATAAGAGGGATAATTAGATAAATTTATTTAAGATATGCCTAAGACTAAGAAGGTTGGACGTATTAATACAATAAATCATCATTGAGAAAATTATTTGTTTTTAAATAAAGCATTCATATAATTATAATGATCATTTCTCAAATGTATCTTTGTTATTAAGGGTTTTATTATATTTCGTATTCTCTTTATAGAGATTTCATTTTTTATTTTAGATTTTAAGATGAAATTGCAGCTTAACTTAAAGTCTTTTTGAAATTTTCAGACTCTTGTTTTAATCTTTCCCATCCAGAAGACTAATCTAATTAACTATTATCCTTTATTCCACTTTATTAGGATTATTACGAGACATAGGATGATTCATTTTTGTAATCTAAATTAATAAATTTATATTGATACTTTAACTATATTTTTAAGGTTAATAGGCTTTTTCTAATTCTTATAAAAGCTATTCATTTTGATCTTTTAATTGTTGGATTTCTTATAATGTATTCATTTACAATTGTCTTTCTTAAATGATAACTTGCTCCATCTCATTTACTCTCTTTTATTCCCAAGATAATTAAGCATCTTTTAAATCGACTTATTTTTGTAAGTCTCTATTAGCATTTTCAATATATTATTTTTCTCTTTCTAATTAGGCAATTTGTCTATTAAAGTCTTCCTGGGCAGCCTAAAACCCTGTGGAAATCTTTCTTTATGAGTGATACTCTTTTCCTAATTGCTAAATAATAAAAAATTATAATTACATCTCTGTCTTTAATTAATTCCCTTATTTATCTTTCATATTCTTCAGATTTTCTGTTCAATCTTTCGATTTCACGCTCATATTATTATAATTAGATTTAATATTGATCTTCTCTTTTTGATGCATTTTGCATTTAAATTTTAAAGAAGTCTTCTTATTTTTCTAATTCTACACCTCGTTGTAACACATCCTCATGTTGCAATGATATTTATTAAATTGAAACTGTAAGTCTTTGATTTTCTGCACAAACTTCACTATAATTAAGCTACAAATCATGCATTTCCATATCAAACATTTTAATTTACTCTTTAAGTCTAATTTCTTATTACTATAAAAATTGGATTTATTATATTTATAATTCCTTCTCTTATACTGATTTGACAAGTTAATTATTTAAAGATTGGTTATCTTTACTTAATATTTAAATATCAGATTTCATCTCATGGAATTCTTTCTCTTTGATTTATAAAGTGTATTTTAGATTATCATTTTCATTCTAGAGCTTTTAATTCTTATAAATTTAATCTCTTAATTTCTCCTCTAATTATTAGGCAGCCTCATAGCCTCGTTCTCCTTTTGTGCTAACCTCTGATAATTTTGATTGCTATTTCGAAATTTCAGCATTCATGTGCTTAATCTATTATTACAAAGAGATGTTGGTTTCTCTAACTTCATCTAACTAATTTTAGACTTCATCTCTTTCAAGATCTAGTTACTCTAAGGATCGTTTTAAAATGACATTCTGTTCAGATAATTAATTAACTCTATCATCTAAATTTTCATTCAATTCTCTTAATTATAATACTTATCTTTCATCCTCTATCTTCGTGCTATTCTTTTATTATAATCTTTATAATAATTCTTCTTTCTATTTTTCCAAACTTTCACATAATAGTTTTAATTATCGAATTTAATTATCTTGGTCTGTTTTTTGTAATTTAAGAGAAGATATTTAAGATTATGATTCTGTTAATTCGTTATATAGTTTATTAGATCTTTAAACCTCTTTTTACAATTATTCATTAATATCTTATAAAGTCATTTCGTAATTATTTACTTTTTCTGACAATTTTATTGAAGTATTTTTGATTTCATGATCATTTGTTTTCAATCCATTAATCATTTATCTTAATTCTCTTGCTTCTTTCATTGCTTCTTCTTTTAATTTATTTAAAAATTCCATTTATTTAGTTTATTGATTGATTACTGATTCTAATCTAATATTTTCACTCTAAAATCTCTCTTTTTCAATCAACATCTTTCTTTCTTAGTCTCTTAATCTTTCTATTTCATTTGTCAAATTATAGTAGTCCATTTCTTTATCCTTATTTCTTAATACGTTTTATTAGTATTTAAAGGTTTCATCACTTTATTATCTTAAATTCATTTGCAATTTATCATTTTCCAATCTTTATTCATTAAGCAACTCTTAGGCTATTTTAAGTTTCTCTTCTAATTGAGAATTAAATATCCCTAAATCTGATATTTATAATTTTAGAGAATTATTCTATTGTTAAAGTAGTTTTAACTCTCCAACTGTATCATTTTCAATCTTTTACTTTTATTCTATTATACTTTATTAATTTAAACGCATCTTTGATTATTCTCTTTTGAATTATTCAACTTCTTATTCTAGCGATGCTATATCCTATAACTTTAATTTTATTTATGAATCCAAGTTAGCATTCTTCTGTGCTAATTCATTTATTTGATCATTCAATACACGTTTTTATTACTTTAATTCATAATTATCTCTATCCTTCTCTCCTAATTCTTTTTTAATCGATTTTAATAGATTTTCTGTTGTTTGTACTTCCTTAGTCAATAGATCATTTTCCTTTCTTAATTAATCTATCATAAGTTGTTGGCCTTAGTTAGGATTTTATTAATGGGACTACTAATTCTTTTGCTCCTACTTAAATTTTTATAATAGACCATCTAAATTTTATTTAGAAACATCCATTCTTTCAAATTCTATTTTCAAATCTCTAATAGTTTGTTTTTCTTGATCTAATTCCCTTTCCAAATCTCTCTTATCTTATCTTAATTACTATACAAATTCTTTCTCTCTTTCATACTCATCATTCAATTTCTTATAATTTCTATCATATAATTCCTTTTCTCTTTATAATTATTAATATTCTGACTTTTGAATTTGTAGTTAATCATCCATATCATTCAACTAATATTGTAATTTTTCATTTTCCTCCTCTAAATTTTTTAAAGTCTGCACAGTATTTTCTTTATCATTCTTCAAATTATTTACAGCTTTACTAAATACCATCTTATCAGTTTAGTATGCTTATACCACTTATTCAGCATTTTAAGCTTTCAATTATAGTTATTCATTTTATTGATGTAATTACTAAAACTTCTCAACTAATTGTTAATTTTCCTGTTCTAATTAATTTAATATCTATTTGAATTATTCTTAATTCCTTTCCTTCTCTTCCTCAATGAAAGATAATCTTTATTTGATCTAATTTAATTCGTTTTTTTTATCTGATTTATTTGGGCTTTATTATTATGGTTGACTAGGCTTTTTCCTAAAACGTGATAATTCTTTTCTTAAATTCGATAATTCATCATTTAACTTTGTATTTTCTTCAGTTAACAAATCCACTTATGTTTATGTTCTTTAAGCCTTTTATTGTGTCTCTGAGAGAAGATGTTCTTATGCTAATTTTTCAATATTCGTGCCTTAAATATCTAATTTTGACTTTAATCTCAAAATCTCCTTTTCTCTATTTTCGATCTAAAATTCTAAATGCTTACATTTTTCTTCCAACAATACTTTGGAATTGTCATTCTCTCTTGAATCCTATTGTACTTATATTAATCTAGAAATGATAATCATAATTAAGGTACTTCTTCTCTAAATCTTATATTTAGTCAATCAATTTTAATGTTTTATCTGGTTAATTACTTGAAGATAAATAATTTTCATTATTTTTTTTAAATAATTCTTCTTGTAATTTCTTTTCAGCATTATTTTTTTAACCCAATATAAATTTCCAATCATTTCTCTCACTTTCTAACATTCTTACTTGTGATCTCCATTTATTCTCTTTGGTATCACATTCTTCCTTAATTTGAATCATTGTCATATGTAATTAATTATTTTCATTAACAATCCTTTAATTCTCCTTTTTTAAAGGTAACAATAATTGTTCAAACTTAGCTGCATTTATTTTAGTCTATTTCATATATCATCAATATACTTCTTCCAATTATTTTTTTAATTATTGAAAACCTTCAGTAGTTTTAACTAAATCATTTAGTAACCTCTCTACTAAAGGAACAGAGTCTATTCCTAAGGGTTAACAATAATGCAAGGCATCCAATCTTTTCTTTAGCAATAAAAACTTCCTCTCTTGATCCATATTTGAAAAAATTATATATATGTTAATTAATAAAAAAAAGAATTTTGAAATTATGAATTTTGTAAACAGTTAATAAATTATTTATTTATGATTTACATATTTCTTTTGTTATTTAATATTAATATCTTTTAAGCTAACTTTCTTCTTACCCCTTGTATAAATAATATAAATAATTGATAATAATCTGATAATTGATTAAAATATAATAATTGTTGCTTATTTTCCTTTCTGGTCCACTATTATTCGCATTCTTTATCATTTTTCAATTAGCCACCTATTTTTATAATCTTTTTGAATTAATAAATTTCTGATAACAAAATACATTATTAGAATACCATTATTATTGTGGATACTCCAATAGTCTATTTAATAGTTAAAGTTTATTTATTGTTTAATTCAAATTATAGGCTTAAGTTGTTTAATTTTATATTAAAAGTTGATTTATGCTGTATAGGATTATTGAAAAGGTCTATAAACAAATTCCATTGAAGTATCAACAGAGACTAAAAGATATAGAATTTGAAAACTTATAGAGCATGAGAGTATCAAATAATCATATAATAGATTGAATTTACTAATGGTCTAGTGCAAAAAACATATAATTACGAGATTTTGTCAAACAAAATACAATTAATCCAAGTATGATTAGTTTTATCTAGGCATCTACAGTAATCAAAGAATTAGTTAGAATTTTGCTCAAAATGGAAACTCTCCCTATTTTTCCTTTAATTTATTTTCTTACTTTACAAGAATTATTCTGGTCTGAATTCTTTATTATATTATACACGATGATGTGTTTAATTATCGATATGGCTTTCTCATACTTAATACTATTTTGCAATCTAAAATAAAGATGGAAATTTGAAGAGAATATCAATAAACAGTAATGTCGAGTCTTAGCAGATATAGATTAATTGTTGTAAACTTAAAATAAAACTCCTTCAAAGAAAATCGAATGGTAGTAATTAAAATTAGGTCAAATCGTTTGTCTATAGAAGGGAGAAAAGAGTCCAGCAGATATCTTAATTTTAGAATCAAGTTAGGAATAAGTGTTAGTTGATTTTAAATATAAATATCCTTGCCCTTGCACTTTTGTTAACTAGGCTTCTAAAACCAAAGGAATCATGACTAAATTCTTAATTAATTTGAGTGGATGGATCTAGTTTTAAAGCTCTAAATAAGGAACTATTAAATTGAAAAACGATCCAAAGACCACCTAATTTACAGATGCAAATATTATTAATAGAGGCCAAATATTGAATCAAACAGATTGGATTTTTGGGATAGCAATATAGGTTGGGCATGGATGTTTTTAATAAAGAGATCGATATTATAATTGGAACCACTATAATTAGAATAGTTTTTATATATTTTTGATAGATGTTGTAATTTTCTTTGTCCTTTTAATTCCAAAGTTAATTAGTTAACAATAGTATGAATTTCCAACTTATCAAAATTCTATTATAATGTGTCTTTTGCTTTTACCTTAAAATTACTTTATCATTAATTAAATTTGGTTACTCATTCACTAATTCAATCTAAACAAATTAGAGATTAGATAACCTTCTGACAGAACTTTCAATTTAATTTAATAATAGTAATAGTAATTTTAAGAGTAACCTGATCCAATTCTGTAAGAATATGATAAGAAAGTGCTCATTTAAGTGTAAAAAGTAGGATCGACAAATAATTCAATATTGAATCTTGGTCTAAAAAAGAAAAATCCTACTTAATGCAATATCTATCAATATAATCAATTATCTAATTAAAATATTTTAGAATTGATGAAAACTGATGTTTTAGTTTTTGAAAATCCTTAAAAAATATTAAAAGATAATGTTAGAGTTTGCTTAATCATACATGACAAATGTAGATATTACTTTAATTACGAAAAATTATAATCCATTATTGAAAAAACTACTCCAACTCAAAAAATTAATTATGAAAAATTACTATTAGACACAAATAGGTTTTAAGCTTATGATGAATAAAAAACATAAGATATTGATCTATTGCTTGCTGAGAAATAATAGCCTACCTTAAGGATTGTTGAAGAAAAGAAAATATTCCAAAAAATAGGGTTTTTAAAAGAATAAACAAAGGTAAGCTAATTTCAAAAAGATATGAGAGATTCTAAAGACCTAAAAAAATAAACTGGGGACCCTTAAAAACTAAATCCATATAGTTCTTTTAGAAAGTAAACTGCAAGGAACTTATTTTAATCTAATACTTAAGTCTAACAATAAAAAGAGCCTAATTAACAGTCAATATTATTACAATAATAATAATCTAATATTATAATTTCATATAAGAATTCACCTAAATTGTAAAGATAAAGAAGTAGTAATCATCTCTCCTAAAGTCAATTGAATCCAAATGTCAGATCTTAGGGAGGATCATTAAAAAACATTACTCCCACTTAATAAGATTTGAGCAATGATTAGATCATAGGAGATGTGTTTAATGAATAAGATTTTATTAATAAGTTGTTGAATAAATCTGATGTAATATCAAATGAAATTTTAATTGTTTTACTGCTTTGTAATAACATTGAGAGTGTTTATGATAAGAAAGAAAAGAAGATTTAAAATATATATTACAACTCATTTGATGAATCAATTTTAGAATTTGTTAAGATATTTGATTATAAATTTATTTCAAGTGCTACAATCGATAATTTCAAAGTCGAATATAAATAAGATCAAATCGTAAAGAAAGCTGTCTCTATATAAGGAGTTGTTAAGATTTTTGATATTATAGCTTTATTGTAGCCAACTGAAAATCGATAAAATACTCTCTCTATACTTGTTAAAGATCCTGAATCGTTTGAATTGGAAGAAGGAGCTTTATTATACACGAGACAAGAAATATGTGACAAGAATTATAATGATCAAAGATTCCCTCAAATAAATGAGACTATAGAGGAAATGTTTTGGGATGGTTAAAAGTCGATTAAATATTTAAAAAAATAATTGGATTTCTAGTAAACATAATAGTTTTTAAATAAATTAAATTCCATCAATGAGACATATGGTAATAGGGAACAGGAGCTAGACAATCTTTACAAATAGATTGAACAAGATAGTTAGTTTTTCTTTATTTTGGGATTGAAGTAATTTATAAGAATGAAAAGCTAATTAGTATCTTAAGAGATCTGTAGTAATAATCTCAATCAAGAAATCATGTTCTAAACACTTTTAAAATACAATTTTAAGACTTGCTTTGTGATGGATACATATGAAGATTTAATATCATTTTTAAGAACCTACCACATTACTGAAAAGAATTCTATTGATCTATTTCTAGAAGTCAATTCAATTCATTATAAGTTTAGATAATCTATTCAAAATTTAATAGAAAAATAAAATATTTTTGAGGTTTACTCATAAAAATTGATTGAAAACTTTATTGTAATTAATGCTGAAACTCTAGAAGCAATAGTAAAAGATGATTATCTAAAATATCATTTCGTTGTGCTGTTTTATTTTTCATAGGGAGTTGGAGCCTATTAATTAGATGAAAAATAAAAAGGGAAACTTTTAAAATTGATTACAATTACTGAAAGATATATAGCATCTATTGGTTCTGGATTAGACAATTAATATTTCTTTTACAAATCTAATTATTCTTTTAATTTATACGATAAAGATCCACAATGTGCACTTTCTAACCCAAACTTTTTAATTTCTAAGACTGATTAAATGCTGAAATTGTTATTTTATTATTGCCCAGCTACTTACTTAAATTATGAATCTGTAATTTTAATCTAGATTTATCGATGCTTTTTATTTGGTTTTTTATCGTATATGATTGATTATTAAAATCAATTTTATGCTTTAGAAGAATTAATTTTCTTTGTATTAGTTCCAAGCAATGTTGTTACGTGTATTCTTAATTATGAAAACTTTATGCATTAAAAATCATTTGACAAAAATTAATTTGAAATATATCGAAAGAGACTAGAGTTGATAAAATAAAGTAATATTTATGTCAAAATTATCAAAATAATTTTTATAGCTTTGCTGGATTCAATTTTAATTGAAATTTGTTTTAATATCTTTGATATATTCTAAAGTTAGGAGCTCACAAATTATTCTGTTTTTATATTCATTATTTTTGAATTAGTGGAAAAGTCAAAATACATTATGACCCAGTTCAACTCATATTATGATTTAGGCAGGATGCTAAAACTAATATTCTCATACATAATATTATTATCTTTGTTAGTATTAATATATAGTCTTGTGATCACAGATATTATATATTAATTATCAAGCTTAAATTTTATATTTTGGATTTTTGGACTCATATTTGCTTTATCAATCTCATTTGTCTTATAAGAAGTGTTAATACTTACCGAATTCTGCTTCCCATGTCCAAATGATATTCAATTTCACATAGAAAATCATATTTAGATAGAAAAGCTAAGCTAATCTTTGAAATATTTAACCCAATAATAATCAAATGAGCCAAAATTGTTTATAGAGAAATTATTTGAAGGAAAAGATTTTATGGATGAACAACTTCTTAAAAAGATTAAGGGAGATTAATAAATGACTGATTAAATGGAAAAAGACTTAAAATTTACAGACAAGAGAACAGAAAAGGATTTTCTTAATTGGCTCAAACCTTAAAATAAATATATTTATTACATTTATGAATTAACTATATTTGGAATAAGAATCTATTAATAAATCACTACTCTTTAAATAGCTTATTTAGTGATCTCTATTATCTAGTTTGTAGTGATGAGTTTGCTTCCAATAATACAAATATCTAAATTTAAACCCTTAGTTTTGATTGGTTTAAGATTTGCATTTTTTATAGTGTTACATATCTTATTAGATACATAGATAAATGAAACTTTAATGTTTCTGATAGCCATTTCCTTGACTCATCATCCATTATTAGGGATATATGGATATTATTGTGTTTGTTTTATTACAACTATTTTAGATTTGCTGATGGTAGGAATCTTTACTTATACTGATCCATATCTCATTCTAAATCATGGTTTAATTTTAATTGAAATTTGTCTTCCACTTATGTTTTAAGTTTATAAAACAGAATTCTTATAAAGATATTAATATGTCCTTTAAAACAAATTGTTGGATGAGTATAAAAAGCTGAACGATGCTTTAGGTTTGCTGATGCCACGTTTCATTAAAGAAAGAATGTCAAAAGGATAGATATAAATATCAGAAGATCAAGGAGATGTTGCTATATTGTTTTGTGATATTTATGATTTTGATGACATAATTAGAAATGAATAAATCAAAGTTGTTGAATTTTTAGACAATTTATATCGTCAATTTGATTAATTCTGTTAAGCAAATGAATTACAAAAGATTGAAACCGTTGGTAAAACTTATATGGCAGCTGGTGGACTAAAAGACTATAACATTTCTGATAATTTAAATCCTACAGAAAGAATTTTAGATACAGCTCTTTAAATGCAGGAAAGTGTTAAAACTATGAAATATGGAGACAACAAAGCTGTCATTCTCAAGATTGGTATTCATTATGGAAGAGTCATAGCGGGTGTTATTGGGGCTCACAAACCGTAGTTTTCATTGATAGGGGATACTGTCAATACAACGAGTAGAGTTTGCTCAACATCAGAACCGGGAATTGTAACTCTTAGCTAATAAGCTTATGAGAAGGTCTCCAACAAGAAATATTAATTTAAATTAAGGGAAGTGGAAGCGAAGGGAAAAGGAACTATTAAAACTTATTAGTTTATTAAAGGAGATAAAAAATAATAATAGGCAATTCTAAAAGTTGCTGATAATATTTCAAAATCTCCTAATCCTCACTTATAAAATTAAATGATCAAAAAAATATCTGAAAATTTGAAGAGCAAATAGCAAACCATTTTAAAAAAAGTATCAATAAATGAAGAAAAATAAGATATCGCACCAGTAACAATCTAAAATACAAATATGAATGTAAATACCAAATTAATATAACTTTCATCTCCATAATCTATACAACCAATGATTAGAGCTTAATCAAGATCAGTATTTAATTCTTCATATTAAATGGCATTACTTACTCCTAATGAATAGGATTAAGATAATAATAATAACAATAATATAAATAACAATAATAATAATAACAATAATAATAATAATAATAATAATAATAATAATAATAATAATAATAATAACAACAACAATAATAACAATAATATTAGCAATAATAATAATAAATAGGAAGAAAAGGACAAATTTAATCTCAATAATATATAAGGTGATGGATTAAAATCTAGCATACCTCTAGGGGGAGCTGCAGCAGGTTAATATTCAAAAAGAATCTCAAATTTAGCTTTTGAATTGAATCCAATAAAGTCAAGAAAATCCGTTTACAGGAGAGCAGGTACCAAAACAAATTTACCTGAATAAGATTAAATTTTAGGAATGGCTACAAGTGGTTAAAAATTGGCTGAAAGCGTAAGGGTTGATTTGCCTCCTGTGAAAAAAAAGAGAACTAGAATAATTGCTGAAAAACAAATGGATTTTATAGATAGAATAGAATCTTTATCAGTTCACAAAACACCAAAAGAATTGAAGCAGTAATCTCATATGGATGAATTAGAGATAAGAAAGCTAATAGACATTGAAGAAAGTATTTATTAAAATGAATATGATTTAAAAAATATGGAAGAAAAAGTTGAAATATAAGAATATGGTATCTAAGAATCTAACTATAAAAGTGATAGTCATGATTCATATTTCTCAATTTATGATTAATACAAAGAGTTTGACTTAAAATAGGTAAAGATTTTTATCGTTTTTATAATAATTTTATTGATAATCAAGAATTTATTTTATTACCTATTAACTTCAATAAGCGAAGAGTTATAGGTGATATTTATTTGCTAATCAGTAATTTGTTTAGTGTTATCAATAATAATTTACAATGTAAAAAAGATATTTATGTTGAAAGTGCTAATAGGTCTATATTTTGTAATTTTTTCAATAAATAATATTTTGATTGTAGATGTTCATAAATCTGATATGGAATTAATATTTTAAATAAGTCACATAACAGCTGTTTATTTAAATTTATTCTATTTATAGATTTACAATAGAAAGGATCGAATAAAATTGTCAGTCTTGTACACAATATTGATTCTAATAAATCTAGTATTTAATGAATATATTCTGGATATAATTCTCTTCTCAATATGCATATTAGTATCAAGTTTCATCATTCAAGAAAAGGAATTAAAAGTTCTTGCTGAAAATTATTAATGCTTTTCGCAATTTGAATCAAAAAATGCGAAACAAACGTAGATCTTATAATATTTATTACCATAGCACATAATAGGTAGGTTTTTTTCAACAGATATTACAACAACAGACAATTTCACTGATGTATTTCAAAATTGCACTATTCTGTTTGCGGACATTGCTGGCTTTACAAAGTACTCAAGTTCAGTAGAACCAGAATAAGTAGTAAATATGCTTAGGATATTATTCCAATAATTTGATGAAGCTTGTTAAAAATTTTAAGTGTACAAATTATACACAATTGGTGATTGTTATGTTTGTATGGGTATCATTGATGCTAATAACAGAGATCCTGTTGGTGAAGTAAATTTATAAATAATTATATAGGCAATAAATATGGTGTTGTTTGGATTAAAAATGATACAGATAATCTAATAGATAAATAAAGATCCTCAGTTTTAACATTTGAACATGCGTATTGGAGCGCATACAGGAAGAGTAATAGGAGGTGTTGTAGGAACAGACGTTGTTAGGTATGATATTTATGGAGAAGATGTTACAACAGCCAATAAAATGGAATCAAAAGGACAAGAAGGTAAAATAATGGTAAGTTAAGCTACAAAGGATTTGATAGAAAGCGATGAAGAATCTATTGGCATTTTCGATTTTGAATTTGCATAAGAAGTCTTTTTGTCTTAAAATAATACTACAATATCTACTTATTTTGTACACTTTGATTAAAATGGTGATGATTAATGAATATTTTATATAAATGAAATTAAACTCAACTTTTATTTCATGTATTTCTCTTAATCTTATTAGATCACTAAGGAATTCTATCTTCCTCTTAATAAATTCCCATAATTCCAACCAAGAAGGATGCAAATTTATCATAAATCTTCATCCCACATATGGCTGGTTCATGATAATTGTCAATATAACAAAATTTATTGGTAGATCAAAAACATTATCATGAATTGATATTGAATTGAATTTAATAATTATTCAAATTTACCTAAAGGTTGTACATTAACAAAAGAATATAATAAATTCCTATGGATTTGTAAGAGAAAGCAAAGTGTAAATAAAGGTACTACTTGAGCAAATCATCTAATAGATAAAATGTAATTCCTCTGATTGGCTTAATTTCTTTGAGAAATGAAGGATTCTATGCAATTTAATGTATTATTAATGATATGGATGAAGCCCCTATTCAATATTTTAATTATTTTTCATCATAGATGGCTGCCAAAATTATACTTCAAGTATACATAATATCCATAATCTCTTAAATATTATATATCAAACTGAAACTAGGTTAAATAACTCTAATTATAGAGACTATAAATTTTTCAAAAATATGGTAATGATTGATCATTTCATATCATAATAGATATTAAATTTTGCATTTAATTTTAGTAAATAAAGTTATTCATTCTTTTTGAAAAAGTAATAATAAGATAAGCACAAAATGGTAAAGTAAAAGATCATTGCAATAAAAATATTTAGGGCACTGTTAAATATAAAATCTCTAACAATTCCATCAAATCCAAATCTAATGAAATTACCTATAAACTATGGATGGTTCTAGTATTAGGTCAAGTTTTGTGCTTCTGCCTATATTTTTGAGTGCCAATAACTCAGCTTATATTATATAATTGCTAATATACCTAAATACTAGATCATCTATTAATATTGATTTATAATTTATATTGATTAAAATATTGGTTTGGAATAGTATTAATATGTCTGTTAATAAAATAGCAAAATTTAACTTTTTTTTATAAATAATTTCAGTTTTATTAACTAGTTATCATGTGAATAAATACATTCGTTATTTTAGAAAAAACAATTAAAATAAATGTCAATAATAATAATTCTTTTCTCCTTACTTTATTTAACAAATCAGATTTCATTAATAGGATAAACTGCCACAGGTAAGAACATTTTAATTTAATTTAGAACGATATTTTCCTAAAATAATGAGTTGGATCAAGAAATAAGATTAAGGAATTGATCAAAGAGTCGCTTTTGAGTCTATATAGTTGATGTTTAAATTTGTGGAAGAAGAACTTACTTATGAAACAGAAAACAATGAATTCTTAGAGTTATTTGAGCAATAAGTAAGCATAAACTTTCTATTTTTTAGGTCTTCAATCTCTGTCAAACTAAGGCAGATTCCGAATTATAAACATACTAAGCCATGATTAAATTCTTGAATGAAGATCTTAAAAATGAGGTCAATTTCTTCAAAAACATGATCAAGGATAAAGAGAAGATGTTGGAATAAGATATCAAAGAAATTGAAAAAATAAAAAAATAAACTAAAGACAGAAGTAAAATAGAATAGAAGCTGAAAGAAATAAGTTATCTTATTAAGGAGATAGATAAAAACTTAGAGATTGGTACTGCAGAAAAATTATATGGATTACTTGAAATAATAGAATCTAAAGCAGTTATTGGATTATTCCAATATTAAAATGAATACTAAGAAATTTAGTAGTACTTAAAAAATGTGGATTTGCTATTTAAATCCAGAAATTTTTAGTAAGATAAAGTAAGTTATGATATATCATTTGTAGTTTGAAATTATCAACTTAATTTCTATGGTAAAAAATGTCCTTCTAGATTTACATTTAAATATTATCATCAAATTGTAAGAGGATCAATTAGATGAGTATGAAGCTATGTCTTTTTTTGAAAATAGTAAAGTCACACATCAAATAGCAAGAGATTACTTTTAAAATGAACTCCAAACATTTTTATGTATTTTAAATAGATTTACTAGAAACTTTAATAAGCAAGTGGGAGAGCATCATATTAATCTAGGAGAATACCAATGAAAACTCAGAATCCTTTAGAAATCTAATTTAGCAACTCAAGAAATAAAATACGAAAATAATTGAAACAAATAATCACAGTCTATAAATAGTTAATTTCACTATAAAACATCTAGAATAAGACTTTTTGGAATAAAAAAAAAGATAATGAATAAATCTGATTTAGAGTTATATATATATAATAATAATTAATAATTTAAAAATAAACAACTTAATGTACATATTATAATGTAATTAACAAATTAAAAATAGAGAATCAATATAAATCCTCTGAGAATTGAATATTCCAATTCAATAGTGTTATATTTAAATTTATAACAATATTGAAAGGGGGTTATCCATATTTCTATTCTTCCTCAAAATTTACCTTATCTAGCAAAGAGTATTTGCAATTTTCATTCATTACTTTTTTGAGTTATGGATTACCATTTTAGTCTTTCAAAATATTTGGTAGATAATTAATCTTGAAGTTCTTATTTCTTATTTTTAAAACCTTCCTTTACTTTAAAAATACATCTAATACAAATCATTAAACTATATAAACCATTATTATCTAGGTCAGAATCATAAAAGACTACATAAAAACACCCAAAAGAAGTTTTGTACTTAGTTATAAATTTGATATCTATCAATACTATTTCAATTGTTTTTTTGAGAATTCAATTATTGATATTAAATATCAGGTGCTAGATTACCAAGTTTCAATACTAATTTGATTTAGCATTTCACTTCTAAACTTAATTTGATTTTCTCATTAGATATTAGGATTAAAATCAAGATATTGAATTGCACTTCACAAAGCAATGATCCTTCTGGCTTGAATAAGAATTAACTAATGTCAAACTAAAGTATGGTTAGAAAATATAAGGATGTGCAACAGTAAATGTATGCTTGAATAATAGATTTAATAAATTTGTTATAGAAATTATTCCTAAAAATAAATTATATTACCATATATAAATCATTCAAATATTTAGTTATAAAAAATGACAATTTCGACTAATATAATGAGTAAGCAATAATAAATAATTAACAAATGGACGATAGCAGATCTGAAAAGCATTCGCATAAAATGGTGAGCATTTATAATTTATATTAGAATATCGACCATATAAAAGATGAAAATATATTCTGCTTAATTTGTGAGGAGTAAGATTATTCAGAGCAAAACTAAATAATATTTTGTGATGGATGCGATGTTACTGTTCATTAAGAGTGCTATCATGTTGTAAATTTGGGAGCAAAATGGTATTGTTAAAAATGCTTGGCATTAAATGACGATAGGGATTAACAGATCAATTGTTAATTTTGTCCAGAATAATACTAAATTCTCGAATTGGTGTAAATAAATGGATAACAGTAATGGGTAACTAATATCATCGAATGAATTTTAGGCTCATTCGAGTTGTTTGAAGTGGAACCCATTTTTAGTTCAAAATCCTCAAAGTTATAATTTATATACTTGCGAGACAGATCTTCAAACAGGTTACAAGTGTCGTTATTGTCAAAAGACTGACGGTTTTCAATTGGAATGCCATTATAAGGAGTGTTAAGAGGCCTTTCATATAGGGTGTTTGAAGGTGAATGGAGGCATAATGAATAAGGAGGCTATGGAGTGTTTATACACGTATATGAAACCGCATTTGAAAATTCAGGATTAGAAACTATTATGTTGTGCGGAACATGTCGAGGAATTATTGGCTAAGTTGGATGAGAATTAGAAGAACCTTATAGAAGAGAGTAATATAGAGATTGATTCATTTTAGAGTATATGAAAATGAGAAGTGAAAGATTGCATTCTTATTACATCTACAATAGGAACAATAAATAAGTAGTGGATAATAAAAACGAGACTAAGTAAACTAGAAAGCAACGAAATTACGAAGACATGTTATTTGACGAGGTAGTTCAATTGAAATAGTTGAAATAAGCCAAAATACCGATAAAGGATAAGAAGGTGAAATTGCAATTCAAGGAGTATATGACGAGGAAACTGAATGACCAATTGCATAAGTTGAGGGATGACTTTATGAAAAAAAATCATAATGATTTGAATGCAGATGAGGATACTTATATTTAGATAGATACTCAATTAAGTAAGAAACTATTTGACAAATTGGTGGACATCAACAATTTGGAAGAATTTGATAAATATTTGGTGAGTTATTTCATTTTTAACAATATGATTAGAAAACCAAATAATCCTGAGATTTATATTCGAGATGTAATTATGTTTTATTAATGATTAGGATAATAATAATTATTCATATTGGAAGAAGATGTTGGATGAATTGGGTATTAAAAATGGGGAGTAATTCTCAAGGTTTTTGAATGTACTCAGATTGAAGAAGATGAATATTGTGAGTAGGAATAATGAGAAATTGCAATATGAATAGGATTTGCAATAGCAATTCGAGATCTAAAATAATGAGTTGATTGAATGATTAATATTTAAAAATAAAAATATCATTTTTAAAATAAATGGGCAGAACAGGAATTGCAGTCGGTTTAAATAGAGGTTTCATAACATCCTCTTTGACAAAGAAGCAATTGAGAAGAAGACCATCATAAAGAAAAGGAACATTAGGTAAGAGAGTGCTTTCCGTCAGAAAAGTCATCTAAGAAGTAGCAGGATTGAGCCCATATGAAAAGAGAATTATTGAATTGTTCAAAACCAATCAACCCAAAGATTTAAAGAAGGCAGGCAAATTGGCAGCTAAGAGATTGGGTACAAATAGAAGAGGAAAAAGAAAGATTGAACTTGTCTAAAATCTCTACAGAGCCATGAGAAAGTAACAATAAGCCAAACATTGATATATTACATACATTATACCAATATCATCAATCTTGCTTTCTTTTTCTCCCTTAGCAAAATAACCAATCATATTTTAATTAAAAATATTCCCACAATCCCATACCTAATTCCTGTCTACTCATCCCTCTCTCAATATTCCTTTTTAGATATTTGTGTCTGTCCTTCAAGATCTTTCCAATAATATCAGTAGTTGATATCCCTTCAGTTCTTTTAGTTGCCTATATTCATCTATGTATCTTTAGAATACCTTGAATTTTCCGAGTTTCTTGCACAAAGCATAAGCATCATCCACATCTGCAGTGGTATATGGAATATCATCATGAGCGACATAATCGATCTGATGATCATTTAGAAATTTCTCATCGACTATCCATGGAGCAGGATATATGACCTCATCTGCCCTTACAAAATAATAATTTCCCCTTACCATTTACAGTGCTTTACACTTTCAGTTCTTTAGTAGCCATCCATCACAGACTTTCCTTTATATTTCTCAACATCCTCTTAAGAACAGACTCCCACAATCAAATAAGTGTTTGGAAACAACTTTTTGCATTGCTCTAATTAACGTGCATGTCCATAATGAAACATATCATAGACTCCATCTGCATAAACACGTACTTATTTTTCTTCTTTGTTCATTTAAATAAATAAAATATTAAAATAATGTAAATAAATGGCCGTTTGTAATTTGACTTAAAACTTGATGATAAAGATTATAAAATAAGTGGCAACATTTTCATGAAGGAAAACCTTTCTACAGACGTTGAGAAAGAAGCAGAAACAATTGCCAAGAGAATCATTGAAAAAGTCCGATAAAAATCATTAAACAAATCAACCAATAAATCTGTTTAACACAAGTACGAATCATAATCAGCCACCAAATTCAGTCAAACTGAACATTTCAAATCTATTGAATAAAGCAATTCTCGATAAGAAACATTAAAAAATGACTATAAATAACCCTATATATCTGAATATTAAACTGATTTTAGATCCTCATGCAAATTGAATAATGTGGAACAACAATTAGATATTGGTGAATTAATTACTCCTTAAAAACATAAGTAACGTAGTACTAAATCTTAATAATGCATTAAAAAAGAGTAGCCAAGTCATAAATCGTCTGCAACTATCTAATTGGCTGAGAGTTAATATTTTATCGAAAATAGTAGTAATTGCAATACTAAAGATGGAAAACAAATTATTTAATTGATGTATTCTTATATCCAATTATTAAATTTAGAGATAATGCACATAATCTAATCAGAAAAAACTCATAAATTTTGAATAAGGTTTAACTCTAGTCTCCTCTTCAATCAGTTATCAATACAAAATCTCTCAATACATAAAACAATAAAAAGAAAGAAGATATTGTTACTCAACTATTAGGAAGTCTAAGGAATGCTAAAAAAATAAAAGATGAATATTAAAAAAGATTCTTTTGATTACTTATATTTTATTAATACACAAAGTAATATATCATTTCAAAATTTATTTAATTTCATATCTTAATTCTAAAAAATGTCGATATTCAATAAGATATTTTTAATTATGGGTTATTTAATCTAAATATTATAATAAATCATTTTGATTAAATTAAGGCAATAATCCATATTTTTATAAAAGTTCATAATATTAGGATAATGTTTTCAAAATTTGCAACTCTTTTGTATACTAAATCACATTCTAAAGTTTTATTTTTGTATATAAATCATGATTCAGCTCTTCAATACTCATTTTAATATAAGATAACAATCCTTCCTTTGATAAATTATTTATTAAACGAGAAAATTCTTAGTCGAATTTTACATTATCATTAGAAAACTCAGGAATAGAGCTAACTTTTTTCATTTGGTTTTAAAACAATTCTTAAATTTTTAGATTATCTTAACAGACTTATTCAAAACCTTACTATTTCATTTTATTTTCTGCATTACTTGATTCAGATGTGAACAAATTATAAAGTGCTGCTGATAGAAGAGTCAAATGTTTGGCTGATAAAATGCATAGCTTCTCTTTTAACCAAGGGGAAATCAATTTGTAATTATCAGATAAAATGAATTTAATTACACTAAAATAATTCTAATATCCTTGTATTGTATTATCAACAATGATGAATTAGTCGGAATCAATTTTTGTAATTTTTGGAATAACAGGTGCAGCCAATCTATCAACTTTAACAGTTTTAAAAGTAGTTTTAGTTTGTTGTTTAACAAATAATTTATTATTAAGGATATCGAATATGCTGGATCTATAATTTACATCAAAGACCAAACAACTTTAAATCAATTATTTGACATGACTAGGGATTTCTGGTGCATCAGGAAAAGTGACTTAATTTCTGGTTATTTCATAAATTAGATCTCTCTCATTCTGAGCACTCCAAGGAGGGATTCCAAATAGTATTTCATATGCCATCACACCGAAACTCCAAATATCACTTTTTAGATGATATTAATTTCTGATCAAAGTTTCAGGACTCATGTACAAAGGAGTTCCAACGTTCATTTCTGATTATAATTTGGACATTTCTTTTGCAAATCCAAAATCGGCTATTCGTATGGTATTGTCTGAAATTAGAATGTTTTAGGGTTTCAAATCTCTATGGATTATGTCTTATTATATTGTATATGATATACTTTCTTATTACATGGTAGCGATTCCATAAATAATTTAAATTATAATTTGTATTGCAATATTTGAATTTAATTTGCCATGTTTCTTTATATATGATTGTAAATCACCCTATTTGCATAATTCAGTTATTATATAAATATTATTTTTAGTGTAAAAGTAATCGTGGAGTTTGAGTATAAAATTTCCTTTGAGTTTTGAAAGTACTGTAATTTCATTTTAAATTAGTGGTATTTGATCACTTATTTATCTTTAAATAACCTGATTTACTTATAGAATGTACCTTAATGGCTACTTCTTCTTAAGTAAGATCATTTATGCCTTTGTAAACTATTGAACTGAATCCACGCCCAACAATGTCTCCAACAGAGTAAGAATAATTCATAATTCCTCTTCTTTAGAAATGCATATTGTATTTAACAATTTAATTAAATAATATGATATCAATATTCAGTTTGAACAAATAATGGCCACTCCTCTGATAATCCAAAATTCTGGTGACTCATTTGTTCTTAATGGGATATCCATTATCTTCTTATTTCTTTTCTTCGTGCTATAAACAGGGATTTGCAAATATTCTTGATATTGTTATACTTAGGTGGTTAGGTTAATCGATATAAGAGGAACCTATGAATACAACACATTAATTTGAGGTTCTACAATATTTTATTACTCTTCGTCCCATTGACATTAATCAAAAAGCAGACCTTCGATTAGATAGCCTTCAAAATTATGATTGCAAATTTTGAATTCGAAATTCAATGAATCTACCGGAATAGAGTTCTTTCTAGCATAATCTTATTTAACACCTGTCAAAAATGTCTGAGGATAGAAAAAATAAGAAATGTTTATCAATTCTGGAATTCCATTTTCAACCCATTTCTAAAAATATTTGATTCTTTCCTACAAATTTTAGACAAAATTAATGAGATTGCTAGTTGTCAAATAGGATTTTGATAACCAACTAGTTGGAATCACTCCCTATAGAAGATGGTAACATATTTATTCCATCTCTTAATTCATTACTTCTAATCCATCAAGTGATTTCAATATGAATTCTAAATCGTTTTTAATTTGAATTATTAATTTGTTGAATCTACAACACTCCTAAATCAGTATTGTATTTAAAGGAGTACCATATTGATGTTCTAGATGATCATATTATAGGATACTCAAAGAGATAGAAGAGATCAGCAATTTAAGCTACTCCTCTTAATCATTTATATTCAAAACACTACTAATATTGCATAACTTTCCATTCAATTCGTTTGTCTCATTTATCTTCTAATTGATTTAAGCATTTAAGTGTAAACCAAAGAGTTGGTTATCATCTTAATAGGACAACTCATTAATCTATTCCAGATAGTCATTTAACATCATTGGATATTCAGAATCCTCAACCACCAAGTACTTATCTAACAATATCTTAAGTAATTATCTGTCATTATTATCGATAACTCTACCTCCATAATTAAGTTCACTTATGAGATACTTCAATCCTTCTGTATCATAATCTAATAGTTATTTTTGTGATATTTCTAGATCTGCTTGAGAAAAATCATAATTGAAATTCCATCCTATATTTCCAAACTTTCTTCTTTCCAAAACAATAGCATGGAACTATGCCAAACCAAATAGTTGACTTTTGAATTATAAGGGTTTATCATTAAATTTCTTTTCTTCAATTGATGAATAAATCCTTAATAGATTATTCTTATATCCCTTTGGATATTCAAATGTGAATTTTTCTGATTTCTACAATAACTTAATCGAAAATGTATCAATTGGGTTTGTGGTTAAAAATAATCTGAATTTTGAGTCCCTTTATAATTACTATAATTCATTTTCATATATTTATTCAATAGATCTGATAAAACTTTTAGCCAAATGTAAATTCTATAGAATAATCCATTAATTTTCTTCAATTGCCTTTTTGATACCTAACTCAGCTATTTGATTTTATCCTTGTCCCAATGATAAAGATTGCAGCTTGATTTTTTCTGATGCAGCTTCTCTTAAAATGAAGTTTAGTGGATCAGACCCAGAAGATAAAATAAATAAGATTGGAGTATTTGGCTAAATTGATAACGGTTCAATGCTAAATTATGGAATGATTGTAAAATGTTATCCAACATAATGCTCAATTGTTTAATGGAGTTAAAATATGAATTAATATGGTTTGATGATCTTAGTTATTATGAGTAGATGAAATGGTTTAAGTCCTAAATCATAATTGTTGTTTAAAAACTCATAATAGTGACTTGTTAATTATTTAACGATTTAATCATTTTTGAATTAAAAGGCATAATCATTTAATTAATTCCACTATTATTACGTTAAATATTCAGGACATGTAGTCGAACTCTAAATTAGAGTGTAATTAGAATGTTAATTGAGTAAGAAACTAATTTCCTCCTGGGTAATAACGTTTTCAATCAATAAGATTTTAAGGAAAAGCATGGTTGTAAATGTTAATTTATCCTTCTCTAAGAGCGATTAACATATGTAAGTGTAAAGCAATTTGGTAAAATGCTGGAACATAAACTTATTCTTTTCTACCTATTAATTTTGAGATGCTGATTTGAATGCTTTGATTGATTAATCAAAAAGTTGAATGAATTTTTCTAAGGACCACACATAAACAAATTCCAATTTCTATAAATCTCTAATAACAAGATAAATGATAGAAACCTTCTTTGTAATAGTCTTGTATTGACTCGAGATCTTTTGAAATGTTTCTTTGTCGTTTTCTGCTTTTTTTAATTTATCTTCTATTTCTATTTACTCGTTTTTTGATTTCTATAAAGTGAGAATCAGGGTTTCATCCTCCAATATATTGCCATGAGTTCCATGTAATAGTTTTAGGATTGAATCCTCGGTTTATTATTGTCTGTTTTTATTTTCATAATAATCTCTGATATTCTTTTATCTTATCTCTTCCTTTTAAGGTTCCTCCACACCTACGATGTAATTTAATAAGAAATCTTCCAATCCTTCCTGAGTTACTTCAAAATTAATAAATTTCAAGTGAATGCAAATCTCAGGACTGTATAAGGGGTTCTTGCTCTAAATAAAGAGTCTAAAATCTGGATGCATTTCGATCTTCTTATCATTTAATTTTGCATATGTACCACAGGGGAATGGAATCTGACTTTCATCTGGTTCCTACAGTAAAACTGGATGACCAATCTGCATACAATTCTCAAAGTTGAATTTAGAATTCAGTTTTTCATTCCACATCAATAACCATTAAGATCCTTGATTTTAAGGATCAATTAGGAGAATCCATTTAGTAGAATTTTAAATGATTATAGCATTATCAATAGACAATTGATCATTTGGCAATTTCATTTAATTAATCCATTATCCAACGATTATTTGATTGCAGAGTGTGTTCAATAAAGAGAAGTTCTAACTAAAAGAAACATTCTACAATTCAATTTTAAGTTATTCTAAAATGGATTCTCGAAGTCCAAGAGGAAATGGTCCAAAAAATGTAATAATAGCACTTGATAGCATACAATCACCCTGCAAAAATTGTTTATTTTATTTATATTAATTAGCCTTTTGTCTCCAACTATCCTTCTCTTATATCAATCCACTGATTAATTTTTCTGCTCTCTCCAGTTATACTTAACACTTATTAACATCCTCTTGTAATTAGTCTTTCTCTAATTTAGCTTGATTGTAATCGTTTTGAAGTAAATTTAAAAATCTTAAGATCTCCTTCAAAGCATCTATCTTTTCCTTTAACGCTAATTCAGTTACTTACAATTACTAAATAGCATTTTTTAATAGAACTTATTTTGGA